GGACTCGGCGTCATGGAACACGATGATCACAGGGTACGCGCGGAGAAGGGAAACGGAAAAAGCGCTATTCCATGTCGGAGAAGAACGAAATTTCTTGGAATGCCATGATTTCGGGTTACGTAGAATGCGGAGATTTGGAAATGGCAAGACAGTTCTTCAAAGCTGCTCCGGTTAGAGGCGTGGACGGCGATGATCACAGGGTACATGAAAGCTAACAAGGTTGCATTAGCTGAGGCAGAGTTCAAAGACATGACAGTGAAGAAAAATCTCGTAACTTGGAATGCTATGATCTCTGGTTACGTCGAAAACTCTCGGCCAGAAGATGGATTAAAGCTTTTCAGAGCAATGATGGAGGAAGGAGTTAGGCCTAATGCCTCTGGACTGAGCAGCGAGTTGTCGGCGTTACAGTTAGGGAGTCAAATCCATCAAATAGTTTGTAAATCTACTCTGTGTGGGTGACATAACCGCAGTGACGTCTCTGATAAGTATGTACTGCAAATGTGGAAATCTTGGAAACTCTTTCAGGCCATGGAGAAGAAAGACGTTGTGGCGTGGAATGCGATCATGTCCGGGTATGCACAGCACGGTAAAGCGGAAAAGGCGCTGTCTTTGTTCTGTGAGATGAGAGATAACCGGACCAAACCGGATTGGATAACATTTGTTGCGGTTTTGCTGGCTTGTAACCATGCTGGACTGGAGTATTTTGATTCGATGGTGAGAGATTACAGGGTAGAACCGCGGCCTGATCACTACACGTGTATGGTTGATCTTTTGGGTCGGGCTGGGAAGCTGGCGGAGGCGTTGAAGTTGATAAGATCAATGCCGTTTAGACCACAAGCTGCGGCTTGTGGCACAAGAATGTAGAATTGGCTGAGTTCGCAGCTGAGAAACTACTTGAGCTTGACCCGAGAAATGCAGCCGGATATGTGCAGTTTGCTAATATCTACGCTTCGAGGAGTCGTTGGGAAGACGTTGCTAGGGTTCGCAAGAGAATCAAGGAGAGCAATGTCGTCAAGGTATGGTGATTGAAAAAGTTTTTGATTCTTTATTCGTTTTACAAGACCTTTTATGTGTTCAATCGATTGTTTCAGGTACCTGGATATAGTTGGTTCACCATTTTAGATCAAGTGATCGGATTCACCCTGAGCTAGACTTGATACACAAGAAACTGGAGGAGTTGGAGAAGAAGATGAAACTGGCTGGATACAAACCGGAGCTAGAGTTTGCTTTACACGATTTAGAAGAAGAGCAGAAAAAGAATCTATTGTTATGGCATAGCGAGAAGTTAGCTGTTGCTTTTGGGTGCTTGAAACTACCTCAAGGTTCACCGATACAAGTGTTCAAGAACCTGAGAATCTGCGGTGATTGTCATAAAGCAATCAAATATATCTCCGAGATTGAGAGACGAGAGATCTTAGTGAGAGACACCACAAGGTTTCACCATTTTTCAAGCTTTGACTCTTCTCTATTGGTCAAACCTGACGTGACGACAGTATTTATATGCGTTATTGTGGTGAAAAAAGTTTCCTAAACTCATCTTTCCGGAAATCATTCCTTAGATTAAAAAGAGATCATGTTCACTCAATCTCTCATTCTCATCTTTGACCAACACAAAACTAAGCATATCAAAAAGCTATGAATAAAAGAACAGATTCTGTGCCAAAGTGTTTCAAAAATTAGATCAATCTCAAAACATACAATCACTTTGCAAAATATAGAATTCAACACAGCTTGCAACATTCACACATACACACACAAGTATTAACTTTTAAACTGAAAAACAAACGACAGGTTTTGCATTTTTAGGACAGGAAGCTAAAACATTGATCCTTGATGTCTGGTTTTTCACGAGGAGAACCTCTCGCGATCGTGAGGCGAAGAGTAGTCGATGTTCGGTCCCTGAGGAATGATCCCGAACGGGTTTATCGTAGGGTGGCTTCCGTAGTAATGTTGCTTAATATGTTCCATGTTCACAGTGCTACTCATTCCACTGATTTGGTATATGTCTTTTACGTAGTTGAAGATATTCGGATACTCCCTCAAGAGTCTCTTGTTACATTTGAAGTGAACCGCATATACCTAAAACACACAAGATGATGTCAAGAACTTGATTATTCGTTGGAAAACAAACAAGAAAAGTCTGTTTTCTAATCAAATACCTCATCAAATCTTATGAGAGTGACGAATAATCGAATATCAGCTTCGGAGAAAGTGTTTCCACAAATGTACCGTTGCTTTCCAAGTATAACCTCACATCTATCTACTGCTTCATATAACTCGTTCACTGCCTGATGAGAAAATGGATCAAATCTTTCAAAATCCGACCTGTTAAAAACGGTATAAGAACATGGAAGATTTTATATATACCTCATTGTATGGTTCTTGTTTCCTAGCAAACCCACATTTATAAACACCATTGTTGATCCCATTGAAAACCCATTCATTAGTCTCGTCGATTGCGTCTCTGAGATGAGAAGGATAAAGATCGAGCGACGGGTTTTTCGCAACACCGTTGAACTCGGTGTTAAGCATCCTGATTATCTCCGAACTCTCATTGTTAACTACAGTCCTGAGCTTCTTATCCCATAGAATCTAACATAAACAAAGAAAAAAACAGAGAACCAAAAAGATTCAATGAACAGTACAAGAGAAGTCACAGAGAAGGTCATAGAAACTTACAGGAACAGTGTACTTCCCAGTGTAATTAGGGCTAGCAATCTCATAGAGGTCTCTCACAGTCTTTGCACCGTTGAGATAATCAGGCTCAGCTCCAGGGAGCTCTGTGTCCGAATCAGGGAAGACCCATCCTCTATGATCATCAGTTTCTTTAGTCCTTCCCCAAATTGCGTGAACAGACTTGATCAAGAACCAAATAAAAGAAGGATGCTTTTAGGTAAACAATGACAGAAACAAGATAGAAGCAATGATGAACGAATATTTGGTACTGACCGAGAAGCTGATTGCATCATCAAGACCTTTGATCTTCAAGTAAGAGAGGCATCTGCAAGCCCAAGGACAAGCGTAGGATATGTAAAGATGGTATCTACCGGATTCAGCTGGGAACTGAGAGTGAGGATCTTGTGAAACAAAGTTGCGGAATGTTGATGCTGTTCTCACAAAAGCTCCGGATTCTGATGTCTCATCAACCCCAGACCTAGCCATTTTTTTTCTTTTTTTGCTACCTAGTAATAATGAAACACAATCAAAAGATTAGTTTTGTTAATCTTCACATGATCATAAAAAAGCATCAAACTTTCGGGATTTCAAGCACTTTTTTCAGTTCAGTAGAGAGTCAAAATCGAACATATTAGGGAATTCGATTTCACAAATGTTTGGCTTTCCGCAGTTGAACATATTTAACCCAGAATCTAGATGGAATCCGAAATTCAGTATTGAGTCTAAATACGATCATGATCATGAAGAAAGGAAGATCGGAGAATTGGGAAACATGACCCACGATGATGTTATGTACCTGGTGGTGAGATCCCAGAGAGAAAGCAAATGTCGCTGTTGTTGAACGATGTTTTCTGGTGATAAGGATTAAAAAAAGTCAAGCTTTAATGGACAATGCTAAAGACGGGTGTCTTCTGACTTCTTATATTGGAGAAGAATTAGCGAAAGCGAAAGAAGAAGAAAAAAACTTTGCCTTGTCCTCACTCGTCACTGCTTTTGTCACGCCTCACGAGTTAACTCAGCTGCTTTTGTCACGCCTACCGAGTTGACTCAGCTGGGTTCTGGTGGGGAAAAATGGAAAATGCAATAACCAAAATATCAACAAATACAATACAATACAAAAGCCTATTCTGTTCCATTAACAGCAACAAAAAGTTGTATAATGGAACAAAATAAGCTTATGCATTGTATTTGTATTTACTCAATACATAATCTTGTTTTGGTTATTATTGCATTTTGTACTGTATTTGGTTCCATTATCAACACAACAAATACAATACAAAAGCTTATTTTGTTCCATTAACAACAAGCGACAAAAACATCCTATATTGTGTTGATTCTGTTAACACAAAATCTTGTGCAAGACAACAACCAAAAACGGAAAGCCTAGTAAGAAGTTACCAACTTTGAGAATATTTACATCAGTGGGAGGCATAGAGAATATGAAAAGAGCAAAGATAAAAGTCGCATGTAAAGCCCTCACAAACACTTGTCCAATCCCCATTTTTCTTCTGCTTCTTCTTCTTGAAGAGCTTTGTAGCAATCTTGTAACCTCTCTAACAATGGCACCAACAAGAGCAAATTCGTTTCTGCAAACCACAAAGTCTTTAGTACTACCAACAAACAAGAATTGATTCAGTGTTTTCAATACATGTGTGCTTCCAAGCTCAAGCTTATCCTCCCTGTAACAAACGACTTCAAAGATTCTTCCCAACTCTGAACCAATACTGGCTCCATTGCAAATCTCATCTTTGTATCTGTAAAGAGTCTCCTCACGTCGTTTTTGTTCACATTGTAGAACACGGGGATGACCACAAGTTTACCTTTCTTTGCAAGCTTCCCCATCTTCACAAACTCGTTCAAGCACAAACCTGACTCGGAGTACCTCTTTGAGAAGATGGCCAGCGCAATATTCGACTCATGATCTTGTTCTTCTTCTCTTCCTCTAAGCTTGTAGCGTTCTGTGAAGACATTGACCCCTGACTCTCTCAATGCCCACACAAGATGTCTGACAAAGTTGTCTCCAAGCTCTTCTTTGCAGAAACTAACAAAAACTGGAGGGAGACGTGGTGGTAATAGGTCTAGCTCTGCCATTAGAGGCTCAAAAGACGATTTGATGTTATTGGTTTGAGTTTGCTGATTTATGGATTGACCTGAGAATCACAGAAAAAAAAACAACAGCTATGGAGCTCACTTGTATTTTGGAATATACTCAATCAATCACACTTCATAAGCAATATAACAAACATCTTATGAACAAGAAAGCAACCTTCAGTGTTGGTGGAATTATTAGAGTCACCACTTTCCTTGCTTGAAATATAGATGAGCACTTTCTTCACCTCCTTAACGATTGATTCAACCAATTCAGACTCATCCCTGCCATTATCAGTGAGAAGTTCAAATTCTGATCAAGTCCTAGCAAAACTTTGCTATGAAGATTGAAGATTGATTCTACCCAAATCCAGAATTCGGAACACTTAACCAGGAAACAAGGTTTGAAATCAAACATTCGTTCATAATTGTAAATGTACCTGTGTCCTGCCAAAGTCAAGCCAGCCTTTTGAGGAATAGAGATCAAAGCTTCTTTCCATTTCTGGATTCTCTCAGGCTCACTCCGATGATCTCTCTCCAGCTCCCTGAAATTGTCGCCGAAAGGTCCCAAGAGTTTTTTACAGTTGGTGGCGTCCAATCGGTAGAAAATGGGAACGACGACGAGCATTTTTTCGTCGATCCGCTCCTTCATCTTCACTAATTCATCCAGACACCAGCTCGATTCGGTGTATCTCTCGGATAAGATCGCGACCGCGACTCTCGATTCCTCGATCCTCTTGAAAAGATTCTGCAGATCTCTACCTCTGACTTCTACTTCGTCTGTGAAGACGTTGATCTTCGCGTCTCTCATTGCTTTCACGAGAAACCCGAGGAAGTTACTCCGCAGCTCGTCTCCTCTGTAATTGATGAACACTTGGTGCTGCGGCGGGGTTTCTTCGCTGGAGGTGGAGGAAACCGCCATTGTAAGTGGATTCTTCTTCGTTCCCCAAAGTCGCTTCTTCCATTATATAAGACACCAATTCAAAATCTGAGCAAAGTCAACTTTCTTATTCAATAAAAGTTGACTTTGTTGAGTATCTACAATCTCAAAAATCAAAAACCAATTGATAATCACTTTTCCGTACCAGACAAATCAAATTGAAAGCTTTAATCGAAAATTTCCCTTTTTTAGTCAAAAGATATATTTAATTACAATGTTTTTATTTTCTAAAAAATGAGTATAATTATACTTCTGGTCATTTCTATCCAAAACAAAGCCAGATGCAAATGGCAACCAATAAAATCATAATTCTTTCATTACCAAATCGGTTATGTAAAATTAAGTTTCAAATGCTTAACCATAGGAAAATTGGTAGAAAAAAAGTTTTTCTCAGATCATATCATGTACAACTTGGTTTCGGCAAATACTTATACACTGTAATCAAGAAAATGAAGCATTAATATCTTGCTGAAAAACGACAATAATGGTGAAATAACGGGAAATGGCTAATTCCTACCCAAACTTTTTCCATATGTTCAATTTATACCTCAACTTAACCACCATGATAATTCATACCTAAACTACTGAAATTTCAATTTTCATACCCGAAGTTTTCCTTTTCTGTCTAATCATACATTATACGTGACCTGGCTAATTGTCCGTTAAAACTTTGGTGAAATAACAGATTATCAGTGTATAAACAACAAACACGCCTTTCACGGTAACACACAGACACACACTGACACACACGTATTACTAATAGCTCAATCGAAGACAATGTCCTTAAAGACCAAACAAATACGACACAATTCACAGTATAGTCTGTGTCTTCATGCCTTCATGCTGTTTCCGTGGAGAATCTGTGTCGGTCATGAGGCAAAGAGTAATCAATGTTTGGTCCATGAGCTACAATCCCCAGAGGGTTTATAGAAGGAAAGCTTCCATAGTAATTTTGCTTTATATGATCCATCTTCACTGTACTGCTCAACCCCTTGATTTGGTAGATATCTTTCGTGTAGTTAAACAGATTCCAATACTCCCTTACAAGTCTCTTATCGCATTTGAATATCACCGCGTAAGCCTACAACAACACAACAATTTCTCAAAAAACATATGGTAAACTGAACAAACCAGTATATAGAAAACATGAAACATATAACAACTTGAGCTAAAATAAACCTCGTCAAATCTTATGAGAGTGACGAATAATCTGATATCTGATTCAGTCAAAGTGTTTCCGCAAAGAAACCGTTGTCTTCCGAGTATTTCTTCGCATTTGTCCAACGCATCAAACAGTTTCTTCACTGCCTGCAAAGCGTACTGTTGGAATCAGTATCTTTAATTAGCATATTGATTCCTAAAATCGTAAATTTGCTTTACCACATCATATGCTGCTTGAGTTTTTGCAAAACCGCATTCATAAACACCATTGCTTATCCCATCGTGAATCCATTCATTAGTCTCATCGATTATGGTTCGGAGGTTGGGATGATAAAGATCGAAAGAAGGATTTTCCGCGACATGATTGAACTCGGTATTGAACATTTTAAGTATCTCAGAGCTCTCGTTGTTGACTATAGTCTTAAGCTTCTTATCCCAAAGGACCTATACCACACACACACAAAGAAACCGAAATACGAATGAAGTAACAGAATCAAGACTTGAGCTAAGACCACACACACACACACCATGGATAAACAATAACTTACAGGAACAGTGTATTTGCCTGTATAGTTCAAGCTGGCGATATCATAAAGCTCTCTTATGGTTTTGGCACCATTAAGATGGTCTCTCTCGGCATCAAGAACCTCTGTATCTGAATCTGGAAAAACCCATCCTATATGCTCTTCGTTTTCTTTGGTTTTTCTCCATAGTGGTTGAACAGACTAATGAACAAAACAAACGGATCAAATTATTATCTTCTGTAAAAATCTGAAACGGATGTATCAGGAACTGATTTTGTTTTTTAACTAACCGAGAAGGTTATGGCTTTGTCGAGTCCTTTGAGTATCAAGATTGCGAGACATCTAGAAGCCCATGGACAAGCGTAAGAGATGTATAGATGGTATCTTCCTGACTCTGCTGGAAACTGAGAATCAAGATTTTGTGAAACGGAGTTTCGAAATGATGTTGCGGTTCCAGGAAAATTCGAGTTCTCCTTAGCTAGTGACGCAGCCATTGTTAACTGTAGTCACTGGAAAAGAAAGAAAAAAAATAAAACAGAACATTATAACATTATGAAAAACTAGCCATTCACTCAAATCAAATTGCAAAAACATAACAAGAACATTTAAAAGCTAAGATACTTCTCTGAGATCAAGAATGAATAAATAATACAAGCGGTGACTCCAATAAATATAAGATACGATTCGATAAGAAGTTGACCAGGATGATGTAACGAGTCTTAGATGGTAAGTAATACAGTTGAAACTGGAGTCAACATTGGCGAGCAGGCAAAGCTTATTGACAAATGTCTCTACCTTTTGACAAATGTCACTTTTTTTCTTTGAAGATCACGGAAAGTTCTACAAAGAAGAAAAGATTGCAAGGCCTAAGTACTACTCACTTAGCATTGCAGAATGAGGTAAGATTGAGATTGAAAGCAATAAACTTTCCACTAATCTGACATTTTCAGCATATAGAACCATCAATGGCTAATCAATTTGAATATGTACAAAACGTTTATCACCAGAGTGTTCAAACATCATAAAACCACATTCTCTAAGATTCCTACATTGATCTTCAAAGATATGGGACACGAATGAAGATTTCACATCTGCGAGAACGTTTTGTGAATGTACTAAGCTCCTTGGAGGTATCCGAGACTTGGTTGGTTAAAGGAGAGAAACACAAAATGAGTCTCTTGAGGACTAATGAGTTCTCGAGAATGTACCTCACTGCTTTCATCCAGTGACTCTTCTTGACCCTCAATAGTCTTGTTGCGGTTCTCTTACTGATGGTCTTATTCCACAAAGTATCTTGTTCCGTAATCACTTCTTTAATCTCAACACGCTCGAGACTCGACAGTAAGCACCGAGGCACAACGGTAGGTTCAAGCTTATCTGGCTCTGGCACAGCGGTATGAACTAGGTACTGCAAAGTTCCAACATTAACAAATAAACTTAGTTACACTTCTATAGTCATGTCATGTACTTTAAGCCAAAATAAAAAGTTTCAAAAACAAGAATTACCAAAGTGAGATATTTTAGATTCGGGAAACTCTCAAGAAAACGAGGCAACACTTGTAACAAGAAGGTGCAGAAGGAAGCCTCTAAGCGAGATAAGTTCTGAAATACGGAAATCGTTCCAAGCTTCAACCAACGATAGAGAGCCTGCCAGAAGAACAACAAGTGAGAATTTGTTTGCATAGCGAAATTTCATAACGTATGTATGTATCTGTGTATACCTCCAATGTACGCTGAGAGATGATCATATGCCTTACACTAGAAACACCGGTGAAGAAATCACGGACAATACCTTTCCTCATTTCCATAGTGACATTACCAAGAAGAACATTAAACCCGGTATCAATATCAACCATTAACAAACAAGTCAGATTCTTGGCCAAAACTCTACCAGAGTGTCCATCTCTGAAGCTCATATACTCGAGTCCAGGAGCATCAATCTCAACCGCATACTCTTTATAAGGCACGTCCTTCCTAAAACCACCAGACTTTACACAAAACCTCTTGAGACTCCGAGATTTCACGCGAAGAATCGGCACATTATCATCAAGAGCCCTGCACACGGTAAGATCTTCAAGAACAGGACACCCTGAGATTAGCTTCTCCAAGATCAGAGGATCCTCATCACTGTACACAACGTCTTCAAGATGCATCGTCTTCAAACAAGGCAGAGAAACAGAAACCAACTCCCCCGGATTCGGCATCCCCACGTTCACAAGCTTCAAGGAAACCAACGTCTTGCTCTTGTAAATCTCCAGAGGCATGACATCTTTGAAATAAGGACGCCGGTATGTGTCGACGTCGAGAACCTGAGCTCCACGGTTAATCGCTGCGGCGAACCACTCGCTGATTCCGAAGAGGTACACATTGCACTCGTCGTACTTGATTTTGAACTTGTGCAGGCTCAACTCGCGGTTACAGTGGAGGAATCTGTCGGTGAAGGTCTTGATGCGAGATTTGGCATAGTAAGGGAAGTCAGTCGAGTGGAGCTCTAGACCTGGAACGTCGAGCCAGAGGTTTCTCCATCGCGTCGATAGAACGCTCGTCTTCACCGAGTCTTTCGTCGGGAGATATAAGAGTATCTGAGAAATCAGAGAATCCGGCAATGCGCTGATTCTGTCGTACGGCATCGCGAGACAAATGCAATCCTACAAACTTCAATAAACAAACAGTACATCAAAATTTCGTGATCGAATTTCCCCCAAATTCTAGGGTTTTAAGTCGATTTAAGCGTTTCACATGATATAGCATAGAAACGCACAATCGGAGGAGGAATTTGAAGAACTCACAGTCGCGATTTCTGAACAAATTTGTGAAATGGATTCTGCAAAATCCTTCTTACTGTCGTAAACACGCTAATTCCCAAAGGATCAGTTTCAGCGGAAGAATGAAGAAGAGGAAGAAGAAGTAATAGAGAGAGAGATTGGTCAAAGCGATTGCTGCTTCTTTCCTTGGTCTCTGTGGAATGTTTATATACTAACTGAAAAGGAGAGAGAAAGATTTGTTTATTTTGTAATATCGTTTTGGTAAATATATGGAAAGAGAAAGAGAGATATTTGGTCACAATGGGGGATATATATCATACTTTATCCTCCCAAACGATGGGATATATTTGGTCACAATGAGAATAACTGAAAACGGGAGGAAAGAGAGGGAGAGAGAGACTCTTTCGTTTGCTATTCTCTCTTTTTAAAAATTTCCATTTATGAGGGGAAAATTGCAAAATTTATAACTGTAAAATTACAGCTAAATGTAAAATTGCAAAATTACAAACTGACTAAAATTCACTGTATTTTTTTTGGGATGTGTGAATATACCCACATAAAGAAAACTCCTGTCCTCTTACATCTTTATTGAATTTTACCGAGTTTCTATGGTAAAATACCCTTTAATATAGTAACAATATAAAATAAATATTTTTGAAACTTCAAAAATTGAATAAATTCAGTGCAATGATCCCAATATTTTAGAGAATATTTTAATAATTTTAAAGAATATTTTAACAAATTAAATTGTTTTGAATACTTTTGAGTAAATTTGTAAAATATTTGTTCTACGTAGTATAGTTTTCTACTATTCGTAGATTATGTATTCTACCATAAACATTGTCTTTTACTTTTTTTTGTAACATCTGACTTTATTAATATCAAATGTAGAGATACATAAGCAATACATAGTTTAATAAATAACAAAGATAACGAAGATGATGAGATAATAACAATAGATCAAATGTTTAATAAACATTGTCTTTTACTATTTATAAAATGTGTGTTTTACCCGAAATATTATTTTCTACTATAGTATTTGTGTTTTCCTAAAAACAGTGTCTTTTACTATAGAATATGTATTCTACCGTAAACATGGTTTTCAACAAAATGGTAGAATTGATCTTCTACGAGAGACACCCATGATCAAACCAAATCAAATTATACACCCATGAGTGTAGCATGAAACATGCAAGAAACCAACTTTAATTCTGAATTATCAATTATGAATATTAAAAAAAATAGAAACCTAGACATGATGCCCTTATGAACTGCGAATCAATTAAGCATGAGACTTAAACAAAAAGCAACCAATTTTAGAAATTTCTTAACTCGACCTCGAACCATAAATTCTGAATTGAGAACTGATATAGAACATTGCATTTTACTAATTCAATCAAAATTTTCACTTAATCAACACAATCAACACAATCAACATACTAATTGTAGATCGTAGTACAGAAAAACAATTGATAGACGGATTAACAAAAAAAAAAACTAGAGAACATCAAACTCACCTAAACTAAAAATGAGGAGAAAAGAAGAGGAAAAAGTAGGAGAGCGACGAGGACAAAGTTTAAAGGAGGAGGAGGGCAAACGAGGAAGAAGGACGACAGTGATGAGAAGAAACAAATAAAACAACAGAGAGGAGAAAGATAAAGAAGAGGAACAGGTTTGTGAGATCGAAAATAAATAGACAACGATGATGACGAGGAAGAGAGAGTTCTTTTTTCTGTAACGCTTTTATTTATTTAATAATTTAATTAATATTGGATTATAATGTTATTTGAAGGTTAAAATTAGGTTTAGATTTTTATTGAATGTAAGTGGACAAGATTTAACAAAAAAAAAAGTGTATTTTGCCAAATTGTTTTTTTTTTTTTTTTTTTTTTTGAAGTCGCGAGATAATTAGTTTATTGAGAAAGGATAGAAACAAAGTTAAGGTTTTAGTTTTCTTTCTCATCTAACATACTCAATTGAAAATCTATTGAAGTAGTTTTGGTTTTAGTTGTTTTTTTAAATCTATTTTTAAGCACTTCAAAAATCAAATAGAAAAATTTCAAATAGGAACACTCATATATGTCCATATTTTGATTTTTGTTTTTGTTGATAAGAGTCTCAACACCTAGAATGGCTTAGTAATATAAATCATGAAAGAGATCTTGAGTACTTCATTTTCACTTGTCTGCAATTTTTTTTTTTAATTTGTTTCCATAAAAATCTGTTGACTGTCTTTTTGTTAATTTTTGTAAATATCAATATGATCCACGAGCGTTTTACCTAAATTCTCTCTTTTTAGTATCAAATATAATCATTGTTTTTAACACACACACATATATATTTACCTTGTTGAACTAATATACTTCGTAGGACAATTCTCATATATAACACAGATTCTTAGTTTTAATTCATCAACCAGATTCTTCCACTACCATTTAAATATTTAGTTATTTCATAACCAAAATACTTAGTTATTAAACAAAGTTTCTTTTTTTATTTCAATGGTACCATATATATAATTATATATTTTTTTACAAAAAGTTTTATTATATTTTAAGTTAGGCAAAAGAAAACAAGATGAGACTAAGTTATATAGAAATTTTCAGTCGAGGTATCCCACCAGAGCGTTATTTCATCGTTTTCTTTGTAACATTTTGCGGTGACGATGTCCTTCCAGTTCTCAGTGAAATAATATTCATAAGGCCCATCACTATCGTCCTCCATATATTTTATTAGTGTTACATGGTACGTAACATCGCTAAGCACATCTTTCACCATCACTTCAACATTGTTTTCCAAATTTCTTACCAACTCATAGTCCATTTCTGGAATTATAAATTGTTCAAACTCTTGTTTCGGTAGACAGACAGCATAGTCAATGTCACTACTTGATAGTTTCTTCGTTATGACCTTTAGACTATGTGTACCTAAACTCAGTTCCAAATCTGCCATTCTCTAACAGCCTTGGTACGTTACCAATATATATTTATTTGTTTGAAATTATTTTAATGAGTTAGGGATTTAAAGCTTACCGTTTATGTTTATATATAGCTCTCTGTTTGAATAATCACTCTTTTCTTTTATTGTTACTCTCTATTTTGTTTCTATTCTTATACTAGTAGATTTGTCCTTCAAAAGGATATTACATATAATGAGCTTTGGTGTTTTTCATTGTCAACTTTTATCGTCAAAGTTGCTTTTCTTTTTCATAAAATCTAGTGTTCTTCATGGTAGTGTTTTAACACTTACATATGTGACACATGAATAACAGTAATAATATTACATATGTGCTAGATTGTGACACATGTCTAACATTCATCATATTTACATATGTGTCAATTTATATAATACTTTTCAGAGATTTAGTTAAGAAAGCAACAAACAATTAAGGCATAATAAACATAGTGATATCTTTCTAATTTCCTAGATTTTAACCCATGATTAACATTAATCAATCATATTAATTATGCCTAATTTCGGTTGTTTTATATTATTTAAATCTGTTTAGCCGATTTAAAAAAAAAAAAAAAGATTTGCATTTTACTTTATTGATTTCAAGCATTATTGCGTTATCGAATAGATTATATTGAATTTGTGTTTTTTTGTGTGTGGTGTGGCACCTTTAACCCTTTATTCATATTGAATTTGTGTTCTTTAAAACAGTCTTATCGTTCTTTTACTTCTTTAATAAATTGTTCTTACATAAGGTAATGATTTGGTGTTTACATTAATTTAAGATGTCGCTAGTCAAAACGTTAATGAAGCTGAATCAGACTAGTCAAACCATTAATACCGTTAACAATGCTGAATCAAATTGTTGAATATCAGTATATCGATATTAGCTGACACGTCATAAAATAAAATAAAATTGATTTGTTTTCTTTTGTTGTTTTTATTGTTCTTGAGAAACAAGTTGTGAATCGAGTGGAGATGGAGAAAGACAATCTGACGAAGTTTTGTGTGAAAATTCCTTCTATATTGTTAAAAGAGTCCGACAATCTCCTTTAGATGTCATCTACCTTGAAGAGAAACAGAAGATGATGGAGGAATAAAAATATAATTCACAGAATCTTTTTAAATGGATTTTTCTGTATTGATACTCGTATGTCGTTACCCATTTTACACAGAATCACATATTAGTCCCTACTTACAAGATTTATGTACTCACTAGAACTTGCTACTCGCTAAAGGTGACTGAGCTGTCTCTCTCACAAAAAAGTTCCCATGAGATGATTCAGCAAGAAAGTGTTGAACAAAGCTCTTCAGATATAGAGAGGATGTTTCAATATGATTGTTCTGATCGATCACTTGACTAGTTGGTGATGTGTTTGGTCCTGCAATATCAACTCACGCAGCTTCCTGATTATTCGTTCTTGTAGAGTTGAGAGTAGCTACTCCTTTAATTTCTTGACAAGGACAGCTTCTGTGAAACTTTGTTCAATTCCAACGGCAGAGCTCAGTAAGTTTCTCCAAAATGTGGCTCCTTATGATCTTAATTACACCTAAAATTACAAGTCAAAGAAACTCATCAGTTAAGAATCATAAGTTTCAAGTTAGCCAACTTTTAGAGCATAGTATTTTTTTTTTTTCAATTTCACTGAACATGACAAATCAAATACTAATACGAATTTCGCAATCACAATATATTCGTGTAAATGTTATAATCGCTTCATCATATGATCTAATCCACCAAATCGAACAAAATATTATCCTAGTACTATATTTATTGGGAAAATATGCAATAAAAATCTTCAACTAACATTTTCACCCAAAAACAAAACAAAATTCAACATTTATTAGTCAAACCGCTTTATATATTCCCTAACTATATATTGCTAACATTGAGTCTAAAATGGTTTGGTGAACATAAGTTGCATGTGGTGTTTTCACTGTTCGAGTAAATAAAAAAATTGAATCTGTTTGCGGGTCCAATTATTATGGAAAAACAATTTGTGGATGGAAAAATATTCAAAGTAAAAAAAAATTATATGTTGTTGACTTTGAAAAAGAAATGAAGATATCAAAAGATAAAACTCTATTTATTTTTCACTCAAAATCTACTTTGAAATACTTTAAACTTTTTGTGTGAATCTTCTAAAATAAAACTCGGAATATGATGTGCCTCACAAATTCAATTGATTGTTTTTTTTATCAGTCTTATCTTGTGGTCTAGGATCTGACTTAAAACTAAGAAAAAATTAAATCTAAACGGAGCGAGCTTTTGCTGGCCTGGCCTTCACCACCTAAATCATTCAGACACCCACTCATAGACTTGAGTTTTAGAGCATCAATCTCAACCTTAACTCTACACCATCCATGCATGCTTCTCCATATTCAAAGAAATTAGCATAAGGTAGATAAACACCAAAATTTGTACGTTTACGAGTTATAAGAACACCAATTTCATGCTGTAATAAATGCCCATAGGTTTGGAAAATCTGAATACAAAGCACCATAAAGAAGCAGTCGATAACTAGAGGTTTAAAGATACTAATAAACATAACATTCCGGCCATAAATTTGGAGAGATGGTTTAATGTATTACAAAATAACAGCAAGTCTTCACAACAAAAAGATCCATACAGGGATCTTCAATGACATATCAATAAATGGAAACTTGACATCTGATAGAACGCTTTATGGTGTTAAGAAGTTCCCTGTAGACCTCTCGCTCTTGGTTGCTCACAGGAGAGTCAATGAACCTCACAGTAAGTTTCTTGAGTATAACTGAATTCTCAACAAAGTAATTCACTAGTTTCATCCCATATTCCTCGTTCCATTCCAGTTCGTTAATCTCAACACACTCCAGAGTCTTTATCAAACACTGAGGCACATAGATAAGTTTAATTCCCATTGGAACCTTGTCAACAGCATCAAAGTCCTGCAAAAAAAAAAAAGAAAGTTTACAATATACCAACAATGTTCTTAATTAATCTCAGCCAAATCATAGGTTTAAACACATTCTTACCACGATGAGGTCTTTTAGATTTATGCAGCTATGAAGAAGCTTTGGCAACAATTGTAATTTGTTGCAAGAGAACCTAGCCTGCAAACGATGCAAGTATTCGAATTTGGGAATCCTTACCAATTGGCAGAGGACCAACAAGAGGGGAAAAAAAAAATGAATACTACATTTAGTTGTTATATATCTGCATCAAAGAGAGAATATATATATTTACCTTAACAGTAGACGTAGAAATGATCATATGCCTTACACCAGAAATCTCGGCGAAAAAATCATGGATACTCATCAGCTGACTTGTATCCTCCGGTCCCACAAGACTTGGAGGATATACTTCAAATTTACTATCAATGTCGACCATGACCAATGAGCTCAAGTTCTTTACCACAATCTTAGCAGACTGATGACCCTCAAGTTCTCTAAAACTCATATACTCGAGACTCGGAGCATCAATCTCAACAGAACGATTCTTACCACCCGAACGATTCCAAAACATGAGACAAAATCTTTTAAGAATCTGAGACCTCACGCGTAGATGCTTCAGAAAATATCCCTTACAAGATTCATCATTCCTGCTAATAATCACCGTAAGATCTTCTAGCGCCGGACAGTCTGCGATGATCCTCTCCATTGTCAAAGGATCATCATAATCAAACCAAACGTCATCAATAGACATGGTCTTTAGACAAGGTAGATAAACGCTACACTTTGGAGTCTCGAGTCCTACGGTTACTCCTGTAAATGCTTTGAGTCACATTATTAGGAGCTTTTCTAATTACATCAGACACATCTATTTGGTGAAATCTACGATCAGCTGGTCTACAAATCCAATTCACGAATAGATCATTACGGTTGGATTGTATCATAAAAGTTTGCAGTTGTGAGTATTTGTTAACCTCCAGAAATTTGTCCATGAAGCTCTCCATGGCTTGGCCGTTGGGAAAATCATAATACCTCAAGTCAAGTGCAGGAACCCTAAGCCAGACAGATTCCCATCCCTTCGACAAAACGCTTGTCTTAACGGAATCTTTTGTCGAGAGGTAAGATAGGATTTTAGTTACCAGAGAATCTGGTAAATCGCTGATTCTATCCATCACGAGAAACCAAACCCTAGAATTTCGAAAACAATGAAATGAGAAAATTTTAAGATCTGATCTCAAAACCTAGATTGCAGAGCTCGATTAAAATAACACATACCCATAAACATGCAATCAGAGAGATATGAGTATGAAGAAGAACTCACCGTAGATTTGGTTCGTCGTCGGATTATTGTTGAAAGTATCGTCGCTTGAGAGGATGAGCAAAGTGATCAAATGAGAGGACGTCCACAAATCCGGATTAACACAAGTAGATAAGATTCTTTTTATATGCACACACGAGAAAATAATAGTAAAATTAATCATTTTCTTAATTGCCCTCTTTATTTATTTTTTTGTTCTTTTCTTTCCCTTCATCTTTAGACTTTATTTCACAAACATACTGTAATTGTAATTGTTATTTCAAAAACAATACAAACTTTTAGTTGTGTAACCTTTGACCCTTTGATTGATAAAGAACCAAAACCTTCAATTCTCTTTCACTTTTCTCTCAAGGGTGTTTTTGTGGAATGTCATTGTGATTGTTATTGTGTCTCTTAGTTCTGAATTTTCTTCTATATAATAGAAACACATGTAAACCAAATGGTTACGAACTTAACCATCACAACCATATTCTACACACCCTTTCACACATATGTCACAACCACTCTAGAGTTTACACCATCCATGATTGTTTTAGAGTTTGAAACTTAGTCTGAGAATCTGAGAGTTGACACGCAGAGTTTGGGAATTGACAAGCAGAGTTTCCTTACCACGGTCAGATCTTCAAGAACAAGACAGGCAAAGAGAAGCTTCTCCATAATCAAAGATCTTGACATAAGGTAGAGAAACACCAAACCTGGTACGTTAAGATTTATAAGAACACTAGTTTCATGCTGTAATAAATGTCAAAAGGCATGAAAGGTCTAATATAAAAGCGCCATATAGAAGCAGCCGATAACTAAATGTTTTAAATATCACAACTAATTAATGTAACAATCCAGAGAGAGAGAGAGAGAGAGAGAGAGAGAGAGAGAGAGAGAGAGAGAGAGAGAGAGAGAGAGAGAGAGAGAGACTGCAAACTGCAAATTTTCAGAAGAAAAAGATACACACAATGATGGGTGGGCAAACGGGAAATTGGGACGGGACTTTTCGGGAATGGGAATGGGACGAGAATATGAGAATCAAAATAGTTGTCCCATATGTGTCCCATTTAAATTTTGGGACGGGACGGGAACGGGACGAGACGGGACGGGAACGGAATGGGAATTCCCAAAAATAATTATACATGATAAACTAATAATAATAAAATTCAAATCTCAAAATTAATAATCATAAGATAATGCTTAATACTTTTGAATCTTTTAAGTTATGAAACCATATTTACAAATTACCGTATCTAAGCTATATAATATATATCTAATTATGTATAATACTATTATTAATATATGTAAGTGATATATAATTTGTCCCAAATGGGATTTCGGGAACTCCCGTTTTTGTCCCATCCTGTCTCATTCCCAAATGGGAATCAGCTATACATCCCATATATTTCCATATGGTACGGGAATTCGGGATTGGGAATGGGACAGAACGAGACGGGACAGGACGGGACGGGAATTGTGCCCACCCCTAAGTGATACTCAATGACACATCAATAAATGTAAACTTGACATCTGCGAGAAAGCTTTGTGGGTGTAAGAAGGTTCTTGAAGATCTCTCGCTTTTGGTTGGTCAGAGGAGAGAGTCAACGAAACTCACAGTAAGTTCCTTGAGCACTGCTGAATTCTGAAGAAAGTAATTCACTAGTTTGATCCCAGTATCCTCCTTCATTATCAGTTTGTTATTAAAGACACGCTTAAGGGTCGATCTTAAACAGCGAGGGACATATCTAAGGTCAAGTTGCTCTGGCAGCAAGGGAAAAGCTCCAATGTCCTGAAAAACAAAATTTATTTTCAAAGTGTACAAACAAACTTTGAGGTCTTCTTAATTATGTTCTTAATTAAATACATTGAGGTCTATTATATATGTTCAAACAAACTCTTACCACTGTGAGGTCGGTTAGATTTGGGCAGCTCTCAAGAAACACTGGCAACAATTTTAACATGTAGCAAGAGAAGTCACCGTTTAAAATAAGTTAAGAAACTTAGTATAAAATAAGTTTAGCAACTAACTAAAAATTAAGTTAAGAATACAATAAAATATTAGAAAGCTACTTAAAAAATAAACAAATCAAGCTTTTATTGCTCAGTGCTTATTTTTTTTATACTATACTTCTATTTCATCTAATATAATTATACAATACTTAGTTTGATTTGTGATTTAGAGTAAATTATAAGCAAAAAATTAAATAATAAGTTAATTTATCACTTGAAAGAAGTATGATTTGAAATTTCAGATAATAATTGGTAAAATACTTAAGATTATAATTTTGTAAATTTGGAGACGATCATTTTTAGATCTGTATATAAATTCAGAACAAAGATGGTTAATTGGAACTATTTTTTGCCACCGTTTACGGGGATTCCATATTTCTGGGTACGGTTTTGCACACGACAAAGATAAAAAAAGAGGTAAACGGCAAAATCGTCCTTTAAAGGTGAATATCAGCTGTCACAAAACTGACTTTATTGTCTAATTTGGACAATTATTGTATCCTAATATTGCATATTTTCAGCGATCATTTTTAGATCCGTATTTTATATAATATAAATTCGGAACAAATATGGTTAATTGGAATTATTTTTTGTCACCGTTTACGGGTTCCATATCTTTTGGTACGGTTTCGCACAAGACAGATAAAAAAGAGGTAAACGGCAAAATCATCTTTTAAAGATGAATATCAGGTGTCACAAGACTTACTTTATTGTATAATGTGGACAATTATTGTATACTAATATTGCAATTTTTCAGCGATCAATTTTAGAACCGTATTTTATATTATATAAATTCGGAACAATTGTGAAATGGATTTTTTTTATCACCGTTTATGGGTTCCATATCTCTGGGTACGGTTTTGCACACGATAAACAAAATTGTCCTTTAAAGATGAATATCAGCTGTCACAAGACTTACTTTATTGTCTAATTTGGACAATTATTGTATCCTAATATTGCAATTTTTTCAGTAAAAAATGGATTACTTAAAAATAAATATCAATTTCAGTAAAAAAAATAAATAGGGAAATTCAATTTCTGTATATCAAAAGATCTTTATTAATATAAGTTTGTGAATTTTTTTTTTTAAAGGATGTTTGAACGGAGAGGACAAAAGAGAAATTAAGAGGGCAATTAAGAATTTCGTTTTTTTTTTTGGAAAGTAAGAAAATAATTTATTTCACTTTTTGTTGTGTTCTACTTTTAAAAAGAATCTTGTAACTGTCACTCTGGACGAGTGGACGTGTTCTCACTCTCACTTAGTCACTTATCATTGCTAAGCGATAACTTCAAGTACTTCTTCAACAATAGTCCGACGACAAACTAAATCGACGGTAAGTCTCCTTCATACTCAGATTTCTCTCTCTCTCTCTCTCTCGATCGATCCATTTCATGTTTATGTATGTGTTTTAATCACCCGCAACCTAGGTTTAGAAATCAAATCTGAAAATTTTCTCTTTTCATTGTTTTTGAAACTTTAGGGCTTGGTTTCTCAGAATGGCCGGTTGGGATAGAATCAGTGAATTGCCAGAATCTTTGCTAACTCATGTACTCTCTTATCTTCCGACAAAAGATTCCGTTAAGACAAGCGTTTTGTCTAAAAGATGGGAATCTGTCTGGCGTAGGGTTCCTGGACTTGACTTAAAGTATAACGATTTCCCTGAAGAGTTTCCTCCTCATGATCAATCCCTGGAGAGCTTGGTCAACAAATTTCTGGAGTCTAACAAAGAGTCACGAATGCAAACATTCAAGATACAGTTCGAGTACGAGCAATGCGATGATGATCAACTCGTGGTGTGGATTGATAAAGCAGTTGATCGCGGAGTTCAACATTTATATGTTGAGACCGAGAAGGCTCCCAACATAACTCAGAGCATTTACACGAGCAACACATTGGTCTCTCTAACGCTCCTATCCGTAGGGCTTGAGTCTCCCAAAAATGTGGTGTCTCTTCCTTGTCTCAAGATGATGCATATTGAAGACGTTTAGTATGATTTTGATGATCCTCTGATCATGGAGAGGATCATCTCAGGGTGTCCTGCCCTTGAAGATCTCTCGGTGATTAGGCCTGTTGATTGTTATAATGCAAATGTTGTCAAGTTTCTACGCGTGAGGTCTCAAACCCTTAAAAGATTCCGTCTCATGTTTGAGAACTGTTGGGGTGGTACAAAGTTTTCAGTTGAGATCGATGCTCCGAGTCTGGAGTATATGAGTTTTAGAGATGACCAATCTGATGTGATTGTAGTCAAGAACTTGACTTCTTTATACATGATTGACATTGATTCTGCGTTTAATGTTAAGTTTGGAGGCAGTCCTTTGGAACAGGAGGATTCAAGCAAGAAAGATACTATCCATAACTTCTTCGAGTGAATTTCTGGTGTTAGACATATGATCATCTCTCGGCCTACTCTTGAGGTAAGATATTCTCTATTTATTGCATATATAACAACTAAATGTAGTTTAATTGTTTATGATGTATTCATTTCTTTGCTCTTGTAGGTCGTCTACCAATATTCCAAAATGGGATCGATTCCCAAATTCGTTAACTTGTATCGTTTGTATGCTGCTTTCTCTTGCTTTACATTACAACTGTTGCCAATCTTTCTTGAGAGCTGTCCCAATCTAAAACACCTCATCTTGGTAAGAATGTGTTAAAGTCTAAAGATTTGATTTGGCTGAGTAATTAAGAACATTGTTGATGTATTTTAAGCTTTCATTTCTTTTGTTTGTAGGACTATACTGTGGTTTCTGCGCAGCCAGAGGAAATTGAACTTAGCTATGTTCCTCGGTGTTTAACATCAAGTCTTGAGCGTGTTGATATTAACAAACTGATTATGAAGGAGGAAACTGGGATTAAGCTAGTTAATTACTTTCTTGAGAATTCTGCAGTACTCAAGGAACTTACTGTGAGTTTCACTGACTCTCCTGTGAGCAACCAAGAGCGGGATATCTACAAGAACCTTCTTACATCCAACAAGCTTTCTCGCAGATGTCAAGTTTCCATTTGTTGATATGTCTTTGATGATCACTGTATGGATCTTTTTCTTCTGAAAACTTGCAGTTATTTTGTAATACATTAAACCATCTCTCCAAATCTCTGTCTGGATCGTTGCATTTAATAACCGTGATCTTTAAACATCTAGCTATGTACTGTTTGTTTATGGTGCTGTATATCAGACCTTTCATGCCTCGTGACATTTATAACAGCATGAATTTGGTGTTGTTAAAACTCCCAAACGTCCCAGGTTTAGTGTTTGTCTGTCAAGATCCTTTGATTAGGGAAAAGCTCTTCTTGGGATGTCTTGTTCTTGAAGATCTGACCAGTGTAAGGAAACTCTATGACAATGTTGTTCTGTGTGTGAACTCTCAGTCCCTTAAAAGACTTTTTTGTTTGTGTTAAGTTTCAAACTCTAAGAGGATAATGGATGGTGTAGAATATGCGGTTGAGAGTTGAGACTGATGCTCTAAGACTCAAGTCTGTCTAATCGATGAGAAATCTGATATACAGTAGCATCATGGTAAAGAATCTGAGTTCCTTTGTTCAAGATCTAGATTATTATAAGACATTTAATCTCAGTGTAGCATATAAGAAAATATATCTTGACATAGCTAGATGTGATTTTTTGTGTCAAAGTTGGTAAAACGAAATATGAGTAGGCGAGTAGCAATACAAAATTTTCACTTGAAAAGAATTTGAGATGAGTTTGAATCAAGTTTCTCTCACCATAGTTGATGCCCTAAGAAAACCAATTTAATGATGTTATAAATGTTTAGAGGCATATTGAAAGATGTGATATAATCATATAAAGAACCATAAAAAAAGCAGTCGATCACTAAATGTTTAAAGATCATGACTAATAAATGTATCGATCCACTCAAGGATTTGGAGAAAAAGTTTCATGTAAAGCAAATAACAGCAATTTTTCAGTACTTAAGAGCTCTACAGTGCTCTTGAATAATGACAGGTTCCTTAATAGAAACTTGACATCTTCGAGAAAGCTTTGTGGGTGTAAGAAGGTTCTTGCAGATCTCTTGCTCTTTGTTGGTAAAAGTACGGCCACAGAAATTCAATTTAAGTTCTTTGAGTACTGCTGAATTCTCAAGAAAGTAATTCACCAGTTTAATCCCAGTTTTGTCCATCGGAAAATGTTGGTTAATATAAACAAACTCAAGAGTTGATATTAAACACCGATGCACATAGCTAAGTTCAATTGGCTTTGAACCTCCATAGTCCTGCAAACAAACAAGAATGAAAGTTTATAATATATCAAAAAATGTTCTTAACTACTCAGCCAAATCCATATGTTTAAACACATTCTTACCAACAAGAGTTCTTTTAGATTTGGACAGCTCTCAAGAAAGATTGGCAACAGTTGTATCGTAGAGGAAGAGAACTCAGCATTCAAACGATATAAATTAGCAAATTTGGGGATGGATCCAAATTCCGAATATTGGCTGAGGATCTACAAAAGGGAAAAACATGAATACATCATAGAGAATAAAAGTACATTAAAGTGTAACAATTGTTTTTGTTTGAATATAAGTTTACATTCATTTAAAGAATTAACCTACAGTAATGTCTAATGTTTAATATTGATTCTTGAGTGTGTTTATATTTAAAAAAAAAAAAACTGATTATGAAGACCGAGAGAATATATTTACCTCAATAGTAGACGGAGAGATGAACATATGTCTTACACCAGAAATACCCTCTAGAAAATCATGGATAGTCTTTATCTTGCTTGAATCCTTGGGTCCCAAGGGATTGCCATCATAGTTAGCAAAGCCAAGATTAAACTCAGTATCAATATGAATGGCGTATAAAGAAGTCAGGTTCTTGACTACAATGACACCAGAATTGTCATCTCGAAAACTCATATACTCCAGACTCGGAGCATCAATCTCAACTGCATAATGCATACCACCAAACCAATTCTCAAACAAGATCTTAAAACTTCTAAGAGTCTGAGACCTCACGCGGAGAGACTTCACAGCACTTAGACTCTCAGATTCAGTAGTCCTTATGATTGCAAGAACCTCAAGAACAGGACACCCGGATATGATATTCTCCACGATCAAAGGATCATCATCATGCTGAACGTCTTCAATATGCATGGCCTTGAAGCGAGGAAGAGAGACAACACAATCGGGAGTCTCGATTCCTACGCCTATGAGATATAAAGAAACCAATGTGTTGCTCCTGTAAATTTCCTGAGTTACATAAGGAGGATCAACCTCTTCAATGTCTTCAATCTCTTCAATCTGAACAGATAAATGTTGAACTCCGCGAGCAACTGCTGTCTCAATCCACTCCTCGAGTCGATCATCATTGCATTTCTCGTTCTGGAACTTGAACGTTTGCATTTGTGACTCTTTGTCAAATTCTAGAAATTTGTTGACGAAGCTCTCCAAGGCTTCTTCTTTACGGAAATAAAAAAACCTTAAGTCAAGTCCAGGACCCTACGCCAGACAGATTCCCATCTCTTCGACAAAACGCTTGTCTTAACCGAAACTTTGGTCGGAAGGTGAGACAAGATTTGAGTTACCAAAGAATCTGGTAATTCGCTGATTCTATCCATCACGAGAAATCAAACCCTAAAAGTTTGAAAAACAATGACATGCTATTTGATCTCAAAATATAAATTGCAGTTCGACTAAAATCACATAGATAAAAATGGAATGAGAGAGAGAGAGAGAAATCTGAGTATGAACAACTCACCGTCGATTTGTTTCGTCCTTGGATTCTCGATGAAATTATCGCTTAAGGGTTGTGCAAAATGAAAACTGAGAACACGCTCCCTGTTTAAAAGATTCCTTTCACTTTAACAAAAATAAAATAAGATTCCTTTTATAACTTTACACAAAAAAAATAAGGTTGACTGTCCTAGAGAGTTAATTTGTTTATTTATGTTGACTGTAGTCAACAACTAATTAGCCAATTAGATTTAGATGCATATAATTTGTTTTTCATTTCATGATTTTTTTTTAAATGTTAATTATGACTAAAGGTAAATTGATTTTTAATCTTATTTTACTTAAAAGTTTTATCTCGAATCTTATTATTATTTTACTTACTTGAAAAAGTGATCATATTTTACTTACTAAAAATACGCGAAACCCTAAAGTACTACACTACACTTACTCAATCATAACGTCTTGATAACATTTTTTTTTTCATAATGATTTTTTTTATGGATTTGATTCCTTATTTGCAAACTTTATAATGCCAATGATTGTCAACTCAAACTTCATATAAACGATTACTGCAAACTTGACATATGCAATAACTCTTTGGGGTATATCTAATCCATATAAATCTAGATGTACCTTAACATAGCCAAAATCAACGAATGAAAAAGAGACTTAGATTCTTTCATGGATTTTGCACATCTGGAAAGGAAAACATAATCTATACTGATGAAAATAAAATAGTTAAATAATAATGAGATAAAAAGGAAAATTTTAAACATAAAGAAAAAAAATGTGTCATATCATATGAGAGTGGGTTTAAAAAAGCAATAGAAGAAAAACCATTTCATATCATTCTAAAAATAAAAATATTGAAAGACATTAAATAAAAATCATTATTATAGAAAGAGTCATAGTCTAATAATAACTGAAACAACCAACTTTTTTTTTAATTTTTAAATACTAAACATTTCTAGGAAAGGTCTTTAAAATAAATTAAATAAATAAATATCAAATAACAATATTAAATAAGTTCAGCGGAAGCAATAATAACTATACAAGTCTAAAAAAACGATGCAAAATAAATAAAAGCACTAAACATCCTATCATCCCCCTCTTCAGTCTTGATTCCGCGATCACACAAATCTTTTACCTGCAACACATTGGAATGGAGTTGTAGAAGTATTTAATAAATACTTAGTGAGACAATCACTATGCCTAAAGATCATTTACGCAATTATTAGATATTTAATAATATTTAAGAACTCAGTATTATTAAATATCATTTTCTAATTATTAAATAATTCTTAATAAATAAATAATAATTTTTCATAATTAAAATAATTAATATAAATATTGTTAAATCACTTAATCAATTAAACACTCCATAATTAATTAAATCCGAAACACCACATTTAACCAGAACCAAACCGAATTTAATTCAATTAAACCAAGTTAAATCAATCTCCAATTGAACCGAAATCAAATCAATTTAAACCGGCTGAACCGGTCGGTGTCGAGCGACACCTGCTTGGTGTCGGTCGACACTGACCACCTTGTGTCGACCGACACTAAACTTGGTGTCGCTCGACACACAATCCAGAGCCAGACACAATTAGCAATGAAACGACACGGGAATCAAAGAAACACACAATTTCAACACCACAACACCCAATTAACACGAAATAACACTCAAACCACAAGAACAACTCAAGAACAATCATCAAATAAAACCAAATCTAGGAATTGCGGACCTACAGTCATGCACTCACCTTGATTTGGCTAGAAACATGGAAAGGAAGGAGAGACAACGACGAGATCGACGAACATCACCGAGAAACGACTCCAGAAGCTCGGATTCACCACGAAATCGCCCAGAAAACTCAACTTCTCTCCTCTTCTCAAGAACCAGCCGCAAAGCGACAAAAAGGAACAGCTGCGGCTCTTTTATTCGCGACCCAGGGCTCCTGATGTGGAGTCAGGTTTTACCAAACTCCTAGACCTCTGCAAGTGCACAGATCGCGGAAGTATGGGTATCGAACACAAGGACTGGCTATTGAGTACACTTTGTAACTATGGATTTTGGATCAAGCTAAAACAAAAGTATGATTGAGGTTGTAATGGTGAACCGAACTAGCAAGTATAACGAGGTTGTAAGCAATAAAGGAAAAGCGCTAGGTCATAGGGGCTATCGCAGAGAAGCAAGCAATGATCAATGAAACAATGATAGATTAATTGATTAGGGATATTGGGATATTAAGAACCATCTAGAACACAGATCACGAATATAAAACCATTCCACTTTCGAGGCTCCGGCTCCTTTGCTAATCTACCTAGTCGCTAAACTTTTGGTATGTCCCTAGGTGATTAGATCAAGCATTAGAATGAATAGGTTCTGATACAGTTCACTAGATATAGATAGATCAACTTTCGCAGTCTAAGAAACCTAGCTTGTCAAAGAATATGTCCGGCGAATGATACAGCACTGTCGAGGCTCAAATCAACCTAAGATCGGATTACTAGATGCGCGGTAAAGCAATCAGCATTAGTTAAGTGCACAAGACGAGACAAAGACTCTAATATAATCCCTAGCTAATCATTGAAATCAAAGATCATGCAAGCAACTCATTGAATAGTAACCCTAGCAACCTAACTAGTGGATTACTCAGACATGATCAAAGCAAACACACATAGAGATGAAGAAAACATGATTGCAATAAAACTTAGAGTAGGAAATCGAAATACAGGGCGGCTCTCTTTCTCAAGAGGCTAAAAATCCATATATATAGTGCTAGGTCTTTCTAGAGGCGGCTAGGGTTAAGCCGGGCTTGAAAACATAAGTTTGGGCTTCAAAAAGGGCTTCGGGTCGACCGCGGCGTTGGGACGGTCGTGCGGGACGATCGGCCGGACAATCGGGTCGTGGCCGAGTCGGAACGGTCGGGGTCGGACGGATCGTGGTCGGCCGGCGTGGTCGGAGGGTGAAGATTTGGCCGATGAAATCTCGGCCGGACGCGGGACGTAGTTTCCCGGCTCGGACGGATGCATCGGCCGTGGTACGCGGAAGGTTGCGCGGCCGCGAGGCGTTTCCCGGCTCGCGCGCTTTGGTCGTGCGCGGTCGTGGCGTGGCGTTGGCCGACCGCGGGCAATGTTTCCCGGGTCGTGATTGCGTGATCGGCCGACGGTTTTGGACTTTGGCCGAGACTTCAGACGGACGGACGAGATTTGGCCGAGCGCGGAACATTCGTTCCTCGGCCAGCCGGACTGCGCGGTTGGGCGCTGATTCTCGATAGAGCCGTCTGGACAGTCTTCACTCTTTTGGTTGTAACTCCTTTTCTACTCATCCAAATTAGGCCATTCCAGTTGCGTTGGAAAGTTAACTCAATCAGAGCACGCAGGGAACTGGTCTTGATGAAATCCATTGAGTAGATCTTTTTCTGGGCCCTCTTAAAGTTGGTGCTTGTGCATGGAGCTGCTTGAAGTGCAAATCCTATGGTTTTGCTCCAAAATGCATCATTTCACCTGTTTAGACTCTAGACACTATAAACACAGTAAAACTACCTTTTTAGATAGAAAACCTGCCAAAAACCATTAGAAAACAATGCTAAAACAGTATAAAAAGTGGGTAAATTAGAGGTATATCAACTCCCCCAGACTTAGATCTTTGCTTGTCCTCAAGCAAAAAGAATCTAAATCCGTGAAAGAGGTTTGAAAACGTGGAAGCTCCCTTGCTCTTTTGAATATCCTGTGAAAGGTTCCTTTCCTGTATTCCACTATGAACATAGACAACATAAGGTTAGCTTCACATACACCCTGCAAGTTTAGCGAACAATACCAACCCAACTAGTCTCATCCAGCAATCCAAACTCTCTATTGCTAACCTCTTGCATAAATTTAAAGCGTGAATTCTTTATCAAGGGGACATCGATCAATTGAACTTGTTCTTACCCACTTGATCCTCTCCAAGATTGCCTCTTTAAGTGCAATGAGTTCTTTTCCTCTCTCTTTCTCACATCAGAACTTTGAAAGGTCAATTTATCCCTACTTTTCTAGGGTATCATTTTATTTTTTCTATTGACCCTTCTTTCAACCACAGGATAAGTCTTTAGCTTGTTCCTTGTTTGACTAAGGTATTCCATAAGACATGAAGGTACAGACATATGCATTCCTCATGCTTACTTGTTTCCTTGTGCTCTTTGAGCTTTTTCTCATATATACTTACCATTTGGGATGGGAGAGAGAGGAGAACTCTTTAAAGATTAGACAAATCTTATTGAAAATCAAGCAAGGAACTGTCGACATGTATGCCAACCCCCTTGACAAGAGTAATTAAGATTGATTAAGTGTGAGGTTAACTCTAGATTGCTTGGTTACCTTAGAAATTTTGCTGAGCTAGCATGTCGATCCACTGTAAGAGCTTCTGTTAGGCTTGTGCCTTTAGCTGGTTTCTGCTCTAGGGTCATGGATTGTTAGCATAACACTCTCAATTCTCAAAGCAAGTTCATAACTTCCGGACTGGTTTTTGACTCAATAAAACTTTTTGAAAAACATGAAACAAAGTGAATAAAACATAAGAAAAGAAAGAAAAATGCATTAGTAACACAATAAAACTCCCCCCAGACTTAACTTGCACCGTCCCGGTGAAAGCAAATCACATTAAGGTGAGAGGTAATATTCAAAGTAAAAGAAAAATAAAGAAAAATTCATTAAAATAAGATAGGGATAGAAAATGGAGATTTGTAAGTGTCCATTGCACTAAGTACCACTTGAGATGACTATGTGTGGCAGTGAGAAGAACTCTCTTCCTCATCTATGGGGTCATCGCCTTCTGAACCAAGCTCTGAGTCTAGTGAGAACTCACCAAGGTCAGGCTCATATGGCTCTCTAGCGGTGGAAGAAGGGCGAAAGAGTCTCTCCGGTGCAATGTGGCGAACTACGCGGACTAGGCGCGAGATGAAGCGAGATTGGCATTCCACTATCTTCTCCAGCTTGTTAACACGGTCTAGAGCTTGGTGCGCAGCCATGCCAGTAGTGAGAACATGGCGTTCTTGGATGCGGCGTTGAGTCTTGACTGCATGCTGAAGTGTGCGATAGGTGAGCATGGGGAATGATGGTTTCTCACTTGATGGAACATAGAACTCTTCCTCATTGGGCTGGAAAGTGACAACTCCTGAGCGTAGGCTTGGGATGTCCTCATGTGGCAGCAAGACAAGGGAAGTGTTGGCTGGACCAATTGGAAACTCATAGCAAAACCGAGTTGGGTCTTTAGTCCAACGGTTTAGGAAGTGGATGTGCTGAAGAGCATGGAGATCCAAAGGGGTTGGCTTGGGTAGTGGCTCATAGTTGGGAATGTCAATCCCCACATGCAGGCCGTGATAAGCCTCCCAAAACGAACACAAAGCTTCTTGTTGCCTTCCAAGTCTTTAGCTAGCTTCCTCACATTGATGAATGTCTTGGCAAGTAAAAGTCCAAGGTTGGCCTTGTACTCATGCTTGATGAATGGTGTGGTGAGGATGTAGAACTCATCAGTTGTGACCTTGTTGGCTTCTTGTTTGCATTGGAAAGTGGTGGAGATGAGGCGGTGCACATAGCGAATGGCTGGATGAGTGATTCTAGACACCTTTGACCTTGAAGGCAAGAATGGTTCATTGGCAAAGTGTGTCCAATCAGCAAAGGCAGCTTGTTTCCTCTTTGAGTTCTCCTTGAAGTCATGTGCTGTCTCATTGGGAAGTCCAAAGAGTTGGCATAGAGCTGAGATGGAGATGCGCCCATTGGCATCGCCTATCTTGAAGAGTAGGAGTCCTTCACCAGCTGGTTGGTCTCCATTGTGGTTGGGAAAGGCAAGAGCTACTGTAGAGAGGAACTCCTTGGTGAGTTGTGAGTACTCACTACATTCTAGCTTGAAGAGCTTGCTCAAGCCTAGCTTCCTTATGTACCATGTGACATCATCTCTTATCTTGAGAAGATCAAGGGTTTGGGTGTCCATCTTCACACATGGCTCGATGTTCACCTTCTCCATTGCCTTCTTACACTTTCTTGGGTCTTGATTTTGTTCTCCAACAAAGGTTACAAGTGCCCAATCATCTTCTCCTCTTCTTGGACTCTCCACATGTTCTTGATTGCATCAATGGAATGTGGTGAAGTTGGTATTGCTGCTCTTGCATTGGAGCTACTACTCCCTAGCTTGATTTGCTTCTTTGGTGGTTCCATGAATGGGTTCTTCTTCTTCTTCATACTCTCATTTCCTTTTGTCTTTGCCATTGGTGTACCTACAAGAGCAAATTCTTGGGAAGAAATATGAGTTTGTGATTAATGCAAAAGAAGAATAAGCTAATTGAGTTGCAATAATGATATGGAATAAAGGAACAACTCAAGGCTTAATCATGAATCAAAGAGACAAAATAGAAATTTCACTTTTTCAAAATTAATTTTCGGATTTTACTGTTCATCCCAAGATTATGGTGCTTAAAATCAAAATTTTCAGCAAATCAAGAGAAATTGAGTTTCTAATCCAAGTAATCACTAGATAAACTAATGAATTGAAGTATGCCAAGCAATTTCACCTTTGAATAAGGGGTTTGGAATGCCCAATAAGTTTTGTGAAAAACTATTCAATTGTGAAATTAAACTTCAAATAACTCTAAACCACCTAGGTTCCACCTAGCAAAGTTCATTACAAGACTATAAGGATGCTAATTTCAAGTCTAGACAAGAGTTTAGACCAAACATGAAACTTATTAAGATTTTCGATCTTGCATAAACATAGGATTAGAGTTAGAAGACATACCTTGTGTGTTGAAAAGTGAATAAGGTTGCAAGAGCAAGTAATTCCAATTTAGAGTTATGAACAGTAAAAGTTTTGAAATCAAAACTCTTAGAGTTCCTCTAATGGAGTTTAGGGTTTTGGAGAAGAAAGAGAGGTTCTTGTGGTTTTCAAGGGAAAGGTGAAGTAAATAAGATCTAAATCCTATCAATTTTCCTTTTCAAATTCGAATTTTGATTGAAAACCGGTTTAAGTTGGTTTAGATTGGTTAAAACCGGTTTGAATTAATGAAAAGGGGACTTACCTTGGCCTAGAAAAGTTTTGGGCCGATGGCCGATGGATTTTGTCGCGGTCGAGCGATTTGGTCGGCCAAATTCGTTTTGGCCGAGAGAATTTCGGCCGAGGCCGAGCGTGTTTCCCGGATCGACCGGCACGGTCGGTCCGTTCCGATACAAAATTTCGGCCGATCGCGGCCGTTTCTTTCCCGGTTCGTGCGTGCGCGCGAACGTTTCTGTCGCGCAAGTAGATATCCGGCCGAGCACGGCTATTCCTTCCCGGCTCGACCGTAACGGTCGGCCAGATTGGAATTGCTCGGCCAAAATTCTTTTGCGCGTCCGCGGCCAATGTTTTGGCGCGGATTGTGTTTTCACACCTTTTTCTCCTTCTATCCTATCTTAAAACAAAGAAAACACAAAAGCAAAACAAAAACTAAGAAAATTAAAGAAAGAAAAGTAAAAGTACCTCATGGGTTGCCTCCCATGCAGCGCTTGTTTTAAGTCTTTAGCTTGACTGTAAGGCTTGGCGCTCAGGAGAAGATGGAGACAAGAGGCATCCTTGATCCTCCAAGTCTTTTCTCCTTGCAATGAGTATCTGGTGGGTGATTCACAGCTGGATAGACAATCTCTCCATGAATGTCCCTTGGCACTACTGCCTTAGGAAAAAGCTTTAGAGTTCTTGTCACTCTCTCCTTGAATCCTTCTAGATTCTCATCAATAAGCTCCTTGGGAATAGAAGCTTCATGTTGCGGCCAGACCTAGGTTTTCTAACCTTCCTTCTTGGCTTGGCCTCATCTTCAATCTTGGTTGATCCCTTGGGCGGTTTTGGTGTAGGGGCCTTAGTCTTACTCCTTGCTTGTTTGGCAAGCTGCTTGGGCTTAGGAATGGGATCTTCCTTGATTGTTTCTTCAGTTTCTCCTTCTTGGGGTGGCTTCAAAGTAGCTTTCTCCTCTTGGACCATGTCAACAAAAGAGTTCTTTGTTGAACACATAGGGAAGAACATACCCTTGTTCACCTTGTTGAAAGAGATTCTTTGATTGGGGAAATCAAATATGGCACCCACAGTAGACAGGAAAGGGGTTCCAAATATGAGAGGTCTATGGCTACTCTCTCTCATTTCCACAATCTGGAAATCAGTAGGGATAGAGCAATTTCCAATCTGCACCATCACATTAGGCACAAAGCCATAGGGTGTTTGTGAGAATGAATCAGCATAGTTGATGGAGATGGATGATGGCTCTATCTTGGTGAGGCCTATCTTGTCAGCTATCCTCTTAGACATGATGTTCACATTGGCTCCTGTGTCACACAAAGATTGCTCAAGAATGTTACCTTTGATGATACAAGGCACACAAACTTTCCTGAGTTATCTGTCTTGGGGATAATCTTTGGGAAGAGTCTTCTCTTTCTAGCTCGATTGGACTCTCTCTCTGGGTAATTCTCTTCAGGCCAAATCATGCAATCAACAGTAGGTTTTGAAAGCATCCATTCTGGAACTTGGTCTTCAAATCTTTCTTCTATGGCGGCTGAGTTGCAAAAGGACTTCTTGGATTCAGCTTCCTGTCTCTTAACAGCTTCCATAGTTTGAGTGACTTGAGTCTCTAGTTTCTTCACATGAGTGGCAACAGCATCATACTTGGTGTTGAGATTGCTGAACAAAGTGTCCATCTTCTCATACATCTCTTTAGTGTTTCTCTTCTGGCCATCCATGATCTGTTGGAGGATTCCTTCAAATCTCCCACCTTGTTGGTTTGGAGGAGCTTGATTTGGTGAAGAAGCATATGGCTCCTTGGGCGGATATGATGATCTCTGCTCATATCCTTGCCTTGGCTGAAATTGACTTCCTTGAGATTGGTAAGGAGGTCTTTGTTGTTGTGGATACCTTGGAGGATACACTTGGTCTTGAGGATTCTCCACATTGGGGTTTCTATAAGACATGTTGGGGTTTGGGCGATAGCTTGGATTGTATCCCTTGTTCCCATAGTTTCCAATGTAGTTCACATCTTCTTCATTGGCTTCATTAGAGAAATCTCCCATGCATTCTCTTGATGAATCTTCATTAGCATCACTCATCCCTTCTATTGCATTGATATGCTTGAGCTGTCCCTTAAGAACTTGAGCCATCATGTTCTTGAGTTCAGTCATTTGAAAAGAATCAGGGGAGCTAGTAGTGGTGCGGCTTGAGCGGTCATAATCAGGACAGTTGTTACAATCACTAGCTGCAAGATTCTCAATAAGAACCTTAGCTTCATCAACAGTCTTGGTCATGAAGTTTCCATTGCTTGTGTATCCAATGAAAGCTTGTACTTGTGGTCTATGCCACGATAGAAGATGTTCCATAGGTTTCCCTCATTGAAACCATGATTAGGGCAGTCCCTAATGTACTCCTTGAATCGATCTAGCGCCTCATAGAAAGATTCATTGTTGCCTTGGCGAAAGTGGAGATCTTGTTTCTCACAGAAATTGATCTCTGTTTGGTGTAGAAGTGGTTGATGAATGCAGCCTTGTACTCATCCCAAGTGGTGATGGAGTGAGCTGGCAGAGACTTCAACCATCTTGAAGCTTTGTCGCCAAGAGAGAATGAAAAGAGCTTGCACTTAAGGTAGTCAGCAGAGACTCCATTGGATCTTGTAGTGCTGCAAATTTCTTCAAAGTTTTCTATGTGATCAAGAGGGTGCTCAGCTGGAAGTCCATTGAATTGGTTCTGTCTAACCAATGCAATGATCTGAGGCTTGATCTCATAGTCATTCCTTGCAGGTGGTGGTGGATGGATAGGGTTTCTATCCATGAAGAAAGCATCGGCAGAGTCATAGTCTCCGATTGTAGGTGCTCCAGCTTGGGGTTGTGCGTTCACATCTCCAGCAGGGTTAGGAGGAGGAGGAGGTGGATCTCTTCCTTCTTCTTGAGCGCGCGCCACTTCAGCGGCGTGAGCGCGAGCTGCTTCGTCGGCCATCTCTTGGGCTTTCTGCTTCCTAAGTTGCTTCTCAAGCTTGTCTATCTCTGGATGTTCAACTAGGTTGTCCTTGTTGGACCTCCTAGTCATGCACCTGAAAAGAGTCTTGGAAACAAGTTAAACTAAAAGGGAAAAACAAAAACAAAAGTAAAAATCAAAGAAAAGGAAATCAAAAACTGAAAATTCAAAAGCAAAAGAAAAGTAAAACAGGAAAAGGTTCTAGACTAGATCCTAGTCGAGTTCCAAAGGTACTGCTGCAGTCCCCGGCAACGGCGCCAAAAACTTGATGCGGAGTCAGGTTTTACCAAACTCCTAGACCTCTGCAAGTGCACAGATCGCGGAAGTATGGGTATCGAACACAAGGACTGGCTATTGAGTACACTTTGTAACTATGGATTTTGGATCAAGCTAAAACAAAAGTATGATTGAGGTTGTAATGGTGAACCGAACTAGCAAGTATAACGAGGTTGTAAGCAATAAAGGAAAAGCGCTAGGTCATAGGGGCTATCGCAGAGAAGCAAGCAATGATCAATGAAACAATGATAGATTAATTGATTAGGGATATTGGGATATTAAGAACCATCTAGAACACAGATCACGAATATAAAACCATTCCACTTTCGAGGCTCCGGCTCCTTTGCTAATCTACCTAGTCGCTAAACTTTTGGTATGTCCCTAGGTGATTAGATCAAGCATTAGAATGAATAGGTTCTGATACAGTTCACTAGATATAGATAGATCAACTTTCGCAGTCTAAGAAACCTAGCTTGTCAAAGAATATGTCCGGCGAATGATACAGCACTGTCGAGGCTCAAATCAACCTAAGATCGGATTACTAGATGCGCGGTAAAGCAATCAGCATTAGTTAAGTGCACAAGACGAGACAAAGACTCTAATATAATCCCTAGCTAATCATTGAAATCAAAGATCATGCAAGCAACTCATTGAATAGTAACCCTAGCAACCTAACTAGTGGATTACTCAGACATGATCAAAGCAAACACACATAGAGATGAAGAAAACATGATTGCAATAAAACTTAGAGTAGGAAATCGAAATACAGGGCGGCTCTCTTTCTCAAGAGGCTAAAAATCCATATATATAGTGCTAGGTCTTTCTAGAGGCGGCTAGGGTTAAGCCGGGCTTGAAAACATAAGTTTGGGCTTCAAAAAGGGCTTCGGGTCGACCGCGGCGTTGGGACGGTCGTGCGGGACGATCGGCCGGACAATCGGGTATGTGGCGAGTCGGAACGGTCGGGGTCGGACGGATCGTGGTCGGCCGGCGTGGTCGGAGGGTGAATTTGGCCGATGAAATCTCGGCCGGACGCGGGACGTAGTTTCCCGGCTCGGACGGCATCGGCGTGGTACGCGGAAGAGTTGCGCGGCCGCGAGGCGTTTCCCGGCTCGCGCGTTTGGTCGTGCGCGGTCGTGGCGTGGCGTGGCCGACCGCGGGCAATAGTTTCCCGGGTCGTGATTGCGTGATCGGCCGACGGTTTTGGACTTTGGCCGAGACTTCAGACGACGGACGAGATTTGGCCGAGCGCGGAACATTCGTTCCTCGGCCAGCCGGACTGCGCGGTTGGGCGCTGATTCTCGATAGAGCCGTCTGGACAGTCTTCACTCTTTTGGTTGTAACTCCTTTTCTACTCATCCAAATTAGGCCATTCCAATTGCGTTGGAAAGTTAACTCAATCAGAGCACGCAGGGAACTGGTCTTGATGAAATCCATTGAGTAGATCTTTTTCTGGGCCCTCTTAAAGTTGGTGCTTGTGCATGGAGCTGCTTGAAGTGCAAATCCTATGGTTTTGCTCCAAAATGCATCATTTCACCTGTTTAGACTCTAGACACTATAAACACAGTAAAACTACCTTTTTAGATAGAAAACCTGCCAAAAACCATTAGAAAACAATGCTAAAACAGTATAAAAAGTGGGTAAATTAGAGGTATATCAGCTCCCTTGCCCAAAACCGGACCAAACCAAAATTGATTTCACTTAAATTGAACCAGGATCGCGAACCAGAGCTTGTGTCGACCGACACAACTCCTTTGTGTCGCTCGACACAACCCACAAATCACACATCCAAAGTTTACGGATGTTACAATAACAATACACGATTCTACCACAAGCTTGTATTATTTTCTAAACTAATAAATATTAGGGTTGGACCCGTGCCCTGCATGGAGTGATATTTTACTATAATATTTTGTTTTTTTTTTTTTATCTAAAGAAGTCTATTTACATAACTTCAAATCTTATGCGACATAATAATTGGATGGTTTGGTTCTTGTCTTCATTTTACAATTTGGAAATTAAACATCTTAAATAAATTTTATAAAAGATAAAAACAAAATTCTTAACCATAACTATAGATTAATAAAACTGAGTGAGAAAAAAAAATCAAATAACCACAGTATAATAAACAGTTAAAATAACAAAAAAAACTAAAAATCTGTAATCTATTATTCATCACGTCCTCACAGGACTCCCTAATTTATTTGGAAGATTTAATTGAGAAATTGACCAAAAATAAAACATGCTAAACAAAGATTTAAAACTGTAGTGTTTGAAAATGTTTCACGAAGTGATGAGTGATGATACAATTTGGGCGCATGGATTCATTCTTAAAAAATTCCAAAAAAGCACATAATATCACATTCCAAACCATAAAGTCCGCATCACATCTAATAATTCGTATTGCAATTGTTTGATGTATAGATGTAAGAAAGTTCTCGTAGATATCTATCTCTTGTTTGGGCATAGGAGAACCTATGAAACACAGAGTCAGATTTTTTTTAGAAAAACGAGATATCAAAAGCGTTGATCGAAATCATAGTCGTTGAATTTCTTAAATTCTCTCTTATTCCAGGGTTTGAAGAACTCGCCGTCGAATTGATATTTACGCGTTGTTTCCTCTGTCGACAAAGAAGCACTAATTGTTCCGCAGTCTTGTATTTTTGTTTGGTTTACCAGATCTTTCTCATGCCCTAATTTAAATAAAATACGAAGCAATAAAGATGCTTCAAAAACTTCGTTTTGCTAAAAGTGACAATCGACAAAACAGTTTGGAGAAGAAACAATAAAGCACCTAGTATGCTAATGCCTTTTGGTACTAACCATATATATGCTTAGGGCTTTGTTAACAAACGCTTGTGAAGTGTTGAATATTTGTCATCTGGTTATGTTCGATCAAAGCTTTTTGATATTTGCTGTTTTAATAGTAATCTATACAGTCTTGATGGCATGGGAGTAAGTTGAAGAAAAAGAAAAAGAAATATATCCAAACAATATTTCGAGCTCGATGGTTTTATCCTTTGACTTGGCCAAAGATTATCGAGTTTTATTGAAAGACTCTTTATGAAACCCTAACAAAATTTTAAGTTTTAAATATTAAGCGTAATCGTGGTAGAGACAAAGTTTCCCATATTCACCAAATATTCTCTTACAATGTTTTAAGAGATAAATTTCTTTTTTTATTTCAATGGTACCATATATATAATTATATATTTTTTTTTTAAAAAAGCTTTATGATATTTTAAATTAGGCAAAAGAAAACAAGGTCAGATTAAGTTATATAGAAATTTTCAGTCGAGGTATCCCAGCAGAGCGTTATTTCATCGTTTTCTTTGTAACATTTTGCGGTGACGATGTCCTTCCAGTTCTCAGTGAAATAATATTCATAAGGCCCATCACTATCTTCCTCCATATATTTAATTAGTGTTACATGGTACGTAACATCGCTAAGCACATCTTTCACCATCACTTCAACACTGTTTTCCAAATTTCTTACCAAACTCATAGTCCATTTCTGGAATTATAAATTGTTCAAACTCTTGTTTCGGTAGACAGACAACATAGTCAATGTCACTACTTGATAGTTTCTTCGTTATGACCCTTGGACTATGTGTACCTAAACTCAATTCCAAATCAGCCATTCTCTAACAGCCTTGGTACGTTACCAATATATATTTATTTGTTTGAAATTATTTTAATGAGTTAGAGAATCAAAGCTTACCGTCTATGTTTATATATAGCTCTCTGTTTGAATAATCACTATTTTCTTTTATTGTTACTTTCTATTTTGTTTCTATTCTTATACTAGTAGATTTTCCTTCAAAAGGATATTACATATAATGAGCTTTGGTGTTTTTCATTGTCAATTTTTATCGTCAAAGTTGCTTTTCTTTTTCATAAAATCTAGTGTTCTTCATGGTAGTGTTTTAACACTTACATATGTGACACATGAATAACAGTAATAATATTACATATGTGCTAGATTGTGACACATGTCTAACATTCATCATATTTACATATGTGTCAATTTATATAATGCTTTTTAGAGATTTAGTTAAGAAAGCAACAAACAATTAAGGCATAATAAACATAGTGGTATCTTTCTAATTTCCTAGATTTTAATCCATGACTAACATTAATCAATCATATTAATCTTGCCTAATTTCGGTTCTCTTGTTAACTTTTTCTTTTCATAATGATTTTTTTTTATAGATTTGATTCCTTTATTGCAAACTTTACAATGCCAATAATTGTCAACTCAAACTTCATATAAACGATTATTGCAAACTTGACATCTGCAAGAAATCTTTGGGGTATATCTAATCCATATAAATCTAGATGTACCTTAACATAGCTAAAATCAACGAATGAAAAAGAGACTCAGATTCTTTCATGGATTTTGCACATTTGGAAAGGAAAACATAATCTATACTGATGAATATAAAATAGTTAAATAATAATGAGATAAACAGGAAAATTATAAACATAAAGAAAAAAAATGTGTCATATCATATGAGAGTGGGTTTAAAAAAGCAATAGAAGAAAAACCATTTCATATCATTCTAAAAATATCGAAAGACATTAAATAAAAATCATTATTATAGAAAGAGTCATTGTAACATCCATAAACCAAAAATTGGGAATTTCGTCGGTTCAATTTAAGTGATTTGGTTTGGGCCGGTTTAGTGGAGAAAGCCCTAAAATCAAGTTTAAAGAGTGCAGCCGTCTTCTCTTTGGGAATTTTCGAGCTCAAAGGCTGCAGAGGAGAAAAGTGGAGTTTTTGGAGAGATTTTCGAGTTTTACTGTTCATCGGGTTATGTTCATCGTGTACTATTCATCGGGGTACTGTTCATCGTCGGGATTTCCGCACTGTTCATTGTCTTTCCTTCAGTTTCAATCCATTGTCAAGGTGAGTGCATGACTGTGGGTCCGCGATTTGCTAGATTAGATTTGGTTTATGATTGTTCTTGATGAGTTTTTGTGTTTAATTGTTATTTCATGATATTTTGGTTGTTTATGTGGTGAATTGTGTGTTTGTGTGGTTAAATCTGGTTTAATTGAATTTAATTGATTTGATTCTGGTTTATCTTGGTTCAATTGAATTTAATTGGTTTAATTGAATTTAATTGATTTGATTCTGGTTTATCTTGGTTCAATTGAATTTAATTGGTTTATATTGGTTTAATTGAATTTAATTGGTTTAATGGAATTAAATAGATTTAATTCGGATTTAATTAATTAAATAATATTTAATTAATTAATTGATTTAAAATAATTATTTTAATTATTTTAAAATATGGAAAATTATTATTTAATTATGAGAATTATTTAATAATTGAGAAATTGAGTTTTAATTATTAAAAATTATTTAATAATTGGAAAATGGTTTTAATTAATTATTTAATAATTGGAAAATGTTTAATAATTATTGGAGTTATTAAATTTAAATCTAGTAAATTGCGTAAATGGCTCGTAGGCAGAGTGATTGCCTCACTAAGTATTTATTAAATACTTACGCAACTCCATTCCAATGTGTTGCAGGTAAAAGATTTGTGTGATCGCGGAATCAAGGCTGAAGAGGGGGATGATAGGATGTTTACTGTTTTATTGTTTTGCATTATTTTGCTAGACTTGTTTAATTATTATTTGCTTCCGCTGAGCTGATTTATTTGTTATTGATATTTTATTTATTTAATTTATTTTTAAAGACCTTCGCTAGAATTGTTTAGTATTTAATTATTAAAAAAAAAATGTCGGTTGTTTCAGTCATAGTCTAATAGTAACTGAAACAACCAACTTTTTTTTTTTAATTTTTAAATACTAAACATTTCTAGACAAGGTCTTTAAAATAAATTAAATAAATAAATATCAAATAACAATATTAAATAAGTTCAGCGGAAGCAATAATAATTAAACAAGTCTAACAAAACGATGCAAAATAAATAAAAGCACTAAACATCCTATCATCCCCCTCTTTAGCCTTGATTCGGCGATCACACAAATCTTTTAACTGCAACACATTGGAATGGAGTTGTAGAAGTATTTAATAAATACTTAGTGAGCCAATCACTATGCCTAAAGGTCATTTACGCAATTATTAGATATTTAATAATATTTCAAAACTCAGTATTATTAAATATCAGTTGCTAATTATTAAATAGTTCTTAATAATTAAATAATAATTTTCCATAATTTTCCATAATTAATATAATTATTGTTAAATCACTTAATCAATTAAACACTCCATAATTAATTAAATCCGAAATACCACATTTAACGAGAACCAAACCGAATTTAATTCAATTAAACTAAGTTAAATCAATCTCCAATTGAACCGAAATCAAATCAATTTAAACCGGCTGAACCGGTCGGTGTCGAGCGACACTTGCTTGGTGTGGGTCGACACTGACCACCTTGTGTCGCTCGACACACAATCCAGAGCTAGACACAATTAGCAATGAAACGACACGGGAATCACAGAAACACACAATTTCAACACCACAACACCCAATTAACACGAAATAACACTCAAACCACAAGAACAACTCAAGAAGAATCATCAAATAAAACCAAATCTAGGAAATTCCGAACCTACAGTCATGCACTCACCTTGATTTGGCTAGAAACATGGAAAGGAAGGAGAGACAACGACGAGATCGACGAACAGCACAGAGAAACGCCTCCAGAAGCTCGGATTCACCACGAAATCGCCCAGAAAACTCAACTTCTCTCCTCTTCTCAAGAACCAGCCGCAAAGCGACCACAAGGAACAGCTGCGGCTCTTTTATTCGCGACCTAGGGCTCCCTTGCCCAAAACCGGACAAAACCAAAATCGATTTCACTTAAATTGAACCGGGATCGCGAACCAGAGCTTGTGTCGACCGACACAACTCCTTTGTGTCGCTCGACACAACCCAAAAATCACACTTCCAAAGTTTACGGATGTTACAATAACAATACACGATTCTACCACAAGCTTGTATTATTTTCTAAACTAATAACTATTAGGGTTGGACCCGTGCCCTGCATGGAGTGATATTCTACTATAATATTTTGTTTTTTTTTTTTTATCTAAAGAAGTCTATTTACATAACTTCAAATCTTATGCGACATAATAATTCGATGGTTTGGTTCTTGTCTTCATTTTACAATTTGGAAATTAAACATCTTATTATATAAAGCTGGATGCCCTAATTTAAATAAAATACGAAGCAATAAAGATGCTTCAAAAACTTCGTTTTGCTAAAAGTGACAATCGACAAAACAGTTTGGAGAAGAAACAATAAAGCACCTAGTATGCTAATGCCTTTTGGTACTAACCATATATATGCTTAGGGCTTTGTTAACAAACGCTTGTGAAGTGTTGAATATTTGTCATCTGGTTATGTTCGATCAAAGCTTTTTGATATTTGTTGTTTTAATAGTAATCTATACAGTCTTGATGGCATGGGAGTAAGTTGAAGAAAAAGAAAAAGAAATATATCCAAACAATATTTCGAGCTCGATGGTTTTAGCCTTTGACTTGGCCAAAGATTATCGAGTTTTATTGAAAGACTCTTTATGAAACCCTAACCAAATTTTAAGTTTTAAATATTAAGCGTAATCGTGGTAGAGACAAAGTTTCCCATATTCACCAAATATTCTCTTACAATTTTTAAGAGAGAAATTTCTTTTTTTATTTCAATGGTACCAAATATATAATTATATTTTTTTTTTACAATAAGCTTTATGATATTTTAAATTAGGCAAAAGAAAACAAGGTCAGATTAAGTTATATAGAAATTTTCAGTCGAGGTATCCCAGCAGAGCGTTATTTCATCGTTTTCTTTGTAACATTTTGCGGTGACGATGTCCTTCTAGTTCTCAGTGAAATAGTATTCATAAGGCCCATCACTATCTTCCTCCATATATTTTATTAGTGTTACATGGTACGTAACATCGCTAAGCACATCTTTCACCATCACTTCAACACTGTTTTCCAAATTTCTTTCCAAACTCATAGTCCATTTCTGGAATTATAAATTGTTCAAACTCTTGTTTCGGTAGACAGACAGCATAGTCAATGTCACTACTTCATAGTTTCTTCGTTATGACCCTTGGACTATGTGTACCTGATATCTTGCGTATTTGACGCATTCTAACACTTGTTTTCACGAGTTTTATCGAGTCTTTCTAGTCTTTATCGAGTCTTTTCAGGTCTAAAGACGTTCCAGGGAGAGCTTTGGTCACATGGACCAACAGGAGGAGAAAGCAGGCAAAACGGAGCCCAAAGGAGCTCGATCGAGTCGCCACGAGATCGATCGATCATCACGATCACCCACTCGATCGATCCCTACAGCGCTACCCATCGATCGATCCCCTGCTACCCACTCGATCGATCCCATGCAAAGGGAGTAGCTCGATCGATCCCATGCAGAGCGACGAAGCTCGATCGATCCCGTTCTGTCTCAGCCGTTCGATCAATCCCGGTCAGATGATATCACAGCCGTTCGATCTACTTGGTGCAAACCGACTTGATCGAACCACAGCGAACCGGATTGAACCGAAGTCGACCCCGGAGCTATTTAGACCTATCTTTAGCCATTGTTTAGGCTACGCCGTTTTTCAGAGTTTACACTGTTGTTCATTGTTTCCGAGGGAGAAGAGATCAAACCTCTGTTTTCACAGTTTGGAGAAGATTTCTGAACCCTTGTTTTTCTATTATTTTATATTTGATTCAATGACATTCATTCAGTATTGTTTGCTGTTTCATGTCTGAGTAGTCACCCTGCTAGATCTAGGCTTTTCAAAGGGATTCATGTGTTAATTGACTGAATACAGATAGGGCTTTAATACTGTCTTCGCCATTGTTGCACTTACTGCTTAGATCGATCTGATCACTCGATCTCTGATCTCAGATTACCTGTTCATCAAAAGTGCAATAGGTTGTTAGAACGAACTGTGGTGAGCGAATCGTCCTTAGCCTGCGAAAGTTGATGCTGAGGCGATTCGTGAACTTATCGAACCTGAGTTTATTGCTTGTCATCAACTGCTAGATTCAAACGACAGTTTAGACATCTAGGTTGTTAGATAAAGTTATCATTATCGCGAAAGTGAATTGACATATTTTGTTTGAGTTCGAGACCTGTTCCATCTGTGCCCTGAATAGTTGTTTGGTTGTTAACCGTGAATCTCTGCGAATTGCCTTGGTCTAGTCCCTGTTTAATTGAATTACATCATCGTTTACATTCGTTACCTGTACTAAAACCAATCATCTTTGTCTTAGCTCTGTTTTAAATCTCCTAGTTTCACAGTGTAACGCTGGTCCTCTGGATTTCGAATCCTTTATATTACAATCTTCATCACTGATAATTTGCAGTAGAGAAAAGGACCTATTTCTAGTTTATCAAATTTGGCGCCGTTGCGACGGGGACCAATTCGTTACCTTTGATTCTTGATTTAAAATTTAGTCTAAGATTTACTAACTTGTTCTCTCTTGTTTTTCTTGTGTGTGTTTCAGGTGCATGATCACTAGATCTCGACGGAGCAACCGCAACGAAGAGCTTTTGATCCTGTCCAACGCAGAACTTGCAAGAGCAGAACGAGCAAACAGACAACGAAGGCCGAATCCAGCCGACATGGGCGATAACGGCAACCCGAACATGGCTGCTCAGTTGCAGCAGCTTCAGCAGCAGATCGAGCAGATGCGGAAGGCTCAACAAGATCGAGAACCGCAACCTCGTCCTGCTATTGGAGACAAGGACAATCCGCACACCTTCTATCAAAACCGGTCTGCGATTGTCCCTCCAAACGTGCAGAGGCAAGACTTCGAGATCAAGCCCGGCATGATCGCTCTAGTCAAGGATCACATCTTCCATGGACTTCCTGCTGAGATTCCTGCGGACCATATCCAGAACTTTGAGGAGATATGCAGCACGACTGGTTCGAATGGAGTACCGGCTGACTTTCTGAAGTGCAAGCTATTCCCGTTCTCACTTGCCAACAAAGCATCTCGCTGGCTGAAGTCATTACCACCTGGTTCTTTGACTTCATGGGACCAAGTTAGAGCAGCTTTCCTGGACCACTTCTACACGAAGTCCAAGAATGCAGCTCTAAGGACGAAGATCGCATCTTTCCAGCAGTATGATGGAGAAGCTTTCTGCGAAGCATGGGAGAGATACAAGGAGTGCCGAAGAGAGTGCCTCATCACGGATACTCTGACGAGCAGATCCTGAGCATCTTCTACGATGGAGTCAACTGGGACTACAGAATGCTTTGAACGCAGCCAGCAATGGCGATTTCATGACGAAGTCCAAGGAAGGTGCATTCGAGCTGATCGAGAATCTTGCAGCGAGCTCGAGCAACAAGAACGCTGAGTACGACAGAACAGTGAGCACTGTATCTGTCAAAGGAAGCAGTGCTGACGCGAAGAAGATTGAGGAGCTCACTGCGAAGGTGAATCTATTGATGAAGGCGCAGCAGAAGTCTGTTCATTTTGTTGACGAAAACGATGATGCACCTATCTCTCAAGAGTTTGGAGGAGAGAGGACGAGATGATCAGATGGAGGTCAACTATGTGAATGGGCAACCTTTTGTGCCGAGCCGTGGTTTCAACTCGAACTACAGAAACCATCCGAACATGTCCTACAGGAGCACCAACGTCGAGAACCCTCAGGATCAGGTCTATCCGCCTCGATCGAACCAGAACCAGCAGAGTTATCAGAAGAGCTATCCTAACAGCTTCCAGGAGAAGACCTTTGCCCCAAACCAGAATCGTTCTCAGGGAGGTAACCAACAGAAGGCGCAGTTCAGCAATCAGCAACAACCTTCAGGTTCATCGAACAACTCGAACGATGAGCTTAAGGGTATGATGCAGCAGATGTTGATGAACCAGCAGAAGTCCACTGCGGAGACACACTTGAAGATAGACACCATGTACAACGATCTGAATGGGAAGTACGAAGCTGTGTGGACTCACGTGAAGAAGCTGGATGTCCAAGTCGCTCAAACCGCTGAAGCTGTGAAGAGACCTCATGGAACCCTTCCTGGGAAAGGAGAGCAGAATCCCCAGGAATGAGTATGTTGCACAAGTTGAGCTGAGAAGTGGAAGGAAGCTACAACCTGCTGTGATTCCTCTGAAAAGGGCAGGCAAGGAGAAAGCCGACGAGAATCTGGAGGAAGAAGCCGAAGTCGATCGAGCTGCATCCAGCGGACTCGATCGAGCTGGTGAAGACGCTTCGTCGTCTCAGGTAGCTGATTTACCTACCCCTGCAGCTGCAGAGACTGCTCCAGCCCGAGCTTACGCACCTAAGGTGCCTTACCCTGTTCCACGGAAGAAGTCCAGAAAAGACTTGGAGGATGCTAAGTGTAAGGAGATGCTGAAGGACTTGACTGTGAAGCTGCCTCTGTCTGATGCTGTTCAGATGATTCCTGCTCTGAAGAAGTACATGAAGGAGCTGATATCTGGGAAGGTAGCTGAGGATGAGAACGTCATGCTAGTATCGGAGGAGTGCAGCGCTGTGCTGCAGAACAAGGTGATCAAGAAGAGGAGCGATCCAGGGAGATTTGTCTTGTCAGTGCAGATTGGCCATGACCTTCGCATGCTCTCTTTGCGATCTCGGCTCGAGCGTGAACCTGATGCCGTATTCTGTGGCCAAGCGATGGGATACACAAGTTCAAACCCACGAAAGTCTCTTGGTTTTCGCTGACAGATCGACTAAGTTCCCAGTCGGTATACTTGAGGATCTACATGTGCAGATAGGGAACACACTCATTCCAGCAGACTTTGTAGTCCTCGAGCTCGACGAAGAGCCTAAGGATCCGCTGATACTAGGGCGAAACTTCCTATGCACAGCTGGTGCAATCATTGATGTGAAGGGAGGAATCATTGATCTCCATCTGGGAGATATCGTCATGAGGTTCGAGATGAACAAACTCCTCAAGAAGCCAATGTTAGATGGGCAAACTTATGTGATTGAAGATGGCTCAAACTTGGTGGACGAAGTGAGTGAGGAGATGCTTCTTGACGACCCTCTGGAGGTAGCTTTGACTAAAGCTGAAGGTGATTACGATTTCCTGAATGAGGAAGCCGATGGCTTCGGGAAAATGATGGACGCGAGCGGCAAGATGGAGAGACTGGTGGCGTTCATGAGCTTGGAGGAAAAGGAAGATCGATCGAATGCTATGCCAGATCGATCGAATGACCCTCAAGGAGAGTCCAGTCAACAGCCCGTGGAGCGAGTCGAGTGCGCCTAAGCTCGAGCTGAAAACACTCCCTGCGGGGCTCAGGTATGCATTTCTGGGACCTAACTCTACATACCCTGTGATAGTGAATGCTGAACTGAACAATGTTGAACTTGCTTTGCTTCTCTGTGAGCTTAGGAAGTATAGAAAAGCTATAGGGTATTCGCTAGATGACATCCCTGGAATTTCTCCTGATCTTTGCATGCATAGAATACATCTAGAAGATGAATCGATGACTTCTGTAGAACATCAGAGGAGGTTAAACCCGAATCTAAAAGATGTTGTCAAGAAAGAGATAATGAAACTTCTAGATGCTGGTGTAATTTATGCTATATCTGATAGTAAGTGGGTCAGTCCTGTGCATGTAGTTCCTAAGAAAGGTGGTATAACTGTTGTTAAGAATGATAGGAACGAGCTGATACCCACTAGAACTGTCACTGGTCATCGCATGTGCATTGATTACCGCAAACTGAATGCTGCACTCGCAAAGATCATTTTCCTCTCCCATTTATTGATCAAATGCTTGAGAGATTGGCTAACCATCCATACTACTGCTTTTTAGATGGTTACTCAGGTTTCTTTCAGATCCCCATCCACCCAGACGACCAGGAGAAGACGACATTCACATGTCCATATGGCACTTATGCATATCGCAGAATGCCGTTTGGACTGTGCAATGCACCGGCGACGTTCCAGCGCTGCATGATGTCTATTTTCACTGACCTTATTGAGGACATAATGGAAGTTTTCATGGACGACTTTTCTGTCTATGGAAGCTCCTTTGCTGTCTGTTTGTCTAATCTGTGCAGGGTATTGCAGCGGTGTGAGGAGAGACATCTTGTGCTGAACTGGGAGAAATGCCATTCATGGTGAGAGATGGGATCGTGCTGGGACATAGGATTTCAGAGAAGGGAATCGAGGTCGACCGAGCGAAGATCGAGGTGATGATGAGTCTACAGCCGCCTAATTCTGTCAAGGGAATCCGCAGCTTTCTGGGGCATGCAGGGTTCTACAGGCGATTCATCAAGGACTTCTCCAAGATCACCAGACCTTTGACGCTGCTGTTGTGTAAGGAGGTCAAGTTCGACTTTGACAGTACATGCTTGGAGGCCTTTCACACGATCAAGGGAGCTCTGGTGAGTGCTCCAATTGTCCAACCTCCTGACTGGAGCCTTCCTTTCGAGGTGATGACAGATGCTAGTGACTATGCTGTCGGAGCGGTTCTGGGCCAGAGAAAGGAGAAGAAGCTGCACGTGATCTACTACGCCAGTCGCACACTTGATGAAGCTCAGTGCAAGTACGCTACGACTGAGAAGGAACTATTGGCGGTGGTGTTTGCATTTGAGAAGTTTCGGTCCTATCTTGTTGGATCGAAGGTGATTGTCCACACTGATCACGCTGCATTGAAGTACTTGCTGACGAAGAAGGATGCGAAGCCGAGACTCTTGAGATGGATTCTTTTGCTTCAGGAGTTCGATCTGGAGATCAAGGATAAGAAAGGGATTGACAATGGTGTAGCTGATCACCTGTCAAGGATGAAGATCGATGATGACGTTCCTCTAGACGACAGCTTACCTGATGAGCACGTCTACGCTGTTGAGGTGATCGACTACGGCGAGCCCCTGCTCGCAGATGATGGAGTTCGATCGAGTACCAGAAGAGGTCGATCGAATGGTGATGACGGAGATCGTGCTTTGAGCTGTAACGCCGTTAACCGTTCCAGTTTCCCATGGTTTGGAGAGATAGCGAATTACCTCGCTGCTGAGCATGAACCTACTGGTTTTGTGGGAACAAGAAGAAGAAGTTCTTGAGAGACATCCGCGCTATTTCTGGGATGAGCCATACCTGTACAAGCACTGCACCGATGGAGTCTACAGGAGATGTGTAGCTGATGAGGAGATACCTGGGATCTTGTTCCACTGTCATAGCTCGTCTTATGTTACCAAACTCATAGTCCATTTCTGGAATTATAAATTGTTCAAACTCTTGTTTCGGTAGACAGACAGCATAGTCAATGTCACTACTTCATAGTTTCTTCGTTATGACCCTTGGACTATGTGTACCTGATATCTTGCGTATTTGACGCATTCTAACACTTGTTTTCACGAGTTTTATCGAGTCTTTCTAGTCTTTATCGAGTCTTTTCAGGTCTAAAGACGTTCCAGGAGAGCTTTGGTCACATGGACCAACAGGAGGAGAAAGCAGGCAAAACGGAGCCCAAAGGAGCTCGATCGATCCCACAAGATCGATCGATCATCACTTGATCACCCACTCGATCGATCCCTACAGCGCTACCCAGATCGATCACCTCCTGCTACCCACTCGATCGATCCCATGCAAAGGGAGTAGCTCGATCGATCCCATGCAGAGGACGAAGCTCGATCGATCCCGTTCTGTCTCAGCCGTTCGATCAATCCCGGTCAGATGATATCACAGCCGTTCGATCTACTTGGTGCAAACCGACTTGATCGAACCACAGCGAACCGGATTGAACCGAAGTCGACCCCGGAGCTATTTAGACCTATCTTTGCCATTGTTTAGGCTACGCCGTTTTTCAGAGTTTTTACACTGTTGTTCATTGTTTCCGAGGGAGAAGAGATCAAACCTTGTTATTCACAGTTTGGAGAAGATTTCTGAACCCTTGTTCTTTCTGCTATTTCATATTTGATTCAATGAATTCAGTTTCAGTCATTGTTTGCTGTTTCGTTATGTCTGAGTAGTCACCCTGCTAGATCTAGGCTTTTCAAAGGGATTCATGTGTTAAATTGACTGAATACAGATAGGGCTTTAATACTGTCTTCGCCATTGTTGTACTTACTGCTTAGATCGATCTGATCATTCGATCTCTGATCTCAGATTACCTGTTCATCAAAAGTGTTATAGGTTGTTAGAACGAACTGTGGTGAGCGAATCGTCCTTAGCCTGCGAAAGTTGATGCTGAGGCGATTCGTGAACTTATCGAACCTGAGTTTATTGCTTGTCATCAACTGCTAGATTCAAACGACAGTTTAGACATCTAGGTTGTTAGATAAAGTTATCATTATCGCGAAAGTGAATTGACATATTTTCATGTTTGAGTTCGAGACCTGTTCATCATCTGTGCCCTGAATAGTTGTTCGGTTGTTAACTGTGTAATCTCTGCGAATTGCCTTGGTCTAGTCCCTGTTTAATTGAATTACATCATCGTTTACATTCGTTACCTGCTACTAAAACCAATCAATCTTTGTCTTAGCTCTGTTTTAAATCTCGTAGTTTCACAGTGTAACGCTGGTCCTCTGGATTTCGAATCCTTTATATTACAATCTTCATCACTGATAATTTGCAGTAGAGAAAAGGACTATTTCTAGATTATCAGTACCTAAACTCAATTCCAAATCAGTCATTCTCTAACAGCCTTGGTACGTTACCAATATATATTTATTTGTTTGAAATTATTTTAATGAGTTAGAGAATCAAAGCTTACCGTCTATGTTTATATATAGCTCTCTGTTTGAATAATCACTCTTTTCTTTTATTGTTGCTTTCTATTTTGTTTCTATTCTTATACTAGTAGATTTGTCCTTCAAAAGGATATTACATATAATGAGCATTGGTGTTTTTCGTTGTCAATTTTTATCATCAAAGTTGCTTTTCTTTTTCATAAAATCTAGTGTTCTTCATGGTAGTGTTTTAACACTTTCATATGTGACACATGAATAACAGTAATAATATTACATATGTGCTAGATTGTGACACATCTCTAACATTCATCATATTTACATATGTGTCAATTTATATAATGCTTTTTTAGAGATTTAGTTAAGAAAACAACAAACAATTAAGACATAATAAACATAGTGATATCTTTCTAATTTCCTAGATTTTAATCCATGTCTAACATTAATCAATCATATTAATCACGCCTAATAATAATAATCGGTTGTCTTGTTAACTTTTTCTTTTCATAATGAATTCTTTTATAAATTTGATTCCTTATTGCAAACTTTACAATGCTAATGATTGTCAACTCAAACTTTATATAAACGATTATTGCAAACTTGACATCTGCAAGAAATCTTTGGGGTATATCTTAATCCATATAAATTTAGATTTTTTAATGGATTTTGCACCTCTCGAAAGGAAAACATAATCTATACTGATGGAAATAAAATAGTTAAATAATAATGAGATAAAAAGAAAAATTATAAACATAAAGAAAAAAATTGTGCTAATGATATGAAAGTGGGTTTAAAAAAGCAATAGAAGAAAAACAATTTCATATCATTCTAAAAATATCGAAAGACATTAAATAAAAATCATTATTATAGAAAGAGTCATAGCCCAATAATAATAATACACGATTCTACCACAAGTTTGTATTATTTTCTAAACTAATACTATTAGGGTTGAACCCTTATCCTGTATGGAGTGATATTTTACTATATTATTTTGTTTTTTTAATCTAAAGATGTCTATTTACATAACTTCAAATCTTATGCGACATAATAATCATAATCTGATGGTTTGGTTCTTATCTTCATTTTACAATGTAGAAATTAAACATCTTAAATAATTTTTATAAAAGGTTAAAAAAAAATTCTTAACCATAACCATAGATTAATAAAACTGAATGAGAGAAATAAAAATCACATGACCACAGTATAATAAACAGTTAAAATAACAAAAAATAACTAAAAACCCCTAATCTGTTATTCATCACGTCTTCATAGGACTCCCTAATTTATTTGAAAGATTTTAATTGAGAGATTGACCAAAAATAAAACATGCTAAAAAAATATTAAATTTTAGTCCTTGAAAATGTTTCACGAAATGATGAGTGATGATTCAATTTAGGCACATTCTTAAAAAATTCCAAAAAAGCACATAATATCATATTCGAAACCATAATATCCACACCACACGGAATAATTCTTATTGAAATTTTTTATCAAAAAAAATATGCATTTTTAAATTGTTATTGTTTCAAAATTTGGTGAGATTGTATATATTACTTTTAATCGTTACGGTTAAATATGGTATGATGTAAATCCTTTTACAAAAATAAAGTTTCCTTTTCTGAAAATAAAAGATATATTATGCAAATTCAAATTCAAATTCGGTAACACTATATATGTTAAGTTCAATATGTATTAAATAAAATCATTGCAGAATTGCCAATAATTATGGCAGAATTATGGGTAAATTTATTACTAATATGGGAAAATAATATATATTTGAATCTACTCATAATTAAAAGACTGCCATATAAAACGCTATATTTATTGGTAGTATCATTAAATAATTATAAAACCACGAAAATAAATTCAAATTTTACTTTATAGAACAGTAAAATGAATATTAATATTGTATGAAATTATATATTTTTACAATTAAAATCATTATATATTCATTGATATATATATATAGGGTAAATTTAGGCAATATACATAGATAATCTGACAATTAAATATATCACTATAATAGTTGTTAATTAGATCAATACAAATATATATAATAAAATCATATATATTTACCCCTATAAGATAAAACATTAGAAGTGATATCATATAATAGATTGTAAGATTTCGTGATAACAAATACAAACAAATGATATAACATTCAAACAGTTACGTGCTAACATCTAATCATTTTTTTGCTAACATTATCTATTAATCAAATTAGTGAAATCATGTTAACATTCAAATCATCATACGCTAAATTCAAACCATTATACGCTAAAATTTAAATCATTACTTGCTAACAAATTCGTTAACAACAAAATGTAAATAACTTGTCATGATTTTTGTAAACAAGATAACATAATCTATGTTAACAAGATAATGTGACGTTTGTTAGCAAAGAATGTGGTATTTGTTAGCGAGATGACGTATTTTTTGTTAGTAAAGTAACTAACAATTTATTAGCAAAGAGGTGTAAAATTTGTTAGAGAGATTTAATACTAATTGTTAGCAAGATTGTTGTGATTTTAATAGGGATTTTATTGTCTTTTTTTTTGTGAAGGGATTTTATTGTCTTTAGCTATATGAATAGTGCACTAAAAAGTTGTCAGAAACAGCCATTTAATTTCAGAACCATTGATGTATATGCAATGCAATTTCCCATATATATATATATATAAATATATATTATATATATATACATGTTCAAGACATCCAGTATACTGAAAGAAAAATGTATCACTAATTTCAAATTATTTCTATCAGTATTTGAATTTTAAATATTTTATAATAAATACATTTTTAGATAACTTATGTTTTTAAGTGAAAGTATATATAAAAAAAATCAGTTGTTTTTTTTTTTTTTTTTTTTTTTGTCGAGAGTCTCTATTCCTACCCCGTAGGCGGTGGGACAAAGTTTACATAATACAACTCAGTGGAGCGATGTCCGCCCTTGTGTTGTTCGTCCTTGGAAAAAGTCGTATGCAGCAGTTAAAAAAGAGCTTTTGGCATTTATCAATTTCTTCAAGAAATATTGAAAAAGCGGACCATTCATCAGAATTGGACACATCTTCACCACATCAGCACAAACAGTCTCAAACACAACATTGTGTTTGTTGTGCTCCAGCATACATTGCATGGCCCAAACCAAAACTTCCACCTCTGTTTGAAGATGTGTTAAACCTCGTCGTAGGTTACTTGAACCCATCAATACTTCCCCTGATTGGAAATTTGTCCAAAACCATCCAGGCCCACCCGACTTGTCGTCTCTTTCCACGATCCATCACTTGGCAAATACTAGAGTATGATTATGCCACAGCCGTCCCCGTTCTACCAAGCTCATCCCGGTCCTGATGCCTCTGATTCCGCCAATCTGATGAGGTCTCACGGGTCTCGATCCTTACTTGAAAATATTTTGTCATTTTTGGATTTCCAAATAAACCACTTATAAACACTGTATGTTAACAAATCTTATAAAGTATATTTTTAAAAATTCCTTAATTGATTTCGAAATATTTATATCAGTTTTCGATTTTTAAAACTATAATAATTGTTTCATATATTATTTTTGTTGTTCAATGGAAGATATATGCAAATGCTTAATATTTGTAATCAAATAAAAATAGTGTACTAATGAAATATTCTAGTAAGTGATATCTTTTTTTATATTTGTCTTGAAAATGATTCTGGTGTTGATATATCAATATAACAATTCTGTTAATAACACATGAAAATAAAGTTATTCTTTTAATTGGGGTAACTATCTTCTCTTTTAATATATTAGGAATTAAACAAAAAATAATAAATTAATGCAGATTCTTTAAGATTTAAGAAAGCCAATTATGTCATTTTCTTTGCTGTCGTATCTCTTGTTATAACCCGCAGAGAACGAAGACCAAAACGAATGAAATAAAAAAAAAATCTAAAATGAGTTCTTCGTCTTCCTCTTCTTCTTCTTCTTCTCGTAAGAAGATTCTGGATTCAAGATTTGCCATCGGACGAAAAGAAGTTATAAGAATCTCGATTCTACTTCTTGTTTTTACTGCTTCGTGTCTCGTTTTATACAAAATAGTTCATCCTCTGCAACGACTCAATCTCACCTCTCTTCTCTCTTCTAAATCTCGACCATCAGATCTCAACTCGTCAGAGATCTCTCTAGAAACAGTAAGCTCTCCTCACTATACAGATCTGGTACATACTCTGTTTTCTAGGGCTTGAGTCTGTAATTTTGAGTCCAATTCTGTTCGTTTCAGACAGAACAGAAGATCATTTTGAAGGAGATTTTGGAGAAAGCGTCGACTAAAAACAAGACAGTGATTATAACGACATTGAATCAAGCTTGGGCAGAGCCAAATTCTATATTTGATCTCTTCTTAGAGAGCTTTCGTATTGGACAAGGAACACAGCAGCTTCTAAAACATGTAGTTGTGGTTTGCTTGGATCCCAAGGCGTTTGAACGATGCTCACAGGTTCATTCCAATTGCTACCAAATTGAGACCTCAGATGCTGATTTCTCTGGCGATAAAGCTTACAACACTCCTGATTATGTCAAGATGATGTGGCGCAGAATCGAGCTTCTAATACGAGTTCTCGAAATGGGTTTTAACTTCATATTCACGGTATCAATCTATGATCTCAATTCTTCTTATTTTTTTGTTTGTTTGTAGTAGTGATCAAGATCTAGTTGTACTAAACAATCTGTAGAATAGTAAAATAGCATACTGGTCAAGATGTCAGTAGCAGACTTGATTGACCAAAGAATCTTTTGGATCCATAGATCGGAAGTTTAAACTCATTTCAGAAATGACTATATTATATTTATTAGTCTCTGGCATGACTATAGGTGATAAATGTGACTAAGCTATTTCTTTATATATTTCTTTTCTTTTTGCCTTTTTGTTTGTGTTATTAGTCTGATTCGCTTATAAACATTATTGTGTATGCAATTGTTAATGTAGGACGCAGATGTAATGTGGCTTAGAGATCCATTTCCTCGGCTATATCCAGATGGAGATTTTCAAATGGCGTGTGATAAATTCTTCGGAAATCCACAGGGTTTAGACAATTTGCCAAATGGAGGTTTTGTATACGCGAAATCGAACAATCGAAGTATTGAGTTTTACAAATTCTGGTACAAATCACGTTTGAAGTGGCCATGGTTACACGATCAAGATGTGTTCATCCAAATCAAGAACGACCCTGTCATCTCTGAGATTGGAGTCCAGATAAGGTTCTTTGATACGGTCTATGTTTGTGGGTTTTGTCAACCGAGCACAGACATAAACTTGATTTGCACAATGCATGGCAATTGTTGCCTTGGCACGGAGAAGAAGCTTCATGATCTGAATCTTGTTCTTGATGATTGGAGAAAATATATGTCTTTGTCGAGACATGTAGAGAACACGACTTGGAGTGTTCCTATGAAGTGTTTGGAGAGGTGATCACGAGGATGTTCTAGATTTTGATTGTTTTTTTCTTTTCTTTTATGTTCTGGATTTTGATTAAAATTCAATTAAGAGTAAGAATTATTGCTTTGTTGTAAGAAAAACTGTTCTACTCTCTAATCTAATAAAAGTTTCCTCTCTGTTGTCAAAAAAAAAAAAAAAAAAAAGTTTCCTCTCTTTTCTTGTTATAATTCATCCAAATTTGATTAAGTTTATTAATAGAAATTAAAGTGTCAATCTGTAATATCCTCCAAGAAACTGAGATAGAAATCAAAGCAAGAAAAGTAGAACAATCTTTTATCCTTAAACCATATAAGATCATTCACATACTTAAAAGAATCTAAACAGAAATAAGATGAGAGCAATCTTAATAAACCATGTCTGTAAGAAAATAAGCATAACTGCAATTTTTCATGATAATAAATAATGCTCATGTGATCAGAACAAGCATATGAGCTGCAATGTCAATAGAGGAAAACTTGACATCTGCGAGAAAGCTTTGTGGATGTAAGAAGCTTCTTGTAGATATTTATCTCTTGTTTGGTCATAGGAGAATCTCTAAAACTCACAGAAAGTTCCTTGAGTACTGCAGAATTCTCAAGAAGTAATTCACTAGTTTAACCCCAGTTTCCTCCTTCATAATCAGTTTGTTAATCTCAACACACTCCAGAGTCGATGTTAAACACTGAGGCGGCGTATTGGTCATGTCGATTTGCTCTGCCTCTGTCGAAACAGAAAAGTCCTGCGATATAAACAAGTTGAGTCTACAATATGTTTCACTTATTTAGACCACAAGCTGTAAACAGAAATCTTACCAAGATGAGGTTTGTCAGATTTGGGCAGCTCTCAAGAAAAGCAGGCAACAGTTGCAAGATTGAGCTGGAGAACGCAGCCTGCAAATGATACAAGTTATGGAATTTGGGAATTGGTCCCAATTTGGAATATAGATAAAGGACCTGCGAGAAGAAAGAAAAGGAAACATATGAGAAGTTTTTTTTTTCATTGAGATCACATTTACTTGTCACATACGCATCAAAAAGATTTATTTACCTCGAGAGTAGCCTGAGAGATGATCATATGTCTTACAATTGAAATACCATTGAGAAAATCACGAATAGTATCTCTCTTAGTCTTAGTTATATCCTCAGGTTCCAAAGCCGTGATCCCAAACTTGACATTGAATTCAGAATCAATATCTATCTTGAACAACGAACTCAGATTCTTTACCACGCTCATCTCAGACTGACTATCTCTAAATCTCAAATAACCAAGTCTTGGAGCATCAATCTCAACAGAAAAATCTGTACTGAGCATTCCCCAATCAAACATTAAATGTAAAATCTGTAGACTCTGAGACCTCACACGAAGAAGAGGCAGAGTATCTTCATCATCATGACTCCTTACCACCGTAAGTTCTTCAAGAACGGGACAGCCTGAGATAAGCTTCTCCACAATCAAAAGACCATCTTGATCATTATACCAACCATACCAAACGTGTTCTAGATGGATGGTCTTGAGACAAGGTAAAGAAACAACAAGCTCTGGATTCTCAAGAGCAACGTGTGCTAGCTTTAAAGACACCAATGTCTTGCTTTTATACATGTTCTGAGGCATAATATCTCTCGGACAAGGAGCCATTTCAGACTCAACATCAAGATGTTGAGTTTCCCGATCCACAGCCGTAGCGATCCAGTCCACAAACCTGTGGCTACACGTATTGATAATATGCTCGTACTTTAACTTGAACTTCTGCATGCGTCCTTGGTTGAACTTGAAAAGCTTGTCCATGAAGCTCTCGAAGACTTCTCCCCAAAAAGGGAAGTCAGTAAACTTCAAGTCAAGACCAGGAACCTTAAGCCACACGTATTCCCATCTCTTTGATAAAACACTGGTCTTGACCGATTCTTTGCTTGGAAGGTGTAAGAGTATCTGACTTAGCAAAGCATTCGGCAGTTCGCTGATTCTATCGCGCCCCATCACTAGATCATGAACAACAAATAACGACAATATAAAAAATCCAATACTATGCGATGGAAGTTACTCAACTTTTCAAAGGCGATAAAATTTAGTGAGAAGAAAGAAGAACTAACCGTCGATTTGACTTGCCGGCGGAATATCGCCGGAGACCTAGCTTTAGAGGGAAAAATAGTAAATTGTGTGTTGTGGAAATGGGCAGTGTATATACAATATCCAAGCGGCTTTATTTTCTCCCGAATTAGCGCGATTCCATTTCCATTTTCTAACAAAACATAAAAGTGACTAATATTTTTTGTATTTTTTATGTCTCCTCTGAGTTACATTTGAACATTACATATATGGTAAAATTAACGCTCTCGTGGGTGCTTATGATATGCTCCAACATACTTGTGTGACATGTTTCGACGACCACATGCACCGATGTACGTTGCTTTGCATCAATAGTTAGTGATACTTGAATGAGTCTTGGCAGATACGTCATGGTGGCTCACTCTAACTTCTTCATGTGAATTTCATCACCTAAGGAACAAGCGAACCAGTAAACTTCTACAGTTTTTCCACTTGAATGACTTTTGCTTCTTTTTAGTCAAACAATTATTTTTCTTTTGTTTATGAAGAAAATGTGGAAGTTGCTGATAGGCCTACCTAACACTCATCAATACAAAAAAAAAACAAAGCTAAGAGTAGATACAACGGACATACTCTCATAGGCAGGTTTAAAAAGAAAAAGAAAAAAAGAAAAGAAAAATGAGGTGGCAAGAGATAAGAGGAGAGACGTATGCTCTCATAGTCGTCTCTCAAAATAAGCTCGCCACATGTCAGTTTATAATTCGTCTGTTTATTTATTATATTTTTTTTCAAAACGTTTGTTTAATTCATTTTAGAGCTTGGGATGAAGCTCTCCATTGTATATGCTCTAAGAGCATGTATAACGCAGGTACCTTAGAGGAACGCTTAGGGGAATTTGTAGTTAAAATAAATAAATAAAAATGTTTTTATTTGAGGGTCGACGCTTATTTAAGCGTGATAAGCAGCGACGCTTCCATGACACGTGGCAGCGTGCAATTGGAAAGTAAATAATGAGAGTAAAAATAAGGGTTTTGTGCAAAACAACCCTCAAACTAAATTCTTTTTGCAAATCAAACCCTCAATTTAAAGTTGTGCAAATCAAACCTCTGAAGTCAAAATAACCCCGCAATATAAGACATCTCTATATTTATGACAAAATTTAAAATGATTTTATTCGCGAACTATTTTTTGTGTGCAAATCTAACCCTCAACTTAAAAAATATGCAAGTCAAACCTGCAAAGTCGAAAGTCACTGCTAAAATGACTTATATGTATTTGTCCTTAACTACAAACGTTGACTCAAAACATCATGACATTTATAATATTTTAACATTTTTATTAAAAATACTTAAAACAATAATTCAATATTTCTTCTCTTTTTTTCCATCAATAAGGAGAGGGTTAGGATTTTTAACCAAATCCAAAAAAACTAAACCGTAACCAATCCAGAAAATCAAAACCGAACCAACTTACTCACAATATAATTACTTGGAAGATCTGAAGTCCTATGTCTTTATGAGCCTCTCTCGAATAATTCTATTGCGAGTAAATTAGTTCTTATCTTTGTCTCTTCGTCGTCATTAGTTAATGAGATCATGAAGAAAAGAATCAACTTATTCGCGATAAGATTACTCGAGATAAATTCATTAATAAGAGGAGAAAGAGAAAGGAAATTAAAGATTAAAGTTTTTTGTTTTTTTTTTTTTAATTTACTTTTAATAAAAATGGTTAAAATATTATAAATGTCATGACGTTTTGAGTCAACGTTTGTAGTTAAGGACAAATACATATAAGTCCATTTTAGCAGTGACTTTCGATTTTGCAGGTTTGACTTGCATATTTTTTAAGTTGAGGGTTAGATTTGCACACAAAAAATAGTTCGCGGGTTTTTTGCATAAAATCATTTTAAATTTTGTCACAAATATAGAGATGTCTTATATTGCGGGGTTATTTTGACTTCAGAGGTTTGATTTGCACAACTTTAAATTGAGGGTTTGATTTGCAAAAAGAATTTAGTTTGAGGGTTGTTTTGCACAAAACCCTAAAAATAACGCGTTCTTTCTTTTCTCTCTCTTTGCAAATTTTTTCAGATGATGGCAAATCGACGAAAATTTGAGATTCGAATCGATTTTGTACCCGAAAGCAATCGGAAAGCATGTCTCTGATGGTGGGCCGTTTGCATGCATATTTGACATACATACGGATTTGAAGATCTTGTGAAGATATTTCCTAACGATCAGTAAAGATCCAGTAGTCGATCTACATACGGATTTGAAGATCTCGAATCCAGCTTTCCAATCTTCTTTCCATTCTCAAATCCAAGGTATAGTCCATTAGTAAATCGGTTTGAAAGATGACGAAAAATCTGTTTCAGAAAATTGCAGCTTTTTTGTTTTTGATTGCAGTTTCATATTTTTGGAGATCAGACAATGCTCTCAACAACGCAAGAGCCACTCTTGCAGCCAGCCCCGGCTCTAAGCCATGGCGAGAGGTGCGATCGCCATGGGCTCGAGGTCCAATTTTTTATTCTTCTCTTAGTGTTTGTAATTAAAATACTTTTAAAACCCAATTAATTGTCTAAAAAGGGCCCATAATCTATAAAATTATAAAGTAAAAAGCCAATAATCTGTCACCCAGTTTAACCCTAGATAAAGAAGCGATTTTGTATTTTAATATGAGTATATCACAGATTTGTTTATTTTTATTGATATATTTGGTTTAATATTAAAATTAATTTATTTTAGAAAAAGACCCATATTTTGAATTTCGCCTAAGGTTCTCAAAATAACTAGGGCTTGACCCGCGCCCTGCACGGTGTGATAGTTTCTGAATTTTTATTTTTCAAAGTTTGATAGTTGAGACATTCAAGATTGGTACCGCTAAAACAACATACACATTCATGGTTACAAACATATTGGCTAACTATAAGATTTATTTATGTGAATATATGCACTTACATTTTTAGAGATGTTAATATGGACTAATATATTTAATTTGACATATATATTTTATATCAGATTAAGATATTTTTCATGTTTTAGATTTTTAATAAACTAATCCACGAAAACAATGCTTCATAAAAGCATTAAAATTTTATTTAAAATATTCAATACATACAAAAATATACTTCTTTAGTTTTATATTATTAATTAGTTATTAAAATTACAAATTATATTTATAAATCTTTAAATTATTATTATAATATATTATCATAGTAATATTTGAAAATATTTGTCAGGTTAAATAATATAAGTTTTTCGAAATAAAACATAATATTTTAAAATTTTGATATAATATAAAATATTTAGAATTTAACTTATTATATAAGTTAAAATATATTATAATTATGATCAAATTTAATAATTATTGGTTCTATCTAATTATACAATTTAAATGAAAACCATATTAAATTGAATAAAGAACATTTTTACATTTTGATGGTTACCAAAAAGAGGATTCCTACTCAAATAGTTGCACATAATGTACATTTTTTTATAACTGATTTTTGAACTATTACTTGACAACATATCCAATGTTTATTTTAACAGTTTTAGTGTTTTATTTTATTATAACTTATTCATATCATAGTATATACAGAAAAAATGTAGATTTTTTATTCTAATTTTATATAGATGATTCAAAAAATATTTTAAAATAAAGTTAAACAAAGATGATAGGAGAAATATAATGATTTTAAAAATAATTAATATGATTTAATTGAAGAAGAAATTTGGACCAATATTACATAAATTAATCATATTTTAAAAACTAACCCCTTTTTAAAAATGTTGGAAAACTAATCTTTTTAACATTCAAAATTACTAAAATAACCTTAATCTTTTTAGATATTAAAATTGTTTTTTTTTAATTCTTTTATCTTATTTAAAAACGATTTAAATTGTATAAACAAAAATCTGCTACTATATAGATAATTTTAAACAATTATTTTTATTTTATATAATAAAAAAAAGAAAATAAAACTACAGCATTGGATATTCCTTTAAAATCTGAATAAAATCTACAATAAGAAAATAAGATATCTAGATGATCTTATTTGAAATTTAACATCTCATAAATATAGAACATGATTTCACTTTAACACATTCCATCATTTCTTTTAAGAGTGAAGGGTGAGTTTTTTTTGTTTTAAAATGATATGTATGTGTATTTATTTATAGAGTTTGATAAATATGGATATATTTTCAAAATAACATGTGTAAATCCAACTTTAAATATTTATTAAAAAATATCTAAATTATTTTTCGTAAATATTATATATATATATCTAAATTTAATATATATCTCCTATATATCTTAATTTTAAAATAATTAGTTTTTTATTATTAATAGAAAAATGATAATGGTTTTATTGTCTTTTCACTTATTAAAAAGGTTAGTTTTCAAAATTTTAAAAACCAGAGTTAGTTTTCAAATTATGAAATTTTTTAGAAATATTAAACCAACTCAACCTTGATTGAATTGGGTATCTTCCTTATTTACTAATTTTCGTCATGATTAATTAAGGAAAGAAAATAACTATTTTTAATTTATATTTAGTTGATGAAAACATATTTGATTTTCTAACCATAGTATATGAGTGGCATTGTATGTAATTATTCTAGTAAATTTAACCTTATTTCATAAGTAGCATGAGAAGCTTCCTAGTGATGACACATCAGCATGGTATTTTTGTTAATAACACATGACACAAAGGTTATTTTCAAAATGTTTTCTCTTTTAATATATTAGGGATAGAGCCGGGGCTGTTTGCAGCAGTGCTATAGATGAGATAGTTTCGTGATGTTGATCTTGACTGAAGTGAAGAAAGCTAGAAAACTATCATCTTCTTGTTCTTCCCTTTTTAACATTTTCATCGTGTATATATAATTTCATGAGAAAAATATGTTAATTTATTAAACTTTTTTTTTGAAGCACCCTTAATAAGATTCTCCCATTGGAGAAGACAAAACATATAGTTTTTAACATAGGTGCTTAAATCAACTTTTATATTGGCTTTGATTGGTAACCAATTAATATAGCATTACAACTTGTAATGTTAACTATGTAACCAATCACATAGACTTTACAAAACTGATGGTACAACAATGGATATTACAAAATGCTGCATTACAATTTGTAATGTAATGCATTACAAGCTGCATTACATGTAATGCTCCTTTTCATAGTGGTACACAAATTAAATGAATTGTACACATTTTTTTGTTATTTTGTTTTTAATTATAATTTGTTTTTCTTTTCCTCTCAGCCCCTTGATCGAACTCAAGTGGTGGAGGCCCACAAACCAAATGAGCTTTAATCATAATTTTTTGTTATGGGTTTTTTGTTCAAAAAAATATATCAATGTATTAATATTACTTGTTAGTATATATCAGTTAAAAATATATATTCAGGATAAACAGTTTATGTAATGGTATATATGTAATATAATAGTTCATCAAATTGTAATTTATTTTTCTTTATCATCATAGTCTTTTTGTGGAAATTTTAAACATATTTAAACTCAAATATGTTGCTGATTTATCCTTTTCAAAATCATATATATGAATAGGGTCTAACTCTCTCCATCTATGTGACATGTGGACACTCTACTAATTGACACATGGCATGACTTTTCATATTCTTTTCAGTTAACTCTAAATCTTATTTATTTGCTAAGCATTTTAATTGATTGTAATTAAAACCACTCTATTACTTTAAGGCTATTACCCTTTGACTTCCATCTTGAATTACTATTAAATATCTAAATCTCATAACGTACAGTCTAAATCTCCTAATATATAGAGAAACAAATTAAGTGAAGAGCGATGGTAGAGAAGCAAAGTCCGTTAATATGGCGGGAATTAAATAAAGAGAGTTGATGGTATAGAGACGTATGATATATAGAGTTGACGGTATAGAGACGTATGATATGTAGAGTTAACACTATAGAGTTGTTAATTAAGTAAATTGAAATTAAAATGCCAGAGTTTATAATATTTATTACAAATCTATAATTATTTTTTCATTATTTTTAAATAAATTATAACAACAGAAAAATATGATATGTTAAAATTTTAGACAGCATTTTGTTTCATATATTTCAGTTATGAATTTTGAATTTAGTCAATTAATTTATATTGTATTTTATATATTTTTATCTGTATTCCATTTAACTTTGAATAAATTATCTGTTTTGTTATATATGGATTTGTTTTGATGATTTCCAAATAAAGTGGATTATCAAACTTTTTTGACATAAAAAATATTGGTTCTTTAAAATTTTGTAAACCTGTATATACTTTTATTTTAGTAAGTAAATGTGGTGATCCTTTTTAAAAATAAAAAATAAAAAAATATGTTTAGTGTTATATTTGAGAATCTTTTTTAATTTTTAAAATTTAAGTTTTTTTTCCAATTAATTTAATTTTTTTTAATTGATTATAATTTTTATTATAAAATATACTATTTGTAATGTTACAATGTTACCAATCGGGATTAAATTACGTACTATTAGTTTTTACTATCTCCATTTGTACTATTATGTTTTGTACCACTGTTTTTTGTACTGCTATATTTGGTACCACTTTTCTTCTAACACACTACTATTCACTATCTCACCAATCGGAGCCATTATGATATTAGATAAGCTCCCCATCAAGCTACCTGCGTTATACATGCTCCTCTTAATGCAGCGCTAAGCCAAATTTCGATTTAAATAAATCAAAACTAAATTAAAACTGAGAATTCGACGCTTGTTTAGACGTTACAAGCGTCGCCGCTTGATACCACGTGGCAGCTCACGATTCGTTGGGTGAAAATGAGAAAAAAAAAACTCTTGCTCGCTTCTCTCTCTTCTCTCTCTCTTCCCGTCTCCAATGGCGATACAAGATTTTCCCACTCTGAGTTCACTCGATTCTGGATTCGCTAACAATTGGTTTCTCAAATATCCGGCGTCGCAATTTCACGGTGGTGAGTCTCGATTCCTCCCTCTCACCTCTTCTCATACCAGGCGTCTATGTCTTCCATTGGTACACGCCCCTCCCTGAAAAATCTTGTGCTTTCGCTAGATTGAATCGAATCGGAAAAACAAAAATCAATTACATGAATTGAAATCCTTTGCTTATATAGGATGTTGTTGGAATTGTAGCGAAACTATCAGATTGTTGATTGATTATCTCAATGGTTCCTGAACTAAGACATTATGCACCTGTGTTCCCATCATTCTTGTCGTTGTATGGTTTTTTTATCTGTTTAAAGGGTGAAGAACTAAAGAAGATTGTTGAGGATTTGATAAATACATTTATACTTGTTTATTCACTGTTTAGTTACATGTTTATGTAGTGGAGTTACTTCAGATTGTTAATGGTAACGGTGTGGGGATGATTGTGAATTAGGCTGTGAGGCTTATCTGACTTAGACGTTTATGTTTGTTATAATAATGTTAGCATAATACAGAAATAAAACACAAGAGCAATCCGTGAATGATGCAGATATGTGTCACAAAAACTTGTTTATATCAAAGTACTTTTTTGGCAAATTCCAGGACTTTTGATGTTTTGTGTGTGCATTGATACTGTTGCTTCTGTATAGCTAGATAGACCTTCATACGCAGAAATAACAAGCTTCAACCATTTGTCCAAATTGTTTTTCTGTAGATATTTGTGTTACATTGATCTTCTCCTCATGCCCATGGAAGAGTGATCGCTTACATGTTTCCTGCAGTAAATTGATATTCTTCTTATATTTGCAGGGAAGTAACTTTTGCAGAAAGTTGCAGAGTTGGTACCAAGACATCCGGAGAGAGTGAAGAAGCAGGAATCTCAGAAAGCAAAGAAACAAGAACCTCATGGTTGAGATTCTGCAGAAGCTGTGACATACTACAAATTCGATTGAGAAATTTGGCTTTATTGATAAATTTGGCTTTATAGGTGAGTTGGATTCTGCAGAAGCTGTGACATACTACAAATTGGATTGTTGAGCTTCATGGTTGCAGGCTCTTGCCAAGATATTAAATATACCGCAGTTAGTTTACTTGCAAAAACAGTTTACATTTTTTTGTTTCTTAAGCACCCCAATAAGATCTTCCCATTGGAGCAAAAAAAAACAGAGAACTCTTAATAGAATGCTTACAACAATTTTAATGATAAAATACATTTTAAGCACCCCCATTAGCGCTCTGCGTTAACCATGCTCTAAGAAGCTTATACAACCTGTAAACTTGAGGTTATCTCGTGACCTCTGTAAACAATAAGTAAACAAAGACTTTGGGGAGTCTTTTTTTTATTTCTTATATATGATCATCATAGTACTCATCCACTAAATTTCCCAATAAAAAAATGTTATTAGAGTAGAAACTCGAATGCTAGTTGTAATACTAAAGTACTATACCACACTGTTCATAGATCTAATCTCTAAATTGATCGTTGACTATGAATTCGCTGGAGCACTAAGTTCATTACATCCATACTCAAAAATCTTTGATACAACTCAATGGATGCAGATTGGGAGTCGAAGCTTTTGTCCCAAGTTACTAAATTAATCAGTCTCACCCGCGCTACAGATTCGTATTCAAATCCGCGGATCGAGTGGAATCTGGAGTCTGTCTCGCTCCTCCTCCAAATCATCTCTTTCGTCAGCTCAATGGATTTGGATTCGCAGCCCAAACCAGAGTCGGAGTTCATGTCACTCATCGCTCAAATAAAATCTTTCTGCAAATCAATGGTTTTTGATTCCCAGCCGAAGCCCCTGCCGGAGCTCATATCTCTCATAAACTCTTTCACAACTAACGATTCCGATTCGGATTGGATTCGGAAGCTCGAATCACATATCATTCAGATAACTTCCTTGGCAAGCTCAAAGGCGTTGAACTCGCAGTGGGATCTCAGGTCACTCATATCCGAAACTATCTCTCTCTTCAACTCTACGGATTTGGAATCAAAGGAGTCCAAGCCCTTGCCGGAGCTAATGTCACTCGTTGCTCAGATGATAAAGATGAAGTCGCAGCTCGTGTCACTAATCACCGAGACGATGAGTCTTCACCCGGAGCCGGAGCTCGTATCACTCATCCATCAAGTTTTCACCTCCGTCGTCAACTCTATGAACTTAGAGTTGCAGCAGACCATGCCAATAGATTGGAAGTCGAAGTTTGAGAAGAAGCTCTTCTCACTCATTGCTCCATTATATAGACAATAGAGGCTGAATGAATATATTCAATGGTAAGGTTTACAATATATATACGAGTCTCATAAGAGAGATTAGGGATTTGATAAAGACTAATCTATCCTTTCTATATCTACACTCTACACATTAATCTCTCGTGAAGACCCTAAAGATTCGGATCCCGGGATCGAGTCACGGATCATTCAAATAATCTCTATGGTCAATTCGATATATTCAAGGAGAGAGAAAAACTCAGTGGAGTCGCAGCTCATGTCACTCATTTCTCAAACGATCTCTGTTTTTAACACTATGGATTTGGATTCTCAACCTAAGCCACTGTCGGAGCTCATATCACTCGTTTCTCTAAGAATCTCTGGCGGAGACTCTATAGAAGATTCAGAGTCGGAGATAATATCACTCATTGGTGAAACAAAGAGTCTCAACCGGGAGCCGGAGCTCATATCACTCATCTATCAAGTACTTTCCCTTGTCAATTCTATTGCTTCAGCTTCAAACTTGAAGGAACTTATTTTCTTATACCCTCAAGAAGAAGTAATTTTAGAACAAGGAAAATTTCATGTGGTTGAACAAGTCCCCTGGAGGAACAATAGTAAGTGGAGGTGTTTCGATGAAAGGTGGCAAGTATTCAGGCAAGATAGAAGAGGCAGTTTCCAATTTCGCTGCCAAAACTGCAACGGCCAGTACCATAATGAACATAACAAGGCTCCAGCTGAGATCAAACACCCTCTCCATCCAAAACATTCCCTTCACCTTGTCTTGTTCCAATGGAAACCGTCTAAGGAAACAAGAAAATCTTATTGTTGTGATAACATAATCTCACAAGTATTTTATTACTGCTGGGCTTGCGATATTGCTATTAATTTTGACTGCACAAAGGATCAACCCGTCTTGTATATAGACCGTCCCAAGTGGCATGACCATACACTTGCTTTGTTCCCGAGTGAGGCTTCTGTAACCTGCAACCTTTGTGCCTTGGTCCATGCAACAAGCTGCCCTTTCTACACATGTACTCCGTGTAACTTTGTGGTCCATGAAAAATGTCTCAGCTTACCACGTGTCATAAAGATCTCACGCCATCCTCAGCATCGTATCTCTTTTAAACCTTCTTTTGTTCAAGGAGATTGGGTTTGTGGTGTTTGTCGCAGAAAGATCAACACCGATTATGGGGGTTATTCTTGCATCAAGGACGAATGTTTGTTTGCAGCTCACTCGAAATGTGCCACACAAAGCAATGTTTGGGATCTTATAGACCTTGAGGGGGTGCCTGAAGAAGTTGAAGAAGAAGTTGGACCCGTTTGTGACTGTAAGCGAAGGGATCATACAACATTTCAGTCATCAAGATCATCATTTGAGACTTGATGAGAACAAGGGCAGGGATTATGATGAGAAAAAATTGTGCCAAGCATGCATCATGCCAATATATTTCGGTAACTTCTACTCTTGTATACATTGCGATTTCATTCTCCACGAAGCATGCGCAAAACTTCCTCGCAAATTATATCACCCGATACATCAACACCGTCTCACTCTAGTAGTGGAATTTGACGGTGAGAAGTCATGTTTAGCTTGTCCTTGGATGTACACTGCTGGTTTCTTCTATGCATGCGAAAGCTGTCAAACAGGAACTGCATCACAAAGGGAGTGTTTTATACTACATGTGCAGTGCGCCAAAACTTCTGAGCCATTAGTCCATGAAAGTCATGTAGATCCTTTATTCCTAACATCCAAACCAGGAGAGCACATAGTTTGTTCGGTTTGCAAAGAGCTTGATCATAAGCACACGGAAACATTCAATTGCATTGAGTGCGACTTTGCTTTGTGTTTCAAATGTGCTACTTTGCCTCAAAAGGTGAGGTATAAGCATGATAAGCATGAGCTCAATCTTTCTTATGGGAAGGAGACAAGTACCATGATGTATTGGTGTGAAGTGTGCGAGGGAAAAATAAACCCCAAGAAGCGGTTTTACATGTGTGAAGAATATTGTTGCGTCACTCTACACATTGAATGTTTGATTGGGATTGACTTATACATGAAGCCCAATTCATCACGGTCCGTCCAAGGTAGAAATATAGATGTTCTGCCCAACAATCGTCATATGTGTCGACCTATTTGCAGAGCTTGTAAGAAGCGTTGTCTATACAAAACAACTTTGAAGCATATAGGGTCCATATATTGTTCCAACAGTTGTTGTTTTCCATGGAGGAAATAGCTTGATGGTCATTGCTCTTCTTGTAAGAACTATTCTCGAATTGTATTCTGTTTTTGGTTCTTCGTGAGAAAATCTTTTGATGTCCAATACTGTTATGAGATCTTAGCATCAGCTGAGCAATGTTTTTTTTATTGATCTCAAAGTCTCAAGTTGACAGTTATTCTACATCGGTTCTGTTTGTAGCAAAATGTTGACTGTTCAACAGTAGTAGCTAGCGTTTTAACGTTATATCCACCACAAAAAAGTACAGTGTGGTTGGTTTTACGAGACATTTAACACCTTAAAAGGATTCTGCATTCTGATTGCTAAGAGAGATTTCCGAAGTACAAGTAGAACTATAAACAATGCAGATACTTTCTGCAGGTTTGTGGAACGTTAATATAAAGCAGTTTCCCAAAGCGGACTCATATATCTCTCTACATATGTCGAAACATGTATCATCAATAAGACACAAAGATCAATTCTAGGCTTAGTTTAGTTCGGTTTGAGGTTATCAGCAAACAATAGTTTTCTTTACAACGAGAAAGACAGCAACGACTTTCCTTGTGCTGATTATATGTGGCAAGAGAATGATTAGAAAAATGATAGACTTGGTAAACAAAATGTAATGAAAAAGACGGCAATGCACAATTGTGGCGGCATTATGAACTTGGCAACCGTACAAAGAAACGAGAAGGATTAAACAAGTATAACAAAGTTACAAACTTTTGACTATAAATCGATATCCACACCTATGGATTTGTATCACCAAAGTTTAAGTTTATTGAAAGGAAAAAAAAAAAACAGGTTATAGCAAAAGCAAAGCAAAATAATAAAAGAAATGGCTAAGAACCTCAACTCCATCAGATTGTCTTGCAATTAATTAATTTATAGAGTTATTAATTAATAATAGGTTTTGACTAAAATAATTTAAAAAATTATACGTTTTCAAAAATTTAGAATATTTTCTAAACTTTTACTAGAAAATTAGAAATAAGTACTAAAATATTTAAATTTAAATAAAAATAAACAATACAATACTTATATTTTAATATACTTTCATAGGTTATATATGTCTATACAATTTGTTTATGGAAATTATTAATATATATAATATTTATGAGACTATATATTTACATAGTTTTTTTAAAAATATTATTATCTCGGTCCAAGTTAACTGGAGAAATTTATTGTTTTATTGAGTTTATTAATTTATTTAGTACTCCCTCTGTCACATATTATAACCAGTTTGGCAAAATGTATCTGCAAAAAAGTGAATGTATCTGGACATAATAATGTCGAGATATATCCAGTTTTTTGCATATACATTTTACCAAACTGCTTATAATATGAGACAAATGGAGTATTAGTTTATAGAGTTTTTACTGTGTATACAAAATCCAAACGGTTTTGTTTTCTCCCGAATTAACCCGATCCATTTCCATTTTTTAACAAAACCTAAAAGTGACAATATTTTTTTGTTCTTTATGGCTCCATAATGGCACAAATCTTTGTAGTCTTATTCGAGATTTCGAGTATACCTCTGTATTACATTTGAACATTACATATATGGTAAAAGAAAAATGTACAACGCTCTCGTGGATATTAACTTATGAATGATAAGCTATTAAGCTCTTGGTTATCAAAAAAAAAACTTATGATAAGCTCTCCATGATACTTATGACATGTTTCCACATGTACGTTGCTTTGCATCCATAGTAATTCTTGAATGAGTCTTGGGAGCGACGTCACCTCTATCGGGGCCCACTCTATTTTCTTCATGTGAATTTCATTACCCAAAGGAACAAGCGTTTAGATAGGAATGGGACGAACACGAACCAGTTGGATAGCAAACTTCTATAGCTTTTACACTTCAATGACTTTAATTTTGCTTCCTTTTAGTCGAACAATTATTTTATTTTGTTTATGAAGAAAATGCGGAAATTGCTTAGGCCTACCTTACCCTCTTTAATACTCCTTCCGTATCTACAATTACATTTTAAGTTTAATACATCCAAATAATTGTAAATACATTTTGCTATAATGACAACTAATTTAAAACGGAGGGAGTACTAGAGTAGTACAAAAGACAACAGAGCTAAATTCACTAGTCTAGAAAACTCCTATATTAATTAAAAAACTGAACAGCTCATATCTCTAAATCTCTGAATCGATCATTGAATTTGCGCTCATACAATCTGTAAACTTGAGACTATCTCGGGGTCTCTGTTCTAATTATTTATTATGCATATACATATATCAATAAAAAGCTTTGTAAAAAACAAGCAAACAAAGAATTTGGGGAGTCTTTTTTTGTATTTTTCTCATCAACGTGCCCGGCCAGTCGGCCACTACATAACCCAATTAAAAAATATGAGACTACTCTTTTTTTTTTTTTTTTTAATAGTTAGAGTAGGAACTCGAATGCTAGCTGTATTATACTAGTAAATAGATCTAATCTCTAAATTGTTCGTTGACTATCAATTCGCAGAAGCACTAATTGAGTTCATTACATTCATACTTACAAAATCTCTGATAAACTCGTTGTTACACAGATAATGTCTCGCCGCAAGTCAATGGATACACGTTCGGAATCGAAGCTTTTGTCCCAAGTTACTCAAATAATCAGTCTCACCCGCGCTACAGATTGGTATTCAAATCCGCCGATCGAGTGGAATCTGAAGTCCGTCTCGCTCCTCATCCAAATCATCTCTTTCGTTATCGCAATGGATTTGGATTCGCAGCCCAAACCAGAGTCGGAGTTCATGTCACTCATCGCTCAAACAAAATCTGTCTGCAAATCAATGGTTTCGGATCATTCCCAGCCGAAGCCCCTTCCGGAGGTCATATCTCTCATCACATCTCTCACAACCACCAACATAAACGATTCCGTTTCGGTTCGGAAGCTTGAATCACATATCATTCATATAACTTCTTTTGCCAGCTCATCGAAGTTGAACTCGGATCTCATGTCACTCATATCTGAAACAATCTCTCTCTTCAAATCATCGGATTTGGAATCATACAAGCCGCTGCCGGAGCTAATGTCACTCGTTACTCAGATGATAAAGATGAAGTCGCAGCTCGTGTCACTCATTCCCGATACGATGAGTCTTCACCCGGAGCCGGAGCTCGTATCACTCATCCATCAAATATTCACCTTCTTCGTCAACTCTATGGACTCTAAGTCGCAGTCGCAGCAGATCAAGCCTATGGATCCGACGTCCGACTTTGAAAAGAAGCTCTTCTCACTCGTTGCTCCACTGGTCTCTCGTGAAGATTCGGATCCAGGGGTCGAGTCACAGATCATTCAAATCATCTCTCTGGTTAACTCAATGTATCCGAGGAGAGATAGAAACTCCGTGGAGTCACAGCTCATGTCACTCATTTCTCAAGTGATCTTTGTCTTCAAGTCTATGGATTTGGATTCTCAGCCGAAGCCGCTATCCGAGCTCATATCATTCATTTCTCTAAGAATCTCTGGCGGAGACTCTATAGAAGATTCGGAGTCGGAGATAATGTCACTCATTGGTGAAACAAAGAGTCTCAACCCGGAGCCGGAGCTCATATCACTCATCTATCAAATACTTTCCCTCGTCAATTCTATTGCTACAGCTCCATACTTTCAGGACATTATTTTCTTATACCCTCAAGAAGAAGTAAGAATGGAACAAGGAAAATTTCATGTGGATGAACAAGTCTCGTGGAGAAGCAATAGCAAGTGGGGGTGTTTCGCTGAAACATGGCAAGAGTTCAGACTAGAATACAGCCTATATAGAAGCAGCGGTCGCTATTTTCGCTGCCGGAACTGCAACGGCAAGTACCATAGAGAACATAACACGGCTCCAGTTGAGATCAAACACCCTCTGCATCCAAAACATTCTCTTGGTCTTGTCTTGTTGCAATCGCCTAATGAAACAAGAAAATGTTATTGTTGTGATAAAATACTCTCACAAGTATTTTATTACTGCTGGGCTTGCGATATTGCTATTAATTTTGACTGTGCGAGGGAACAACCGGTCTTGTATATAGACCGTCCCAAGTGGCATGACCATACACTTGCATTTTTCCCGAGTGAGGCTTCTTTAATCTGCAACCTCTGTGCCTTGGTCGGTTCAACAAGCTGTCCTTTCTATACATGTCCTCCTTGTAACTTTGTGGTCCATCAAAGCTGTCTCCGCTTACCACGTGTCATTAAGATATCACGCCATCCTCACCATCGTATCTCTTTTACTCCTTCTTTTGTTCAAGGAGATTGGGTTTGTGGTGTTTGTCGCAGAAATATTAACAACGATTATGGGGGTTATTCTTGCATCAAGGACGCTTGTTCGTTTGCAGCCCACTCGAAATGTGCCACACAGAGCAATGTCTGGGATGGCATAGACCTTGAGGGGTTTCCTGAAGAAATTGAAGAAGAAGAAGTTGAGCCGTTTGTGACGATAGGCGAAGGAATCATACAACATTTCAGTCATCCAGATCATCATTTGAGACTTGATGAGAACAAGGGCAGAGATTATGACGAGAACAAGTTGTGCCAAGCATGCATCATGCCAATCTATTTCGGTAACTTCTACTCTTGTATACATTGTGATTTCATTCTCCATGAAGCATGTGCAAAACTTCCTCGTAAATTATATCACCCGATACATCCACATTTGCTCACTCTAGTAGTGGAATTTGACCGTAAGAAGTCATGTTTAGCTTGCCCTTGGATGTACACTTCTGGTTTCTTTTATGAGTGCGATATATGTGAAAGAAAATATGGAGAAGAAGTTCAGTATTTTATGCTACATGTGCAGTGCGCCACAATTTCTGAGCCATTAGTCCATGAAAGCCATATGGATCCTTTATTCCTAACATCCAAACCAGGAGAGCAAAGAATTTGCTCGGTTTGCCAAGAGTCGGATCATAAGCACACAGAAACATTCAATTGCATTGAGTGCGACTTTGCTTTGTGTTTCAAATGTGCTACTTTGCCTCAAAAGGTGAGGTATAAGCATGATAAGCATGAGCTCACTCTTTCTTATGGGAAGGAGAGTACGTCGACGTATTGGTGTGAACTGTGCGAGAGAAAAATAAACCCCAAGAAGCGGTTATACATGTGTGAAGAATATTGTTGTGTCACTCTGCACATCGAATGTTTGATTGGGATTGACTTATACATGAAGCCCGGATCATCATATTTCATCCAAGGTGAAAAGATAGATGTTCTGCCCAACAATCGTCATATGTGTCGACCTTTTTGCAGAGTTTGTAAGAAGCGTTGTCTGTACAAAACAGCTTTGAAGCAAAGTAGATATAGCTGGGGTATATATTGTTCCACGCGTTGTTTGTTGGATAAGCTTGATAGCTATAAGCTCAAGAAGCGTTAACAAGTCGGGGGCACGTTGATGATCATTGCTCTTTCTTGTAAGAACTATTCTCGAATTGTATTCTGTTTCTGTTGCTTTGTGAAACAATCTTTTGATGTCCAATATTGTTATGAGAGCTTTGCATCAGCAGAGCAATGTTTGTTTTTTGTTGATCTCAAAGTCTATAGTTTTGTTATTCCAGTTTAATCGGTTATGTTTGTACCAAAATGTTGTCTGTTTTTTTTTTGTTCAAACATTTCTTCATTAGATTAAACCTTCAAACTACAACAAGAGGGAATAGTCCAAAATGTTGTCTGTTTAACAGTAGTCCGCGAGCGTCTTAACATTATATCCAGAATAAAAGTACAGTGTGGTTGGTTTTAAGAAAGTCTTAAAACCTGCAAAAAGGTTCTGCATTCTGATTTTTAAGAGAGATTTTAGGAGTACAAGTGGAACTATGAACTATGCAGAATCTTTTCCCAGGTGTGGGACTTTCGGACTAACAAGAATTGCTTCCTAAAGACTTCAGTTCAGTTTTTTTTGTCTAGCTTTCTTGTTCATGTCATTTGGATATGTTGCCTTGTTCTATGGATTTTTCATTTTTCTGATATATATGAATTTTTTCGGCCATTTAACTGTGCAGAGGAAATACGAATCTCAAATCTTTTCTTTTTCATTCATCTCAGTATTTTGATAATTGTGCCTTCATTTTTTTTTTCTTCTAATTGACTGTATTCTTTATTTGGGTTTTTTTAATTTCAACTTTTCGTCTAGCGTTTATAATTTTATTGGATAAATCACAAAACCGAAATTAAAGCTGTAATAACGGCTAAGATACGACATACTAATTAAAAATTAATTCAAGTTCAAACGTCGATTTCTCAGACACGCATAGATATACCAAAAACCATGTCTCGTGAAGATGAATTTCTCTATCTTCCCCAATAAAAATCTCTTTTTTATTTCTCTCGAAAAAATACGATTTCTTCTCTCCTTTCTTCGCATCGAAGCTTGACTACAGCTAGAATTCTCGCGAAACTCTATATCTTCTTGCTCGATCATCTCCTTCTCACACTACACTCTGAGTCCGTCCCTCTGAATTCTTCAGTTGAAGAGGGAGAAGTAGAAGACGAAGAGATGAATGAGAGAATAAAGCCCAAAATCAGAAAACCCAGTAGTCTGTTTTCCGAATCGAGGAAGGTCGCAGTTTCAGTTCTCTCTGTTTTTTTAGTTTTTATACTTGTTAATACCTTCTTCTATCCAAGTTTTTACTCCGATTCCGGCTCAATTCGGCGCAATCCCGTCGATTCCCGAGAAATGATCGATTTTCCGGGAATTTCGCGTAAAACGAGGGTTTACATGTACGACCTTCCGACGAATTTCACTTACGGAGTCATCGAGCAACACGGAGTAGCTCGCGGCGGAGAGAAATCCGACGACGTCACCGGGTTGAAATACCCGGGTCATCAGCATATGCACGAGTGGTATCTCTTCTCGGATCTTACCCGACCGGAAATCGAACGGGTCGGGTCTCCAATCGTCAGGGTTTTTGACCCAATGGAGGCGGATTTGTTCTACGTCTCCGCTTTCTCTTCTCTAAGCTTGATTGTCAATTCCGGTCGACCCGGTAATTCCGGGTCGGGTTACAGCGATGAGGCGATGCAGGAGAGTTTGGTGGGCTGGTTAGAGAGTCAAGAATGGTGGAGGAGGAACAATGGGAGGGATCATGTGATTGTCGCCGGTGACCCGAATGCGTTGAAACGGGTCATGGATCGGGTCAAGAATGCGATTTTGCTTGTGGCGGATTTCGGCCGGTTAAGAGGTGACCAAGGTTCGCTTGTGAAAGACGTAATCATTCCTTACTCTGATAGGATTGATGCCTATGAAGGCGAGCTTGGAGTCAAGACGAGGAACAACACGTTGTTGTTCTTCATGGGAAACCGTTATCGAAAAGATGTAAGATTCTTAATGTTCTCTAATGTTCTTGATCTTGAATTCGGAAGACTCCTCCATAGGTTCTAGCTAATGTTCTTGTTTGAGTAAATGGAAGAAACTTTTGCTGAATTTGGACAACATTTTGTTCTAATGTGCTCTGTTGTGTGTATTTGTTTGTTAGGGAGGGAGAGTTAGAGATTTGCTTTTCAAGCTGCTTGAGAAGGAAGACGATGTTGTGATCAAACATGGAACACAATCAAGAGAGAATAGGCGTGCGGCTAAACAAGGAATGCATACGTCTAAGTTCTGTCTACATGTAGCTGGTGATACTCCTTGTGCTTGCAGATTGTTTGATGCAATTGCTAGTTTATGTGTCCCGGTGATTGTAAGCGATGGCATTGAGCTACCTTTTGAAGATGTTGTGGATTACAGAAAGTTCTCGGTGTTCTTGAGAAGTGATGCCGCTTTGAAACCTCGATTTGTGGTTAAGAAGTTGAGAAAAGTGAAACCGGGGAAGATTTTGAAGTACCAAAAGGCTATGAAAGAGGTAAAGAGAGAGTTTTCTTCTTGTCCTGTGTTTTTTCAACTGTTTGTCACTTGTGAATCTAAAGAAACCAATATGTGAATGAATGTGAGTTTGATTCGTGTAGGTGAGACAATATTTTGACTATACGCATCCGAATGGAAGTGTGAATGAGATCTGGAGGCAAGTTACTCAGAAGATACCGCTAATCAAGCTTATGATCAATCGTGAAAAAAGAATGATCAAGAGAGAAGCAAATGATCCGCAATGCTCTTGTTTATGCTCAAACCAAACCAGTATCATCCATGTTAGATAGTAGTCGTTTAAAGCCGTTGGTAAAAACTGAATACAACTGTAGTAACAAAGTAACTAAACACAACTCACAGTGACAAGCATAACTTTATAACTGATCAAGAAGGCGTCTGGTTTTGGCTATCTCAAGCGGTGTGATGACGTTTCCAAGCCAAAATGGTCTCCTTAGTATCCCAAACGACATTGTTGGTGGAATGAGTCAGTTGACTGATATAAACCTGTGGTGTCTTCTTGTATAACTTATCTAAACTGTGCCAGGCAAGAACTAACAATGGAAAACCTAAGACCCACTTACCGGTCCTGAAGAATTCCACCTCAGGGAAAAGCAGAGGAGCTATGATAAAGCTAAAGACCGTACTAGCCCAAAGTGACATGAAAGCAACATTTACATCAGACCGAGGCTTCTCCGGGGACATTCCTAGATGTCTCCTAACCTCCACAACTATAGTCTTTACAAGAGACTTTCTGCGCAAAAAGACATGATAAGAAGAAGAGCCTTTAAGTAATATAAGACTATGATATAAAAAAACGATCATACCCATAAACTTCTGTGGAAAGGCCGATTCTTTCGGTTACAGACTTGAGGGCAAGCTCCCATGTATTGATCATCTTTTGATCATTTGCGTGTTTCAGCTTCATTTTCTTGAAAAGGGTGGTGAACTCTTTCTCTTGTCCGTTGAAATCGGTTTCTTCTTTATCAAGTTTGTATGCTCTTTTGACATCACTTGCGGTAACGTTATAGAAGATAGGGATCACCACGAGTTTGCCTTCGTTCATTGCTTCATTCATCTTCACTAGCTCATTCAAACACCACTCAGACTCGCAGTACCTCTTGGAGAATACTGCGAGCGCGATTTTCGAGTTATCTATCCTTGTGTAGAGTGTTCTTAGTTTTCTTCCCTTTAACTCATGGACGTCTATAAAGACGTTGACTTCTGCTTCTCTTAAGGCTCTCACGAGTTGGTTCACGAAGTTGTCTCTGAGCTCCTCTCCGCGGAAGTTGATGAACACCTGAGGGGGACGGGGTTTGGCCTTCTTCACCGCCATTGGCCTGAGAGACAAAAAAGGAAAATATAGTAGGTGAAAGACAAAAGTCATACAAACTGATGTTTTCATTGCAATGTTCTTTTGAGTCCCCTGAGACTGAGAGACAAAAGACAATATAGTAGGTGAAGACTTTCGTTGTTTTTCACTGGTCTTTAGTCTAGGCGTTTCTCAGTCTTTCTTTAATATAATCAGGAACAACGTGAGAAACCACATCAATGTCTCTCTAAATGCCAAATGGTTACTCATACATGGCTACTACAAAAAAAATGACTTATAAAATGCGTGTAGAGAAAATCAATAAATCCAAGGAAACACTAGTAAACACAAGCTACTATATTGTGTTTTTTTTCTTTTTGGGCATATATTATTCTTTTTTTATGAACTCAATGATATGATGTAAGAAATTAATATCTATTACTTAAGTTTACTTTCCTTTTTATTCTTATTAGCAAATTTCCATTTTTATAATATCCATATTCAATGGACAGCCAAAAGGAAAAATTATTCCTCAACGGGGCTACGTCAAGGAGACCCGTTATCACCTTATCTCTTTATCCTTTGTACGGAGGTGTTAATAGCAAACCTAAACAAGGCCGAAGAAATGAAGAGGATCACTGGGTTGAAGGTGGCGGGCGAGTCCGGCGGTATCTCATCTCTTGTTTGCCGATGATAGCTTATTCTTCTGCAGAGTAACTGCAGAGGAGAGCCGGGTTTTAATCCAAATTTTAAAAGATTATGAGGCCACATCAGGGCAACAAATAAATCTGGGGAAGTCCTCAGTTCAGTTTGGGCATACGGTGGAACCTGGATGTGAGACGGGAGATACATCAAACTTTGGGAATTACAACGGTAGGGGTGTAGGAAACTATCTGGGGATTCCGGAAAGTTTAGGGGGAGCAAAGACAAAGATATTCAGCTTTCTGGTGGAGAGACAAAATCAACGCATAAATGGCTGGAATTCTAAGTGGTTATCAAAAGGGAGAAAAGAGGTTCTTATTAAGTCAGTAGTTCGGCGATGCCCACACACGTCATGTCATGTTTTCGTCTACCTAAGGAATAACTAATAAGCTTTCGAGTGCGGTATCAAATTTTTGGTGGAGCAATAGTGGACAATCACGGGGAATGTACTGGTTGGCATGGAGAAACTCTGTAGACATAAGAAGGATGGGGGGTTTGGGTTTCAGAGTTATTGAGGACTTTAACACGGCCTACTGGCCAAACAGTTATGGCGGTTAATGGACCATCCGGAATCGCTTTCGCACGGGTTTTAAAGGACGGTACTACCGGAATTCTACACCTTTGGACATCAGATCTTACTCTCCTTCCTATGGTTGGCAGAGTAAGTTTTGGCTCGACCTCTGGTACAACAGGACTTATTAAAAGGGTTGGATCAGGATCATCAATCTCCGTTTGGGAGGATCCATGGATTCCAGCTTCTAGCCCGAGGCCAGCCGTAGGACCTGGGATAAATTTCTTCCTCCACCTTCGGGTGAGTGAATTGTTAGTCCCGGTACAGCAACGTGGAATTTGCCACTATTACATCAATTGTTTGATAGCATAGATGTTCCCCTAATTCTGGGGATCCCAACATCACACCTTTCCCGTCGTGATTCCATGGAATGGTTTTACACAAGGACAGGTCGATATACGGTTAGATCGGGTTATGAGATAGCACAAAGGACTCGGGAGGATAGTAACCCTCTGTTGTTTGGTCCGGATACAAGGGGTCTTCAGGCTCAAGTGTGGAAAGTACAATGTACTCAAAAAATACAACATTTCCTGTGGCAATCGCTGACGGGTTGTATAGTGGTGGGAGATAGACTGAGAAGTCGAGGAATGCAGATAGATCCCCAATGTATGCGGTGTGGGATGGCACCAGAAACAGTGAATCATACTCTGTTTGAATGCCCACCAGCACTACAGGTTTGGGCTTTATCTCCAATTCCAACGGCTCCAATACGGTTCCCAATAGGAAGTTTGTTTACTAATATGGCATATTTGTTTTGGGAATTACCAAATGATGATAGAATGAGGATGTACCCTTGGTTGATTTGGTATATTTGGAAAGCTCGCAATGATAAGGTTCTAGGGAATGTGGATTGGGATCCCAAATGATATAATTACAAAAGCGACAGCGGAATCATTGACATGGGCTAAGGCCCAGGAAAAACAAAAAACAGAGATTCCACGATTACAGACTCAAGTGGAAACCATTTTATCGGGTGACCGGTGTCAAGTGGATGGAGCATGGAAGGAGACAGATTGTAGGGCTGGCCTGGGATGGTATCACTTCAATCCAGCTACACAGAGTAAGCTGATGGGCTCGTGTAATCTGAGACGGGGAATATCTCCACTTCAGACTGAACTAGAGGCACTCCTTTGGGCGATGCAGTGCATGCTGCGGCATAAAAAGTTAGTAACGGTATTCGAGACGGACTGTTCCGACGTGGTGAAGATGGTGTCTAAACCAGAGGAGTGGCCGGCGTTTGCAATACTTCTTGATGAGGTCGACAAATGCAAGATGGGGTTCACCTCATTTTCAATTGTCCACATACCCAGGATGAACAACACGAAGGCAGACAAGCTAGCACGAAGTGCTCGAGCTCTACCTACTGATGTGTACTATGTAAACTCTGTATCACCAGCTTGGATCCCGAGTTCTGTAGATAGAGAGGCTGTTGACAAAAAAAAAAATCCATATATTTTCTTTTATTCCATATCGGTATTATTACTTTAACATATTAATTTTAGAAAATTTTCTATTTTACAAATATTTTACTAATTAGATTTTAGTAATTGTTATTTTTATATAGATTATCTAATAATGTAGATTGTGTCTTTTATATATTAGTGAAAATACTGATGTGGATTATACCAAATTTGTTAATTACTATGGCTGTAAATGGTAACTGAAGAATTGTGGAATCTTGAGGAATCCAGCTGAACTTTTAGTTTGTGTCACCAGTTGCTTTTGAAGAATGCAGCTGAATTACAGTACGAGAAATGCAGCTGAATTGGAATTAAAAAATATTTAATTAAAAATCTGTGGATGTTAAGAAGCCAAAACCACTTGTGACAAAAGAAGAAAAAAAAAGAGCCAAGATCACTCAAAAAGGCAAAAGGCATTTACATCAATAAAGTTTAAAATAAAAAATTTACACAACTACAACTATCTAACTCTAATTATATATCAAAGCTGTGACTGCTTTTTCTTTTCTTTTTTAAATTAGTCGAATAGTAGAACAATTTTATTTAAAATTGCAATATACCACAAAAAATATAGAGCTTTTATTAAAAAAACATTTTGGATTCAAAAAATAAATTTATTGGTGTGAATCCAAAAATTTATAAAACAAAATTTATTTTAGTCTACAATAAATTTAATTATAATTATAGCACATAAACTTTGAGTAATAATAAAAGAGAAAAACGGATAATGTTGTTATGCATACAATACGAAAGGGAATTAAGCAACAAATATAACAAATATGTTATGATTTTCATTAACAAATTGGTAACTATAACATATTATTTTCAATGTATCCCTTTATTTTTTTAGCTATGATGTTTAATATGTCATGTGTTCTTTATTATTTGGTATTTTAGAGTTTTCATATAGATTAAAATATAATTAATGCTTAACTTTTAATGTATTACATTTTTATTTTAAATAACTATTAACCAATAAAAATTATAAAATTCTCTTGAAGTTTGCATTTTTTGATATTTATTAACAAAAATGATATTTAATAATTTAAAACATCAAATAATAAAGTCTAAAACATCAAATATCAAGAAACGGAAGGAGTAAATTATTATAAATCAAAATTTATATTTGAATATTTGATTATTTTACAAGTAAATGTTTTATATTTATTTTATTAATTTAATTGGATGAATATTTTATCACACAAATAATTTGTTACACTTATTCCGCATTCAGCAGCATTCTGCATTCAGCAACATTCAGCAGTTACCATTCACAATATTAACTATTCAGCCAGATTTCGCAAACAGTTACAATTTAATTCCGCCAGATTCCGCATTCAGCAACATTCCGCAATTACCATTTAGACCCTATATCGGACAAGTTAGGCCCAATAAGGGTTTACAAACTCTGAAACTTCTTCAACCTAGCTAATTTATGTTACATCGATCGTTGTTGAAGTTTGAAAGAATTGAAGAGGATGTCCGATACTCCAATGGGTTTGGCAGAGGATGTGCCTTCTAGGCTTCCCGTGACATCTGTGAGAGGATTCCGATCTGCTTGCAAAAAGTGTAACACCATATCCAAAGATCAGAGCTTTACAAAGAAGCACCTTGCGAAGAAGAGGAAGAAGTTACCTGCGAATTTGACAATGATGTCCGATCTTCCTAAGGATTTGTTAGAGGAGATACTCTCTAGACTTCCCGTGACATCCCGTGCAAAAAGTGGAACACTTTATACAGTAGTAGTGGCTTTACTAAGCATCACATAGCTCAAACAAAAGCAGCAGCAGCAAGGGAGCCTATGGTAGTCATGGTGATCGATTGTCGTGTTTACTTAATGGGACTCGATCTCCATGGAATTCACAAGGGCATCGAACCATCTATAAACCCTAAAGGTAAACTTATTACCCTAGACGACTCAGATCGAGTCGATATATCTCAAGTATACCATTGCGACGGTTTATTGTTATGCATCACAAAAGATTTCGCTAGGTTGGTTGTTTGGAATCCGTACACGGGCCAAACCTTGTGGCTCACGCCTGGAGTCCGTGGCCCTAGATTGGACCTTTATATGTATGCTATAGGATACGATAATATTGAGATATGAAGAAGATTCACCTATAGTTAGCTATGCTGAGTACGAGTACGAAATCTACGATTGTAAACTCTAATTCACGGAGGGATCTCGATGCCACTTCCGACTGGGAGACAAAGTTTTATGCGTGGCGTGTCTCTCAAGGGAAATACTTATTGGTTTGCTCAAGAAAAGTATCAGGACTATACGACCCTGCTTATTTCTTGATCTGTTTTGATTTCACAAGAGAGAGATTTGGCCCGCGTCGTCCTCTGCCCTTTCACTTTAGGATTGATGATATAGTCACTCTTTCGAGTGTTTGAGAAGAGCAACTAGCAGTGTTATTTCAGCCCCGTAACAGATGACATATGGAGATTTGGGTTACGACTAAGATTGAGCCTGAAGCTGCCTTGTGGAGCAAGGTGTTCTTATCAGAGATTATCAGTTTGGTGTTACGCGTGGGAGTTTCATCATTGACCAAGAGATGAAAGTCGCTGTGGTTCTTGATAAAGAAAGATACGTGAATGACCCCACTCGCAACGTAGCTCATATCATTGGGGAGGATGGCTATTACAGAGAAGTGGACCTCGGAGAATCTACAGAAAAACGTAAGTCTCCACTTGGGTGCTCCTATGTTCCAAGTTCAGTGCAAATCAAGCAAGGAGGCCAAAAGGAAGAATTTTAATTCAAAATTTCAAATGATTAATTACTGCTTTTACAACTCTTGCACGTTTTTCTTTTGTTTCAAACGTTGAATCTGTTGCTCCTCTGAACGGTTGAATCTCTAAGGAACTGTCTTAATTTGTTCACTCTTTGCTTTTTCTACTCTGACAAACATAAATTGTTGATTTTCCGTATTGTTTGATTTTGAAATTCCTAATGTCAAATATACTTAATAGTCCGTATAATAAAGAGATATTTTAGTTCTCATTCACTATTTTTTTGATTTTAATTATGGTTATCTTATATATAATAGGAGAGTACTGCTCTTTCCTCCTAGGCCATCCACATCAGCAAAAAAATCATTAATTGTATTTAAGATATTTAATATATGTGTATTAATATGTATTTATATATATTCCTATTTTACACATCTTATATATAATTATGGAGTTGCTCTCTCCATCTAGAGGGTCTACATGAGCACAAAAGCATTAAATTATATTTAAAATATTTATTTAAATACATGACTATTCATATTTTTTTACATTTTAAAATAATTAAAGTAAGAAAAAAACACAAACAAATTAATTAATTAATATAAAGTATGCGATAACTTGAGGTTAAAATTTATCAAAAAGTTGGAAAATAAATTGAAGATGGAGTAAATAGATATTTAACTTCAAATAGTATATATTTACCTTTTTATTCAAAGGAATTATCATATTTAAAAATATTATAATGTGTTTACAAGTTAAAAAGTTGAAATATAATTTAATTAAAATAATAGAAAGCTAATGAGAAATTAGAGTTAGAGTTCGTTTTTTAAAACAAATAAAATACGAGTTTTTATATGTTGATTTAATTGCAGCGAAAAATATGAAAATTTTATGAATTATGATATGTTTGTTTCAAAAATATAACTTATATTTACAAAACTAAAATAAGCAATGGTCATGAGGCTCACATGCTACCACAACAAAGTAGATATGTAAAAAAAAATATATATATTATTTTGTTCATCTTATTTCGGGTGAAAATGCGATTTTACATTATATTTACAAATTTTAATGTTGAGTGTAATGCATATTCATGTTTATAGTCTAATAGAAGTAAAGAAACATAATACTTAATAAAATGTTAAATTTTAGAATTAGAAAACTCGAGATAAAGTGAGGTGTTAATATCCTAATAAAATAAAATAAAACACAAATTGTTCATATATTTTAGTGTGAGTGGTTGGCTTTACTCAAAACATAAAAAAAAATAAATAAAGTAATACAAACCATCATAATTCTAATCAACGAGTAAAACTAAATAGAAAAACTATCGCCAACAACCCCACGCTTGTGCGGGGCTTCAGACCTATGATCCAAATCTATGAGGTTTTAAAAGGATCTGGAAAATTTTAAATGATTTAAGCAAATTTCAATAGTTGATTTATAGAAATCTCAAGACTTTGAAAAGTAAACAAAGTAATTTTCTCTATTTATAAACTTTTTTAATCCATAGAGTTCAAACAAGTATCATCCACACAAAAATATTAGAGATTTCTGCCTTTAATAGTATATCTACGTGTGAAGGTCTGCTTGAAGGAAAAAGAACTCCTCCTTACGTTTACCCACGCAATTACATGTTTGAAAGAATGTGTAACATCGATAATGTTTTCGCCGACCCTTTGGCGTTTTGATTCTTATATGTTTCAAAACGGTATTTGCCTTCAGAGAACTGATAAGTACTCACATCAAGAGGAAAATTAACGAACTCCATTAAGCATTTTGAATGTGAGTACTCATCAATTTTCTATCCTAAACCTCCGGATCCACTTTCTTCATTTTGCTTTGGGTTGATACATGGAGAATCACCCGCATGCTCTCTACAGGATAATATAACAGAAAACAAACATGTCAACTTAGAAGTTCAGGATACAAATGTGAGCTAAGAGTCTGATTATGAAGAATAATAGCTTGAAAAAAAAGACTTACGTTTTAGGTTTCTTCGCATTATGGTTGGTCACCAAGACCGTATCCATTGACTCCTCTTGGTTCTCCTTGGTCCAAATCTAAACCTTCATCAACTCCTACCGCCCTTTTTCTTGAATTTGGATTAGGTCCCATGTCTCCCTAAAGAAGCAAAGAAACCCAAAAGAGAAAGAGAGAGAACATGTGAATATGCTGAGAGACATATAGTATAACAAATGCAAAAGCAAAGTTTAAATATTAAAGACCTTAAGTGAAGATGATCCACCATCTCTGGAAAATCCATGATAGGTGAATCCCACAATTCCAAGACCACGAGTCTTGCTCTCAAAACTAACTCCCTCTTCCATCACGCGCTTGCCTTTAAGCTCATGCTTAGACTTAGGTGTAGGTATTTCAACATCATGCTTCACATCATTCACACCGTTGGTTGCCTCATCACTGTTTGATTTTGAGGTACCTGGTTTTTAGAACCCTCCATGCCACTCAGTTTCAGAGCTGGAAAGCACGGTGCAGCCTGACCCCAGCCCCCGGAAACGCAGTAGCAGAATGATAGTTCAGTTGTGGTCGAAATCCATGATTTTGAGTAGTAGGCTGATTCAGCTTAAATGTTTGCATCGTAGGAAGAGATAGAGGTGGGGGAACATGCAGAGACGGTGGAGGGAGATGACGTTGCACCTGAGGAGGTTGAGTTCCAACTTGATGAGACACAATGCATGTTGTTTGGAGAAGAGCTTCCCTGGTACTATTGAGTCTTTAAACCAAATTTTACGTCAAACCAAGAAAATAATCTGCTTGTTTCCTTAGTTTTTTTACTAAACTTTTTTTGTTTTCAAGGAATTCAAGTTCATGTTCAAATGATTCCTCAAGCGCAATGGTACCCACCACCACAATATCAGCTGTACTACCAAAATGATATGGGATACTATTACATGCCTCAACCTTATGATTTTCCAAGCCAACATCAAGTGCCCTATGTGCTGCCACTTATTCCATATATGGCTGAAACTCACTCTCCTTTGCAAGCTCAACCAGAACTCTTATCTCTGAGTTTGGCTCTACATCAGCCTCATGCTGTTTCCCCATCAGCTTCGCTACCCCAAGCTAACACATTAAGTCTGCCACACAATACTATTGGCGAGGGTCCGTCACACTCACGCCAGCCAAATCCATTATGGTGCTTAGAGCCAATTTATCCTTAAGCTAACCAGGCAAGATCTGATACTTTTGAACATGCGGAGATCTCCTCCAAACAACATGCATGTGTCTCATCGAGTTGGAACTCAACATGCTCAGGTGCAACGTCTTCTCCCTCCACCGTCTCCGCATGTTCTAAAGTATCAGATCTTGCCTGGTTAGCTTGAGGATAAATTGGCTCTAAGCACCATAATGGATTTGGCTGGCGTGAGTGTGACGAACCCTCGCCAATAGTATTGTGTGGCAGAATTAATGGGTTAGCTTGGGGTAGCGAAGCTCATGGGGGCAACAACATAAGGCTGATGTAGAGCCAAACTTAGAGATGGGAGTTCTGGTTGAGCTTCCAAAGGAGAGTGAGTTTCAGCCATATATGGAATTGGTGGCAGTACATAGGGCACTTGATGTTGGCTTGGAACATCATAAGTTTGAGGCATGTAGTAGTATCCCATATCGTTTTGGTAGTACAACTGATATTGTGGTGGTGGGTATCATTGCGATTGAGGAATCATTTGAACATGAACTTGAATTCCCTGAAATCATTTATTACAAAAAAAATTAGTAAAAAAACTAAGGAAACAAGCAGATTATTTTCTTGGTTTGACGTAAAATTTGGTTTAAAGATTCAATAGTACCACAAAAGCTCTTCTCCAAAAAACATGCATGTGTCTCATCAAGTTGGAACTCAACCTCCTGAGGTGCAACGTCATCTCCCTCCACTGTCTCTTCATGATCCCCCACCTCTATCTCTTCCTACGATGCAAACATTTAAGCTGAATCAGCATACTACTCAAAATCATGGATTTCGACCACAACTGAACTATCATTCTGCTACTGGGTTTCCGGGGGCTGGGGTCAGGCTGCACCGTGCTTTCCAGCTCTGAATCTGAGTGGCATGGAGGGTTCTAAAAACCAGATACCTCAAAATCAAACAGGTGATGAGGCAACCAACGGTGTGAATGATGTGAAGCATGATGTTGAAATACCTACACCTAAGTCTAAGCATGAGCTTAAAGGCAAGCGCCTGATGGAAGAGGGAGTTAGTTTTGAGAGCAAGACTCGTGGTCTTGGAATTGTGGGATTCACCTATCATGGATTTTCCATAGATGGTGGATCATCTTTGAAATAACCAAACTATTTTTTTGTTTTAATAAAATCCTAAACAATTCTAGCGGAAGTCTGAAAATAAATTAAAGAAATAATTATCAAACAACATAATTTCAGTGGAAGCAAAAACAATTAAATAAATAAGTCTAGCAACTTAAACAAGTTCAAATCAAATAATACAAAACACATAAAATCCTATCATCCCCTCTTCAGCATTGATTCCGTGATCACAAGAATCCTTTATTTGCATCACATTTGCGAAAGATATCCGTAAGTATTTAATAATAAATACTTAGTGAGGCAATCACCCTACCTACGGGCCATTTACGCAATTATTAACAATTTAAAATCTTATAATTATATAAACCTGGATGCACGCGATGTGGTTGCGACACGTAGAATTCTTATAATTTAGTGGATCACGGCATGTGTCACTTTTAGTTTTATGGCTTTAAGATCGTGACATGTGTCATGAAAAAATTATTAAAAAAAAATAAATGGGAAAATTGTATCCATTTAAAAGGAAAAAAAAAAATTATCATATCCTAACAGAAAAATGTTTTCCATTCATCAAATTTATACTATCCAAACACATATGAAATTCAAATAAACAAAATCATATTAATACATGGAATAGGTGAACACATAGTAAAATCAATTCAAAAAAATCTTATTAGTACATGGAATAGGTTACACTAACTATTCTTAATAATGTATTAAATAAAATCTTATAACTCCATGGTATAGGTTACGTGAACCCCTATAATAGGTTATCGCGACATGTGTCAACTTTAATTTGACTCATATTAAGAGTTTGATACTATGTGTTTTGGAAAAAAAAAAAAAAAACTATTTAAAATTGTGTTAAAAAAAAAGACAACATAGATTTGCAATATTCTAATGGAAGAAGGAAAAAGTATTTTTGCATACCTAATATTCTAAAATTAAATAAATGAAAAAGTATATTTCCATATTCTAACTGAAAAAGGTTCCATATTCTAACATAAAAAAAAATTGCATGCATCATATTCAAAGATATAAAGGTTACATATTCTAATGGAAAAAGTAAAAAATAAACAAGAATACACAATTTAAGTTTTCGTGTATCTTATATTATTCAATATTATTTTACTTACTTTTAAGAATTCTCATAATTTAATAATAATTTTACATTATTAAAATAGCCATTAATTAATTAAATCCCGAGTTAACCATTAAATTCACTTAAACCAATTAAACTCAGTTAAACCCAATTAAACCGGCCCGTGTCGAGCGACACGAGCTTGGTGTCGCCCTTCACTAAGATTCAAAACACAGAGAACGACGAATGAACAGTACCGAAACGATGAAATCACAATTAAACTCAAAACACTGAAATCAAACACCAATAACACCACGAAATCAACACACGATCAAGCATACAACACAATCCTAGCAATCACGGACCCACAATCATGCACTCACCTCAGATTTTCGGATTGAAAAGGGGTAAACCGAAGGAGATGATGAACTGTGACGAAGAACACGAAGAAACACCAAGCAGCAGCCACCAATACGAACCAAAGCCTCAAATAAACGAAGAACATCCTCGGATTGATCCCACAAACGCCAAATCGCCTTCAATCTCTCTCCCTCAAGTTTTTCGCTCATAAAACGACAAAAGAAGGAAGAAGAAAGCGGCTGCGCAGTTTTATTTCGTGAACAAGGGTTTCCAAGCCCTTAACCGGTCCAAACCAACTCAAATTGAACCGGAATTGGATTTTAACCATTGGTGTCGACCGATACCACCCTAGTGTTGCCCGACACCAAAGAAAAATAGCAATTCTTTGATCTACGGATGTTACAATCTTCCAGAAATGGTGGTGGATCATCAATTTTGAATGTAAGTGCTCAAATATACTCAATTTTTTCTGTATTTTTTTATTCGAAAATAGTGATATTACTAACTTAATAAAGAGATATCTTAGTTCTCATACACTTTTTTTTTTTGAATTATGCATAATGGGTTCTTTTAGTTGCCAACCATCAAAACAATATGAATGTGAACTAGTACTTTGGTACAATGTCAAAATTTCTTATCAGTCGCCGTAAAGATTACAAGAAAACAGTATTTCAATTGTTTATTTATTCAAATCTAACCTTATAAGGTGGTATTTGGATTTTTTGTTTTTATTTAGAAAATATCACAAGAATTTCTCAAAACAGTTTTTGATATTACTAGTGAAATCCTAATTTTCCAATAAGGTGGGATTTTAAAGCATTTGCACAAATGATGAATTCAATAACCTTGGATTTTGAGTGATTTAAAATAATACTAATCCAATAAGGGGTGATCTGAAAAAAGAAATCCTCCTAAATCACCAATTCAATATCCCTCAAAGTTTAAGATGAGTCAACAATTCACTAAAACAAACAAATCGGGTCAATATTTCGTTAAACCACTCAATAGTCAATAATAATGAAATGAAATCGAACCTTACCACAAGAGTTACACTTTTCACCCCAAGAACAATGTATATATATATATATTACTAACCTATAAGCACTCCCCAACATCACATAAATACGTTTTAATTACTTCCACATCCAAGACAATGGCTTTTCCTTGGGTCAGCAGAAACGTGTTTCCGATTATTCCTCTTCTCATCGTTCTTCTATCAATCACCCCTTTGTCTTCATCAATCGCCCCTTCGTCTTCACATTTTTCTCCAAGTGACAAAGTCACAAAAGCACTAGTTGAACAAAAGAGTACAAATGAAATTTCAATAATTTACTGGTTCGGCGAAATTTGAACCGTGTATGACTTTGAAACTTCGTTTGTGGCTTTCTTATTTTAATGATAGATTTACTAAAACCTTTTAAATCCCACCAAACTCAACTAACACCCCACTTAAATAATAAAATTACCAAAAACAATTAAAACCACCTCAAATCGTTACTCCAATACACCAACCAACTCCTTTAGTCTATTGTTAGAAGACAATCATTTGCGTTTTTTTTGTCCGTCACGTCAAAGTGTCAACGCTAAACCACCAAACACTGAAAATGGCTGCTTCATCTTCCCACGGTGAACCCAGCCGCTCGAACCCTGAACCGTCAAAGGGTCCCCGCCCTGTTCGCCGTCCTCAAGTTTTCGTAAGTTTCCGTGGAGTTGATGTGCGCGAGACCTTGGTCAAGTACCTCCTGGGTGCCTTCAAATACCAAGGGGTCAATGTCTTCATAGATGCAAACGAGCGAGCTGGGATGAAACTACAAAACCTCTTCAAGAGGATCGAGCAGTCGAAACTGGCGGTCGTGATCTTCTCCAAGAGGTACGCAGACTCTGATTGGTGTATGGAAGAGCTTGCCAAGATCGACGAGCTAGAGAAACAAGGCAAACTTAGGGTGATTCCAGTCTTCTACTACGTGACCCCGAGCGACGTGAAAAACATCCAGGGAGAGTTCGGCGAAGGTTTCGGGAGATTGAAGAAAGAGTTTGCCGACAAAGAACCAGAGAAGGTCCTCAGGTGGGAGGCTTCTCTGAAGCCAATTGCAGAAATCAAAGGCTTGTGCGCTTACTATAACGGGTATTGATTTCTTGATAATCCTTATTGATGGGTTTTAGGGTATTGATTTCTTGCCAAGAAAATAATTTTTCTTATTTTATTAAGTATTAGAATCTTTCATTGGCGTTGAGTGTATACTAGCCTAGGTTCCTTAACTTCTTCATCTTATTTGTTTCTCACTCATGTTGCAGTAAAATTGGTCCTCCACTTGACCGCCAGATTGTTAATGCTGTACAAGTATGGCTAAACGAAATGCCAGGAGGAAAGGTCAAGCCCCGAGAAACTAAAACGACGACCGGAGAAGTGGTTTTTTGGGCCTTTTTGGCAGCTGTTCTCTGTCGTCTCGTCGTATCTCCTCTGTTTTTCAATGACGCGAACTTTTTCAAAACTCGTGTGTGGTTGTTTGGTTTTCCAACAGCTGTTGCTATCTATTTCTGTATCATGAACGCGCGACACAAGAAAAACCCACCTCCTAGCCCCAAACCAACCCCTTCCATCACCGGACCAGCATCAGCACCACCACCTCCTTCTTGATCGATCGGTCAAGACTAATTGTGTTTACTACCTTCAGAATAAACGTTTCCTGCTTGTACGTACTTGATTTTCTCTGTTTGAAGACATTCTTAATAGTTCTGTAAGTCTTTGCTTCTTCACACTTGTCTTTTTTCAGTTTCCTCTATTGTCACTTGTCAGCTTTAGACTCGTATATCTCTCAGAGAAAATCACAAGCACGAAAGATTTTTAAATAACTAAAATTCTATCACGTAACTGATCTTCAAGTTCAAAATAATAATTCAACAATAAGTTGATAGCGATCTAAAGGAGAATAAGTCTTAAATTGATCACAAAGTGAGAAAAAAAAAAATCAAACAAGCAAGAGAGCCATACATGCTCAAAATCAGACAAGGAACTAAACCAACAAGACAACAAAAACGTATTGACACAAGCGTAGAGACAGAACGAAGAATAAATACCAAACACATCTTTGTTCTTTAAGGAAGAAGAGCACAACCCTAGACGACACTATTATCATCAGAGTTTTTAGTTCCCAAGTTAAACCTAAAAAAACGTTTCCAAAAAAAAAAAAAAAAAAAAAAAAAAAAAAAGGTAGGCCTAACTGCAATAATCATAAGAATAAGATAACCTAAGAATGAGAACAGTGCAAGACAAGTTAATTAATCTGACCTATCATCATCATCCAAGATACTTATTTGGTACAAGTTAAACCTAAAAAAAAAATTCTATAAATTTTTGAAGCCTAATTTCACGTCTCATCATAATAGCTTATGTTTTTATTGAAACAAAAACACTTATGTGCTCACCAGCAACACCAAGTACTGCATGCTTAGTGAAATAACTTAATCTGACATCTGCGAAAACGCTTTACAGAATTAAGAAGCTCCTCGTAGACATCTAAATCTTCGACGGGGTTTGTGAAACTCAGATTGACTTTCATAAGGACTTCTGAATTGTCAAGCAAATACCTCACTAGTTTCATCCCAGTTTTTTCCCACGTAACTAGTTTCCTAATCTCAACACATTCTAGAGTCGATGATAGACACCGAGGCACATAGGTAAGATCGATCTTCCCTAGCTCCACTGAAACAGAAAAGTCCTTCAAAAAAAATAAAAAACCACGATGAGGTTTTTCAATAATGTTCTTAATTACTTATCCAAATCACAGGTTTCTTCTTACCAAGATGAGGTTTTTCAGATTCGGGCAACTCTCAAGAACAACTGGCAACAGGTGTATAAATGAGCTGGAGAACGCAGTCTGCAAATGAGATAGGTTATGCAATTTGGGAATCGGTTCCAATTTGGAATACAGATAAACGTTCTGCAAGAAGAAAGAAAAGGATACATGTGAGAATCGTTTTAGAGAGAATCATGTAGTCATCATAAAGTATATGTAATAATAATACCATTAGAGTGCGCTGAGAGATGATCATATGTTTCACACTAGAAATACCGGTAAGAAAAGCAAGGATAATATCACTCTTCCTTAAACCCTCCGGTTCCAAAGCACTGCCAAGACGATCGACAAAGAATTCTGTATCAATGTCTATCTTGCACAAGGAACTCAAGTTCTTTACCACAAGTCTTTCAAATTGATCACTATCTCTAAAACTCAGATACTCGAGTCTTGGAGCATCAATCTCAACTGAAGAACCAGTACCATCCATTCTCCATTTACGTATGAAACGGAACATCTTGAGAGTCTGAGACCTTACAAGCAGAAGAGGGCGAGTTTCTATAGATTTATAATCACCCCTTAGAAAAGGGTCTTTCAAGATGAGATCTTCAAGAACAGGACATCCTGAGATGAGCTTCTCCAGACCATCGACATAGTAACACAAGTTATCAAGATGCATGATCTTGAGTCAAGGTAGAGAAACAACACACTCTGGATCTGGTGGTAGCACTGCATAATCGAGCTTTAAAGACACCAATGTCTTGCTCTTAAACATATTCCGAGGCATGAAATCGGTGGAATTCAGACAACTGCTTACCTGAACATTTAGGTGTTGGATCCCAAGATCAACTGCTGTGGCGATCCACACTTTTAATCTGTGTCTACTTTTACTGTGACTGTTGTGATCATACTGTTAATGTTTTGTGTTTGATGATGTTTACCAAAATGAGAAAAAACAGAGTATATGTTGTAACGAAACTTTTATTAATAACTTGAATGTATTACAACTTGTTGTGATGATTGAAACAGAAACTTGATCACATATTTATACAAAATGAAAAGATGTCTTTAAAAGACACAACTCTTAATCTAAAAGACATGACTCTTTAATCTAAAGAAACATGACTGTTGAATCTAAAAGACACAACTCTTGAACAAGACAACTTGTGTCTCTTGATTAAATAACTAACTAATGTTAATGTGACTTTAGTTTATGAGATATGATTATAGTTCAACACTCCCCCTTAATCATATCTCGGCTTCACTCCAAGCTTCTTCCTAAGTTCTTCAAACCTTGAAACACTTAAGGCCTTTGTAAGTATGTCCGCGAGTTGATCTTCTCCTTTGCAATACTCAAGTTGAATGAGTCCTTTGTGCTCGGCTTCTCTCACGAAATGATACTTGATCTCTATGTGCTTCGTTCTTCTATGTTGAACAGGATTCCTTCCAATTGCTATTGCCGACTTGTTGTCACACAATATGGGAATACCTTCTTCGAACTTTAAACCAAAGTCCTCAAAAAGTCTTTGTAACCAAATGGCTTGGTTTGTTGCTGCACATACGGCGATGTACTCTGCCTCCGCCGTTGATTGTGCCACTGTTTGTTGCTTGCATGATTGCCAACAAAACATAGCTGATCCAAGACTAAATACATAGCCTGTGGTGCTTTTCTTGTCTTCAATAGAACCACCCCAATCGCTGTCCGAGTAGCCTATGAGTCTTGGTATCTTTGCACTTTTGAATAGCACTCCAAAGCTTGATGTTCCCTTGACGTACCGTAACACTCTTTTTGCTTCTTGATAGTGCTTCATGTGCGGAGATGACATGTATCTTGATAGATAGGAGCTTGCATACATCACATCAGGTCTTGATGCACATAAGTACAGAAGTCCTCCCACAATGCTCCTATACTTCGTTGGATCTCCATACTCTATGCCATCTTCTTCTCTTTTTCCTTGTGGTGTAAGTGGTGTACTTACACTCTTGCTTTCTTTCATCCCAAACTTATCAATAAGTTTGTTTGCATACTTTTCTTGTGAAAGAAAAATGCCACGATCATCTTGGTTTACTTCCATACCAAGAAAGTAGTTTAGTAAACCAAGATCAGTCATCTCAAACTCATTTTTCATGTTCTCCTTGAATGAGTTGATGAGACGAACATTGTTTCCGGTGATGATGATATCATCGACGTATAGACTCACGATCAACACGTCTCCACCTTTCTTCTTGATGTACAAAGCCGCATCATTCATACTTCTTTCAAAACCATTTTGAATGAAATAAGAATCTATTCTTCCATACCATGCTCGTGGGGCTTGTTTGAGACCATATAAGGCTTTGTATAGCCTTAATACTTTTTCTTCTTTTCCTTCGATCACAAACCCAGGCGGTTGTGTGATGTAAACTTCTTCTTCAAGCTCTCCATTGAGAAATGCCGACTTTACATCCATTTGATACAATCTCCACTCCATTTGAGCCGCATAAGCAAGTAATGCTCTGATTGTATCATGTCTTGAGACAGGGGCGAATGTCTCAAGGTAATCAACTCCATATTCTTGAGAAAAACCTCTCGCAACTAGCCTTGCCTTGTGCTTGATGTGATTTCCGTTTGCATATGTCTTTATCTTGTAGATCCACTTCACACTTATCACATTCTTCTTCTCTGGCTTATCTACTAGTTTCCACGTTTTGTTCTTCTCGATCATCTCTATCTCCTCTTTCATGGCTTCTTCCCATTCTTCATTTCCACAAGCCTCATCATAAGTTTGTGGTTCTTCATGAGCGAGGAGACAGTCTTCTATGACTTGATCCGCTTCTTCATACACCAATCTTGGCGCCTTTTCAAGGATTCTTTTCATAGACTTGAACTTTCTTGGTGGCGTTGAGGAATCTCCTTCTGCACCCGAGTTTTGACCTTCTTCTTCTGAGATTTGTAGTTGATTGAAAGCATCACTGACTTGATCTACTTGATCGTTGATATTGTTGCTTGCCCCTTCTCCATTTGTTCCCCGATCATTTGATTGATCTCTAGGCTCTTGTGCTTCGTTTATGGGTAAGAAAAAGTTTTTCTTAACTTCTTGTTTCTCCCAATCCCACTTTTTATCTTCTTCAAAGATAACATCTCTTGATACTTCAACCTTCTCATCCTCCAAGATAAAAACTCTATAACCTTTGGTTTGATTGCTATAACCGATCAAGATACCACGCTTTGCCTTTGCGTCTAGCTTTCTTCTTTTCTGATCTGGTATATGCACATAGCATATGCTTCCAAATAGTCTCAAGTGTGACACGTTTGGTTTGTGCCCACACCATTTCTCCATTGGCGTCACATCATCTTCGATCGCCTTTGTTGGTAAACGGTTTTGCAAGTATGTTGAGGTGTATACCGCTTCTGCCCATAACTTGAGCGGTAAGTCTTGCTCAACAATCATTGATCTTGCCATCTCCACTAAGGATCTATTCTTGCGTTCTGCAGCACCATTTTGTTGTGGTGAGTAAGGCAACGTGACTTGCCTATTGATGCCTTCTTCTTCACAGAACCGGTTGAACTCGTGAGATGTGAATTCACCACCACCATCGGATCTTAATGTTTTGATCACACATCCCGATTGCTTCTCGACCATTGCCTTGAACTTCTTAAACTTTAAAAAAGTCTCTGACTTTTGTTTTAGGAAATATACCCAACACATGTGAGTATAGTCATCCAAAAACAACACATAGTAGCGGCTTCCATCGATCGATTGGTTTTGCATCGGTCCACATACATCCGTATGCACAATCTCAAGCTTTTCTTTCGTCTTAGTTTGAGATTCTTTTGGAAAGCTCTTGCGTGATTGCTTTCCAAGATTACACGCCTTACATGCTTCCTTCTCGACTTTGAAACTTGGTAATCCTTTTACCAGATCTTTGTCTTGCATTTCTTGTAAGCGTCTCTTGCCTACATGGCCAAGTCTCTTGTGCCATGTTTCTTCCATATGAACATTTGCCGTCATGGCTTCTTCCTCGACTGAACTTAACTTGATCTTGAAGCTTTTGTTCGTCATACCAATGTCCATGATCTTCTTGCCATTTGCATCATGTATGATGCATCTCTTATCTTCAAAACGTACTTGATAGCCGCTTGAGAAGATTTGAGGAACACTCAATAGGTTCTTCTCCAAACCAGGCACTAAGAAAACATTTTTGATGATTCTTTTGCCATGGTTTGTCATGACGGTAATATCTCCTTTACCAACAGTCATGACTATGTCTCCATTGCCGACTCTTATCGGCACTTTGACACTTTTGTTGATACTTGAGAAGTATCTCTCTTCTTTCGTCATATGGTTTGTGCAGCCGCTGTCCACCAGCCAAACGTCTTCTCTTAACGTTGTTGGTTCTTCCTCACTTGCACTAAACAACATATGATCTTCATTCAAGTCTTCTTCTTCGATACTTACATGTGCTCTCTCTTTGTTCTTAGAGCGACACTTGTGTGCGTAGTGGCCGATCCTACCACATTTGTAACACTCCACGTTACTTTTCTGATTCTTGCTTTGATCGTTTTTCTTCGGTTTGGACCGACATTCTTCTTCTGTGTGATTGCCTCTTTTGCAAAACTCACACCACTTCTTGCCTTGATTGACCCGGCTGTTGGTGTTGTCCTTTTTGAAACCGGATTCTCTTCCTTTGGAGCGAACATAAAATGCTCCCTCATTTGTGCTTTCTTCTCTTGCAGCAACTCTGGCTTCTTGTGCCTTTAATATACCAATAAGTTCTGACATTGTTAGTGAATCTAGATCGCGAGTTTGCTCTAGAACACTAACGATGCTATCGAACTTGGCTGGGAGAGAGATGAGTATCTTCTGTATGAGTTGAGAACTTGATTTCTTTTCTCCATGATACGTTAACTGGTTTTCCAGAACAACTAACTTATCGGTGAATGTTTTGATGTCATCACCATCATACATTTTTAGGTTTTCGTATTCTCTACGTAATGATTGGAGTTTAACCAATCTCACTTGAGGAGAACCTTCGTACTCATCTTTCAATGCATCCCACGCCTTCTTTGACGTTGATGCTGCTGCAATGCGTGAGAAGATTTGATCCGTTACGGCAGTTTGCAGAATCTGCAATGCCAACGTATCATTTGTAACCGCTTCTTCTCTAAGCGTCTTTGCTCTTTGTGATGCAGGGGTTTCTTCTCCTTGCACCGGTTCAGGCGGTACGCCTTCGACAACCACCGACCATAGTTTTCTGGTTCGGAGTATGGTTGCCATCTTAATACTCCAGAAGTCATACTTCTCCCCATTGAATATAGGGATCACTTGATGTGAAGAGCCTTGCATCGTCTCGACTTTTTGCTGAGACGTATACGATTTCTTTCTTGCCTCTTGCTCTCTGATTTATTGCTTTCTCTCTTGTCCTCTCAAACGTAAAGCTCTGATACCATGTTAATGTTTTGTGTTTGATGATGTTTACCAAAATGAGAAAAAACAGAGTATATGTTGTAACGAAACTTTTATTAATAACTTGAATGTATTACAACTTGTTGTGATGATTGAAACAGAAACTTGATCACATATTTATACAAAATGAAAAGATGTCTTTAAAAGACACAACTCTTAATCTAAAAGACATGACTCTTTAATCTAAAGAAACATGACTGTTGAATCTAAAAGACACAACTCTTGAACAAGACAACTTGTGTCTCTTGATTAAATAACTAACTAATGTTAATGTGACTTTAGTTTATGAGATATGATTATAGTTCAACACATACTTTATGTTGAACTTTTGCAAGCGTGATTCACGGTTCAGTTCAAGAAACCAACCAATGAAGTTGTTCATGTCAGCTCGGTGATGGCTGAAGTGCAGCTCTATTCCTGGAACCTTAAACCATAGATTTCTCCATCTGGTCGATAAAACACTTGTCTTCACCGAATCTTTGGTCGGAAGGGATAAGAGTACCTGAGTTATCAAAGAATCCGGAAGTGCGCTAAGCCTATCGCTCCCCATTTCAAGATGGAACCCTAGAAGCTTCCAAAACAACAATATCAGAAATATTGAGCGTTGAGTTTATAAACTTGCATCAAATTCTAGGGTTTTCAGATTGATTAAAAATCTCATCTATACAGAATAAAGTACACTTGAAGGAGGAATCTAATCACCGTACGTAGATTTGTTTCGCCGGCGGATTATCGCCGGAGCATTCGCTTTAGGAACAAATTCTGAAAAAGGAATACACAGAGACGAAGAACCAAGCGTTGTTGCCTGTTGTGTCTGCCAACTAAACTCAACATGAGAAAGAACAAAAAAAAAATTCTCTCTCTTTTCCTAAGCACGCAGCCTAAAAACCTAATCGTATCGGAACTAATTAATATAGATAACGAACCAAAATTCTGGTTTAATGAAAGTAAACCGAGTCGATCGAGTAATGAACATATTTATACTCTTGAATGTTGTTTCGTTTAGTTGGGTCTAACATTTCAAATTAGGTAGGTTAATCAAATGACACTTCACATTTTATTCACGTTTTGTGAAGCAGATCTTAGCATCCACAGCGAACAATTCACGAAACAAACAAACCATGCTATGTATACGTTAAAATGAAGAGAAGGAAAAGACTTACAAGACATGCAACGAAAATGTATTGTCGTAAGTGTAGAGACATAAACCAGAGTAATACGGAACACATTTTTGCTCTTTAAGATATTAAACTGCACAACGATTTACAGCAGAATAGCTTAACTATATATGATCGATCGGGAGTAATCAAGCACCATGTGCTCTTCTGTTTTGGTGTGCCCATGCACAATATAATTGGTGTAATACAACAATCGTAATCGGAAAACCTAATAACCACTTTGCAGTCGTGAAAATGTTCACATCTGTGAAAATTAGACGAGCTATGAAGAGGCTAAAGAGAAAAGCCGCAAGAAAAGCAGAAACAAACACTTCTCCAATCGGCATTTTTTTATGGGAGTCGTTGGAGAACTCTGAGGGAAAGGAGAATCCCGGGTCCGAGGCCACGGCTAGCTCTCTCTTGACCGCCCTGTTGATTTCCTCGGCAAGATGGATATTCGAGCTGCGCAAACATGAGTCAGAGAAACCATGAGCACGTAATATAAGTAACTACATTAGACAAACAATATTGTTCTAATGTTATATATCAATGCTTTAAAAGTTGCCAGTAGTAGATGTGTGACTAATGTATAATTTTTAGTTTAAAAACATTGATATATAGAACATTGATTTTACTAAAACCGCTGATTAGTTTCGAGTTAAATTTTAGTAATTTTAGTGATTTTGACTAATGTATATCTTTTAGATTTTTTTTTTAATAACTCATGGTAAATCTCAGACCTATGGAAGGACACAAACTAATCCCCAAAGAGGTACAGCCCACGATAAACCTTTTTTCCTGGTATTCAAATGGGCCGAAAGTAAGAGTTTATATCCATATGGCCAAATGGAATAAATCTAACAATTTTGCGCTTGAGAGAAGTGACCTTGCTCAACAGGGCAACTCGAGAATATAGTTCCAGTGAAAAAATATATAATTTACCATGCCCTCGAGAATATCACTTTCATCACCAATTATGTTTATAAAGAGTTTTATATATTAAAAACGAAATCTACTAGTCTTTAAATAAATATAGTCAAAATGTAAAATTTCCCATGGACTTATAACTCAAAACTTAATCCAGCGAGTGATTGAATACGAAATTACGAATTAATCAAATTATCATATATGAATTTTTTTTTTTTTTTATAACTCAGAATAAATCTGGAGCCGGCCCAAACTAATCAGTGAAGACACATATATATATTCTCTCTTTGTATATTCAAATCGGCCGAAAACTAAGCTTTATATTTATCTATGTGGCGAAGTGGTGAATATTTTAAATGTGTATCATATTTAACTGAGTTCTTTAGAAAAATGTGAAAATATTACTCCCTCCGTTTCATAATAAGTGTCGTTTTGACTCTTCACTTACCCAATGTATCTAGATATTTATAGATGTATTAAAACTCAAAACACATCCAGATACATCATTAAATAGTCCTGATTCATTTTGTCAAGACGACACTTATTATGAAACAAAGGTAGTATAAATAATTAAATAGTGTGATGTACAATTAGCAAAATAAAATTTCCAAATTCTGAAAACAGAAAAAGTGACATACCATACATCAACAACTCCAAAAATAAATAAAAATCATTGTGCTTTTTTAATGATTAAACAGTTGAATTATTCTTTAAAGCAATCAATTAATCAATAAATAACCTCTTTAATCATTAAAAACGATAATTCGTCGATTTACCGCAAAGTAATGAGCTAATTAAAAATCAAATTTTAGAACAATCGCTTATGTGTAATACATAGATTTCATTGGTTATCATAGATTTAAAATGAGTACCTTTTTGCTTCCCACGTCAAACTAGGCTCCATTCTTGAAATAGTCAGCACCGAAGTTTCCCATCTTTGAATCCTAAAAGGATCGTATTTGTATTTCGTATATCTCTGTCTCATTTCCATGAAACTATCTCCAAACTCTCCATCGAAATTTCTGACATCGTTCTTTCTCACGTTAAAGAAGATAGGAATTACCAAGAGTTTTTTTTCGTTCGCTCGTTCCTTCATTTTCACAAGCTCGTCCAGGCACCACTCTGTCTCTGGATAGCGTGGAGAGAAGATAGCAAGCGCGATTGTCGACTCCTCAATACAAGTGATTACATGGTTTAGGTCTCTTCCTAACCATTCGTCTTTGTCTATGAAGACGTTGCGTATCCCTAAGTCTGTCAATCGCGACACGAGATGTCTGATGAAATCATCAGGCAGATCGGTTGCGCCTAAACTGACAAAAACTTGAGGTGGTCGAGGTTGTGCTGGATCCACCATTGAGCGTTGGCCGAGAGATGAGAGACGATATTGTTTCTTGGGTTTTAGAGTTGCTTCTGAAATGGGCAGAAAATGTCAATAATAAATATTTTGCTGTCAACTTTTTTCAATAAAATGTTGGTTTCGTTCCAGCTCATAAGTAATAGTAGTATAATATTATCAGAAATGTTGGCACTGTGAATCATTCATTGCCGGCAGAGTCTACCTGTCTACGACACTCAAAGTCTTTTTACGTAATACTCCTCCTATTTCTAAAAATTTGATTTTTAGAATTTTCTTTGTTCCACAAAACTTGATTTTTATCTTTTCTTAATATTTTTAATTAATAAATTTTATTTAATTATGATTTCCAATAATATTTTTAAATTCTTATTGATTTATATTTATAAAAAGTAATTAATGAGAGAGAAAATAATGCACTTGCAATTAACATTAGTTAATTTATAATATGTGAAAATTCTAAAACATCATCTCCCTCTGAGGGACTACTACTCTTTTTTTTTTATGTTTAACAGTTATTTTCATGTTCTAAATTATCGTTTTAAGTCATCAGTGCTAGTAAACAGCCAATATGTATTGCTGTGAAAAAGAAAAAAAGTCATTACGTATTGAAGGGAAGAGTTTTTGAATATGTGTGAAAATCATTTTAGACAACACTCATTATAAAACATAGAAAATAATATTTTATCTTTTAAGAAAAATGATTTATCTACCTGATCGCTACCTGATCGAGATCGCCCTAATGAGTATATATAATGTAAATTTTGTTCTATCGAATTAGATTTCTGAACGGTTTTATGAATCAAAGCTATTGACAAAAATGTGATTTAATATCATATCAGCTACATTCTAACATATAATCATACAGTGTGCTAGTATGTAAATAATTTTAAAAGTATATAGATTTATATAATAAGGAGATTCAAAATGCAACAATTAAAAAGTAATAAAGCCATGGTGGCTAAGAGCACATTTAACGGTAAGCGCTTAATGCAGCGCTTAGCTCAAAATTAAATGGAAACTAAATTAAAACCGAGAATCCGACGCTTAAATAAGCGTAACAAGCGTCGCAGCTTAGTGCCACGTGGCATGTCACGATTCGTTGGGTGAAAATGAGAAGAATCTCGCTCGCGTTCAAGCTTTGATCCTGATCATGGCGTCCTCTCTCACTTCCAATTCCATTCTCCGATCCACCAAACTCGATTCTTCTTCTTCGTCTCTTCCGTCGGAGCTCCATCTTCTCTCTTCTCCCCTTGTTCAGATTTCAATCTGAACCAATCCAGAAAGATTTTCCGTGAGTTTTTCTCCTTTTTTATTCAGTTTTTGTTGGATTTCAAATTGAGAAATGAGCTGTGTGGTGGAGATACCGATTCTTTGTACAAATTACCCATTAGTTGTTAATTTTTATGATTACTCAAACCAATTTACCATCGGAGAAAATGTATGAGTCGATAATTTGGATGGAGATTGCGATTACATAATGGCTGATCATCAATTAAGGTGCTCTCGAAGACCTAGTCGATTTACCTTACTTCATCCATTTACTTGTGCATAGAAAAGTATTTAGTTCGCTCAGTTGTCACTTACAACACCTTATTAAACTGAAATACGAAACTACATAAGGAACTAGATGGTCAAGAAGTTGAGGGGTGATTGTATATGGCCTTTTTTTTCTCTTTTACTTTGGGAAGTCTCTGACACAAAGCGTTCTTACATTTTGTGACATGCGTTATAAGGAGTTTCTAGCCAAGTGCAATCAGCTGGGCAGAGGAGAAGCTCTATCTTGTGAGTTGTGAGAGACTTGAAAAAGCTTTGGAGAAGATTAAAGGTTTGTCTTTCTGTTCTTGCATTCGATCTTATCTTGCTTCTTTGTGTAAGTATAATCATCTCATCTTGATCTCTCTAATGGGTTCTGGAATCATGATATGTTGATCATTTCTTGCTTCCACAACTTGTGTCGTAGTGATACAGTTCGAGAATCTGGTAGATATAGTTTTTGGATTAAAGTCGTGTATCATGGTGGATATGTAGTTGATTCTTCTTCTCCATTTTCGTTAATTTCAGGAGAGTGTGACAGAGCTATCAACTCTGTATTCTCTATGCTCATCTCTTGTATGCGAGAAGCAATAAACAGCTTGTGGATGCCTATGGCCGATGCTTAGTTACAGGAGGTAGTCTGTACGATGTGAAGAATCGATCATGTAACTTTTTCCTCAGGTCATCATCCATGGTTGATTGGTTGGCTCGCATGAGCTAAAGATACCATCTGATATGATCATATACAAGCTTGTAAAAGTGTACATAATGTCAACTTCATTGAGAACTTTCGCTTTAAAGGTGAGTCGGATTCTGCAAAAGCTGTGACATATAGTAATCCGATTGTTGAGCTTCATGGTTGCAGGCTCTTGCCAAGACATTAATTGTACCGCATTGCAGGACCAGTTTACATTTTTGGGACCAAGCAAGAATGGATGTATAAACATTTTTCTGTGATTCTTGATGCTTTTTTTGTCTTAAGCACTCCTATAAGATCTTCCTATTGGAGCAAAAAAAAACAGAGAACTCTTAACAGAGTGCTTAACACAATTTTAATGATAAAATATATTTTAAGCACCCCCATTAGCACCTTGCATTACACATGCTCTAACAAAGCAAGAACAGACCCGGTTCTTTGATAAAGCCATTGAAACATGAGATTTAGGCCACCTATATTAATATAGGGCTGGGCACATAGCATATTTGTCATTTTCGATGTACTTGCTACTTGATATGTCTTTTTTTTTTTTTTTAACTTGTTACTCGACCCACCCAAAGTGAAAATTTTAGTCATAATTAGATAAAACCCGTTAAAAAATCTTAGTATATAGAATCTGTTTATGTTTTTAGGAAGTTTTGGTATTGGCAACTAATGAGGATGGTTCTCTTATTTACAAGATTTTTTTTTTTCTTTCTATTGTCTTTTTCTTGATGTGGAAAAAATTGCTGAACCAAATTGTATATATCAAGTATTTACATAAAACGGGTCAAACAAATTGTATATCAAGTTTTCATGAAAATGCTGTTTAGTGTAGTTAATACTTTTTTATTATTCTTTGGGTGTTATATACTTATATTTAGGTAACTGTCTATCTTAAAAAGAAAAAGAAAAAAACTCAATGCTGTCTAATTGTCTTTGTTAGAAGAGCAAAATTAGTTTAGTCGTGTGGAGAAGTCTGGTCAGGAAAGTTCGGTTAGAAATCGCTCGAGAAAAAGAAGAAAGGAATAGCTGATGTGACAAGTAATTAAGTATGTATAAGAATAAGTTGAGCTGTCGCATTCAGAGGGCAAGATCTAATCCCTGGACAAGCATATTGTGTTTTAGGGTCTGACTGGTTTAACCGCTGCGGTTGCGGTTGCGGGTGCGGGAGTTTGCGGAAGCGGGCGGTTGTGATTAGTAGCGTTATTAAGCGGTTTGTACGACTGGCATAACAATTGAAAATGGATGCGTTTGCGGGATACTTATGACTGGTTCACTTGCGGATGCAATAGCGGTTAAACAATAAATTAATAATATAAACACATTATATAATTATAAAAATATCAAAACTATATTATAATGAAAATTTTAAATTTATGGTTCAACATAATTAAAAATAATTTTTTTATAAAGAATAATATGTGTATAATACTTACGTCTATTTTTAATTTCTATAATTTAAATAAAAATGTGATTTTATTTTCAAAATATATATTTAATGTGAAAATTAAATTTATTTTACAATTTTATTTATTAGATATATATGTATTAGTATGAAAAGAATATTTATGAAGAGAATTTTGATTTGTAGAACTTATAAATATATAAGTATTATATGATTTTAATGAATATTGACTAAAAGTACTAATTTTTTATTTATATTGTGATTTTATTATCCAAATCTTATTTTTTAATAAATATTATTATTTATTTTCGGATTTTATATAAGTTTGTGTTTTTTTTTTTTTTTAATTATCCACCCGCAACCGCAAACGCTTGCGGAAAGGAGCTTTTGATTTTCAGCGATATAGAGCGGTACAGAGTGGTATAGAGCGATTCAAAGCGGTTGTCGTGATTGTTATAAACCGCCGAAAACCGCTACGAACCGCAAACGCTGCGTTTGCGGGTGGTAGCGGGAGAACCAATCAGGCCCTTAGTGTATTGATTTAAGAGTTAAGACGATTTAATTTCTTAGGTGCCAAAATAAATAGATTATCATTATCCACCGCACTATCGAGTTCCAAGAGAAAAATTTAGTTTAATGTTCAGAAAAAAAAAAAGTTTAATGACCGATTGTTTATTGCTTTCGTGTTTTCTTTTTTTTTTTTTTTTGCCATCGAACCAATTTGTTGAGAAATCTGTAAAACCTAAACTTTCATTTTGAATGACATTTACGTACATTAATTATTAGCACAAAAAAATAATAATAACCTTCAACTATTAATAAAAAAAAAAACCCATTAATCTATCGTTAGTTTACCAAGAAGAACCTATACTTCTGTAGTAATGGACTTCCACTTAAGTTATGTGGTTCTTGAAAAGCCACAATAGATGAAGAAAGAAACTCCTCTCAGATTCTTTCAAAGCTCACTACTCGATCACAAATCCATTTTCGTTACTATTTACTTCTGGTTTTGGTTATGAAATGCCCTAGAGTAATACAGATGCAGTAGATATAAATGTGTAAGGTACAAACCCGAAGCATAACCGTAAAGCCCAAGTATCTAAGACCTTAAACTTATTTAATAGCAATACTGTTTATTCTCCCTAAATTTTAAATCTAAAACCTGAGAGAGGGAGAATCAGTGAGTTGAGAGTCAACAATAAACCATATTTATTACTCAATCCAACCATTAAAAATTGTTTGAAATAAATATGGTTTATTGTTCTAGAATTTTAGAGTTGTTCTTAATCATTACTGTTAATAGACAAGTAAAATTTCAAATATTCATAATTACATATAGTAAAAAATTGGTTCTACATACTGATGTATACTATGTAAACTCTGTTTCACTAATATGGATTTTCGAACTGTTTTATAAACAGAGACTGTTGACAAAAAAAAAATTGGTTCAATTTCGATTTCTCGGCTTTTAATTTATATAGAGATTTTTGGTTTAAAGATCTCCATTGGTTTGGTTCAGTTTTTTTATATTTCTTTTGCTCTGTTTTCTAATAATCTGAAGAAAAAAACGAAGGTGTTTTTTTTTTTTTTTCTTTTTCTTAATTGACGCCCAAAAGGAAAGGTAATTTAATGATTTACAAATAAGTAGTGAACTTAAATGTTTCTTTGACCCTATAATTTTTGTCGTCGTGCCTTTAATCCTAATTTAGGACTATGTTTTTTTTTTCCTTCCCATTTTCCAAGAAATATGGCAACTTTTTTACGGTGTCGTGACTTTCCTTGTCCTCCTTCTCTCTTTCTCTCTGTGTTGAGATCTCTCTGAATAATTTTCATCGGATCTTCAAAGTCACCACCTCCTTTCACCACCTTCTCAGCATCATCTTCCTCGATTCGTTACATTTCCCGATCTCTCCAAACCCTAATTTCCGCCATGGATCTCGCCGCGGAGGAGCTTCAATTCCTCAACATCGGAGGCATATTGCGTGAATCCACCACGATCCCCAAATTTTCCCCCAAAACCTTCTACCTCATAACCCTAACCCTAATTTTCCCTCTCTCCTTCGCAATCCTCGCGCATTCCCTCTTCACCCAGCCGATCCTAGCTCAGCTCGATTCCGCTCCTCCCGCCGATCCGTCTCAGACCAACCACGAATGGACTCTCCTCTTCGTCTACCAATTCTGCTACATCATCTTCCTCTTCGCCTTCTCTCTCCTCTCCACAGCCGCCGTCGTCTTCACCGTCGCGTCGCTCTACACAGGCAAACCGGTCTCCTTCTCCTCCACAATGTCGGCGATTCCTCTCGTTCTGAAACGCCTCTTCATCACATTCCTCTGGGTCTCTCTCCTGATGCTCGTGTACAACTCCGTGTTCCTGCTTTTCCTGGTGATTCTGATCATAGCCATCGATTTGCAGAGCGTGCTCATCGCTGTTCTCTCGATGGTGGTGATTTTCGTTTTGTTCTTGGGCGTTCACGTTTATATGACCGCTTGGTGGCATTTAGCTAGTGTAGTCTCTGTTCTTGAGCCGATCTATGGCATCGCTGCGATGAAGAAGAGCTATGAGTTGCTTAAAGGAAGAACAAACATGGCGTGTTCGATGGTTTTTATCTATCTTGCTCTCTGTGGAGTCACTGCCGGAGTTTTCGGAGGTGTGGTGGTTCGTGGAGGGGATGATTACGGGTTGTTCACGAGGATCGTTGTTGGAGGTTTCTTAGTTGGTGTTTTGGTGATTGTGAATCTTGTGGGGTTGCTTGTGCAGAGTGTGTTTTACTATGTCTGCAAGAGCTTTCACCATCAGGCGATTGATAAATCTGCGCTTCACGATCATCTTGGTGGGTATCTTGGGGATTATGTGCCTTTGAAGAGCAGCATTCAGATGGAGAACTTCGACATTTAGATCCATTGATGGATCAAAATGAAGAAGAAGAAGAAGAAGAAGAAGAAGAAGAAAAGGTGTTTTGTTTGGAGTTTGTCATTGTAAGTTGTAATGTTTGTAATTTTTTTCTTAGTGTTTGTTATAGCTTTTTGCGTATCTGAGTTAATTTGGAGGAATGGAGACTGATATTGCAGATGTATCTGTTCCTTGTAATTTCATAGTGTTTTATGTTCAAAATTGGACTATTGATGAAATAAAATTGTTACTAGACAAATCCTTCATATTTTGCATCTGAATATGATCCTTTAAAGCACATATTGTAGTATCTTTTACCTGCACCCTGTTTCTCTGTGAATTCAAGATGACTGGTTTTTGATCTATGTTACCAGTCTCTCTCCAAATTGGCTTGTTACAAGTTATTCTGGATCAGAACCTTTGGCTTTACTACAGCCTCTTCTCTTGCTAGTTAATAGATATTGCATATTCTCAATTGTATCTTCGATTTCTTGAGCTGCTTTTAAAGAAATTCATTCACCAAGAAAAAGGAGATAGAGGCATAGATCCCTTCTTCGCTTTCCGTTTTGAAGTCAAGCGAAGAAGACTAGACCGCACCAGAAACAGTTCTTGAAGGTAACGCATGAGTCATACATTTTCCGATCCTTAAGCTCTGTCATGTTCAGTGAAATTGAAAAAAAAAAAAAAAATACTATGCTCTAAAAGTTGGCTAAATTAAAACTTATGATTCTTAACTGATGAGTATCTTTGACTTGTAATTTTAGGTGTAATTAAGATCATATGGAGCCACATTTTAAAGAAACTTACTGAGCTCTGCCGTTGGAATTGAACAACGTTAGACAGAAGCTGTCCTTGTCAAGAAATTAAAGGAGTAGCTACTCTCAACTCTACAAGAACGAATAATCAGGAAGCTGCGTGAGTTGATAATGCAGGACCAAACACATCACCAATTACTAGTCAAGTGATCGATCAGAACAATAATATTGAAACATCCTCTCTATATCTGAAGAGCTTTGTTCAACAATTTCTTGCTGAATCATCTCATGGGAACTTTCTTGTGAGAGAGACAGCTCAGTCACCTTTAGCGAGTAGCAAGTTCTAGTGAGTAGATAAATGTTAGGACGCTTAATAGGTACGTGAGGCAGAGGAGGAAAGTGAAGTCACAAGGCATCAAGCTGGAAGGAGCTGATGACGTGGAAGAATGAGAGATTATTTTTAGTCATTCATATAAATAATCTCTTGTTGCTTTTAATTCATTTTTATCCAGAAACTTGTGAGAATTAGTTTGTTACGCTTTCTTCTTCGTTTACTGATTTGGAAGAGCTTGTTCTTCAAATCAAGAGAGAAATTGGTTAAATGTCAAAGAGATACTGACTTAAGTCGAGATTGTACTTTGTTAATTGGAATATACAATTCTTCTTCTTAACAAATTGGTGCGGCGATTTGCGATCACGAGACGAAGACAATGGGAAAAATCGACGATCTCGCGGATGAGCTTCACGGATCTTTGGCGTCGGTGGCGACGGTAGCAACAATGGCGGAAAATTGGGAGCAGCAAAAGAAGACAAACGAGACGACGAGCCAGAGTATTTCGGAGATTCACTCGAGTCTATCACGACTCACGGAAATGATGATCAGAATCGAGGCGAATCAAAACAATCCGACGGCGAATCAAAACAATCCGACGGCGAATCAATGGAATCCATCCACGAGTAACCACAATCCGGGAAATTTCACGACGCATTCTCCACCTGTGCGTGAGGTACGTAATCAGAATCCTCAGGATCCGGGAGATCCTAGACCGTTAGGTTATCGGGGAATCAATAATGCTTTGGAAAATAGAAATGCTATGTTGAAGAAGATTGAGCTGCCACAGCTTGATGGATCTAGTCTGTATGGATGGATCTTGTTAGCAGAGAGGTTTTTCAGGTTGGGAAGATACTCGGATGAAGAACGTTTAGAGCTGCTATCAATTACCTTGAAAGGTCCAGCTCTGCATTGGTTCTATAGAGAAATGTCAAGGGGTCCGTTCAGAGATTGGCCTCAGTTTAAGAAGAGGATGATTGCGAGATTCAGTCAGAAAATGGAGGAGAATCGAGGGAAGGGACTGTTCAGCCTGAGACAAACGGGTTCAATTGCAGATTATGTCAATGAGTTTGAGGAGCTCACAACAATGGTGCCAAGGATTGATGAAGAAAACTTGGAGCACATGTTTTACATTGGCCTCAAAACGGAAATGAAAGAGGTGTTGAAGATGCAGAAACCTAGAGGGTTAACGAACTGTTTCAACGCAGTGATTTCAATGGAAGATAGTGCATTTTGCAAGTCGATGGCAGAGGCAACAAATCCAAGACGTGCTTTCTTTCCCTTACGTTCTGCACTCAACTACAATGCTCAAAGAAGTGGTAGTAGCACAAACAGCAAATCAGTTGAGAAACCAAAGGATTCCCAAACTCAGACTGGGAAACCTCCCTGGAGAAACGGTGCAGGAAGAAACTACAGTGGGATGTTGAAACTAACACCAGCCAAAATTGCAGAGAAGAAACGGTTGAGTCTATGCTTCAAATTCCTTGGGAAATGGTCAAGGACTCATGCGTGAACATGATGTTACAAGTATTCATGGTGATAAATGATGAAGAAGTGAAGATTGGATGGTAAAAATGGAGGATAAAGAGAATGTAGAACTAGTCAGGCCCGGCCCTTGGGGTGTGCACCCAGTGCAAAAGCGTCGGGTCCCACTTTTTTCATCTGTTTTTTATTACAATATAGGGTCCTAAAGTTTCTAACATTGTGCATTTAAGGGTCCCGATTTTCAGAATTATCAAATTATATACCTAAATTTTTGTTTTATTTATTTTTGGCACAGGGCCCAACATCTGTTTGGGCCGGGCCTGGAACTAGTACTTATGGAATTGTCATTGTCATCGTATCTGGGTTTGGATTTACCTGCAGTAACGAAACTCTGGGGTGAGATTAACAATGTCAAGGTAGTGGTAATGATTGACAGTGGAGCTACACACAATTTTATCGATCCATCAGTCCTTAACAAGACTCGCTTAACACCAACGAAGAACAGAAGTCTTGAGATCTTGTTAGGTACTGGTATCACTGTCAATGGACATGGAGTATGCAAGAACGTGTCAGTAACGCTCAAATCACATGCGTTCAAGATGAATTTCGTAGTTTTGGAGTTGGGAAATGCAGAAGTCATTCTGGGGATTGATTGGTTACGCACGTTGGGCAAGTGTGAACATGATTGGGACAAACATGAGATGTCTTTCATGTATAAGGGCTCATTGATAACCCTGTATGGTGATCCGGCTCTTCAATGTGGAGGGAGATCTTTTAAGGAGAACCATTCTCTCAACAGCTTGGAGTTAGCAAGCTTTGAAGTGGATTTCTTTGAAGCAAATAATACTGAGCTAAAGGAGAGAATCCCGGAAGCAGTGGAAGAAGTATTAACAAGATTTGATCATGTGTTTGCTGAGCCTACACAATTACCTCCGATCAGGGGCCGCGAACACACAATCAACTTGGTAACAGGAACAGGGCCTGTGAGTGTGCGACCTTACCGCTATCCACATGCCTATAAAGAAGAGATGGAGAAGTTAGTGACTCAGATGTTAGAAGCTGGGACGATTAGGCCGAGTAAAAGTCCTTTTTCGAGCCCTGTATTGTTAGTCAAGAAGAAAGATGGCAGCTGGAGATTCTGCATTGACTATCGCGCTTTGAATAAAGTAACAGTGCCGGATAAATTTCCGATTCCAGTTATTGATCAGCTGTTAGACGAGCTTCATGGAGCTACGGTATTTTCAAAGCTGGATTTGAGAGCAGGTTACCATCAGATTCGAATGTTGGAGAAAGATATAGAGAAAACAGCCTTCAGAACCTCTAATGGACACTACGAATTCTTGGTAATGCCATTTGGGCTAACAAATGCCCCTGCAACGTTCCAAGCGCTCATGAATGAGGTTTTCAGGCCGTTTCTGGGGACTTTTGTTCTGGTTTTCTTTGACGATATACTCATTTTCAGCTCGAGTCTGGAGGAACATGTCTCCCACTTATCAACTGTTTTGGAAGTTTCTGAAGAACATCAGTTATTTGCTAACCGAAAGAAATGTCTCTTTGGTCAATCACAAGTGGACTATCTGGGACATATTATTTCTGCGGAAGGAGTTGCGACGGATCCTTCTAAAACAGAGGCTATGAAGAATAGGCCTGTTCCCAAATCGGTTAAAGAGTTGAGAGGTTTTTTGGGGTTAACGGGTTACTACAAGAAATTTGTGAAGGGCTATGGTGCAATTGCGAGACCAATGACGGATCTGTTAAAGAAGGACAATTTTGAATGGTGCAACAGAGCCGAAGCAGCTTTTCAGGAGCTTAAGAAAGCAATAATGACAGCTCCTGTGTTGGCCTTACCCAATTTTGATGAGGTCTTCATTGTAGAATCTGACGCATCTGGATATGGCTTGGGGGCGGTCCTTATGCAAAATCAAAGACCCATTGCTTATTTCAGTTCAGGTTTATCTGATAGGGAGCAAATCAAATCGATATATGAAAGAGAATTGATGGCAGTGGTGTTGGCAATTCAGAAGTGGAGGCATTATTTGTTGGAAAGGAAATTTGTGGTGCATACAGATCATAAGAGTTTGAAGTTCTTACTGGAACAACGAGAGGTTTCCATGGAATATCAAAAATGGTTGACCAAGTTGCTTGGGTATGATTTTGAGATTGTCTTTAAGCCAGGAGTGGAGAACAAAGGGGCTGATGGCTTATCGAGGATTGTGTCAGAAAATTCGGTTTCAAGGCATGCTCAACTATTCACTTTAACGGTTCCTGCAAATTTGCAAATGCAAGACATCTACAAAGAGATTGAAGCAGATACTAAGATTCAAGAACTGTTACAACGCGTGAAGGATGGTGTGGAGGAGAATGACAAATTTACGATTGTCGATGGGAGGTTGAGATTTAAGCAGCGATTGGTAATTCCGAGATCCTCAGTTCATATTCCGTTGATCTTACATGAGTATCATGCGGGACTCGTTGGTGGACACTCGGGGATCCTCAAAACGCAAAAGAGAGTGCAAAATGTTTTTTTATTGGCTGGCGCAAGATGACAAAGGATATACAGAAATTTGTAGCTGAGTGTGATGTCTGCCAACGACACAAATACTCTACATTGTCTCCTGCAGGTCGTCTCCAACCTTTGCCAATTCCGTCTCAGATTTGGGAGGATCTTTCGATGGACTTTATTGAAGGATTACCAGTATCTCAGGGAGCGAATGTAATACTTGTTGTGGTTGATCGCTTGAGTAAGTTTGCTCATTTTGTGCGCCTGAAACACCCGTTTACGGCAACAGATGTAGCGAACAAATTTATTCAGGAGATAGTGCGGCTTCATGGGTTTCCAGCTTCAATTGTATCTGACCGTGACCGCATCTTCTTGAGTTCTTTCTGGAAGGAGTTATTCAAGCAAGCGGGAACTCGTTTGAAGTACAGCACAGCGTTTCACCCTCAGTCCGACGGACAAACGGAGGTATTAAACCGTTGCTTAGAGACGTACCTGAGATGTTTTGCTTCGGCACAACCAAAGATGTGGGGAAAGTATTTGAATTGGGCAGAGTTATGGTACAATACTAGCTATCATACAGCCATTGGAAGTACGCCATTTCATGTTGTCTATGGGCGTGAAGCACCAGTGTTACTGAGGTTTGAAGAAGGCTCGACGTCAAAATTTTGAATTGGAGGTTGCTTTGAAGGAGCGAGATGCGATTGTGGCTCAGATTAAAGAACACTTGGTTATTGCCCAAGCGAGGATGAAGAATAATGCTGACAAGCACAGGCGTGAACTCGAGTTTACCACTGGCGATAAGGTCTTCTTGAAACTCCGCCCATACCATCAACAATCAGTGACAAAGAGACTTTATCAGAAACTCGCGGCTCGTTATTATGGCCCATTTGAAGTTCTTGAGAAGATTGGAGCTGTGGCATACCGTTTAAAGTTACCAGAGGGGTCGAAGATTCACCCGGTGTTTCATGTGTCACTACTCAAACCAGTGTTAGGCTCTGATCATCAAGTCTTTCCTCTTCCTGAGTCTCTTGCAGTGAATCCGGTTTTGGTAATTGAACCTGAAGAGGTCTTAGACACACGTTATAACACGGCGGGTCAATTGGAGGGATTGATTCAATGGAAAGGACTTCTGGCTCACGAGCAAACTTGTGTGCGTGCCTCCGACCTCATACGACAGTATCCCAAACTTGAGGACAAGCTTCTTGTTGGCGAGGGGGTATTGTTAGGACGCTTAATAGGTACGTGAGGCAGAGGAGGAAAGTGAAGTCACAAGGCATCGAGCTGGAAGGAGCTGATGACGTGGAAGAATGAGAGATTATTTTTAGTCATTCATATAAATAATCTCTTGTTGCTTTTAATTCATTTTTATCCAGAAACTTGTGAGAATTAGTTTGTTACGCTTTCTTCTTAGTTTACTGATTTGGAAGAGCTTGTTCTTCAAATCAAGAGAGAAATTGGTTAAATGTCAGAGAGATACTGGCTTTAATCGAGATTGTACTTTATTAATTGGAATATACAGTTCTTCTTCTTAACAATACATCTTGGAAGTAGGGACTCATATGTGATTCTGTGTAAAAATGGGTAACGACATACGAGTAGCAATACAGAAAAATCCATTTAAAAAGATTCTGTGAAATATATTTTTATCCCTCCATCATCTTCTGTTTCTCTTCAAGATAGATGACATCTATAGGAGATTGTCGGACTCTTTTAACAATATAGAAGGAACGTTCACAACTTCGTCAGATTGTCTTTCTCCATCTCCACTCGATTCACAACTTGTTTCTCAAGAACAATAAAAACAACAAAAGAAAACAAATCAATTTTATTTTATTTGATGACGTGACATATACCTGATATTCAACAATTTGATTCAACATTGTTAACGGTATTAATGGTTTGACTAGTCTAATTCAGCTTCATTAACGTTTTGACTAGCGACATCTTAAATTAATGTAAACACCAAATCATTACCTTATGTAAGAACAATTTATTAAAGAAGTAAAAGAACCATAAGACTGTTTTAAAGAACACAAATTCAATATGAATAAAGGGTTAAAGGTGCCACACCACACACAAAAAAACACAAATTCAATATAATCTATTCGATAACGCAATAAAAATAAAGAAATAATGCTTAAAGTAAAATGCAAATCTTTTTTAAAAAATAGAAAAATTGGCTAAACGGTTTTAAATAATATAAAACATTATGATTGAGTAATTGTAATGTAGTACTCTAGGTTCTGCGTATACACGGTATTTATTTTTAATTTTTTAAAGAAGTACTGAATTTTTCTTCTAAAACATGATCACTTTTTCAAGTAAGTAAAATAATAATAAGATTCGAGATAAAAACTTCTAAGTAAAATAAGATTAAAAATCAATTTACCTTTAGTCATAATTAACATTTAAAAAAAATCATGAAATGAAAAACAAATTATATGCATCTAAATCTAATTGGCTAATTAGTTGTTGACAAATTAACTCTTTAGGACAGTCAACCTTATTTTTCTTGTGTAAAGTTATAAAAGGAATCTTATTTTATTTTTGTTAAAGTGAAAGGAATCTTTTAAACAGGGAGCGTGTTCTCAGTTTTCATTTTGCACAACCCTTAAGCGATAATTTCATCGAGAATCCAAGGACGAAACAAATCGACGGTGAGTTCTTCATACTCAGATTTCTCTCTCTCTCTCATTCCATTTTTATCTATGTGATTTTAGTCGAACTGCAATCTAGGCTTTGAGATCAAATAGCATTTCATTGTTTTTCAAACTTTTAGGGTTTGATTTCTCGTGATGGATAGAATCAGCGAATTACCAGATTCTTTGGTAACTCAAGTCTTGTCACACCTTCCGACCAAAGTTTCGGTTAAGACAAGCATTTTGTCGAAGAGATGGGAATCTGTCTGGCGTAGGGTTCCTGGACTTGACTTTAGGTTTTTTTATTTCCGTAAAGAAGAAGCCTTGGAGAGCTTCGTCAACAAATTTCTAGAATTTAACAAAGAGTCACAAATGCAAACGTTCAAGTTCCAGAACGAGAAATGCAATGATGATCGACTCGAGGAGTGGATTGAGACAGCAGTTGCTCGCGGAGTTCAACATTTATCTGTTCAGATTGAAGAGATTGAAGACATTGAAGAGGTTGATCCTCCTTATGTAACTCAGGAAATTTACAGGAGAAACACATTGGTTTCTTTATATCTCATAGGCGTAGGAATCGAGACTCCCGATTGTGCTGTCTCTCTTCCTCGCCTCAAGGTCATGCATATTGAAGACGTTCAGCATGATGATGATCTTTTGATCGTGGAGAATATCATATCCGGGTGTCCTGTTCTTGAGGTTCTTGCAATCATAAGGACTACTGAATCTGAGAGTCTAAGTGCTGTGAAGTCCCTCCGCGTGAGGTCTCAGACTCTTAGAAGTTTTAAGATCTTGTTTGAGAATTGGTTTGGTGGTATGCATTATGCAGTTGAGATTGATGCTCCGAGTCTGGAGTATATGAGTTTTCGAGAAGACAATTCTGGTGTCATTGTAGTCAAGAACCTGACTTCTTTATACGCCATTCATATTGATACTGAGTTTAATCTTGGCTTTGCTAACTATGATGGCAATCCCTTGGGACCCAAGGATTCAAGCAAGATAAAGACTATCCATGATTTTCTAGAGGGTATTTCTGGTGTAAGACATGTTCATCTCTCCGTCTACTATTGAGGTAAATATATTCTCTCGGTCTTCATAATCAGTTTTTTTTTTTTTAAATATAAACACACTCAAGAATCAATATTAAACATTAGACATTACTGTAGGTTAATTCTTTAAATGAATGTAAAATTATATTCAAACAAAAACAATTGTTACACTTTAATGTAGTTTTATTCTCTATGATGTATTCATGTTTTTCCCTCTTGTAGATCCTCAGCCAATATTCGGAATTTGGATCCATCCCCAAATTTGCTAATTTATATTGTTTGAAGTTCTCTTCCTCTACGATACAACTGTTGCCAATCTTTCTTGAGAGCTGTCCAAATCTAAAAGAACTCTTGTTGGTAAGAATGTGTTTAAACATATGGATTTGGCTGAGTAGTTAAGAACATTTTTTGATATATTATAAACTTTCATTCTTGTTTGTTTGCAGGACTATGGGGGTTCAAAGCCAATTGAACTTAGCTATGTGCATCGGTGTTTAATATCAACTCTTGAGTTTGTTTATATTAACCAACATTTTCCGATGGACAAAACTGGGATTCAACTGGTGAATTACTTTCTTGAGAATTCAGCAGTACTCAAAGAACTTAAATTGAATTTCTGTGGCCGTACTTTGACCAACAAAGAGCAAGAGATCTGCAAGAACCTTCTTACACCCACAAAGCTTTCTCGAAGATGTCAAGTTTCTATTAAGGAACCTGTCATTATTCAAGAGCACTGTAGAGCTCTTAAGTACTGAAAAATTGCTGTTATTTGCTTTACATGAAACTTTTTCTCCAAATCCTTGAGTGGATCGATACATTTATTAGTCATGATCTTTAAACATTTAGTGATCGACGGCTTTTTTTATGGTTCTTTATATGATTATATCACATCTTTCAATATGCCTCTAAACATTTATAACATCATTAAATTGGTTTTCTTAGGGCATCTACTATGGTGAGAGAAACTTGATTCAAACTCATCTCAAATTCTTTACAAGTGAAAATTTTGTATTGCTACTCGCCTACTCATATTTCGTTTTACCAACTTTGACACAAAAAATCACATCTAGCTATGTCAAGATATATTTTCTTATATGCTACACTGAGATTAAATGTCTTATAATAATCTAGATCTTGAACAAAGGAACTCAGATTCTTTACCATGATGCTACTGTATATCAGATTTCTCATCGATTAGACAGACTTGAGTTTTAGAGCATCAGTCTCAACTCTCAACCGCATATTCTACACCATCCATTATCCTCTTAGAGTTTGAAACTTAACACAAACAAAAAAAGTCTTTTAAGAGACTGAGAGTTCACACACAGAACAACATTGTCATCAAGTTTCCTTACACTGGTCAGATCTTCAAGAACAAGACATCCCAAGAAGAGCTTTTCCCTAATCAAAGGATCTTGACAGACAAACACTAAACCTGGGACGTTTGGGAGTTTTAACAACACCAAATTTATGCTGTTATAAATGTCCCGAGGCATGAAAGGTCTGATATAAATCACCATAAACAAACAGTACATAGCTAGATGTTTAAAGATCACGGTTATTAAATGCAACGATCCAGTCAGAGATTTGGAGAGATGGTTTAATGTATTACAGAATAACTGCAAGTTTTCAGAAGAGAAAGATCCATACAGTGATCATCAAAGACATATCAACAAATGGAAACTTGACATCTGCGAGAAAGCTTGTTGGATGTAAGAAGGTTCTTGTAGATATCCCGCTCTTGGTTGCTCACAGGAGAGTCAGTGTAACTCACAGTAAGTTCCTTGAGTACTGCTGAATTCTCAAGAAAGTAATTCACTAGCTTAATCCCACTTTCCTCCTTCATAATCAGTTTGTTAATATTAACACGCTCAAGGCTTGATGTTAAACACCGAGGAACATAGCTAAGTTCAATTTCCTCTGGCTGCAGAGAAACAACAGTATAGTCCTGGAAACAAAGGAATGAAAATTTACAATACATCAACAATGTTCTTAATTACTCAACCAAATCATAGGTTTAGACTCTAAACACATTCTTACCAAGATGAGGTGTTTTAGATTCGGACAGCTCTCAAGAAAGATTGGCAACAGTTGTAAAGTAGAGCAAGAGAACGCATGATACAAACGATATAAGTTAACGAATTTGGGAATCGATCCCATTTTCGAATACTGGTAGAGGACCTACAAGAGCAAAGAAAATAATACATAATAAAAAATTAAACTACATTTAGTTGTTATATATGCAATAGATAGAGAATATCTTTACCTCAAGAGTAGGCCTAGAGATGATCATATCTCTAACACCAGAAATTCCCTCGAAGAAGTTATGGATAGTATCTTTCTTGCTTGAATCCTCCTGTTCCAAAGGACTTCCTCCAAACTTAACATTAAACTCAGAATCAATGTCAATCATGTACAAAGAAGTCAGGTTCTTGACTACAATGACATCAGATTGGTCATCTCTAAAACTCATATACTCCAGACTCGGAGCATCGATCTCAACTGAAAACTCTGTACCACCCCAACAGTTCTCAAACATGAGACGGAATCTTTTAAGGGTTTGAGACCTCACGCGTAGAAACTTGACAACATCTGCATTATAACAATCAACAGGCCTAATCACGGAAAGATCTTCAAGGGCAGGACACCCTGAGATGATCCTCTCCATGATCAAAGGATCATCATAATCATACCAAACGTCTTCAATATGCATCATCTTGAGACAAGGAAGAGACACCACATTCTTGGGAGACTCGAGCCCTACGGATAGGAGCGTTAGAGAGACCAATGTGCTGCTCGTGTAAATGCTCTGAGTTATGTTGGGAGCCTTCTCGGTCTCAACATATAAATGTTGAACTCCGCGATCAACTGCTTTGTCAATCCACACCACGAGTTGATCATCATCGCACTGCTCGTACTCGAACTGTATCTTGAATGTTTGCATTCGTGACTCTTTGTTGGACTCCAGAAATTTGTTGACGAAGCTCTCCAGGGATTGCTCATGAGGAGGAAACTCTTCAGGGAAATCGTTATACTTTAAGTCAAGTCCAGGAACCCTACGCCAGACAGATTCCCATCTTTTAGACAAAAGGCTTGTCTTAACGGAATCTTTTGTCGGAAGATAAGAGAGTACATGAGTTAGCAAAGATTCTGGCAATTCACTGATTATATCCCAACCGGCCATTCCGAGAAACCAAGCCCTAAAGTTTTAAAAACAATGAAAAGCGAAAATTTTCAGATTTGATTTCTAAACCTAGGTTGCAGGTGATTAAAACACATACATAAACAAGAAATGGATCGATTGAGAGAGAGAGAGAGAGAGAGAGAGAGAGAAATCTGAGTATGAAGGAGACTTACCGTCGATATGGTTTGTCGTCGGACTATTGTAGAAGAACTTGAAGTTATGGCTTAGCAAAGTGATAAGTGAGAGTGAGAACACGTCCACTCGTCCAGAGTGACAGTTACAAGATTCTTTTTAAAAGTAGAACACAACAAAACGTGAAATAAATTATTTTCTTACTTTTCCAAAAAAAAACGAAATTCTTAATTGCCCTCTTAATTTCTCTTTTGTTCAAGCCGTTCAAACATCCTTTAAAAAAAATTTCACAAACCTATATTAATAAATATTTTTTTTATATACAGAAATTGAATTTACCTATTTATTTTGTTACTGAAATTGATATTTATTTTTAAGTAATCCATTTTTTGCTGAAAAATTGCAATATTAGGATACAATAATTGTCCAAATTAGACAATAAAGTAAGTCTTGTGACACCTGATATTCATCTTTAAAGGACGATTTTGACGTTTACCTCTTTTTTTTATCTTTATCGTGTGCAAAACCGTACCCAGAGATATGGAATCCGTAAATGGTGACAAAAAAAATAATTCCAATTAACCATATTTGTTCCAAATTTATATTATATAAAATATGGATCTAAAAATGATCGCTGAAAATTTGCAATATTAGGATACAAGAATTGTCCAAATTAGACAATAAAGTAAGTCTTGTGACAGCTGACATTCATCTTTAAAGGACGATTTTGCCGTTTACCTCTTTTTTTTATCTTTGTCGTATGCAAAACCGTACCAAGAGATATGGAACCCGTAAACGGTGACAAAATAATAATTTCAATTAACCTTATTTGTTCCGAATTTATATTATATAAAATACGGATCTAAAAATGATCGTCTCCAAATTTACAAAATTAGGATACAATAATTGTCCAAATTAGACAATAAAGTAAGTCTTGTGACAGCTGATATTCATCTTGAAAGGATGATTTTGCCGTTTACCTCTTTTTTATCTTTGTAGTGTGCGAAACCGTACCCAGAGATATGGAACCCGTAAACGGTGACAAAAAAATAATTCCAATTAACCATATTTGTTCCGAATTTATATTATATAAAATATGGATCTAAAAATGATCGCTGAAAATTTGCAATATTAGGATACAATAGTTGTCCAAATTAGACAATAAAGTAAGTCTTGTGACAGCTGATATTCATCTTTAAAGGACGATTTTGCAGTTTACCTCTTTTTTTATCTTTGTCGTGTGCAAAACGTACCCAAAGATATGGAACCCGTAAACGGTGAAAAAAAAATAATTTCAATTAACCTTATTTGTTCCAAATTAATATTATATAAAATACGGATCTAAAAATGATCGTCTCCAAATTTACAAAATTATAATTTAAAGTATTTTAACCAATTATTATCTGAAATTTCAAATCATACTTCTTTCAAGTGATAAATTGACTTATTATTTGATTTTTTTCTTGTAAGTTACTCTAAATCACAAATCAAACTAAGTATTGTATAATTATATTAGATGAAATAGAAGTACTGTATAGTATAAAAAACAAGCACTGAGCAATAAAAGCTTGATTTGTTTATTTTTTAAGTAGCTATGTGTGTTTTTTTAATATTTTATTGTATTCTTAACTTAATTTTTAGTTAGTTGCTAAAATTATTTTATACTAATATTATTAATGTTAAGAAAAACTGAATCCTTTAATTATTTTTGAAATCAAGGCCCGTAAACTATTTTTTTTTTTTTTGATAACTCAGGGTAAATTCTAGGTCTATGGTCGGGCCCAGACTAATCCCCTGGGGGAGGTGCAGCCCACGGATAGACCCTCTCTCCGGATATTCAAATGGGCCGTAAACAGAGGCCCATATCCGTGTAGGTGTCCAGAGAAATCGTGAGGAAATTCCCTCCAGCAGGGTTTGAACTCACAACCTGGGTACAGGAAGGAGTCCATCCTTACCATTGGGCCCGTAAACTATTGTTTTCAATATGTGCATGGGTCGTGAGTGAATAAAGAAGATGAAGAAAGAAGAAGAATAAAGAAGAAGAAGAAGTGAAAAACGATGGAGAAGAAAAAGAAAAGTGGTGGTAGATGATGGGAATAGAGGATGATTATGGTGTTTGTCATGGTGATGATTATGATGTTTGTCATGGTGACGATGATGGAGATAAACATATCAAAACACATATAGCGATCTTGTGAGTTATTCTCCGTGTTGCAACTAGTACGCACATCAGTAGCAAATCTACCTTACTCAAGGAGTGCCCCCACTAAAAAAATTATAACCAATGTAATTTCCTTAAGATCAAATTAATGCACTCATATAAAATCCCTAATATATTAAAAGAGAAAACACTATAAAATAAACCTTTGTCTCATGTGTTATTAACAGAAATGTCATGCTGATGTGTCAACACCAGGTTCACTTTCAAGGTTAGTTTTAATTAAGACAAACATTACTAGACTAATTACATGTTATGCCATTCATATTTGGTTAGAGAATGAAATATATATGATTAATTTAGTCAGAAAAATAATTATTAATGAAAATTATTTTCTTTCAGTTTCCTTATTTGGTAATGACGAAAATTTATTTATTAGTCAATCAATCAGTAAAATATGGAAAGTTTTATTCAATTGTATTATATTAATTGTTTAAAAATTAATTTATTCATCTATCATTTTTGTTTAGCTTTACTTTCAAGAATAAATTATATCATCACATCAAAATATTTAAAAAAAGAAAATTAGTTTTTTTCTACATATGCTATGGTTTGAATTTTTAAAAATGAAGCAAATCTCTAAAAATGTTAAATGTCCCACATGATTATATTTTGGGATAATAGTTCAAAAACCTATTATAAAATAGGATCCAAATAATGATCAACCATAATCACAAATAGGAAAGAAAAATTTACCATGTTTGGAAATCTTTAAAATTTCTTTTATTCGATTTAATTTGATTCTTTAATTGAATTAAATAATTAAATCGTATTTTTAATATTTTGGTTTGATCAAAATTTTAAACGTAATAAATTCTAATAACTTATCATATAAGTTAAATTATTTTAGTTATTTAAAATTGATAAAAACATAAAATATATATGCCATTTTATATTTATCAAAATATAAAATTATTTTAAATGTATTAAAATTTAATATATATGTGGGTTCGGAAAGGGAGAAACTGTTGTTAAAGCAAATGTTAGATTACCACACTGTAAACGATGACAAAAATCAAACCAGGCTAAAAAAATATGCATCACTCAAAATTTCGTCTAATGTAAATTGACATTTTTTTAATTGTCTAACACTCTATGTTCCTAAAATTGTATGTAAATAGACATCTTTTAATAAAATCAAATTGAGAAAATATCACCCGTGCAAGGCGCGGGTCAAACTCTAGTTCATATTATGCCCCCTCACTTTTTTGTTTACGATGTGTTCATAGTTGCCCCAGTCAACTTTTTTTTTTTCTAGACTCGCCGCACATCCAATTTTATATAATAATATTTACTATTATAATTGTTATGTTATCCTAATAATACTGCATTATATTAGCGAATATTTTATATACAATTTATGTTAATAAAAATATTGTTTGAATATTTAGTATTTTTTTCACGCAAATATAGTTATTATTCAATTATGTAATATAGCACGTTTTATTATTATGATTTTTAGTGTTTTAAATTTTTTTTTGTAACATCTCTATTTATATAGAATTTAGAATTACATAGAAAATAAAGAAATTAAGAAAATTACAGCCAAATACACAACAAAAACTAGAAGACAATACAACAAAGGAAATAAATCTAACCAATCTTTTCTTCCCATAAGCCTTCCTCACATTCTTCTTCAAATGATTGTCATCTTCAATCACCCATATAAAACTGCAAATTATATGTTTGTGAAAAAAATTGCCAAACGATTAGATCAGAACAATAGAGAGAAAATGGTAATTTTTAAAAATGATATATTTTACTTGTATTTTCTTGTGTAGTTTTAAAAAGGAATCTATCAGCTGTCACCACTCTGGACGAGTGTCTCGATGTGTTACGTTCTCAGTCTCAGTTATCACGTATCATTTTGCTCATCCGTAAGCGATAAGCCGATAACGTCAAAAAAGAATCCGACGACGAACCAAATCGACGGTGAGTTCTTCATACTCAGGTTTCTCTCTTTCTCTCTCTCTCGACTGCATGTTTACATATGATTTTAAGCTACTTGTGACCTACTAGATGTTTAGATAAAATCTGGATTACTACTTATCGCATATAAAATGATTGTTTTCGAAACTTTAGGGTTTGGTTTGTCGTGATGGATAGATTCAGCGATTTACCAGATGCTTTGCTAGCTGAAATCCTCTCTTACCTTCTGACCAAAGTGTCCGGTAAGACAAGCCTTTTGTCGAAGAGATGGGAATTTGTCTGGCTTAAGGTTCCTGCACTTGACGTGTCACTTAATGATTTCCCCAACAACCCACTTAATGCCTTGCACAGAGTCGTCAACAAATTTCTGGAGTTCAACAAAGACTCGCGAATGCAAAAGTTCAAGCTACACTACTTGTACGAGCGAAACAATAATGATCATCTCGTGGAGTGGATTGATACAGCAGTTGCTCGCGGAGTTCAACATTTACATGTTGAAACTTTAAAGTCTGCTGATGTAACTCAGAACATCTACAAGAGCAAAACATTAGTCTCTTTAAAGTTGGTATGCGTAGGACTCGAGACTCCCAGGTGTAAGGTATCTTTACCTTGTCTCAAGATCATGCATCTTGAAGACGTTTGGTATATTTATGATCCTTTGCTAGTAGAGAAGATGATCATGGGATCTCCTGTTATCGAAGAGCTCCCATTGATTAGTCGTAGGCCTATGCTTCCTGATATTTGTGATCGAGATGTTGTGAAGAATATGTGCGTGAGGTCTCAGACTCTGAAAACATTTCGTCTGGTGTTTCAGAAGATTTGGGGTGGTAGAAATTTTTCTGTTGAGATTGATGCTCCAAGACTCGAGTATCATATGTTGTGATGAACTTTAGCTCCTTGTTGATGGTCCACATCGATACTGATTTTAATATCCGTTTCGGCCGTCCTTTGGAAATGGAGGATCCAAGCAAGATAGACACAATCCAAGACATTTTCACCGGTGTTTCTGGTGTGAAGTATATGAGCATCTCACATCCTACTCTTGCGGTAATTTACATTCTCTTTACTGCATGTCAAAGCTAAATTTAGTTTAATCATCTTATGATGTATTCATTTGTTTTCTTCTTGTAGGTCCTCTACTTATATTCTGTAAAGATTCCCAAATTCCACAACTTGCGTAGTTTGCAGGCTGACTTCTCTTGCTACATGTTAAAATTGTTGCCAGTGTTTCTTGAGAGCTGCCCAAATCTAACCGACCTCACAGTGGTAAGAGTTTGTTTGAACATATATAGTAGACCTCAATGTATTTAACTAAGAAGATTGTTGGTATAGTGTTTTAAATTTTCAAAATAAATTTTGTTTTTCAGGACATTGAAGCTTTTCCCTTGCTGCCAGAGCAACTTGACCTTAGAGATGTTCCTCGGTGTTTAAGATCGACCCTTAAGCGTGTCTTTATTAACAAACTGATAATGAAGGAGTATACTGGGATCAAACTAGTGAATTACTTTCTTGAGAATTCAGCAGTGCTCAAGGAACTTACTGTGAGTTTCGTTGACTCTCCTCTGACCAACCACAAGCGAGAGATCTTCAAAAACCTTCTTACACCCACAAAGCTTTCTCGCAGATGTCAAGTTTACATTTATTGATGTGTCATTGAGTATCACTGTGTGGATCTTTTTCTTCTGAAAATTTGCAGTTATTTTGTAATACATTGTTAAACTCTCTCTCTCTCTCTTTCTCTCTCCGAATCCCTGACTGGATTGTTACATTTATTATTTGTGATCTTTAAACATTTAGTTATCGACTGCTTCTATATGGCGCTTTTATATTAGACCTTTCATGCCTTTTGACATTTATTACAGCATGAAACTAATAGATCGTAACGTACTAGGTTTGGTGTTTACCTTATGTCAAGATCTTTGATTATGGAGAAGCTTTTCTTTGCATGTCTTGTTCTTGAAGATCTGACCATGGTAAGGAAACTCTGCGTGTCAATTCCCAAACTCTGCATGTCAACTCTCAGATTCTCAGACTAAGTTTCAAACTCTAAAACAATCATGGATGGTGTAAACTCTATATGCTGGTTATCAAATGTATATGACATGTGTGTGAAAGGGTGTGTAGAGTGGTTGTGATGGTTAAGTTCTTAATCATTTGGTTACATGTCTTTCTATTATATAGAAGAAAATTCAGAACTAAGAGACACAATAACAATCACAATGACATTCCACAAAACACACCCGTGAGAGAAAAGTGAAAGAGAATTGAAGGTTTTGGGTTCTTTATCAATCAAAGGGTCAAAGGGATCATAAGGAGAAAAAGGGTCAAAGGTTACACAACTAAAAGTTTGTATTATTGTTGAAATAAGTGTTTTCTGCAAATTAACCCTTCAAGTGGTTTTTGTTTGCAAATTTACCCTTGACTCTAGAAAAATGTATATCAACCCATCAAGTTTGAATTAACCCGCAGTATAACCCGTATCTAAAAATAAAAAGTTAAATTATTTTTTTTGGTATTCACATGCAAGTTTATTACATGTATTCAAACTAGTTTTTTTGGTATCCACAGACCAAGTTTATTAAAAGTATTATGTTTGAGTTAATTTATTCTATATATATGATTACAAAATTAAAGTGAATACATGATTCATTAACTTAAACAAGTGTTTAATCTACATTGGATATTGGAAATTAAATATATTTTTTCTATTTCTTAAATAAAGGAGTCAGAGATTCTCTTCGGTTCTATCTCAGTTGTTCGACCACACTAAACTTTTTGGTCTCCAACACATGGCTATGAAAACCAATAAGATTTTCAATTTCCTTTGTTATTTCTAAACGATGTTTTTTAAATAATTTTTATTAAATACGCGGGTTATATTGCGGGTTAATTCGAACTTGATGGGTTGATATGCATTTTTCTAGAGTGTAGAGTAAATTTGCAAACAAAAACCACTTGAAGGGTTAATTTGCAGAAAACCCTTGAAGGGAGAGAAAAGAACAAAAAAATAAATAAAGAGGGCAATTAAGAAAATGATTAATTTACTATTACTTTTCTCGTGTGTGCATATAAAAAGAATCTTATCTACTTGTGTTGTTAATCCGGATTTGTGGACGTCCTCTCATTTGATCACTTCGCTCATCCTCTCAAGCGATACTTTCAACAATAATCCGACGACGAACCAAATCTACGGTGAGCTCTTCTTCATACTCATATCTCTCTGATTGCATGTTTATGGGTATGTGGTTTTAATCGAGCTCTGCAATCTAGGTTTTGAGATCAGATCTTAAAATTTTCTCATTTCATTGTTTTCGAAATTCTAGGGTTTGGTTTCTCGATCGTGATGGATAGAATCAGCAATTTACCAGATTCTCTAGTAACTAAAATTCTCTCTTACCTCCCGACAAAAGATTCTGTTAAGACAAGCGTTTTGTCGAAGGGATGGGAATCTGTCTGGCTTAGGGTTCCTGCACTTGACTTGAGGTATTATGATTTTCCCGACGGCCAAGCCATGGAGAGCTTCATCGACAAATTTCTGGAGGTTAACAAATACTCAGAACTGCAAACTTTTATGATAGAATCCAACCGTTATGATCTAATCGTGGATTGGATTTGTAGACCAGCTGATCGTAGATTTCACGAATTAGATGTGTCTCATGTAATTAGAAAGGCTCCTAATAATGTCACTCAGAGCATTTACAGGAGCAACACACTGGTCTCTTTAAAGCTCGTAACCGTAGGACTCGAGACTCCAAAGTGTAGTGTCTATCTACCTTGTCTAAAGATCATGTATACTGACGACGTTTGGTTTGATTGTGATGATACTTTGACAATGGAGAAGATCATCGCAGGTTGTCCTGCGCTAGAAGACCTTACGGTGATTATTAGCAGGCATGATGAATCTTGTAAGCCATATTATCTGAAGCATCTGCGCGTGAGGTCTCAGATTCTTAAAAGATTTCGTTGGGGTGGTAAGAATTGTTCAGTTGAGATTGATGCTCCGAGTCTCGAGTATATGAGTTATAGAGATAATTAGTCTACTGAGATTGTGGTAAAGAACTTGAGCTCCTTGGTCATGGTTGACATTGATAGTACATTTAAAGTATATCGTCCAAGTCTTGTGGGACCGGAGGATATAAGTCAGCAGATGACTATCCATGATTTTTTCGCCGGGATTTCTGGTGTAAGGCATATGATCATCTCTAGGTCTACTCTTCAGGTAAATATAATATATATATTCTCTCTTTGATGCAGATATATAAAAACTAAATGAAGTATTCATTTTTCCCCCTCTTGTAGGTCCTCTGCCAATTGGTAAGGATTCCCAAATTCGAATACTTGCATCGTTTGCAGGCTAGGTTCTCTTGCAACAAATTACAATTGTTGCCAAAGCTTCTTCATAGCTGCATAAATCTAAAAGACCTCATCGTGGTAAGAATGTGTTTAAACCTATGATTTGGCTGAGATTAATTAAGAAAATTGTTGGTATATTGTAAACTTTCTTTTATTTTTTTGCAGGACTTTGATACTGTTGACAAGGTTCCAATGGGAATTAAACTTATCTATGTGCCTCGGTGTTTGATAAAGACTCTGGAGTGTGTTGAGATTAACGAACTGGAATGGAACGAGGAATCTGGGATGAAACTAGTGAATTATTTTGTTGAGAATGCAGTTATACTCAAGAAACTTACTGTGCGGTTCATTGACTCTCCTGTGAGCAACCAAGAGCGAGAGGTCTACAGGGAACTTCTTACCACCAAAAAGCGTTCTCCCAGATGTCAAGTTTCGATTTATTGATGTCATTGAAGATCCCTGTATGGATCTTTTTGTTGTGAAAACTTGTTGTTATTTTGTGATGCATTAAACCATCTCTCCGAATCTCCGACTGGATTGTTATGTTTATTAGTATCTTTAAACCTCTAGTTATCGACTGCTTCTTTATGGTGCTTTGTATTCAGATATTTCAAACCTGTGGGCATTTATTACAGCATGAAATTGGTGTTCTTATAACTCGTAAACGTACAAGGTTTGGTGTTTATCTACCTTATGCTAAGATCATTGATTATGGAGAAGCATGCATGGATGGTGTAGAGTTTAGGTTGAGAGTTATGCTCTAAACTCATCAAGTCTATGAGTGGGTGTCTAATTCAGGTGGTGAAGGCCCAAATTAGACCACAAGACTGATAAAAAAAAAAAATCAATTGAATTTGTAAGGCACATATCATATTCCGAGTTTTATTTTAGGAGATTCACACAAAAAGTTTAAAGTCTTTCAAAGTAGATTTTGAGTAAGAAATAAATAGTGTTTTATCTTTTGATATCTTCATTTCTTTTTCAAAATCAACAACATATAATTATTTTTTACTTTGAATATTTTTCCATCCTCAAATTTTTTTTTCCATAATAATTGGACCCATAAACAGGTTCAATTTTTTATTTACTAGAACAGTGAAAACACCACAACTTATGTTCACCAAACCATTTTAGACTCAATGTTAGCAATATATAGTTAGGGAATATATAAAGCGGTTTGACTAATAAAAGTTAATTTTTGTTTTGTTTTTGGGTGAAAATGTTAGTTGAAGATTTTTATTGCATATTTTCCAATAAATATAGTATTAGGATAATATTTTGTTCGATTTGGTGGATTAGATCATATGATGAAGCGATTATAACATTTACACGAATATATTGTGATTGCGAAATTCGTATTAGTATTTGATTTGTGTGTGTGTGTGTGTGTGTGTGTTTATATTCTTGCCGTGCGACTGATTTGACGATAGATTGATAGGGATTTTGTTTTTTACTGAAGAAGAAATTTATGAATAAACGAGGCAGATTGATAAATTAGAAGTTAGAACTTAATGATTTAAGTGTCTTGTCGGGTGTAACTTATTGAGGTATGACAACAATAATAAATAGGAAGTCAAGTGAACTTACTGTAGTGAAACAATAAGGTAAGGGAATAAGTAGGATAAATTCTAGTTATTGTTTACGAAATACTGTAAAAAGGGAGGGAGAAAAAAAACAAGAAAACAAAATTTATCTTCAAAAACTTTTTAGTCAATAGCATTAATAATTTAATACTGTTGGTTTAAGGTCACTTAATTTGCGCCTATATTTAGCAGAGTATCGAACCAATTTATTCCACCAGATCCAGACCTACCCTCAAATTGCTTCAACTCATCTTATTTTTCATATATATTAAAGAAATTGTTATGTCATGTCTCTGCATATAAAAGAATCTGCATAAGAAGTTAAAGAGGTTAGACACTTGGAGAGAACTAAGAGAATTCTATAGAATACAAACGTTCTTGAAAGGAACAGTGATAAGTGATGATTTTTTTATGTGATATATTTTCTTTAACTCTTATGTTGAATACTCGACCAATCATAAGCCTAAATCATCACTAAACAGGACACTATTATGTATTCTGCTTTAACATTTCTGCATTATATAGTATCATAACCAAAAAATTAGTAGTAGTATATTGCCCTTTTTACAAGCATAGAACAAAACTTGAAATGAAACATTCGAAAGAAAGGATCGTCAACAAACATAAAACACAAATCGACTATAACAAGTAGAACACAAGAATGCATGGATAAAACCCATGCATGCTAGAGATTCATTGATCTCTTGCGTTATGTCAAGACTCAAGAATATTTGTTCGAGTGTGTGACTATATCATATAGTCACTACCATGAAATTTGTTAAACTATATGTCTATATCCGTAGTCATTTTTCTTTATTCAACTTAATATTTGGTTGTCATGGTAGTGAGTAGTGACTATATGGGCCAAATACACAAAAAAGGCCCTCGATAAATGTCTATTGATAATTTAATTTCTCTTGTTATCAAGCGACGTCGTTTCCTTATATACACGTTGATTACTATTCACGTCGTCGTTTTCAGACCATTGACAATTATGTCTCCGGCGATTCTCGTCGGTCCCATCTTCGCGGTGGATGCCGCCGTGTCTCGCGCGATTCACACGGCGGCGAAGCCACTACTCTCACCGTTTCTCCTCCTACTCCTCGAGATCTCTGCTGATTTCCGGTTCTCCTTCCCGTTATCCCTTTCCCTTCTCCTCTCTCTCATTCCGTTCCGTTCCGTTCCGTTCCTCCTCGATCTAATCTTCGTCGGAATCGTGAAGCTAACCTTCCGTCGTGCTCGTCCCGTTTCAATCATCGCCGTATCCGCTGGTCACTATTCCTTTCGCTCCGGCCACGCCCTCCCGCGTCTTCTTCGTTGCCGTATCAGTTCACTTCTTTTCTGCTGCCGTAGAAGCTCCCATGGCTGATCCGAGCTATACTTTCTTAGACGAATGGATCAGAGATCATGGTGATGGCGATTTGCATGGAAATGTTGTGGTGGGTGTGTGGATCTGGGCAACAGTGACGTAGCTGCTGATTCTAGAAGCTAACACATCTTTTGGAGGTAAAACAAAAAAAAAGTATCCAAAATGTTGTTCTTCTTGTTTCAACAATTTGGTATCAAATGTTGATTCATCAAATTCTTGCTGTAATTTTCTGTGACATGTGACATGTGAAGTGTAATTCATTCTACCAATGGCTTCGGCGTCCTCATCTACGTTTTGTTTGATAATCGGATCTTTTGTGAGGTTGTTATAAGCTAGGGTTCTGCTAGGGATTAGGGATAGGCTTAGAGGTACCAGAATTGAGTTTCTCTACAAGGAATCAAGTAATACATTTTATTATAAATATGACAAAAAACCGTTTCTCTACCACATGAAAGGATTACAATCATACAAAACATTCATTCTTTCATGTCCTAGATCAGATGGGTTGACCCTTGGGAACGATCTTATCCTTGATCCACATGTAGATTGGGATTACCAAGTACCAGGCAGCCGCTAGGGTTCCCAAGAGGAAGCGTCCCAAGAAGACGAAGCCATTGTTCACAGGCTTCTCCACATCCTCTTCCTTTGGACCAATCTGAGCATTTGCATTTCAACTAGAATTTATCAGAGATGGAGAAAAGGCTGTCAAGTAGATAGATGAGAAAATGAAAGCAAACCTGGAGAGGAGAGTCACCGGAGGCAGGTTTGACACCGGTGACAGAGCATCCCATGACAAGGCCGTGCCTGCGAACACCACGGTACCACTTGGGGGCAATCGTCTTGAACAGAACATCCTTGAAACCTGCTTTGGTGAACCAGTCAACGTACTCTTCCTCCTTGGGGAAAAGTATCCAAACATCAGCAAAGAAGCGAGAGAGCCAGAAGGTTGGGTAGAGAGGGCCAATGACACACGCTTTCCCACCAACCTTGAGGACTCTGTACGCTTCCCTTATCCCTCTCTGAGGCTCTGGCCAGTAATCGATGCTGCCCCAAAATTCATAACACCCTAGTTTTACTTCCGCAACAAGAAACATAATTTCAATAAGGAATGCATAATTTTTTTTTAATACCTTCCAGCAGAAACGTATCTGTCGGCATAGTCAGTAGGAAAAGGGATATCCTCAGCATCTCCTTCCAAGAAATTGCATTCCTTCAACGCCTCCTTCTCCTTCGCCTTGGCCAGCTGATGTGGCGACAGGTCCAGAAGGGTCACGTTCTTAGCATTCACTGTCTTGACGATGCCCAGAGTAGTGAATCCACTTCCGCCGCCAACGTCGACCACCCGCAAGTCCGGATGGCTGAGATCTGCCGGCTCGAGAAATGCGTCCCTCATGTCCTCCGTATGGTGCATTTGACGGAGGAAGTCGTAAACGATGGATAAGAACCTGTAGAACCAGTAAGCCTCTTTCTTGTGCTGTATGAACCTGGGTTGCGCCAACGGCCGTGACGACACCGACACGCTGCATCTGGTTGCCACCGAGAGTCTCGGCGTTGGGGAAGCGGTGACTGAATTGGGTCGGTGAATTGGTCTGCAGTGAAGATTGAAACCAGGAAACCCTAACCCTTTGGGGCAGGTGATGGCGATGGCCCCGTTGAGCATTGCAGAAACCATGATGGATCCGCAAAGAAACACAAAAGAAAAAAAATGAGGGGAGATGTGGAAGTCAGTAGAGCAGCTCACACTCACAGACCATACGTATTTACTCGATCGGTTTCCTTTAAATACAAACTTCCCTAAAGTTCCTTGATATTAAATGCATGATTAAATAAGTGAAGTCTCTGTTTCACCTAGAATCTTCTTTGTTGTTGTTTTAATCCTTCTTTAGCCAGCTTTGCTTCCAATAGACCTTTTCTCTCATCTCCATCACAGCTATCGGTATCGAAACTTTGATTCATGAACACAGAATTCTTGTTCTCGACGTAATCGAAACTTTTTATCTTCAAAACTATTTAGGCAATAACATTAATACGGTTGGTTTAAGGTCACGTTGCATAGATGAAACCCATGCATGCTAGAAATTCATTAAAATTGTTACAAACCATAGTTTTCAGGATTTATTGCACGAATCAGTGAATCACAAAAATCTTCATTCAACTCGATCTGTTAGAGCATCTCCATCACAAGCTCATAGGAGAGTATTAGGAGGGGTTATTAACTTAAATCTGATTAAAAGAAATGTTTTAATGAAAATAACGTTGAGAGAGGTCTCTTCCTTCCTCAAGATTTTCAGAGGTATGAGAGATATTGTTTCCTTATAGTACTAATATTTCCCTCCGTGCATACGCACGGGTCAATTTTGGTTTTCTTTTAAAAAATATGTTGCAATCTATACTATATAAAAGTTGAGGCTATAAGCCTCTGAGAGCGTCCACATAGGATTTAAAGACGCGATTTCATTGGTTCACGTAAGCATCTTAAAGATTAAGAAAGTTTCCGAAATTTAAAAGACCAATAGTATAATTCCACATCACCATATAAAATAAGGTAATTTCTTTTTTTTTTTCAAGAATGTTTCCTAATTCAAAAATAATATAGACTTTTTGTATTAAAGAGTTTATAAAATAAAATATATGTTTTTCATACCAAGCAAAATGAAACTAACTTAACATGTTTATTTTTTTATTATTTTAATATATATATATATATATAATAACAATCAAAATATAACAAGATTGGAATTAAAAACATCACAAATAAAATCCAAAGATTAAACAAAATTCTTTGATTTTTGTTAAAAGTTGACGTTGATTTAATAACTAAATTTGAAATATTTATATAAAAACATTTGGAGAACTACAAAATTAGTTATGAAGAATTATATAGATCATGAGTTAGTTTTTTTAATCACAAAAACGAGAGTTACACCATAATAAGGAGAATTGTTCATAGCGAACTTAACAAATTTTGTAAGTGGATCACATTACATAGTCTAAAAATAAATTAAAAGAAAATAAAAAATGTCTCATGTCATGTAGAAGACATTTTAGCTCATATGTAGTTTTTTTAGATGATGAGAGAGATCAACTTTGAGAGTGTCATTATTACATTAATGGAAGTAAAACATGCATCTAGCCCACTAGATAACACTTTGTTCATCGCAAAAGTTTCAACAATAATGGCCAAAGAAGTAAACATTATACTTGCATTGCTTTGGAGAATAGTAGATTTGATCATTCAGTTCATACCATATGTTTATGAGGAAACATTTCAAGTTGCATGATCAAAACAAAAGTTTTGTTCGAATTATTTATGCCTAATTTATAAATAACATAAATTATTTATGTTTTATTTATTAACATTGAATCAAAGTTTATAAACTAAACACATGTGTTAAGTTAAAATTATTGATAAATTAAACAAAAGAGCATTTGAAGTTTCAATACATATAAAAGTTCATTTTAATAATTTAAAATAATAAATATGTTAAATACAACTATTTACTGATATCTAAACATTCATACAAAAAAAAACGCTTTCACGATATTTAATTTTAAAGATTTCTCTATACAAATTTAAAGAAAATATTTGCTAATAAATATTTCTATATACAAACTTAAAGAAAATATTTTCTTTTTATAATAAAATTGACACTGTTAAAACAGCACACAACTTATTCCGCAAGAAATATTCATCAAAGAAATTAAAGAACAAGAAGAAAGATGAACATATAGGAGAAGTATAGTAAGAGAATGAAACCGAAAAATGATTTTATTTCGGATGATCATTACGGAGAACTATCATGATCATTTTTCAAGTAACATATAGATTCATGATAGTTCTCGAACTATCATGATCATTTTTCACCTTTAGGAGAAGTACATAAGAGGATTAAACCGAAAAACAGGGAAGATGGAGATACTAAAGTAGGAAGAAAAAAAGAAAGCCAAAGAAGAACATCGATGAAGACAGAAAAACCGAATAAAAAACAATGAAGATGAAACTGAAAAAGAAAAAAAAAATCAAATAAGAACGAAAGAGAAGAAACCAGACAAGAAAAAAAATAGGATGCAATACGAGTGGAAGAAAAATAGCAAAGTAGAAGACAAGTAGATCAGTGAATATGAAGAATAAATCGAATAAGAATGACGCAAAGAAAAAGAAGACACCGACTAAAAAAAAACAAAAAAGAAAAGAACTTCAAGCATAAAGAAATCAAATAAGAAAAAAAAAAGATTAAAGAAGAAAGCAAGACGGATGAATAAATTGAATTTCAAGAATGTGTATTTGTTTTTGCTTTTCTTCAAATGAAATTCTATTTAAAGTATATTCGAGATCTATCACCGAATATAGTAATTTCAAATAAATAAAGATGATTATTTTATAAAAAGTGATGCTACTAGGGTATCAGATTCTATACTAAAAACATTTAAAAATAAATTATGAAACAAATTGAAGTTGATGTGGTCTAAAGAATAATTTATTTTTTGTCATAAACAATACAAATTAATTGAATAGGTTATTCTCAAACAAAGTTAAAGGATGTTATAATCTACAATATTAAAATTTTATTGGTTTAGTAAAAACAAGACAAACTACAAATTTGTTGTTCACAACTTTCTAATTCAGTTCATTAAAAAGTAATGTTTGTTTAGGCCGATCATGTTGTCATATTGTTGAAAGATCAAAGTTTTATGCAATGTTCTTATGCCAAATTTTGTGAAGCAATGGACAAAACATAAAAAATATTTATGAAAATGTATGTCGAGTCATGTCTAATGAAGACATCTAAGATTTATACATCCAATTTTATGATGAGTTTTGTCAAACGACGAATCTAGGATTCTAATCATAAAACAAAACTGATTATGGATTTTTGTACGAAAGTTTAACACAAGATAACAATATATTAAGGTTTTAAATCAGTATGTTGTGTTAAAGATATCCGCTTGCCCCAAAATGACCCGGCCAAATATGGGAAATCCCAATTCATTAGCCCATTTTCAAAATTCGAATTGAAATATACTAATTTTTATGCAGATAGTTGACAATTATGAAAGTAACTATCAAATTTTTTTTAAAGATTTCAGAGGTTCCTACAAATCTCCATAGAATATTACAGAAATCAACAAAGATTCTTTACTGAAATTAAGTAAATTAGTATTTTAGTGAGGTAAAATTATTGGAAAGTTGCTAAAATGATCTATGAATTGAACTCAAAATCAAATGTAACCTACATTTATCCCTTTCAATTGCTTTATTATTATTATTCTTAAAAATATCTATAATCTTATAAAAGAATAAAAGGAGGATGAAATAATCAATTCTTTTTAAGTACATTAAAAAAAATGCACAAGATTTGATTATTTTAAGTTATTAGTTGATTAAATAAAATTATTAACCGAGACCCGCGCGTGCGCGGGTTAAAAACCTAGTAAAATAAAAATTTCAACAAATTAACACACTATTTGTTCTTAAAAATGTTAGAATCATAACAATGAGAGTTATGAGAACAAAGAAAAAATGTAATTATTTTTGTTTAATTATCTAAATATCTAAGTTGTTGTTTAACATTATTCCAAAATTATTCATTAATTATATATAGGCCATGTTTGTTGATCAAGCCAATCTGAACAGAGATAGAACATAATTCATAAAATTGCTAGACTAATGTCTGCGTATACGTGCGGGTTTTTCCAATTATTATAGTTTTTTAAAAATGTTCAGATAATTTTACATTTGCGATTATTATTAATATTATAAACTATAATCTAAATAACACCCACATTTTAGTTCCAGCTTATATGGTTAGCGACTGACCTTCAAATCTATATTTTACATTATACTACACGTTTATTTGCCATTTACTTACTTCCACATAAAACGGACTCTAATTTCCTGTCATTGTTTACAAGTTTAAATGTTTAGCAAATAAATAAGACTTAAAGTTATCAATTGGAAGGAAGAAGAAAAGTCATGTCTGTGAGATAATGGGCCCAATTCAAGCCCAAGTCAAGATCGTCCAATTATGTGGTATTTCTTATTCTGTTTTTTGTTGGTTGTGCAACAAGAAAAAGGTAACAAAGGAAAAAGGCAATGAAGGAAGGGAAGATTTCCTAAAGCTAAATGGAAATACAGAGACATCTTTGGCTATATAAGACCATCTCCAACCCAACTCTATTTTTTCCACTATTTTTCCCCTTATAATAGTGAGATTCTAAAATGGTGTTAGTTTTCTCTCCAACCCACCTCTACTTTCAACCTTAAAATGATGATCACTATTTTCTCCCTTATATTTGAGGGAAAAAGTAAAAATATAAGGGAAAAAATAGTGAACATCATTTTAAAGGTGAAAGTAGAGGTGGGTTGGAGAGAAGACTAACACCATTTTAGAATCTCATTATTATAAGGGGAAAAATAGTGTAATACATTGGAGATGCTCTAAGGAGGCATCCTCCTCTCATTCAGAATCATCCCAAAACACAAGAATCCCAAGCATCAGAGAGTAAGAGAAACAATAGAGAGAGAGAATAAAGAGAGAGAAAAAGAGAGTAGTCTTATTCAAGTTTTTTTCTTCTTGTATTCTTTTCTAGAGATTGTTTGTAACTCTTTGGTTAGTAATAAAGTTGTGGGAAGGATCTCACCCAAGACGGTCCTGGTTAGAGGCCAGTGATTCTCGGTTAATCAAATACCTTGTGTCTTTTACTTTTCTCAAACAAGAAGAAGGTTCATATCTAAGCAAAGGCAAAGAGTAAAAACCCTTACAAGTGGTATCAGAGCAATCCAGTTTGATTGCAAGTGCTAGAAGATATGGAGCCAACTCTAGGAAGGTTTGAGATGGAGAAGTTTGACGGCAAAGGTGACTTTGGGATGTGGAAGTTCAAGATGATGGGTCAACTAGAGATACAAGGTCTGCTTTCAGTTATTAAAGAAGATTTTACTATTTATTTAAAATCTGATAAGCAAGAAGAAGGATCAGAAGCAAAGGTTGATGACAAGAAGGCAGCTAAAGATCTCAGAGTAAGAAGTCTGCTGGGAACATGCTTAAGTGATCCTATTCTGAGGAAGATTATGCATGAGACAACTGCATTGGGCATGTGGAAGGCACTTGAAAGGATTTATCAAACTAAGTCTCTTCCTAACAGAATATACTTGAAGAAACAATTCTCTTGCTATAAGATGGAAGAAGACAAGACGATAGAAGAGAATGTTGACATATTTCTGAGGCTCATTGCAGATTTGGACAGTCTCAAGGTTAGTATCTCAGATGAAGACCATGCCATACAGCTCTTGTCAGGACTTCCAGCAGCATATGAACCATTGGTTCACACTCTCCAGTACGGGTCTGGAAAGGAGACGCTTACAGTGAATGAAGTAGTTACTTCAGCCTATTCTAAAGAAGCTGAACTTAGGCAAAAGGGATTACTCAATAAAAGTAGGCAGGTTGCGGAGGGTTTGTATGTTGAGTCAAGAGGAAGATCAGATAAGCAGGGAGGAAGTCCTAAGAACAAGAGCAGGTCAAAGTCAAAACAGAAGTTTGATAAGAACAACACAGGTTGTTTTATTTGTGGATCAGAAGATCACTGGAAAAGGGAATGTCCAGAAAGGAAGAAGCCGCCTAATTCTGCAAATATTGCAGTGGAACCTAAACAACCGATAGTGTTAACTGTTAGCACTCAAGACTCAAAGAAGGAATGGGTTATGGACTCAGGTTGTTCATATCACAGTACACCAAACAAAGAGGTCTTGTTTGACTTCAAGGAGTTTGATGGTGGTAGAGTTTTGATGGCTAATAAGTAGCCATCACTTATGGTAACATCAAAGGAATAGGGAAGATTCGGATTCAGAATCCAGATGGTTCTGAGGTGATACTTAGGGATGTAAAATACATACCGGAGGTGAGTAGGAATCTTATTTCTTACGGGATGTTAGAAAGATCAGGTTGTAGATATGAAGGAAGAAACTTCAAGGTTCGGTTCTACAAAGGCGGGAAGAAGGCAATCTCAGGAAAATACAAGGATGGATTGTATTATCTTGAAGGCAAGGTCTCTAAGAATGAAGAGAACAATTCTGGAGTTGAGAAGGAAGTTAGACAGGAAAGGTCAAAGAAAGTGACTTTTGGTCAGAATCTGGTTCAGGAAGCAACTCCTAATGGTTTGGAAAAAGATGATTCATTAGCTCAAGGTGGAGATTCTAAAGAAACTGAATCTAAAGAGAGCAATGAAGAATCTGGGATAAAAGAGCTTGAGGTGGAAGGCTTGGAAAAGGTTTCTAAGATATTGGGAATGGGGATCTTCGGAGATAGAGCTAAGGAAGAAGAAACTCTATCTAAGATTTATTCCAATGAAGAGAAAGAAGATTTTCCAAGTAAAGCAGTACCTGGACAAAAGCTTCAGGTTTGCTGCAAGTTTCCAAGCTTAAACTGAAGCAGGATTCAGCTCCAGGTAACTCCACTATCGACATCACACTCTCGCATGAAGAAGGAAGAAGAACATGAAAACAGGTCAGTTTTCGGAGATGTTCTTATGTCGATAGAGAAAAACAAGGTTGTTTAATGGGTTTAAGGAGTTACCTGTTGGAATCAGTTGTCATGGTGAAGAGACATTGATTCCAGGTGGAGCTGGTTGGGAGGAAAGATTCAAGAGAATACAAGTTAGTTTTCAGGAGAGTTCTTGAATCTCAGGAAATAAGGCGGGAGAGGTATAAAGGCAGAGGTAAAGGAGTTACCTAAAGTTACAGTAGCAGGAGAGAAGAGTTATTGTTCATCAAAGGCAGCTGAAAGGAGAAGATATCAAAGGGATCAGCAAAGAGTAATGAATAAATAACAAGAATAAGGTACCTATTCTAGTGTGAAGTTGAAGAAAGTGTTATTGGCTTCAGGTGGAGCTACTGTGAAAAGGAATGTGAAATTTAAAGTTATGATTTCTCAAAGTATCTGAGAAATTGGAAGAGACAAGGCGAGAAGATGACTCAAGTTAAAGAAGGTTACTTGGAGTCTTTAGAGAGTCTTGGAGAAAGCGAAGCAGATCGGTTGAATAACTGCAAGAAGAGAGTCTTAAAGTTCAAGAAGGGATTTCACAAGATTGCTGAAATTCAGAACAAAGAGACCAAAAGGAAGAGATGATATAGGTTAAAAGGGTTTACCTGTGTCATCGGGACTGTGGAAAAGCATAAGAGGGAAGCACCAGTGAAGACTGGAGAAAGGCGTGGTGAAGATGGGAGGTCACACCTGAATCACCATGGATGATAAGAGGAAGGTTGATGGTTACGATGTTGCATCGTGAAAGGAAGGAGAAGAATATGGGCCCAAGGTGGAGATTGTGAGATAATGGGCCCAATTCAAGCCCAAGTCAATATAGTCCAATTATGTGGTATTTTCTATTCTGTTTTTTGTTGGTTGTGTAACAAGAAAAAGGTAACAAAGGAAAAAGGCAACAAAGGAAAAAGGCAATGAAGGAAGGAAAGATTTCCTAAAGCTAAATGGAAATACAGAGACATCTTTGGCTATATAAGGAGGCATCCTCCTCTCATTCAGAATCATCCCAAAACACAAGAATCCCAAGCATCAGAGAGTAAGAGAAACAATAGAGAGAGAGAATAAAGAGAGAGAAAAAGAGAGTAGTCTTATTCAAGTCTTTTTCTTCTTGTATTCTTTTCTAGAGATTGTTTGTAACTCTTTGGTTAGTAATAAAGTTGTGGGAAGGATCTCACCCAAGACGGTCCCGGTTAGAGGCCGGTGATTCTCGGTTAATCAAATACCTTGTATCTTTTACTTTTCTCAAACAAGAAGAAGGTTCATATCTAAGCAAAGGCAAAGAGTAAAAACCCTTACAATGTCATATGTCAATTAATGGAGGGCTTATACAACATGGAAGGTGAAGGAATCGACGGTTTTGGAAAATATGTGTGTTATGACTGCAACGATTAAGAATGTGAAGAGACTACTCTCTTTAAAAGCTTTGCCATATTAATGGAGGGCTGATACAACGTGGAAGGTGAAGCAATCAGACAGTTTTGGAAAACCTATGTGTATGGCTTCAATTCATATATATGATTCCTTTTAAATTTCTTCTTTTTTTAATTTTACATTAGTTTATGGCTTCGATTGATGATATGTGGTATCACAGTTGAGTTAGAAGAAATGGTATAGTTGCTGTGGAATTAACACACACCAAAAAAAGCAAAAAATTAAATTAAAAAAATTAAAAAAAAAAACGTGGAAAAAAAAAATGCTAAATCAAACTCTACAACATCCTCTTTTTCAAAACAACAGCTTTTTATATGTCAATTTTCAAAACTACACCTCTAGAATCTTAATTTTCAAAATTATTATTTTTCATTGAATAAAAGACTTCAAATCCTAAAATCTAAACTCTAAACTTTAAATCTAAACCCTAAACCCTAGTCTATGATTAATGAACCCAAACATACATGTTAAATTTAGAAAAGTGTAATTTTGAAAATTAATACCATAGAGGTGTAATATTGAAAATTAAAACTATAGAGGTGTAATTTTGAAAATGGACACCTCAATAGGTGTATTTATTAAAATTTGTCATTTTATAAAGGTTCCACTGTGTATGAGATAATCTTGAGATGAGTTTTCAGTTTATTATTAGTTTAATTTGTTTTTTATTTAATGTTTAATTATTTACCTAAACATATGGAAACTAAGGGGTGTTATTCAATTATGTATTTGAAATTCAGTTAGATTTAAAATGTTTATCTTATTTTAAGAATTCATATCAGTTGATTCTAAAACCTCTGCAATATCGGATGGATTCTGTTTTAAAAAATTTACTCATTGAACTCTATTGGAATTCATTTCAAATAACTCAGTTAACAAAGATTTTAAAAGTCATTTAGTTTTGAATAACACTGAATTTTAAAACTGGATTTAAAACTCTATTAATGATAGATTACAATTCATATATCGAATAACACTGGATTTTAAAACCGGATTTTAAATCTTGATTGAATAATACTTGATTGTAATTCAATTTCAGTTTATTTCAAATAAAATATTTCAAAGATTTTAAAAGTCATTTAGTTTTGAATAACACTGAATTTTAAAACTGGATTTAAAACTCTATTAATGATAGATTACAATTCATATATCGAATAATACTGGATTTTAAAACCGGATTTTAAATCTTGATTGAATAATACTTGACTGTAATTTAATTTCAGTTTATTTCAAATACAATATCCAATACCCCCCCCTAATAGTATTAAAATTGTGTGAGATACCTCTTACCGTATCTGAGGATACTCTTCCATATATATGGCTTCAATTCATATATATGATTCCTTTTAAATTTCTTCTTTTTTTAACTTTACATTAGTTTATGGCTTCGATTGATGATATGTGATATCACAGTTGAGTTAGAAGATATGGTATAGTTGCTGTGGAATTAACACACACCAAAAAAAAGCAAAAAAATTAAATTAAAAAAATTAAAAAAAAAAACGTGGAAACAAAAACTGCTAAATCAAACTCTACGATATCCTCTTTTTCAAAACTACAGCTTTTTATATGTCAATTTTCAAAACTACACCTCTAGAATGTTAATTTTCAAAATTATTATTTTTCATTAATTAAAGACTTCAAATCCTAAAATCTAAACTCTAAACTTTAAATCTAAACCCTAAACCCTAGTCTATGATTAATGAACCCAAACATACATGTTAAATTTAGAAAAGTGTAATTTTGAAAATTAACACCATAGAGGTGTAATATTGAAAATTAACACTATAGAGGTGTAATTTTGAAAATGGACACCTCAATAGGTGTATTTATTAAAATTTGTCATTTTATAAAGGTTCCACTGTGTATGAGATAATTGAGATGAGTTTTCAGTTTATTATTAGTTTAATTTGTTTTTTATTTAATGTTTAATTATTTACCTAAACATATGGAAACTAAGGGGTGTTATTCAATTATGTATTTGAAATTCAGTTAGATTTAAAATGTTTATCTTGTTTTAAGAATCCATATCAGTTGATTCTAAAACCTCTGCAATATCTGATGGATTCTGTTTTAAAAAATTTACTCATTGAACTCAATTGGAATTCATTTCAAATAACTCAGTTAACAAAGATTTCAAAAGTCATTTAGTTTTGAATAACACTAAATTTTAAAACTGGTTTTAAAACTCTATTAATGATAGATTACAATTCATATATCGAATAACACTGGATTTTAAAACCGGATTTGAAATCTTGATTGAATAATACTTTATTGTAATTCAATTTCAGTTTATTTCAAATACAATATCCAATACCCCCCCTAATAGTATCTTCTTTTTTTAACTTTACATTAGTTTATGGCTTCGATAGATGATATGTGGTATCACAGTTGAGTTAGAAGAAATGGTATAGTTGCTGTGGAATTAACACACACCAAAAAAAGCAAAAAATTAAATTAAAAAAAAAAAAAATTTAAACGTGGAAAAAAAAACTGCTAAATCAAACTCTATTACATCCTCTTTTTCAAAACTACAGCTTTTATATGTCAATTTTCAAAACTACACCTCTAGAATGTTAATTTTTAAATTTTTTTTTCATTGAATAAAAGACTTCAAATCCTAAAATCTAAACTCTAAACTTTAAATCTAAACCCTAAACCCTAGTCTATGATTAATGAACCCAAACATACATGTTAAATTTAGAAAAGTGTAATTTTGAAAATTAACACCATAGAGATGTAATATTGAAAATTAACACTAAAGAGGTGTAATTTTGAAAATGGACACCTCAATAGGTGTATTTCTTAAAATTTGTCATTTTATAAAGGTTCCACTGTATATGAGATAATCTTGAGATGACTTTTCAGTTTATTATTAGTTTAATTTGTTTTTATTTAATGTTTAATTATTTACCTAAACATATGGAAACTAAGGGGTGTTATTCAATTATGTATTTGACATTCAGTTAGATTTAAAATGTTTATTTTATTTTAAGAATCCATATCAGTTGATTCTAAAACCTCTGCAATATCTGATGGATTATGTTTTAAAAAATTTACTCATTGAACTCTATTGGAATTCATTTCAAATAGCTCAGTTAACAAAGATTTTAAAAATCATTTAGTTTTGAATAACACTGAATTTTAAAATTGGATTTAACTCTATTAATGATAGATTACAATTCATATATCGAATAACACTGGATTTTAAAACCGGATTTGAAATCTTGATTGAATAATACTTGATTGTAATTCAATTTCAGTTTATTTCAAATACAATATCCAATACCCTCCCCTAATAATATTTAAATTGTGTGAGATACCTGTTACCGTATCTGAGGATACTCTTCCATATAGGCAATGTTTTTCGGGTCCTTGCAAATTACAATTTGTTTGTGAACAAAAAACAAACTTGCCAAACGATTAGATAAGAACAAAAGAGAAATTAAAATGGTAATTTAGAAAATGATATATTTTACTTATATTTTCTTGTGTAGTTTTAAAAGGAATCTATCAGCTGTCACCACTCTGGACGAGTGTGGACGTGTTACGTTCGCAGTCTCAGTTCTCACGTATCCTTTCGCTCATCCTTCATCGATAACGTCAAAAACAAATATCCGACGGCGAACCAAATCGACGGTGAGTTCTTCATACTCAGGTTTCTCTCTTTCTCTCTCTCGGTTGCATGTTTACGTACTAGGTGTTTAGATAAAATCTGAATTACTTATCGCATATGAAAAGATTGTTTTTGAAACTTCAGGGTTTGGTTTCTCGTGATGGATAGAATCAGCGATTTACCAGATGATTTGCTGAGTCAAATCCTCTGTTACCTTCCGACAAAAGTGTCCGTTAAGACAAGCCTTTTGTCGAAGAGATGGGAATTTGTCTGGCTTAAGGTTCCTGCACTTGACGTGTCACTTAATGATTTCCCCAACAACCCACTTAATGCCTTGCACAGAGTCGTCAACAAATTTCTGGAGTTCAACAAAGACTCGCGAATGCAAAAGTTCAAGCTACACTACTTGTACGAGCGAAACAATAATGATCATCTCGTGGAGTGGATTGATACAGCAGTTGCTCGCGGAGTTCAACATTTACATGTTGAAACTTTAAAGTCTGCTGATGTAACTCAGAACATCTACAAGAGCAAAACATTAGTCTCTTTAAAGTTGGTATGCGTAGGACTCGAGACTCCCAGGTGTAAGGTATCTTTACCTTGTCTCAAGATCATGCATCTTGAAGACGTTTGGTATATTTATGATCCTTTGCTAGTAGAGAAGATGATCATGGGATCTCCTGTTATCGAAGAGCTCCCATTGATTAGTCGTAGGCCTATGCTTCCTGATATTTGTGATCGAGATGTTGTGAAGAATATGTGCGTGAGGTCTCAGACTCTGAAAACATTTCGTCTGGTGTTTCAGAAGATTTGGGGTGGTAGAAATTTTTCTGTTGAGATTGATGCTCCAAGACTCGAGTATCATATGTTGTGATGAACTTTAGCTCCTTGTTGATGGTCCACATCGATACTGATTTTAATATCCGTTTCGGCCGTCCTTTGGAAATGGAGGATCCAAGCAAGATAGACACAATCCAAGACATTTTCACCGGTGTTTCTGGTGTGAAGTATATGAGCATCTCACATCCTACTCTTGCGGTAATTTACATTCTCTTTACTGCATGTCAAAGCTAAATTTAGTTTAATCATCTTATGATGTATTCATTTGTTTTCTTCTTGTAGGTCCTCTACTTATATTCTGTAAAGATTCCCAAATTCCACAACTTGCGTAGTTTGCAGGCTGACTTCTCTTGCTACATGTTAAAATTGTTGCCAGTGTTTCTTGAGAGCTGCCCAAATCTAACCGACCTCACAGTGGTAAGAGTTTGTTTGAACATATATAAGACCTCAATGTATTTAACTAAGAAGATTGTTGGTATAGTGTTTTAAATTTTCAAAATAAATTTTGTTTTTCAGGACATTGAAGCTTTTCCCTTGCTGCCAGAGCAACTTGACTTAGATGTGCCTCGGTGTTTAAGATCGACCCTTAAGCGTGTCTTTATTAACAAACTGGTAATGAAGGAGGATATTGGGATCAAGCTAGTGAATTACTTTCTTGAGAATTCAGCAGTGCTCAAGGTACTTACTGTGAGTTTCATTGACTCTCCTCTGACCAACCAAAACCGACAGATCTTCAAGAACCTTCTTACACCCACAAAGCTTTCTCGCAGATGTCATGTTTACATTTATTGATATGTCTGTCATTGAATATCACTGTGTGGATCTTTTTCTTCTCAAAATTTTCAGTTATTTTGTAATACATTGTTAAACTCTCTCTCTCTCTCTTTCTCTCTCCGAATCCCTGACTGGATTGTTACATTTATTATTTGTGATCTTTAAACATTTAGTTATCGACTGCTTCTATATGGCGCTTTTATATTAGACCTTTCATGCCTTTTGACATTTATTACAGCATGAAACTAGTGTTCTTATAGATCGTAACGTACTAGGTTTGGTGTTTATCTACCTTATGTCAAGATCTTTGATTATGGAGAAGCTTCTTTGCATGTCTTGTTCTTGAAGATCTGACCGTGGTAAGGAAACTCTGCGTGTCAATTCCCAAACTCTGCATGTCAACTCTCAGATTCTCAGACTAAGTTTCAAACTCTAAAACAATCATGGATGGTGTAAACTCTCAAATGTATATGACATATGTGTGAAAGGGTGTGTAGAGTGGTTGTGATGGTTAAGTTCGTAATCATTTGGTTACATTGTTTCTATTATATAGAAGAAAATTCAGAACTAAGAGACACAATAACAATCACAATGACATTCCACAAAAACACCTCGTGAGAGAAAAGTGAAAGAGAATTGAAGGTTTTGGTTCTTTATCAATCAAAGGGTCAAAGGGATCATAAGGAGAAAAAGGGTTAAAGGTTACACAACTAAAAGTTTGTATTATTTTTGAAATAACAATTAAATTGCAATATGTTTGTGAAATAATGTCTAAAGATGAAGGGAAAGAAAAGAACAAAAAAATAAATAAAGAGGGCAATTAAGAAAATGATTAATTTTACTATTATTTTCTCGTGTGTGCATATAAAAAGAATCTTATCACCTTCGTGTCTGTGTTACTCCTCATTTGTGGACGTCCTCTCATTTGATCACTTTGCTCATCCTCTCAAGCGATACTTTCAACAATAATCCGACGACGAACCAAATCTACGGTGAGTTCTTCTTCATACTCATATCTCTCGATTGCATGTTTAAGCGAATGTGATTTTAATCGACCTGCGATCTAGCTTTTGGAAATCAGATCTTAAAATTTTCTCATTTCACTGTTTTCGAAATTTAGGGTTTCGTTTTTCGTGATGGATAGAATCAGCGATTTACCAGATGCTTGGTAACTAAAATCATCTTACCTCTACCAAAAGTCTCCGTTAAGACAAGCGTTTTGTCGAAGAGATGGGAATTTGTTTGGTGTAGGGTTCCTGCACTTGACTTGAGGTATTACGATTTTCCGGACAGCCAAGCCATGGAGAGCTTCATCGAAAATTTCTGGAGGTTAACAAATACTCACAACTGCAAACGTTTAAGATAGAATGCAACCAACGCAATGATGAACAACTCGAGGATTGGAATTGGAGACCAGCTGATGATTGGGATTGGTCTGATGATACAGTTAAACCTTTTTATGTGTCTGATGTAATTAAGAAGGTTCCTAATGTGACTCAGAGCATTTACAGGAGCAACACACTGGTCTCTTTGAAGCTCGTAACCGTGGGACTCAGACTCCAAGTGTAGTGTCTCTCTCCCTTGTCTAAAGACCATGTATACTGAAGACGTTTGGTTTAGTTATGATGATCCTTTGACAATGGAGAAGATCATCGCAGGTTCTCCTGCGCTAGAAGATCTTACGGTGATTAGTAGAGGGCATGATGAAGATTGTGAGCGATATTATCCGAAGCATCTGCGTCTGAGGTCTCAGATTCTTAAAAGATTTCGTCTCATGTTTGAGAATGGTTGGGCTGGTAGAGGTTGTTATGTTGAGATTGATGCTCCGAGTCTTGAGTATATGAGTTTTAGAGATGAACAATCTGATAAGATTGTGGTAAAGAACTTGAGCTCCTTGGTCATGGTCGACATTGATACTTCATTTCAAGTATATATTGGCGGGCCAAGTCTTGTGGCACTGGAGGATATAAGTCAGGTAGTGACTATCCATGATTTTTTCGCCGGGATTTCTGGTGTAAGGCATGTGATCATCTCTAGGTCTACTCTTCAGGTAAATGTAAATGTAAATCTAAATATATATATTCTCTCTTTTTTTTTTTTTGAACAACCATATATATATATTCTCTCTTTGATGCATATATATAACAATTAAATGAAGTATTCATTTTGTTTCTTCTTGTAGGTCCTCTGCCGATACTCCCAATTGGGAAAGATTCCCAAATTCGAATACTTGTATCGTTTGCAGGCTAGGTTCTCTTGCAACACGTTACAATTGTTGCCAAAGTTTCTTGAGAGCTGCATAAATCTAAAAGACCTCATCGTGGTAGGCTGAGATCAAATAAGGAACATTGTTGGTATATATTGTAAACTTTCTTTTATTTTTTTGCAGGACTTTGATGCTCCTCGCGAGGTTCAAATGGATCCTGAAGTTATCGATTTGCAGGAGTTTGATGCTGTTGGCATGGATCAAATGGAAATTGAACTTGCCTATGTGCCTCGGTGTTTGATAATGACTCTGGAGTGTGTTGAGATTAACAAACTGAAATGGAACGAGGAGTATGGGATGAAACTAGTGAATTACTTTCTTGAGAATTCAGTTATACTCAAGAAACTTACTGTGAGTTTCATTGACTCTCCTGTGAGCAACCAAGAGCGAGAGATCTACGGGGAACTTCTTAACACCAGTAAGCGTTCTCCCAGATGTCAAGTTTCCATTTATTGATATGTCATTGAAGATCCCTCTATGGATCTTTTTGTTATGAAAACTTGCTGTTTTTTTGTAATACATTAAACCATCTCCCCAAATCCCTGACTGGATTGTTATATTTATTAGTATCTTTAAACCTCTAGTTATCGACTGCTTCTTTATGGTGCTTTTGTATTCAGATTTTTCAAACCCCTGGGCATTTATGACTGCATTAAATCGGTGTTTTTGTAACTCGTAAACGTACAAGGTTTGTTGTTTATCTAAACTTATATGCTAAAGATCTTTGATTATGGAGAAGCATGGATGGTGTAGAGTTTGAGGTTGAGAATATATATTGACAACAACGACTTACTCTAGCCTCCATATGTTCCTCAAATCAGTTATCCTCCAACCATCACAATTCCTAGCAGACCTCCTCCAATGTTCTTATTCAGTGTTTTTTTGTTCTGTCACTCAAATGCATCTTCCTAACAATGTGATCCACAATATTATGGTTATGAACAACCACAAGAAAGAAACTGAAGTTTGCAGCGAACAATACATCCGTGTAACTTTTAGCTTCTCAAACTACATGTTTCTCAAAAAATCATTAATCAATATCAAACGACCGACCATCAGAAACCACGTTTATATGGTGTGAACTGTGAACTAACCAGTCTTTTTAGAGACAAAGAGAAGGGGACCAGAAGACAAATTCTATGATTTAAGTACGAAATTTCTGAAGGTACAAACTGTGAATCCAAATAAACTTAGTAATAACAATAAAAGGTTTTTGTTTGAAAGTTTGTTTTTAATTCTAGATGTTATTTTGTTTTCTTTAAATATCACTTTGTATATGTACACGTTTGCATTGGTAGGATTGAGGGAGCATCCAACGCCATTGCTTTAGGAGCACGCCTTCAGGAAAGGGCTTTCGTGCGAGCATCATTTTACCGTTGGCATCGCCTATGCAGTACAACTGTGGAACCTATCAACCAAGAGTGACTCGTTAATTCCTAGTGGTTAAAGACTTAAAGTCATAAGGTGTGCATATGAAAATAACACTAACCAGCTTTCCATTCCCATCGATTACACGCATCCGCTCATCAACTGGTATAAAACCTCTTTGCGTCGCTACATTGATCTGTGCGGAAAACAGAACGTCGAGGCTACATTGATCGAGGTTACTCAGACAACCAAAAGTGAATTCTTTTATTCATAAGAGGATGCGGTTTATTGTCATCACTTACATTTTCCAGGCCAAGACCATTGGTAAATGGAGCTCTTCCTATAGCAATAAGAGCAGCGTCCACCTTGAGAAAAGAAGAAGAAAACGCATAAAAGTGTCAGTTGTGATAGATTTCAAAAACATTTCTGTTTCTTATTCTTTTTTGTGGGAGAGACATATCAAACTCTAGAAAATGAGAAGCCCTAGCTAACCTACGCAAGTATGCATGTAATAACTTATATGTTTCGGCTCGTGGAAAGTCCACATGGAGTGTTGACAACCAAACAGTGAGAAAAGATTTCTAGGGATCCAAGCACATAACTTGTAGGACGTGAGATTAAGTCTCGGATATGGGTACTAAGCAGCAGCACCAGTCATTCTCTTATGCAGCATCATTAATCATTTCAAATTAATGATGTAAAAAAGTCAGAGGTACTTTAAATCTTTTTCGTATGACATTTTTGTTTACCTCCAAAGTATCTTTGGGTTCCTTGGTTTTGGCATCAATAAGCTCAATCATAACTGGTCTTCCATCTTTTGCTGGAGTGATCTGTAAAAAAGAGTTAAAAACAAATGAAAATTCCACAAACACACTGTACCAGAAAGAAATTACATATAAATAGGCTTACTTTGCTTGCAAAGACTCAAGTATGATAGTCAATCTTTCTTGGATTTATCAGAACCCTTTGAGCCAGCTTACTGATCTTAGGATCAAATCCAGGCATAAGCTGATCCAGAGCCTCAATAAATGTTACCTGCACAAAATTTTGTACCAACTTTGGTCACTTCATGAAGTTCTACTGCATCACAATCCTTAAGCAACCAAAACATAGCAATAGCTCATTTTCATTTTGATGACCAATAGAGCCTATTCGAAATAGCTACCTTAGGACTAAGGCATCCACAGCTATTCTCAACAAAAGAAAAAGAAAAAAGTTTTAATTGAGTTACTACAGATGCAATGACATTGCCAGCGAAAAAGAAAAGAAACTCACTTGAGATTGATTTCGTCGTATCCGTGAGGATGAGAGAGCTTAGCAGCTTTTGCAAGGCTTTCCACATTGCTCCCACCTAGGAAGGCTAGAGTGAGCAATTCCTACGATGATCAATCACACCGTCCCCCTCACGAATCAATTTCTGAGTCAAACAAGTCAGGAATATGAATGATGTAAAGAAAGATACTAAACCTGGACAAATCTGTAGAGGCCAGGGATTGACATAAGATCTGCTCCACCAAGTTTCAGCCCAAAATCAACAAACAAACGTGTGGCTGCCATAGTAGCAAGGAATGGTTAACAACACACAATGTGAAAACCGAAATTGACAGCTTTACAAAAAATGACCTTATAAAGAAAAGGGTGTTGAATCACAGACCTTCTCCAGAAGAGACACGTAAATACTGTCAAAACAGGGGAAACTTGGGACTAATGGCTTAAGAGTGATACGAGGCTGAGCAAAAACTTGCAAAATCGACCACCTGAGGAAGCTCTTCAAGACGAACAAGAACGCTGTCAGCTTGAGGAACAACATACAGTTGATCATTTCAACCATCCACGAATTAAAACAACGAAATGAATAAAATTTAACCGGGAAAAAGGCAGTACCTTTGTCGCTTTGATTCTAAGACAACCTCTTCGATTCCCTGCAGACACATGTCGGAAAAAGCAAAAATCGTTATCGGAGAACCAGAAAAGCATTTTACAACAAGTTTCAAATTTGTCTCAGTACCGAGAAGCTTCTGATTAGCTGAAGGAGGAGAAATGGTTTTGACCGGGGAAGCAAACAAGGGTTTTGGTAGAGAGACGAAAGTGGAAGCCGTTGAAAGATAAGGTTTTTAGCAGAAACAGCAGAGTCGTCGGTCCTCGCAAGCGATCTGGGAAGGAATTACAGACGACAGCTTTGGATTGACTAATCGAAAAGAAGAAGGAGGGTTGAGGGAGAGCCATGAACGTCGACATGGGTGGAGGTCTGGAGGATCTCGGCGGAGAGGTGGAGAGGAAGAAATTGGGTGAGAATAAAATTATGTTAACCGTAGAAGCAAACGACGTCGTTTTCGTGGCGTTGAGAAGGAGAATAAAACATTTCGAAAAGTAACAACGTCGTATTTGCTGGTAGCCGGGGGGGGGAACTGACGTGCAGCTTTGGGGATGGTGAGGAGGTGGGAAGCCCAGGAGAGTGTCTAGCAACTTTAGGTAACGTAGATTTCTTTTTCAAGATCAAGGAACTATAATATTTTTGTCACTTCGAATATTTTTTTCTACAATTTGTTTTTCTTATCCTAAAATCACACTTAATGCTATAAACATTTTAATTAATCTAATGCAAACATTTGAAACAAACAAAAAAATCACTTCAGTTTTTTTAGTTACTCTAATTCTAATGATTTTCTGTTATATATATATATATATATATAGATACAACATATGAAACCGGTTTCAGAGCTAGAGAAAGTATTGGTGAACGCGGTTATGGAGGACAACACAGTGATTCTTACTTTGTTAAACCATGTGTGGTCAGGGGCGGGCGGATCTAGGAAGAAATTTTACATGGGGCACAAATAGCTAACAAAATTATAAACAATATTAAAAATTATTTTTTAAATTTCAACAAAAGAAAAGGAGAGCATTCATCAGGTTTCGAATCAAAGGCTTGAGGTCTAACGTGGGGCACTCTTTGGGTCTGACTGGTTTAACCGCTGCGGTTGCGGTTGCGGGAGTTTGCGGCTGCGGGAGTTTGCGGAAGCGGGAGTTTGCGATTAAAAGCTGTTTGTACGACTGGTATAGCAATTCATAGCGGTTGCGTTTGCGGGATATTTTTGACTGGTTAGCCAGCGGGTGCAAGAGCGGTTTAACCAAAAGTTACTAAAATAAAAATAATATATAATTATTCAAAACATTTATAACCATATTAATAATTTTTTTTTTGAAATATATTTTTTGATGAATTTTTAATTTGAAAACTACCCTTTTTTTTGGTTTTGAAAAATACACTTTTTATATGTAAAATGATTATTCCTAATTTAATAAAAACGAAATTCAAATAAGAAATATAAAATATTAATATTTGATAATAATTTTGTATCATTTTAACATCCTAATTACCTGTTTAGTTTTTTTTTAAACAATTTAATAAAAATATAAGATTGTTTATATAAAGTTTAAATGGGGTGAGATTAAAGTTGTTTATGCAAAGTTTCAAAAATATTTAAATTTTTCAAAAGATAAACATTAAAAATGAAAGATATATTTCTCCACTTTTAAATTTTTAATAATTTATAAACTTTAAATATATGTAAAGTTTTAATTTATTTAAAGTTTCATTTGGTTTGAATGTGTATGAGGTTAAGTTGTTTATATAAAGATCCAAAATATTAAAATTTGTTTCAGTTTAACATATACTATATTTATTTGAAAAAAAACTTATTAGTTTATTATTTTTTTAAATTTTCGTTTATAATTTGTAATTATTTATTATTTTTTTGTTTAAATCACGTCAAAACATACTTTTTACATTTTAAAAGTGTATTTTTCAAAACAGAAAAAATTTAGGGTATTTTCGAAATTTTTAAACATAATTATGGTATTTTTCAAAAAAATATACCCTTATTCCAAATTTGGAGATATTATGTTTTTTTTTTTTTTTTTTCAAACCGCAACCGCCCGCAACCGCAAACGCTTGCGGAAAGGAGCTTTTGATTTTCAGCGATATAGAGCGGTACAGAGTGGTATAGAGCGGTTGAAAGCGGTTGTCGTGATTGTTATAAAACGCTAAGAACCGCTACGAACCGCAAACGCTGCGTTTGCGGGTGGTAGCGGGAGAACCAATCATCACCTTAGTCATTTAGGCTACAAGATCATTATTGTTAAGAATCTCATATGGAAATAATAATATTAGTATGGGGCACGTGCCACATCTACCCTGGCTGTAGATCCGCCACTGTGTGTGGTCGGCTCCAAAATTTACGCTTGATGTGTTTCTGGAGAGTTTTAAGACCAGTCAAGATACCGAAAGGTTATTAAAGCATGTGATCGGAGTTTAGGGTTTAGGACTAGTTAATAAATAAATAAAAACACAATATTATATAAAATTATTTAACACTAGATAAAGCCCCGATCGAGTATGTGGAGTTTCGTTTGAGTTTTTGAAATAATTGATGAAAAAATATTAAACAAAATATGATTACTATTAAAAATAAGTAAAATAATATTAATAACCAAATAAAAAAAATTCTGCATAACATAATAACATAAGATAGTTTAGTTCTGCTATATAATAAAAAGTAATACATTACATGATTCCGTAAAAGAAAATTATAATCAACTATATATTTCGATAACTTCGATTTAAGAGTCAAATAATATTTATTGCTTTTCTTGAACTTTTCATGACATGTTAAATATTAAAAAAAACTTTCTTGAAAGATAACAAATTAGAAATATTTGCATGCTTCTTTAGAGCATCTCCATGAGATTTTCTCAAAATAGTATAAAATATTAGTAGTGTCATTTTAGGTAAAAAGGTAAAATTAAACAATGTTTGGGTATTTTAAATGAGATACTTTGGAAAGAGATTCTCAAAGTTTTAAGATAATCAAATATTAATTAATATTGCTTTTCACCATACATGCACTTTTAGTAATTTATATTATTTTGAATCTAGAGAAACTATATATGAGATTGGAGAAAAAAATAAGCATGTGTAGATAACAAACTATGTTTGGACAAAATTCAAACATATCAACATTCAAAATTTATGTTATTTATAACTATCAATTTTTTAATATAGTTTCTTGAACTTATTCCATTGTAAAATGTGTTTACATGGACACATGGTGTGTATGCTTTGGTAAAATCATCGAAAATTTTTAAAATGAATAAAAAAATATAAAAGAATACACAAAACAGTTACCATAATATTCTTCTTTTAGTTATACTACTAAGTTGAAAGATAAGAAAATTGAAATAGCAATGGCATACATCAACTGGATAAGTTGTAAAATTTACCTTTCTTAAAATTAAATTTAATATTATATAATCAAGGTGAGATAAAAATTAAATTATCTTCTCAGTCTTTGAATTTTATACTTATCAACATATTAAAAAATATTCATAGTGTCAATTTTTTTAAAAACTAGTTACCTGGTTCAAACCCTACCAGATTATTAGCAAAACATTATTCATCTTTAGTTTTAATCAATGGCTATCTTTATACATAGAATAAATGGTCCTTTGTTAAATCATAAATGTATAAATTATTAATGCAATTTGATCACATCATGCATCCAAAAAAATTGTTGTATTTAAATTTTTCAAGGTGCATTTTATTTGTTTTTCCTTGATATAAGTATATTCATTTCCCTTTTAACTTTTTTTCTGTCCTGTTTTCTTTTTCATTTAGATATTGTTATTTTCATATAACGATTTATTTCTAAATCTAATATAATAAGATGGACAATATGATCCCTAATATGCACAACAGATATTCATTTTAGGTACAAAATACGTGAAGTTTAAAACTACATCTATAATTTGTAAGTGTATAAATACGTGATGAATAACACATACATATACATACAGCCCTACATTCAGTCATATGTCATCATCATCAAACAATGGTACATACGAAATCAAACAAAGTTTATCTTTAACAATATATACTGTATGTTTTATTTCCTTCTTACATTGTTTTGGATGTTGTAGGGAATCATACTACGTGCTGTGTTTGTGCTGACTTTACTCCATCTCGGTCTAGTAAATGGGCAAATCTATAATGTTCTTAAGTATGGTGCTAAGGGAGATGGTACTACCGATGATTCAGAGGTACAACATTGCAAAACATTATCTCGTTTTTCCTTTACGAAACTATCTGAATTTTTTAATAAATTTATTTATGTATTATTCCTGCAAGTATATCATAATTCAATAACAAAAAATTAGTTAGTTCTATTATATAACTTCTATACTAAATCTGATTTTTCTTGGCAAAGGCTTTTGTGGATGCATGGAAAGTTATGTGTGGTAGTATTGGAAATAATAAAACACTCCTTATTCCTTCAAATTATACATTTTTACTACAACCTCTTGTGTTTCAAGGCCCTTGTGATACTCCTTCCGTACAAGTTCAGGTAACATCGAAAGATCAATACATTTTTTCGATCGATTTTTACAAACTTCCACGGTGAAAAGGGAAAAAAATTGTGCGTTGATATGAAATGTATATGTGATCAATTTTGCAGTTGAAAGGAAATATTGTTGCCCCTATCCACAAATCAGAATGGTCAGATTATAAGTCAGGTGCATGGGTCCGTTTTAGACACATCTCTAATTTAACGGTCATTGGTACGGGAACAATCAATGGAAGTGGTTCATCTTTCTGGAAGGTGGAAAATTTTAATATAGAATCTAATTATATAATAGACGAAATTTGTTGAGTTATATATATATAATGTGAATCTCATCATAGTTTTCTTCTTTCTCATATTCAATATATCCAGCCAAGACTGTCAGCTTCTAAACGGCCTACAGTGAGTATCTTTTTCTATTTTCCCCACTAATTTGACTCTAAATTCTTAACGAAAAAGCTCATGACGAAAGTGTTTTTCAATATGTCTTGTAGCAATTGGCTTTTCAAGGATGCAATACTCTTAAGATAGTTGGACTAAAGTCATTCGATAGCCCAAGAAATCATATTTCAATCCATGATTGCAAAGACGTTAAAATAGCGAAGATAACACTTGTTGCACCCGATGATAGTCCTAACACAGATGGAATTAATATCGCCATGTCAACTGATGTCAGCATATCCGACTCTTTCATTGGAACTGGTACTTAGTTAGATATCTCTTTTTTTACAATCATTAAATTTTATGTATAAAAATAGGCATAGTGGTTATTTGAAAATTCAATTTCTTAAAACTTTTCAGGAGATGATTGTGTAGCTTTAAACAATGGAAGTGTAAATATCAACATCACAAGGATGATGTGTGGTCCTGGACATGGAATAAGGTATATATTTTGATTAACTAATGCCATCATTCTATAGATATTGATTGCTTAAAATCTACATAACTAATAAGGCTTGGACAATCTCCAGCCTTTGACACGTGGCACTTCTTTTTTTTTTTTTTTTTTCGCCTAACACCAAAACGACGTCGTTTTGGGCTTTATTTTTTTTTTTTTTTCGTCTTACACCAAAACGACGTCGTTTTGCGCTTTATCTTTTTTTTTTCGTCTTACACCAAAACGACGTCGTTTTCGTATTAAAAAAAAAAAAAAAATCTAAATCAAAATTATGTGTAATGCTGTTCGTTTTGATGGGCTTGATTATTTATCGGACCTCTTCGTTTCCATGGTAGCTTTAAATGGGCTTACTGGCTAATTAGCTCATTTCATTTCCTTTTAAAAAGGATTGCAATTATTATTATCTATGAGTCTGTAGGATAATAATCAATCTATAATGATTGTTAGTATAAGGAAAATTAGAAGAACTCAACTCCAGTCGATAAATTATTGTATAAAAGAACAAAAAACATATGAAACTATTCACTATGAGTCTATATAAGATTTCACGTAAATAACAACTAAATTTTAAAACTATATGAAAAAAAACAAAATGCAAAACTTACAGAATCTAATATATTCGAGTAAAAAACAAATGATATATTCGAATCTAATGTTCTGAATAATTAAATTAAAAATATTTGGTTTAATAAACCCGCGCATTGCGCGGGTTCTCTCCTAGTATTATAATAAACTTTGTTCGTTGGATCTTTATGATTAACTTACAGTGTGGGAAGTCTAGGAAGAGATGGAGAAGAATCAATGGTTGAGAACGTCTTAGTGACTAATTGCACTTTCAATGGGACGGATAATGGAGCTAGAATTAAGACATGGCCGGTAATCATGATTTTTTAATTTTATTTGTCTATATGAAAACTAAATGAAGTATTATATTAGTGATAAAATTTGTTTTCTGATTTGTCTTTAATTTGATTGTTTAGAATGGAAAGGGATATGCAAGAAATATAGTTTTTCAGGGCATCAAACTCATAGAAACAAAAAATCCAATTATAATCGACCAAAACTATATAGATAAGGGACGTCTCGACGTAGAGGTAAATTATCTTCTTCATTTTCTGTTAAATTTAAAAACTGGAAACTCTTATAGGTCGATCCCTAAATATATATTATGTTTAATAGGAATCAGCAGTGGCAATTAGCAACGTGACATTCGCAAATATTCAAGGAACGGCAAGACGCGATGAGATTATAAAGATTGATTGCAGCAAAGTCACATATTGCAAAGACGTCGTTCTAGATCAAATCGATATTACTACGGTCGATGGAAAGGATCCCGTAGTTGAATGCAGTAACGTGTATGGAAAGTCGAGCCATGCTAACGAGGTGGCTGGCTGTTTCGTGCAACGTCCATGAGATAGATAATTATTATTTCTTTTCTTTTTGTTAGAGAAGATAACTATTATATCTCTAGTAATCTAGTCTTTATGTATGGAAAAAAAAGAAATTTTATTTCTGTATAACGATAATTATATCAGATGAATGTTATAGTGTATTACTTATCGACTATAATGTATGCCTGATTAAATAAAATTAATAATATCTTATATTATATTATATCAGTGATTTTTGGCATAAGTCATGCACATAGTTCAAATTTATTCTACAAAACAACTTAGTATTTCAGGGTGGTAACTTGAATAAAGAATAGGGAGATTTGTTAATAAATTTTTTAAGAAATACACTTTTTGGAATGTCAATTTTCAAAATTATACTGTTAATTTTCAATTACACATTTTTCTAAATTTAATATCTAAGTTTGGGTTCACTTATCCTTAACTAGGATTTAGATTTTGAGTTTAGGGTTTAGATTTAGGGTTTAGGGTTTAGATTTAGGATTTTAAGGTTAGACTTTAGGGTTTAGATTTTGGGTTTACAGTTCTTTTAATCAATGAAAAAAGTTAGTTTTGAAAAAAGACACTCTAAAGTTGTATTTTTGAAAATTTACATAAAAAAATGTGTAGTTTTGAAATTTTTCCGTTTATGAATCTAGACACACAAAAAGTGAAGGTTTCTTTCTCTATACATTTTTTTAATTTTACCAAATTTTGATTACAATACCTTTTCATATATTTTTAAACCCAGAAAAGTTAATAAATTTCAAAACAATGATCTAAAGACTATTGAAAATATTATAACATTTTTCTGAAATTTTATGTTTAGAATTCAAAGTATAATATGTTTTCTACTAATTCCTCTGACACCTACCAACGGTAGAATACGATACCTAACATTTGTTCAATAGTATCATATTCTTCCTGGTCTTTTCCAGTTGTTTTCGAGATGGCATTGTTTGTTCATCGGCTCACTCTTATACCACTTCCGTACTTCTTACTCATGGCACTGAAAAAGTACCATTCTTGGGTCCCTTCTCTTCAACTTTGAATACTTTAACACAAACACATAAGAAATATTTATAGTATTTTATATTTTCTTCCGTTGAAAAATTCCCTCCATTCAAAAATAAATATATATATATAATATTTATTTTTGTATCATACAAATAATTCTTATAGGTTTTCAATGCATTAGTATTAGTTTTTTTTTGACATCTCATTAGTATTAGTTAATGACGGTGAATTGTAAATCTTTAAGCAAATAATTGAGTTTCTTGAATTTTTAAAAATATTTAAAAAACGAAATAGAGCCGGAAAATGATAGATGACTTTTGGTTTTTCAGATTGTCAAGCAATGTTCTCTAGATGGTGGTGTAACAACTAAATGTTTGAATATAGTATAATATCACCTTTCAGCTTTAATGTTAATCAAATCAGACATTTTTCGATCCTAGATAATCTAAGTAATGTTCATAATGATCTGATGAGACTTGTGAACAAAAATATTAAAACACTCATAATTATTTCAATTGTTAAAAGAAAATTCTTTTCAATATAATAGATAAAAACAAAAATAAAATAGTCGACGCATGAGAGAAATCTAGTATATTAAAAGGAGGTGTGCATCGAAAGAGAAAATATACTAACAAATTAAATAAACCAATGGAAAATACGAGCTCCGAGTTGTCGTCTTCTTCTTCCGCCGGTATCGAATTATCTAGTGACGGAGAGGCCGACAAAACCAAGCCGCCAACAAACGGATCACAAAGAGATGTGATAACACTAGTGTTGCTGCTCACCACAGTGGCAGTTTCTTGTCTTTTGGTATACAATTTTTCTGATAATCCTCTAATGGTCTGGAAGATCAACTGGTTTTCACAAAACCAAACTTCCTTCAAACCTGTGAGTTCTGAACTTTACTTGATTGTTTATTTTTTCGACTATATTTACGTGTTATACTAAAATGTATTTACGCTACAACATTAATAACGGAAGAACTTTCTCAAATTCGGAGAAAAACAAAATTTGGTCGTGATATGATACAATTTTTATCACTCCAATCGTAACTGATTTTATTTCGTGGATACGATAGAGAGAACCGGTTACAGAACTTGAAAGAGTACTGATGAACGCGGCAATGGAGGACAAGACGGTGATCATAACAGCATTAAACGAGGCATGGGTTGCTCCAAACTCGATTTTTGACTTGTTTCTTGAGAGTTTTCGGATCGGAAATGGAACAGAAAGGCTTTTGAAACACGTGATCGGAGTTTGCTTGGACAGCAAGGCATATGACCGGTGTTTGCAGCTTCATCCTCATTGCTACTTCATCAACGCCACTGACTCTGACAAACTCTCTCGTGCCAACAACTTCATGACTTCTGGTTACTTGAAACTCATTTGGCGGCGAATGAATTTTCTAAAAGATGTTCTTGACCTAGGCTACGACTTTATCTTCACGGTATGCAGTCACTATGCACTTAACAAAGTTTAACAAATTGATTTTCATATTTATATCCGAAAACACCTATATAATTTAGATAATACCCTAAACTGGACTAAAAAAAAATAGTTAGAGGAGAAAATATATACTCTTATATTGTTTATCATAAAAGAATCGTTACATAACTTTTTAAATTGTTGACATTTAATTTTTCTCACGTTCTCTCTCGATGCGTTTTAGGATGCCGATATCTTGTGGTTTCGCGATCCATTCCCTCGATTTTTTCCGGACATAGATTTTCAGATCGCATGCGACTATTACAAAGGAAATTCCTCGGACAAAAGCAATTGGGTGAACTCCGGATTCACATACGTCAAGGCGAACAGCAAAACCATTAAATTCTATAAGTTTTGGTGTGGCTCGAGATGGAGATTCGGTGGTAGAAAGCATGACCAGGACGTGTTCAACCTCATAAAAGGAGATCCATATGTTGAGAAAATCGGAATCAAAATGAGGTTTTTCGACACTCTTTATTTCGGAACTTTTTGCCACCCGAGCAAAGACATCAATGTAGTCAACACGATGCATGCCAATTGTTGCAAGGGTTTAAACAGCAAAACTAGGTATCTTAATGAGATTCTTGGCGTTTGGAAGAAATATTTGTCGGAGACAAAAATGTTGGGAAATACGACCATGGCAGAGTCTAAATGGAAACGTGGTCATAGGTGTGGTCGTCATGTGAGGTAGCAGTGATCGTATGTAATCTCTAATATTACATAGTACAATTCTATGAAACTAGTGTCGATTCGACAGAATCATTGTAATATAGTATAATATATAGAAGTATATGGAATAGTCGAAATATTCAAGTACATGGATTGTAGGTATGTACTGTATATGCTTTGATATGCAAAAGTACTGAAAACGGATAAAATGTATTTGAAAATTTTATTTACTTTATAACGTCATTACTGAAGTAAATCTAGTCACACATCGCCCTAGTTAGGTTTGACCAAATTTTATACAACATATGTACCACAAAACTACAAAAGAGTACAGCTGTTTGATTCCAAATGTCATTGCAAAGTCACAAGAAAATGTAGCCAATATTGTACAATGCATAACATCAATAATTTTACATTATTAGAGTCGGTATAAAGCAATCAATAGTTAGAGGTAAGTCTCGCATTCTTTCTTTTATCTAGTTTGGGGAGAATCGATAAATTCTTCTATTTTTTTGGTTAAAAGTTACCTTCAATGTCTCTTCTGTAGTTTTAGCTAAGAAATCTCAAAACTCAAATTACTCAATTGATACTCAACTCCTGCCTTTGTTTCTTCTGGGAATTTCAAAAATACACCTATTGACTTTATAAAATCAAATAAAAAGAAATATGTCTAGGAGTCGTGGCAGCCACAGCATTTTGTATATGATAGTATCAACTAATTACCACTAATAAGAAAAGCCCACGCGTTTAGACTGTAGTGGACAATTGGTCTAGTGATTCTAGTCAAATTATTTTATAGTCTTCAATGATCAATTAACAACTACTCCCTCCGTTTCAAATTAGTTGTTGTTTTGGCAAAATATATCTGTAAATATTTGGACATATCTGGACGTGTTTTGTATTGCAGATACATCCAAAAAATTGCAGATACATTTTGCCAAAACGACAACTAATTTGAAACGGAGGGAATACTAGATATGTAAAGTCGACTTTGTGAACTTTCTGGTCGAAAGTTTACAAAATCATGAATACACCACATATTGATCGAAAGTTTCATTAATCGTTTGATATCATTTATAACTAAAACTGTAAAAGTCTTTAGTTTCCTAGATAGAATATATTTGTTTTTGTTTCTATTTGATACATATTATCAATCTAACTTTAGTTTTGAAATTTTTATAGATATTGTCTTGATCAAAAATTTTATTCTACAATCCTAGAAACTATGATCAAAATTTTATTTTATCATATGATACTGACGTTGTTTTATTTATTTTTTCAGTTCAAGTAATGCAAGAAAATCAAATTCATCTCTTCTCAAAATTATCGAAAGCATTTTAAAAAACCAATTTATCATTGACGGTTCACAATATAATAACAATACACGATTCTACCACTTGTATTACTTTTTGGACTCAGCCTTTCTTCATTTAAAAATTATAACTAAAATAATATTGAACGCTGCTGTTACAAGAATGCCAATGATGACTTTTGCCTTGCTTTTCTTACGTTACTATAAGAACCGACAAAAAACGAAGACCAAAAAGAACAGTGAAGAAAAAAGACTTCCAAAAACAAACAAAAATGAGTTCTTCACCTTCCTCTTCCTCTTCTACTTCCTCTCGCAGTATGTTTCTGGATTCAGGATTTTTGATGGGACAGAAAGAAGTAACAAGAATCTTGATTCTGTTTCTTGGTTTCACTGCTTCATGTCTGGTTTTATATAAAACAGCTTATCCTCTGCAACGACTTGAGGTCAACAATCTCACCTCTCTTCTCGCTACTCAATCTCCACCATCCCCGAATCTCAACTCATCAGAGACTTCTCCAGAAACAACAGTAAGCTCTCATCACTACTCAGATCTGATGACTCAAACTCTTTTTTTTTTTTCCTGTGTATACGTACATTCTCTGTTTCGTCTGATTGTTAGGGTTTGAATCTGTTGTCTTGGCTCGAACTTGTTCTTGTTTCAGACAAAACGAAAGATCAGTTTCAAGGAGATTTTGGAGAAAGCTTCGACTAAGAACAATACAGTGATAATAACGACACTGAATCAAGCTTGGGCAGAGCCAAACTCTCTGTTCGATCTCTTCTTAGAGAGTTTCCGTATCGGACAAGGAACACAACAGCTTCTGAAACATGTGGTTGTGGTTTGCTTGGATCCCAAGGCGTTTGAACGATGCTCACAGCTTCATACTAACTGCTACCACATTGAAACCTCGGAAACTGATTTCTCCGGCGAGAAAGTTTACAACACTCCTGATTATCTCAAGATGATGTGGCGCAGAATCGAGCTTCTCACACAAGTTCTCGAGATGGGTTTCAACTTCATTTTTACGGTAAAATTCATGTTTTAATGAAGAATCAGTATTTGATTTTGCAGTGTTATATCAATCTTATAAGCAATTTTTGTATATGTAAAATTAGGATGCAGATATAATGTGGCTTAGAGATCCATTTCCTCGACTGTATCCAGATGGAGATTTTCAAATGGCTTGTGATAGATTCTTCGGAAATCCTTTTGATTCAGACAACTGGGTCAATGGAGGTTTCACATACGTAAGATCAAACAATCGAAGCATAGAGTTCTACAAATTCTGGCACAAATCTCGTTTGGAGTATCCAGAGTTACACGATCAGGATGTGTTCAACAGAATCAAGCACAAGCCTTTTATCTCTGAGATTGGAATCCAGATGAGATTCTTTGATACGGTTTACTTTGGTGGGTTTTGTCAAACGAGCAGAGACATAAACTTGGTTTGCACAATGCATGCTAATTGCTGCATTGGATTAGAGAAGAAGCTTCATGATCTGAATCTTGTTCTTGATGATTGGAGAAAGTATCTGTCTTTGTCGGAAGATGTGCAGAACACGACTTGGAGTGTTCCTATGAAGTGTTTGGAAGATTGATTATTCTTTTTGGGAATTGGATGACAAGTAGACTAAAAATGAAGAGTTTTATTCATTATTGTTGGTGCAAGAAAATATGTTTTAGTCTCTAATTTAATCATAACTTTGTGGTTATAATCTCCCAAGTTTAAATGTTCATTTGTTTGAACCTAAATTAATATTTCGCTATATGATAGAATGGTCCAGTCTTCAACTTTCGATCAATTTTCTTTTAATTTACAAGATCTAAATTTCTTATACTCACATGATACTCCTAGCTTAATACTAATAATTTTATTATATAGTACTATTAACACTAGTCTAACTCTCAAGTCTCAGCATACATACATAACAAACCAAAGTGTGAGGATTAGGCTGTTAATCTTACTTCTTGATTCACACTCTTGAAATGAAGTTGTAAACTAAACCAAACTTGTGTGGATAAGGATTATGCCATTCAATTCCACCTTCTCTTGATGAACCATTCGGCAAAATTACCCTTTTCCCCCACAAAATTATCCAGTGAATGGTTATTTTATCCTCCAAATAAAAGGACCCTCCACGTTTTTTCACAAAATATATAAAAAAGAGAGTTTAGGACAGCTCTCTGATCTCTCTCACTGTCAAGTTTCATAGACCTCAAATGGGTCCCAAATGGCTGTCTTAATGTCAGCTACAAGCAACCTTAAGTTCGGCCCAAAAACCTGATGGCCCACTTTATATTTTCCTCATTAAATATTTTGAGTAAATATTACCAGTGAAAAAATGAATTTTATTAGTTAGAAGGAATCTACAGAACATTAATTTAAGAGTCAAAGAATCATCATTTTTCGGCGGCGTATATTTTAAAACAGAGGAGATTTCATCTTTATTTTATTTTACAAAAATTAAAAAAAACTAATCAAATAAACTGAACAACAAAAATCTAATAAAGACGCTCGTATCTTAAACGAATTTAACTCATTTAACTATAACAAGCTTGAAACCGAAAAACAGTTTAAAGAACTTTAATAGATCAAAGTAGTAACTGAGAATCTATTACTCAACTTCATGAAAAGAAACTCGTTGGAGAGAAACAAAAAAGATCCATGGCGAAATCTCAGGTTCTGTCTCTCTCCCATCATCTCCTCCGTTGCACAATCGTTGGAAAGAAGAGAAAGGTTCGAAACGGGGGAAGAAAGCAAAAAAAAAAAATCGAGAGAAGAAAGTAGTTGTAGTTTGGTGAGAGAGACACGTGGCGCGACAAGAGAGGTAGGGGTCACTCTCCGTTCTCCGGTTCTGTCTCATGTAGCGGTGCGTGCCATGTCAGAGTCCGTTCCCCTATGAGCCCGGCGAATCCGAATCATATGCCTCTCTTTTCTCTCTCTCTCTCTCTCCTCTCTACACCCCCAAAGACTTTCTCTCTCTTTAAATTTTATTTATCGTTTCGCGTGTCGCGTCTTAATCTCTCTCTTTCCTTTCGTATCGCAACCTCTCTCTCTTCTCTCTCCCTCTTTCTCTCTCGTCGAGGCCGTGCCCTAGAAGCTCAATCTCCACCCCCTCTTTCCTCTCCGGTCACTTGCAATCCCTAGCTCCCGTCGCCGGATTTCTCGTCCTTGATCATCGGAACAGAGTGTTCAAATCCGATTTGAGATTTCAGATTTGTGAGCTGGTAAGATTTGGTTTACTCGCTGATTTTGATTCTGCTTGGTTTGGGTTGGGGTTTTGTGTGAGGGTTAATGCTGTTTGATTTAAGGAGTGAATTAGTGATATTAATGGTTAATTGGGTTTATTTAAGTCATTGTTTCTCTGTGGTAAAATTGAATTGAGTTTTGTTGAATGAAGCCTTATGAGAATTGAGTGCCAATGTGTGGCTTTCCTGACTTGTTTTGCTTGATCTCTGTCTGAAATTCATGTTCCTTTGTGTTTATTTGAGTCCAGTGCTGATGGTTTTTGGTTTTGCTAAGATTAGTTTGATTGCCTAGCTTTATTCTATCTAAACTAGCTGAATTTGAGAGTAGAGTTCGTTTAGTCGATAGAATCTTTGTTATATAAACTGTCTACGTTGAGAAATGTATAAACTATAAACGCAATGGAAGTATCAAAATCGTTCATCTGTGCTGAGCCTGAGATTAAATTCGTATAATCTGAGATTAGGTTATGTAATATGTTTGTGTGTCATCCTTATTTATGACTCGCTATGTAATTTAGCTAGCAAGGACATCATTTAATTTCTTATGCCTGGACACCGCTCCTTGAATTTTCTCTTCTTTAAAAAATAAGAACCATATCATTGTATCATATTGGTTATGACTCGGTACATTTAGCTCCTTTTGAATTAGGAAAGAGTTCAATTCTTCATTTCCCATTTATCGTTTATTTGACTATTGACTTCCATGCCGGTCCTTTCTGTTTTGAATTTTTGATGATGCTGCAGTCTTTGATTTGAGTGATACTTCATTTTACCATTAGCACCCGTTTTGGTTCAACATTTCTAAGCATTTGCATAATTTAAAAACCTCCTTGTTGGTTTCAGTGTCTCTTGATCTTAGACTAAAGTGTTAACTTGTTTTTCTTTTGTAGTTTTGGTGTAGAAGCCAAGTTCTTAGAAGGCCAATATATTTTTTTTTGGTTACTTCTGAAGCTGTGATCTACACATGAAAGTCTATCAGGCAGATGGTATGGAAACAAAAATAGAGGATGAAAGATTCAGGCAGTGAAATGATTAATAGAGATTGGGTCATGAAGCAAAAACGACGAAAACTTCCTTGTATACTAGATTTATTAGACCAGAAAGTGGATAGTACTTCTGTGGCTTTTGATTCTCCAGAGTTAACTCCTCCTTCTGCTAAACCATCTAAGCCTCGGCTTAGGACTGATTCAACTCCTGAAAAGACCTCCTCCAAAAGAAAGGGACATGACGGGGTAACCTCAATTTTTAAAGTTTTTCTCCTTAATTCATATATGATGTTGTTCTAGCAATGATTTTGATTTTTGTTTTTGGTTACAGAATTATTTTGAATGTGTAATCTGTGACCTTGGTGGTGATTTACTGTGTTGTGATAGTTGTCCTCGGACCTATCATACCGAATGCCTCACTCCGCCTCTTAAGGTAAACGATCTTTTTATTTTTGTTTTCCATTTGTCATTCTGTAATGGTAGATTTGCAATGCTGAAAGTGGGAACCTTGCATTACCTTCTTATCTAGCGGATTCCAAATGGCAAGTGGATCTGCCCAAAGTGTTCCCAAAACAGTGATGCACCAAAGCCTGTCAATCGTTTAGACGCCATTGCAAAGCGCGCAAGAACGAAAACCACGAAACGAAATTCGCAAGCCGGACCAAAGTGCGAGAGAGCCTCCCAGGTCTATTGCAGCTCTATAGTCTCTGGAGAACAATCTTCAGAGAAAGGGAAATCGATTTCGGCCGAGGAGAGCAAATCCATAGGAAAAGAAGTTTACTCGTCACCGATGGATGCGGATGGGTGTTCCACTGCAGAGCTTGGTCATGACCAACCCAATTCATCGTCTCATGGAGACGATGGTCTGGGAAACTCTGCCATACCCACTGCAGATCCGCCTTCTGATCTGCAATCCTGTGAAGATCTCTCTGAATCTAAACTATCAAAAACTGGTAAAAAACATGAAGCACCCGTGGAGAAGTTGGAACAGATTGTGGAGAACAATACAACTGTTGAAGCGGAGAGGGGAAAAGGTAAAAGGAAAAAACGGAAGCGTGAACTTAATGATGGGGAAAGTCCTAAAAGGTCCAAGACTGACAAGAAACGTGCAAAGAAAAGTTTGTCCAAAGTGGATCCTCAGAATACCAAAACACCAGAGTCTTCGAAGAAAAAGAAGAAGAAGATTCGTGTGACATTAAAATCCTTGTCCAAACCTCCTCAGTCCAAGGTGGAATCACCAGAGAAAGTGAAGGTATGTTTTCCTGATTATCTTGTAGACATTCTAGTATGGTTATATTGGGGAATTGATTGTAGGAAATGTTGCTTGCCTTAGTCTTAATTGTGGTGTAGCAGTATAAGATATCGAATCAATTCAGAGATTGTTAGTAAAGTTCATACATTCAGAATGGTTCCAAGCTTATTTTTCTGATATTCTGTAATTAATGCTGAGTATCTTCTGCATTAATGTATAGATTCTTTGGTCAATACTGCATATCATGTTCCTGTTCTGTCCTGAAGATTGTGCTCTCGTGAATAGTTGGTGTGACATTTTGTTCTGCTTAAACATTTTGCAACATCTGTATATTCTTTAATCACATTTGATCTTGTATCATCTTTCATTTTGTATATGTTCTTATCCAGTTATATGTCTTAATAACGCAGAAACTTTCCAAGGAGGAGCGTCGTACAGTACGTGACGCAGAGAAATCTTCTAGTCATTTGGATGACAAAAACTCTCTTCATCCAGGAAACCTACAGGTAATCAACCTTGTGTCACTGCTATTATATATTTTCTTGTTCCTTCAGAATTGTGTATTCATTCATGTTTGTTAATATATGTTTTCCCTTCTTGTTTGTTGTTCGTATCAGGTGGATCGTGTTTTAGGATGCCGAATCCAAGATCCGAATAATACCTCGCTGTGTACTGCTGTTTCAGATAACTTGTGTTCTGATAATTTACTAGCTAATGACCTGCGAGATAGCTCAGTGCAAGATACAAATCCTGTGTTAGCTGTTGCCGACGACAGACCAGATTCCTCTTCTGAGACAGGTCTGAAGGATAAAGATATGCATGAATCTGCAGTAGGTACTGAGGATTTGGTTGAAGAGAAAGAAGATATGCTTTCAGAAGACAATTCTGATGCCACATTGAGTAGACATGTGGATAACGAAGATATAAAAGCGAGTGAAGCATCTGTCTCTGTTGAGGGGGAGTTACTTAAAGATGCACATCAGGAAATGGGGGAAAAATGCCCTGTGGCTGGGGAAGAAGTTGAGGAGCCTGTTGATGTTAAAACTTCAGATCTTATTGGAGAGACTGTATCATATGAGTTTCTTGTTAAGTGGGTGGGAAAATCTAATGTCCACAACAGTTGGATTTCTGAGGCGGACCTCAAAGGTCTTGCTAAAAGAAAACTAGAAAACTACAAAGCAAAGTACGGAACAGCTGTGATAAATATCTGTGAAGATAAATGGAAACAGCCTCAGCGAATAATTGCTCTTCGTGATTCAAAAGAAGGTAGCCAAGAAGCTTATGTAAAGTGGACTGGTCTAGCTTATGATGAATGCACATGGGAGAGCTTGGAGGAGCCTATTATTAAGGAAACACCCCATTTGATTGATCTTTTTAAGCAGTATGAGCAGAAAACATTGGAAAAGGATATCACCAAGGGTAGTTCCCTAAGGGCAAAGGGTGAAGGTCAGCAAAGTGAAGTTGTTACCCTCACAGAACAACCTGAAGAGCTCAGAGGAGGAGCCTTGTTTCCTCATCAGCTTGAGGCCTTGAATTGGTTACGTAGATGCTGGCACAAATCGAAAAATGTTATACTTGCTGATGAGATGGGGCTTGGAAAAACAGTGTCAGCCAGTGCATTCCTCTCCTCGCTTTATTTTGAATTTGGAGTTGCGAGACCTTCTTTGGTTTTGGTTCCACTCTCAACAATGCCGAACTGGCTATCAGAGTTCTCTCTTTGGGCTCCACTCCTTAATGTTGTGGAGTATCACGGAGGCGCGAAAGCAAGAGCCATAATTCGAGACTATGAGTGGCATGCAAAGAATTCGACTGGGACGGCCAAGAAGATGATGCCATACAAATTCAATGTCCTTTTAACTACCTATGAAATGGTTCTGGCCGACTCATCTCATCTACGTGGAGTTCCATGGGAGGTTCTTGTGGTTGATGAAGGGCATCGTCTAAAGAATTCAGAGAGTAAGCTGTTTAGCTTGCTCAACACATTCTCTTTTCAACACCGTGTACTTTTGACTGGCACTCCTCTACAGAATAACATTGGTGAGATGTATAATCTGCTCAACTTCTTGCAACCGTCTTCATTCCCTTCTCTGTCTTCTTTTGAGGAGAGGTTCCATGATCTGACAAGTGCTGAGAAAGTAGAGGAATTGAAGAAACTTGTTGCTCCTCATATGCTTCGCCGGCTTAAAAAAGATGCCATGCAGAATATTCCTCCAAAGACAGAGAGGATGGTCCCTGTTGAGCTGACGTCAATCCAGGCTGAATACTATCGTGCAATGCTAACGAAGAACTATCAGATACTACGGAACATCGGGAAAGGAGTAGCACAACAATCAATGCTTAACATAGTGATGCAGTTGAGAAAGGTTTGCAATCACCCATATCTCATACCAGGTACGGAGCCGGAGTCTGGGACTTTGGAGTTTCTTCATGATATGAGAATAAAGGCGTCAGCCAAGTTGACTCTGCTGCACTCCATGCTTAAGGTGCTGCATAAGGATGGCCATAGAGTTCTGATATTTTCACAGATGACAAAGCTTCTAGACATTCTGGAGGACTACCTGAATATTGAATTTGGGCCGAAAACATTTGAAAGGGTGGATGGTTCTGTTGCTGTAGCTGATCGTCAGGCAGCTATAGCACGTTTCAACCAAGACAAGAATCGGTTTGTGTTTCTTTTATCGACTCGTGCCTGTGGTCTTGGTATCAATCTGGCAACGGCTGATACTGTTATTATATATGACTCTGATTTCAACCCTCACGCTGATATCCAAGCCATGAATAGAGCTCATCGAATTGGACAATCCAAACGACTTTTGGTATACAGACTTGTCGTCCGTGCCAGTGTCGAAGAGCGTATTTTGCAGCTGGCCAAGAAGAAGTTGATGCTCGATCAGCTCTTTGTAAACAAGTCCGGATCTCAGAAGGAATTTGAAGATATTCTACGCTGGGGGACTGAGGAACTTTTCAAAGACTCTGCTGGTGAAAACAAGAAAGATACATCTGAAAGTAATGGCAACTTAGATGTGATCATGGATTTGGAAAGCAAGAACAGGAAAAAAGGTGGTGGCCTAGGAGATGTTTACCAGGACAAATGTACAGATGGAAATGGGAATATTGTTTGGGATGAGACTGCAATTATGAAGTTGCTTGACCGTTCAAATATTCAATCAGCCTCCACCGATGGCGCTGATACTGAGTTGGAGAATGATATGCTCGGCTCCGTAAAGGTGAGAAATCATATTCATAGTTGAATTGTATATTGTGAGTATTTTTTTGTCCAAAATGATAATTACATTGCGTTCCTAATGGTTTTATATATTTCTTCTTTAACAGCCTGTGGAATGGAATGAGGAAACAGCTGAAGAACAAGTTGGAGTTGAATCACCTGCTCTGGTGATTGATGATACAGGTGAACAGAGTTCAGAGAGGAAAGATGATGATGCAGTCAATTCCATTGAAGAAAATGAATGGGACAGGCTTCTGCGTATGAGGTTGGATTTTCCTCATGCTCCGAGCTCAGCTATTTTTTGCTTCAGTCTCGGCAGCATATGTTCTTGCTTTCACTACTTATTACTTGTTAGCTGATTTTTATGGTCAACTGTATTTGTAGATGGGAGAGATATCAGAGCGAGGAAGAAGCAGCGCTTGGTAGAGGGAAGCGTTTGAGGAAGGCTGTTTCGTACAGGGAAGCCTATGCCTCACATGCCAGTGGAGCTGTAATGGAGGTAACCGTTTTATTCTACCCTCAAGAACATCTTTCTGTGGCTATGAATACCTTTGTCGTCTCAATACCAGTTTCCCTACTTTATAATTAACGCAGGGTGGCAATGAAGATGAGAAAGAACCAGAACCAGAAGTTAAGAAGGAATATTCACCTGCAGGGCGAGCCCTAAAAGACAAGTTGTAAGTTTATGCTCTAAGTCTATTCAAATCCAGATCTGCGATAAATTTTACTTAGCCTAGAGATTGTGATCTTTCCTGATAAGAAGACAAAAGAAGATTCTGTAGCAATATCAAGCTTTATACATTTGGTTAGAAGATATAGGATTTGTCATGAAGTCTGTAGCTCCTTTATATGCTTATTTCAAGATCTTAAATGAGGATATCTTTGTTTTCTGCAAAAACAGTACGAAGCTGCGAGAAAGGCAAAAAAGCCGGCTTGCAAAAAGGAATTCTGCTGAAGATTCAATTCCTAATGGCAATGTGGATCAGATAGCTGAAGCAGCTAATCAGGACGAAGAAAGCCCTGCAATGATGGACTTGGACGATACCAAAGCTAGCCAAGCCGTCTCGCTAAGGCAAGACGGTTCTTCAGATCCTACACCACCAGATCTTCTAAGCCAACAACATCACGGCGCAGAATGCCCACCATCTTTACCCCCAAACAACCTTCCAGTTCTTGGACTGTGTGCTCCCAATTTTGCTCAATCAGAACCCTCCCGGAGAAATTACTCTCGTCCAAGTAGTAGACAGAACAGAACCATACCAGGACCTCATTTTCCTTTCAATCTACCCCAAGCATCGAGCTCGGTTGAGAGGGAAGCAAACAACCAGGAGCCTTCTTCTACGGGAAACTTAAAACCACAGAACGTAAAGGAGGAACCTTCTCAGCAGCCACTTAGCAATCTTGATGGTTGGCTTCCACTGCGTTCGGTATTTACCCTCCCTCCTTTACCTGCAATTTCTTATAGCACGTTTACTTCCCATACATAATACATATAAAACGCACAAACATATTATATACTTATATTCTGGGTTAAATCTTATGAACGTTGCAGTTCCCTCCGTCAGGAGAATATGAGCGTCCTCGAAGTTCTGGTACCGCCTTTGCTGATTTCCAGGAGAAGTTTCCGATGCTTAACCTACCATTTGATGAGAAGCTGCTTCCTCGATTTCCATTTCAGCAGAGAACCATGGGAGCTTCGCATCAAGACATCATGGCCAATCTTTCCATGAGGAAAAGAATGGAAGGTAGTGGTCATTCGATGCAAGACCTATTTGCGGGATCACCAATGCCGTTTCTACCCAACATGAAAATCCCTCCTATGGATCCACCTGCTGCATACAGCCAACAAGAAAAGGAGTTACCGTCTTTGGGTTTGGATCAGTTCCCTTCAGGTCTTTCATCTATCCCGGAGAACCATCGGAAGGTGCTGGAGAATATAATGCTAAGAACAAGTTCCGGAATGGGACACTTACAGAAAAGGAAAACGAGAGTCGATGCATGGTCCGAGGATGAGCTAGATTCTCTCTGGATAGGGGTTCGCAGGCATGGCTATGGAAACTGGGAGACCATTCTCAGAGATCCAAGGCTAAAGTTCTCTAAATTCAAATCTCCAGAGTACTTGGCAGCAAGGTGGGAAGAAGAGCAGCGTAAGTTCTTGGATAGCCTTTCTTCTCTGCAATCTAAACCAAGCAGGTCTGATAAGTCCACCACCAAATCTCCCTTGTTTCCTGGCCTTCCCCAAGGTATAATGAATCGAGCTTTACATGGAACTAAATATGCTACTCCTCCACGGTTCCAATCCCACCTCACAGACATTAAACTCGGATTCAACGATCTAGCATCTACACTTCCGTTATTTGAGCCATCTGATCACGCAGGATTTCGAAGTGAGCCTTTTCCTCCTATGGCAAATCTCTGCACTGACAATCTCTCTGGGGATCCTTCTGCTGGACCATCTGACCGGTCAGGGACATCGACAAAAACTCCCAGCGATAAGCCTTTTCCACTTAACTCTCTTGGAATGGGGAATTTAGGCTCATTGGGTTTGGATAGTTTAAGCTCCTTAAACGCACAGAGGATGGACGAAAAACGGGATGCCATCAAGCGTGGGAAGCTACCTTTGTTTCTTGATATGCCGTTACCTCCAATGCTAGATTCTAACAACAATGTGTTCATGGGAAGATCAGTCAATCCATCTATCCTTAATCCAAACATGAATCTCTCCAATCCAAGAGACGTATTGGGATGTAGCTCTTCAGAGAACAAGCTACCTCATTGGTTACGCGATGCTGTAACTGTTCCTCCCGCTGCAAAGTCACCTGAACCACCCACTCTACCTCCAACCGTGTCAGCTATAGCTCAATCAGTCCGTGTCTTGTATGGTAAAGATTCCACTACCATTCCACCGTTTGTGATACCAGAGCCAGCGCCTCCTGCTCCTAGAGATCCAAGACACAGTCTGCGTAAGAAAAAGAAACGGAAAGTGCGTCCATCTAGTCAAATGACTACAGACATTGCTAGTAGCAGCCACATAGAAAGCAGCTCTCAAGGGAATCCCCAAACATCTGCAACTCCTCCTTTGCCTCCACCGTCTCCATTGGTTGAAACTTCAGGGTCTTCTCAACCCATTTTACCTCCTCACAACCTAAACAGCACAGAACCATCTTCCTCCGAGCCAATAGCTGTTCCACCACCTGAAGAAGATTCTGTGGTAGCAGCAGCGCCGTCTGAAGCACCCGGGCCTAGTCTAGAGGGAATCACTGGTACGTCAAGGTTAACCTTGCCAGAGAGCAAAAGCTCTGAACCGAAATCTATCAACGAAGAGGGAGACTCGGTTCTAGAAACCCTTGAGAAAACTGAGGCTGAAGAACTTCCAATTCATTCAGATGATAAGCCTTTGGATGTGAAACAAGACGAACAAGAATCTGAGGATGCGTTGTTGAGCAAGCAGTGTGAGCCTACAAAGGCTGAGAGTCAAAATACTGTCGCAGAACAAGAAGACAAAGAAGAAGAATCCTTGAAGATGGTAACTGATAATTCTCCTGGTGACGATTGAAGTCTGCATCATTCAAGTGCACTGAAATTACCAGTGTTTTGGTTCTTTGCAATCAAAATGGTACTTACTATATGCTATTAAGTTTTGTAGGTATGACGCAAATCGGTGAAGATTCAGTATATGTATTGGAACTTACATTTTTCATCTTTGGCTAAATTTTCTTTTTGATTGTAAAGCTTTGTGTAAGAGAATGAAGAAAGCTTATTTTAGTGATCTAACTGGTCGGTTTGGATTGTGTAAAACCAGACACTTTAGATTGTAATGCTTAGTGGCATGCTACAAGTAGAAATCTTTTAACTATTGTTGTTGGAAATTCGGTTCCGGTTTGGCAGATTTCACTTAACCGGATTATGTTTAATACCAGTTGCTACTACTACCACTGAACAGTCTGAATTATGAACTGGTATTATCTTCAATTGTATAATTGCTTTTAAAAGAGAAGTTTAAAAAGACTGAATAATTTAGAAGGTTACGATGCTTTAGTGATAATGGATTCCACAATTTGAGAATTAATATGCTTTAGTAGTGATAATGAATTCCACAATCTGATTGTTGTTGGAGACATTATTGATGTGAAGATTTTTTTATCAGAATTGGTCAAATAAAACCAACTCAAGAAACTGACACATTTACATTAACCAAATCTCGTTAGCTCAACTAAACTTAAATCTTAGCTCACCTAAACATCATGTGAAGAGTTGAAAGAAATTGCAAAATCACCCCTAAGGCCCTAACCATGTTCAACGACTTCTTGACATTTATTCTCCTTGCTTGCTTTTGATTTAATGTAACGCTTGAAAAGATCATAAATTAGTGTTCTACCAAAAAAAAGATCATAAATTAGTTAAAAACACTCTAAATGCAATTTAATTTGTTTGTGAGTTTGGAATGATGGGATTGGTTTTTAAGTCATTAAGCATGGACAACTTTATAGGCTTCTTTATTGGTTTTTGGATTCAATATACCTAATACCTAATTTGTTTACATCATTATCGTATAACATTTTTTGCATTTGACTTTCTCTCTTTAATATTTTTTGGTAAAGGACTTTCGAAAACGTAATTTCTATTCTTGGTCTTTTTTGGTAAATTAAACTCATTTTTAGATAAAAGATCCACACGAGATTATGTAGGCAATTTGATTTAAATATTACTAATTTGGTAGGTGGGTCATGCACCAAACAAAGCTTTTGATGCGTGTTTTGTAATTTATGGCTGATACAAAATCGTTTTTTAATAGATAACTTTTGTTTTTGAATTATATCCAACTTATGAAAACGTATCTATTATAACTTCGTGAGACTTGCTTTCAGAAAGAAAAAAAGGAAAAGCGTAGAAAATGAAAGGATAACAGTGATAAAAAGAAAAGAGGATAGATCTAGTATTTCAAAACAGCACATAACTGATGTCGTCAACAAATATTTTTGTATTTCAAATGTTTGCTCTATTTGTTAATATTCGAATTTTTTATGCTGTTTAAATATTTTTTACCGTTATAAAATGTTTTTATGATTACTTAAACGATGCGATATAGGTATAAAATTTACTATACGTTCGTTCTAATTTGTTTTCATGATTACTTAAAGTTTAATTAAACTATACTTTATGGTCAAAACCTTATGGCTTGACCTTTAATTAGGTGGAAGGTTCCATTGTTATGTTATCCTTTGCTTTTCTTGTTTTTGTTTGTTTTGTTTTCTTTGTTCTTAGAAAGCATAATGAGGTAGACAGAGAGAAAGTGTATTTGGTGTATTGGCTTTTGATCAGTGGAGTGGAAGTCACATTTCCAACAAAAGAAATGTGACTAACTATATCAAAGTTGTCTACTTTTTAGAAATTTGGTTATCTGTATTAATTCCATATTGAATTAAATAAACCGTCATATATATTTTATTCAGTATCCAGCTTTTAAATTTACCTAAAATGGGTGTAAAATTATATACATACTATCGCATATTTGTTTTTCGAATTGTAAGCCAAGTAGTATAACTGTATAAGTGTATAACTACAAAGTATGCAGAATGGGTGCATTTATTTTGTTTTGCTACTGTTTAAAAATTCAATAACGTCCCACGCACGAGTCCACCACCAATTGTAATGGAATCGGACTAGATCCAATGAATGATCCTTTTCCAGGAAAAGTAAGTTGTAGTAATTAGTTGTAAGTTGTAACGAATTTGCTATAGAGAAAACACAAAGAGCTTACGTGCCAACAAAAAAACATTTACTACTATGGTGTTTTCTTCTTTTCGTCTACCGCTATGAATTAGATCATTTAGTATATGACTACGACATCAAACAATAACTATTTAGCATACATGTTTTGAATGAGTATATGATATTATAACAAAATCAACAAGTCCAATCAAATTCAACAATAAATGTCATTTAAATTAAAACGTATCTAAGTATATATACTACTCCAAGTCAAATGTAGTCAGTGAGTCTCTAGAAGCTCTGGTGATCAAATTTTAGTTTCGTTGTTTATTTTCAATTAAACTCCTTTTTTTACTCTCTGTCTTCTCGTAATAAATAACATTTTTTCATATTAACATTGTGACGATTTTACCCCTGAGGAACTGAGTTAAATTACTTTCTGTCTTCTCGTAATATTCCATTTAAGAGAAGAGTTACATACTTATAGTAGGGATTTAGTAACAAAGCCGTCTTAGCTCAGTGGTAGAGCGCGTGACTTTTAATCCCGTGGTCGAGGGTTCGATCCCCTCAGACGGCGATGTCGTCTTTTAAGTTTTAACTATCTTTTTTTTTTTTTAATAACTTGGTCGTTCGTGTACAATGACGATAACATCAAACCCATTATCTGTAATCTAACTCAGTTCCTCAGGGGTAAATTCGTCACAATCAGGTGCGTGTTTAGTTGAAAAATTGCTATCTCCCACCTTTTCTCTCTCTCTCTCTCTCTCTCTCTACGGAAATAATCTTTGTGTCTTTTTTTAAATAATTTATTTTTTCTTCATCTCACAAAAACAAATCCTTCTACATAAAAAGGGGATTAAAAATGAGTCTCTGATTTTCAAACATCATCGTCGAAGATTTCTCTCTTCCTCTTTTCACCTTCTTCGATTTGCTCGAATTTTCTCTCCGTCTGCTTGACGTCGGGAATCTCAACCGGAAAATGGCGCCGAGTAGACGGGATTTACAGCTTACTCCGGTCGCCGGAGACGGCCTTGGATCTTCGGCTGCGGAGATCGGCGCGATGGAGGAAGTTCGTCTTCTGGATTCGTATGATGACGAAGAGAGCGCCGATTATTTGAGTAAGATCGAGGAAGGAGGTGGAAGCGGAGATTCCGGTTTGAGGAAGATTCAGGTCGGAGTAACCGGTATGACTTGCGCTGCTTGTTCTAATTCCGTCGAAGGAGCTTTGATGAGCGTTAATGGCGTCGTGAGAGCCTCCGTTGCTTTGTTGCAGAACAGAGCCGACGTCGTCTTCGACCCGAATTTAGTCAAGGTTATTTTAATAACTGTTTCCTTTTTTTAATTCTTCGTCTTCGATTTTTGACGGATTTTATGGTAATTGTAGCTGAAATTCTTGCTGAAATTTGTTTCATTTTTAAGGAAAGTAACAATTGTTTGTTGCTTTAGGATTATCTTATTTGCTGGATTTATAAGATATCTCAAGTTTTAAGCTTCGCATTATGTTTGGTGAATATGGATCTTAAGCGCGTTCGCGTCAGTTTTTTGTAATTTATTTACTTTTATTTTTTTTTTTGTGATTGAAGCATTTAATTGCGTCTGTTTTAGGAAGATGACATTAAAGAAGCTATAGAGGATGCTGGATTTGAGGCAGAGATTTTGGCAGAGCCTGTTACTGCTGGCGCAAAATCACAGGCTACTTTGGTGGGACAGTTTACAATCGGAGGCATGACATGTGCAGCTTGTGTTAACTCAGTCGAAGGCATTCTAAGAGATCTTCCTGGAGTGAAAAGAGCTGTAGTAGCTTTGGCTACATCGTTAGGAGAAGTTGAGTATGATCCAAACGTAATCAACAAAGATGATATTGTTACTGCGATCGAAGATGCTGGCTTTGAAGGTTCGCTTGTGCAGAGCAATCAGCAGGACAAACTCCTTTTAAGGGTTGCTGGGATCTTAAACGAGCTTGATGCTCAGGTTCTTGAAGGTATACTTACCAGATTGAATGGGGTTAGACAGTTTCGTCTTGACAGGATATCAGGAGAGCTTGAGGTGGTGTTTGATCCGGAAGTTGTGAGTTCAAGAACGTTGGTTGATGGCATTGAAGGAGAAGGATATGGGAAGTTCAAGTTGCGTGTCATGAGCCCTTATGAAAGGTTAACTTCGAAAGATACTGGAGAGGCCTCAAATATGTTTCGTCGTTTTATCTCCAGTCTTTCTCTCAGTGTGAGTTTTCTTATCTGTTTATGAAACGCACATACCATTTATGATGATTCAACGGTCTTTAATCTGTGATATAATGTCAAAAATGGTTTTTTTTTTTAATCCAGATTCCTCTCTTCTTCATCCAAGTAATATGCCCCCACATTGCGCTTTTTGATACCGTACTGGTGTGGAGATGTGGACCTTTTATGATTGGTGATTGGTTGAAATGGGCCTTAGTGAGTGTTATTCAGTTTGTAATTGGCAAGCGCTTCTATGTCGCAGCATGGAGAGCTCTTCGAAACGGTTCAACTAACATGGATGTGCTGGTGGCTCTGGGCACTTCAGCGTCTTACTTCTACTCTGTTGCTGCTCTTTTGTATGGGGCAGTCACTGGGTTTTGGTCTCCAACATACTTTGATGCAAGCGCCATGCTTATAACGTTTGTCTTGCTGGGAAAATATTTGGAATCTCTTGCAAAGGGGAAAACCTCAGATGCTATGAAGAAACTAGTACAACTTACTCCTGCAACAGCGATTTTACTGATCGAAGGCAAAGGTACTCACTTGTTCTATCCTTAAATGATTATTGCATAGAAATGCTGGAAAATGCTCCTAATGAGATCGTTGATAGCTCCACTATTATTCAACTTTGTTTGACTCAGTTTCGTTCTGTAGGAGGAAAGTTTGTAGGGGAAAGAGAGATAGATGCATTACTGATTCAGCCTGGTGATTCATTGAAAGTTCTTCCTGGTGGAAAGATCCCTGCAGATGGTGTTGTGGTGTGGGGTTCAAGTTACGTCAATGAAAGTATGGTGACTGGTGAATCAGTTCCTGTGTCAAAAGAGGTTGAATCACCAGTAATCGGTGGTACTATTAATATGCATGGTGTTCTTCACATAAAAGCTACAAAAGTGGGATCTGATGCAGTTCTGAGCCAGATTATTAGTTTGGTAGAGACAGCCCAAATGTCTAAAGCTCCTATCCAGAAGTTTGCGGACTATGTAAGTAAACTATATATAACCATGTCAATAATTGTGTCATCCATTGGTTTTATAACCTTTAACAGGGAAATATATATTTATCCTGGCTTTTCCGTTTTCAGGTTGCAAGTATTTTTGTCCCAGTAGTGATTACTTTGGCATTGTTCACTTTAATAGGCTGGTGAGATCTAGTTCCTAAGCTTTATTATTTCTCCGAGATCGAAAACACTTTTGGGATTAGTTTGTTCTCATTTCTAGAATCAAATGATTTTGTAGGTCAATTGGTGGAGCTGTTGGAGCTTACCCAGACGACTGGCTACCGAAAAACGGGACTCACTTTGTTTTCTCGCTTATGTTCTCAATATCCGTTGTGGTAATTGCTTGTCCTTGTGCACTCGGATTGGCAACACCAACCGCTGTTATGGTGGCAACAGGAGTTGGAGCAACCAATGGTGTATTGATCAAAGGAGGTGATGCTTTGGAGAAAGCCCACAAAGTGAAATATGTAATCTTTGACAAAACAGGCACCTTAACTCAAGGGAAAGCTACTGTGACAACCGCAAAAGTCTTCTCGGAGATGGACCGTGGAGAGTTCCTCACACTTGTTGCTTCTGCTGAGGTCAGAGAAACCTTCTTTCTCTAGCTTCTTGGATTGTTCCTGACAGAAAAAACAGTTACTAAAGCTTTTCTTCGCGTCTCTTGATTTCCTTAGGCTAGCAGTGAACACCCATTGGCAAAAGCTATAGTTGGCTACGCTCGGCATTTCCACTTCTTTGATGAATCCACGGAGGACGGCGAAACAAATAGCAAAGAGTCTCAAAACTCTGGATGGTTACTCGACACCTCGGATTTCTCTGCTCTTCCCGGGAAAGGAATTCAATGCTTAGTCAATGAGAAGCTGATTCTGGTTAGTATTTCATTCCATAGCAAATCATCATCAACTTCTTGCTTACGTTCCTGTTCTCGCCAACTTAAAAGAAAGTTATTTTTCTCTTCCATCAGGTGGGAAACCGTAAACTCATGTCAGAAAACGCCATAACCATCCCAGACCACGTCGAGAAGTTTGTTGCTGATCTTGAAGAAAGCGCAAAGACTGGAGTCCTCGTAGCCTATAACGGCGTTTTAGTCGGCGTGATGGGAATCGCTGATCCGCTAAAGCGAGAAGCCATTGTCGTTGTGGAAGGTCTCCTTAGAATGGGCGTTACGCCCATAATGGTTACCGGTGATAACTGGAGAACAGCAAGAGCGGTCGCCAAAGAGGTTAGATTCCTAACTTTAACAGTTTTTGGTTCGGTTCAGCTTCGGTTACAGTGAACCAAAGATCATTTCGGTTTTGTTGGGTGGCATGAGTGCAGGTTGGTATTGAAGACGTGAGAGCAGAAGTAATGCCGGCGGGGAAAGCCGACGTAATCCGTTCACTGCAAAAAGACGGAAGCACGGTGGCGATGGTAGGAGACGGAATCAACGACTCGCCGGCTCTAGCGGCTGCGGACGTGGGGATGGCGATTGGTGCGGGGACAGATGTAGCGATAGAAGCAGCGGATTACGTTCTGATGAGAAACAACTTAGAAGATGTTATCACAGCCATTGATCTCTCCAGGAAAACCTTAACACGGATCCGAATGAATTACGTTTTCGCGATGGCGTACAATGTAGTGTCGATCCCGATAGCAGCAGGAGTGTTCTTCCCGGTTCTAAGGGTGCAGATGCCGCCGTGGGCCGCCGGAGCTTGTATGGCACTCTCTTCGGTTAGTGTTGTTTGCTCTTCTTTGCTTCTTAGAAGGTACAAGAAGCCGAGACTTACCACTATTTTGGAACTCACCAAGGAGTAAGTTAATTTTTTTTTTGGCTTTTCATTGGAGTGACTCCTTTTGTGTTTCGTTTTGGTGAAGAAAAAGAGAATAAGTTGTATTTACTTCTTCCTTTTTTATGTTTGTTGTTGTAATCATGTAACCATATGTTGGTCTTGAGAGGTTTCTTTCGTCTGTGTAAGAAAATTTGTCCTCGAGACCTTTGTTGTAAAAAAAAAGGTTTCTCTGCTTGTGCTTCATTAATGTAAAATGCTGAAGTAGTGAAATTTTCTACGAATAGCGCTTGGTTATAGAAAATAACTAGGGTTTGATCCGTGCCCTGCACGGGGTGATAGTTTCTGAATTTGTATTTTATTAAAAAATTTATTTAAATATTTCGACATTTTATGCGAGAGATTTTTAACCTTTGTTATTCATTTATAGTATGGAAATTAGGCATTTTAATCCATTTAAAGAAATAAATTAAAGCATTGATCGTAACCACAGATTAAATATGATAGATTTAACCGAGATACATAAAACTCAAATAACTATAATATAATAAGATAGTTTAAAGAAAAAAAAAATTGAAAATAAAACATTATTCTTTAGAAAAATTATACATCATGTATTTCATAAGATAAAAAGTTTTAGCTGTGTGGACACGGATTAGAACTAATTTTTTTCTTTCTTTCAAAACTAAAACATGCTTTATTATAATTTCAAAACAATCCAACCAATCAGAAAATAATATGCAGAATCCAAATTGTCAAAACAGCAAAAATATAATTAATTTTGTATAGAAAGTTGAAACAGATAGAGTAATATTCAAAAGTTTAATCAAAATAAAATATTTATAAAAAGAACTTTTTTATTCGATTTAATTATAGATTTTAATTAAAAAACCATATTAAATGAAAAAAAAAATTACCTTTGGATACCTACTAAATGAGGTTATATACGAAACAATTTATATTATTTTGTTTTTAAAAATTCAAATCATAACATGTACAGAAAAAGTTTTAGATTTTTTTGATAGATTTTTTATATTGTGATTCAAATTATTTTATTAAATAAATTTAAACAAAGATGATAGAAGATGTATACTGATTTTAAAAGAAATTATTATGATAGAATTAAATTGAATGTTTTGTTTTTAAAAATTCAAATCATAACATGTAGAGAAAAAGTTTTAGATTGTTTTGATAGATTTTTTATATTGTGATTCAAATTATTTTATTAAATAAATTTAAACAAAGATGATAGAAGATATATAATAATTTTAAAAGAAATTATTATGATAGAATGAAATTGAATGTTTTTGTTTTTAAAAATTCAAATCTTAACATGTAGAGAAAAAGTTTTAGATTTTTTTGATAGATTTTTTGTATTGTGACTCAAATTATTTTATTAAATAAATTTAAACAAAGATGATAGAAGATATATAATAATTTTAAAAGAAATTATTATGATAGAATAAAATTGAATGTTTTTGTTTTTAAAAATTCAAATCATAATATGTAGAGAAAAAGTTTTAGATTTTTTTGATAGATTTTTTATATTGTGATTCAAATTATTTTATTAAATAAATTTAAACAAAGATGATAGAAGATATATAATGATTTTAAAAGAAATTATTATGATAGAATTAAATTGAATGTTTTTGTTTTTAAAAATTCAAATCATAACATATAGAGAAAAAGTTTTAGATTTTTTTGATAGATTTTTTATATTGTGATTCAAATTATTTTATTAAATAAATTGAAACAAAGATAATAGAAGATATATAATGATTTTAAAATAAATTATTATGATAGAATTAAATTGAATGTCATATCTTCCTTATTTAGTAATTGTCGTAGTTGCCAATTAAGGAAAGAGAATGATAAATTTAATTTCATTATTTGGTTGTAACCATAATATGCAATGGCACAATTTATAATTTCGCTAGTAAAACTTGTCTAATTTTAAAATTGGGCTGAAAGTGAACCTGGTGATGACACATCAGCAGTGACAGTTTTGTTAATAATACAATGGAAAAAGGTTAATTAGTTAGTGCATTCTCTTTTAATATATTAGAGATTATCATGTTCAGTTGAACTAAACCAGTACACAATCATGGCTATATATGTTAGATCACAGAAAAGATTGTTGTAGCTTTATGCCACTTGTTTTTTGGGTAATGGTTTATTTTTTATTTTTAAATGATTGCCTTTTACACAACTACTACAATATTTGTTGTAATTTCTGTTTTATAGGATATGTAATCACGGATGCTTGGAGTGGGACTCGTGAAATAAACCACCGTCAAGGGCGTCACGTTTATAACTTTATATTGAATCCCACCGCTCATAATTGAGCTGATTAGTGACAGCTAACGACACACGTAGTTATCGATCATTATAGGGATATATTTACTATTACAGATTAACAATTTAACTGTGTCACTATAACAACCTAAGTCGAAATAATCAAATTTGTATAGACTGACTATAATCAAAACCGGTATTTTTGTATTTGACAATGTTGTACATAGTTACACAACATTGAACGAACATTATTTTTTGTCAAAGGCAGAATTTAAGCGTTGTGTGTGCCAAATATTATGATGAATTTTCAAAACTATCTAAAAACATAACATATTAGATCATTCAGTGTTTCGAAAATAAAACTGAAAATTACACGATATGTAAAAGGTGGTGGTGTACACGGGTGTAATCTTATGTGGAAACTCACAAACAGGGGAGCAAATGTGCTTGCTCAAACACTTTTATGGTCTGGTGTATCTAATTTAACCGGATCATTCCGGTAGAAACTCAACTAACCTTTTTTATTTGCTAAATCATTCGATAGTTTCATGACTGACATCCACACCTCTTTATTTGAAACTTGAAAGGCTATACAAGGAATCGGTGCTTGAAGACGGGATTAGCTCATGTGTGAGTAAAGGGTATGTCTTCCAGATGGAGATGATCGTTCGTGCTACCAGAAAAGGATACCATATTGAAGAGGTCTCTCTTTATAACTTTTGATTCCTTATATAAACTACATATTTCATTCATACTCATAATTCTCATCTGGTACTCGTATTCATCTGCATGTACCAATCACTTTTGTGGATAGAGTCTTTGGAACTTCGAAGCTGGGAGGATCTGAAATAGTGGAATATCTAAAAGGGCTCGTCTATCTTCTGCTCACAACTAAAAAGAGAGACCACGCAACTCCACAACACATGAGTCTCAGTTTATACTCTTTATCTTTGTTTTATTGCATCATATATTCTCTTTTTAACACTTGAACTTTGATCGTGTCTTTTTGAAACATCACTTTATTTAGCCTTGACTTGAGAGAGTTGCTGCATCTTTCTTAAGACTCAAAAGTTCATAATTTTGTAGACTCAAAAATGAACTCTGACAACAAAATGTATTTTGTAGACTCAGGATGAGACCAAAGTTTTCTAGAAACTTTTTTTGCTTCCCTTCACTTCAGGTACTTTGACAACGATGATTCTATGATCATTTTATGTCCAATCTTTCACTTTTCTCCCATGTGCAAAGTCGTTTCTGACAGCTTATCTTGAAATCTTTGTGATCATCAACAACAAAAAGTACATGAGGCTCCATGTGTCAAAATTCTACTTTTCCAAAAGAATAGTACATACTACTTGTCTGATGCTAAACAGTTGGTTATACAGTAATTAACGTAATGGACAGAGTGTATTTTCGCTGTAAGTATTATAATTAGGGACAATTAGGAAAGAAGACATAAAAAGTCGCGTATTGGTTTAGTATGTGTACGATTGTACGGGTATTATATGTTAAGGGTTGCAAAATTACAATTGAGGCCTTGTCGTTTTCTCTTCTTCATGTGCTGGGGAAGTAAGAGAGTCCTTATCTTGGTTCTCTTGGAAGTGTGGCCTGCATGTGCTGCATGCATATAACATAGGTTTATAGGGTAATGAATGCTCTGTTAATTTTTGATGAAGAAGCAAATAAAATGATTGTTTTGTTATGCATACAAAAAACCGTGTGTGTTAGTAAGATTTCTACCTAGCTATATATAAGTATAGCAGTGTACAACATATGCAAAACACATAACTAAAAGATAAACACACAGAGTGAGCCAAAAACCTGATTTTCCCTTTTGTTGAAGTGGTTCCTGGTGAGAATGAAGCACTAACATCCATTTCTCTTCCTTCATTAATATTGTTTTCGATTTTGTTCATTAACTTGCATGCATTTATGTGTAATGGTTAAACATTCTTTTAATTAACTATAAGTGCTAGATTCTTCCATGTTTGATGTCTGGCCATTAACTGCGACTTGTTTTAGCAACATGCATTTATGTGTCTACTAGTGTTTGTCGATCCTGTTTTACTGGCTTTTGTTTGTTTGTATGTTATCTTAACGAGATAATATTTCTATTGTGCATGTGAATCCATTGTTTAGTATGTGTTTCTCTGGCAGTGAGTTACGGAGAATGGGTAGATTGGTGCAGCTCGTGCACGGTGCATGGGAGAAAGCTCATAACGGTGATTGGAGATTCGTTGTTGTTGATGAGGGTCGAAGATTGGCTATGATTGTTGGCGAGAACGAGAAGTATTATGGCCTTGTTGGGATGGTTGGATCAAAGCCTGGAACGGCTATTGGTCTGGCGTGTCAATTCCCGGAGTGGATGCTGGGTCTTGATGGTAGGCGGACACTTCCGGTCGATATCAAGGAGGACGGCGATGTGGAGCTGTTTCTGGCGATTCAGGTGGAATATCCGCAGGTGATGCTCTGTGTTACCATCAGTCCTTGTCGTCCGCGGTCATCTTCTTCGTCATTGTCATCTCTTTCTAACTCCGAAGACAGTGTCATATTGTTGACTTGTACAACCTCTATGAGCGTTGGGACGGCTTCAACTATTACCAATTAGATGGCCTGTACGAAACCTTTCACCGCAACTGTACTTTGCGACAGGGCAACAACATCGTTTGAATTGATTGACGATATGAGCTTCTCAAACGCACGACCCCATGAGTACGCTAAGCACTCGTCTAGATCCATTATTATCTCTGCATTGTCTTTTATTATCTTCGGCTTGTGTGAGCTCAACGCAAGTAATGCGTATTTCAGCCGTAAGTCTTTGTCCGGGACCTTTCTCTTCTTGAGCATCATCAACACGTTCTCCACGGTCACGCTTGGTAGCAATCCAAACAGATCTCTCAGTAAGGTTTCTGCTTGACGAGGTTTGCTTTCTTCCTCTTCGCTTTTGGGTATCGGCCGCATGGAAGACCAGTGACAATCACGAACTCTCTCAACGAAATCCGGATTGGTCTCCCTTAAAACAGTACCCAGTTCTCGTATTTCTTATTCACTTTCAGCATGCGCGTGATTATTAACTGCCCGAAGCTTCCGGAGAATGATGGTTTCTCAGATGATAAGATCAGTTTCCCGAAATTGGACCGCCGAAGATACTCAATCTCATCCTCTTGCAAGGAACTTAGGATTGTGTCGATGCTCTTTGCTTTGTGGTATGAGTTCACTCTCTCGCTGGCGGGCTCTTCTCCCCGCGGACCAACTACGTTCCTCTCACTCCGATCAGTTTTGTTGGATCGATCAGCCGTATTTTACACTGACAAGATCTCTGTCGTTTATGGTTTCGTAAGGTACACATGGCGGTAGACGCGTGACCGATGCGTTAGAATTGCATCCGCTCTCTCCCAGTCCCAGCTCGGTACGTATATCCACCGGAGATGTGTTTATAACTTTTATTTCACCGATTTCACTGTTTTATCAGTTTTAGCTCTGGTTCACTTATATGGTGATTAGTCACATCCATATGTGGATATCTTTTTGTGTCCCTTATGGATAATATTTTGGATTTCAGTTTCCTCTCAAGTTTTGAAATAAAATTCTCTAAGTTAATCCAGATTTTGTTATATTTGACCATCACACATTTCTGATTCTTACAATTATCATCAGGTTTCAGTGTTGGCACCAAACATTCGAGCTATGGTCGAATTGCATCTTGGTGTCCCATTGGCTGGAATTTTGTTTTGTACACTCAACATCCGTCATGACTCCGCACTCGTAACAGTCTTACTAAGACACTCAGGAACAAAAGTTCTCTTCGCAGATCATATGTTTCTCCAAATAGCTCAAGGAGTTTGTGAAATCCTCTCAAAGAATAGTGAAAAAGCCTGGGTATATGGGAAATTCAAAATTGTAGGTATGTATATTGAAAGCCGAATGTGGGACTTTTGCCTATCTCATTGATCATGGCAATGTTTTTTTTTTTGTGGATGTCGTTTCTGTTAACTTTTTTTTCTCCCATTAAAATTTTACTTACTAAATGTATAGTTGACAAAATAAACATAAAAAGTGAAAAAAAATATATATATTGATTTAGTTGTATAAGTTGTACCAGCTCAATATCGATTTAGCAAAACAAAAAATATATATTTTCCCGCGAGAAGAAAGAACAAAAAAAAAATGGAGGGAACAATGAAGTCTCTGGCCAACTACATTCCTCTCACTCCGATCAGTTTATTGGATCGATCTGCCGTAGTCTACGCTTATAAAGTCTCTGTTGTTTATGGTTTCGTAAGGTACACATGGCGGCAGACGCGTGACCGGTGTGTTAGAATTGCATCCGCTCTCTCCCAGTCCCAGCTCGGTTTATCCACCGGAGATGTGTTTAGAACTTTTATTTTACTTGATGGTAAATAAACAAAGTCGAAGAGCAATCAGAGAGGAAATCAAACCACATGGCTCTTAAGGTGCGCAAATAGATGATTATATCCGCTCGATGGCTCTCTCAAACTGGACTTTCTGCGTCTGGCTCAACGGTAACTGTAGTTTTCTTATCACCATTGGAGACTTTCTCTCTTTTCAAGTACTTCAAATCCAGCAACACCACACCTTAGACGTTTTATACAGCACAAAACCTTAAATATATTCTTATAGAAGTAAAATCTTAGCCAAGCAAAGAAGCAACACATGAATCAATATATAGTAGGGTTTAACACTACGTCAGTTGTATATGGCCAACACTCCATATATATCTTGTTCATCCCTTGCAAGAAAGCTATATATATGATTCCACATATTTGAGCATACAATTGAAACCAAAACTCTTCTTGTGTCATATTTCCGAGAGCAAATTCACGAGCTGAAAATTTCAAAATCTAGCTACCAAATAACTTGTGCATAAAACTAAACCAGAAATTAAGGATATAAAAGCCATTGCTTTGTGAGAGAGAATGATAAAATATCATTCACCAAAATTATTTTGCAAATAATTAGTATAGATTCCACCAATCACCACCGCTGATTAGTGACCGCTAAAGAGTAATAAAGACACGTAGTTATCCACGATTATAGGGATATATTTACTACTATTACAGATTTACAATTTAATTAACTGTGTGTCCCTATTACAACCGAAGTCAAAATAATCAATTTGGTATTGACTGACTATAATCAAACCGTTATTTTTGTATTTGACAATGTCGTACATAGTTACACAACATTGAACGAATAATTTTTCTTAAAGGCACATTTTAAAATGTCTTTTTTTTTGTTTAAGTCTTAAACAAGCTGATTAATAGGATCAGACTGACGTGCAAAATCTAAGTGTTGTGTCGTGTGTGCCAAATATCATGATGTATTTATATAACTATAAAAAAAAACATGAAGATATTAGATCATTCAGTGTTTTGAAAAAAAAAACTGAATATCAAATCAAAATCTTTGTCGAGTTAATTGAACGAGTAATTGCTTAGAACATTATTTGCGTTTATATTATCAAAATAGGCTGTGGGAAAACAAATATTTACAAAAACTGGTAAATGTATTATACTTGTGTTATCATATAAATTTGTATTCACCGATGAAAGGTCAAGTCTTCCAAGAGATTTATCATGTACGTTGACCTTGAGGATAATTGAGATGAATTGGAAGACTATATGTAATTCTCAATGTTTATCATCAAAGTTTTTCTTGTTTTTCTTCTTGTAAGTGTAAGTTCTACATTAATAATCATTAGAATCAAATGAAAATTGAACGATCATTTTTTCTTTTTTGATAAAAAAACATTGAACGATAATTGTTTGTCATAAGTTGTCCAATTAAAAAAAAAAAAAATGTTTCTCAAATTCTATATATATGCATGCATGTTGACGTGGTCAAGATGTCAACGCCGCCAACGACCTCTCTCTTCTCCATATATAAATGAACGCATTGTTTTAGCTTATTTGCAATCTAAAACACGAAGAAAATAAAAGAAAACAAAAAAGAATGAACGAAAATAACTTTAGAGCAGACCAATATTTATTACACTACGGACACCACCAATCACTACAGTCGACGGATCCGTTTCTTAACGCCGTAAACGCAGAGATGTGCGATGCTACGAGACGAAAGCAGTCGTATAAGGTATAGAATGATCAGAATATAAAAATTGTTCATTACTCTACTTAACTCACGTATCAATTGTTACTATTATTCTTTATATCTCTAAACTTTCATCACTCTAATATAAGGGATCTAGGAGAACTATGCCCACGACGCACCTCAATGCAAACCCTAGCAATTTCCGCGACTTGGTTCAAAAATTCACTGGACGTTCTGCCCGAGTTGATAACTCTCTCAGAAGAAAAGGTCCGGTGACGTTAGATTTCAGTGCGCCGGCTTCGGTGCCGAAAGAATTCATTTTTCCGAGCTCCGGTGATCTCCAAAATTGCGATCGTGCGATTGATAGGCACGTGAGTGATGAAGAGAGTCACGCGACCTTGGAAAGTAGGGAAACGGTATCGTATGAGATGGGTACACAAAGTGAAAGTGAGCTTTATGGTGGGTGTGATGATCATGCTCATGGTAATTATGTTGAAGATGATGATCTTTTGAGGGACTACTACTTGGAAAATAGTAGTTGTAATGGAGTGCAGTATGTGGATTATGGGGATTTTTATCACGACGCGGTGTTGTTGGAAGAGTTTATGATGAGAGATTTTGACATATGATCATGTAAAAAATTATAATGTATATCATTTTGATGATATTAATTGAAACATTAGACTAAATTTATGTTTTACTATTCCAGTGAGTCCTTCTCTATTAAAGTTGAACAAAAAATTGTAAAGGGTCACAAAATTATATATCCGTTATCTATAAGATATAAGAAATAAGAGACACAAAAAAACCATGTATAGCACCCGGTTTGAATTGGTTCTTCCAAGACTTACCTAGCTAGTTGAATTGCCATTTAATTCACAAAGTATCCAATGTTTATATCATAACCAAAGAAGTGACAGTGACCAATATGTAAAAAAGAAATATGGATCATTACTTCGTTGAACATGAAGATGAGGACTTAAATTAACTAGCTAGACAACGAAAGGTTTTACGACTTAGTCAAGCAAATTATATATTAGTTACTAAGATATCAATCTGTGATACGAAATTCCATTTAGTCCGAACCAAAATATTCATGCAAATTAACGATTTATGAATTAAATTCAATCAGTTGGTGCGGAATTTTTTTTCAACAAATTGATGGACTGAGGCTAGTTTTTTTTTTTTGGTTAAATGTGGTTGGCATAGAAAACATTTAAGCCACAAAGTTATAAGGTCCCCGGTGGCTATTATTGCATAAGTATGAAAAGTTAAGTGAAATGGCTGAAAACTTGAGAATTACGTCAGAAAATAAATATTGTAAATACGAACACTACTTCACTAATAATGAAAATTTATCCAAACTTTTGCATTTTCTTGGTAAAATGATCTTACATTGAAGGAAATCCAACATGAAAAACAAGATTTTAAGTTTTACTAACAAATTTTAAACACTGGTCAAAATCTCAGCTTTAACAAAACAAAATGGTCAAAATCCCAGACTAATCTGAATATGGAAGTTGGATGTAATAAGTCAGCTTGGTATCAATTGTTTTTGGACACACACACACACACACACACACACACACACACACACACACACACATATATATATAAATATAGATATTTAAGCATGACCGTTATTAACCGTCAATGTTTTTTTCTGAATTCATGGTTCATCTAATCTACGTACACGTCTTAAAATATAAAAACGCTCTATATATATTCCTTGTTTGCGTAACAAAGACTTGTAAGAATCAATATTATATACAAAACTTGTAAGAACATTCAGCAAATTCCGTCTCTCTCTCTGCCTCTTAGCCTCTATGTATATAAACTTGAACACATTGAGGTATGAGCCATAAGATAATTATGGAGATTACGACATTTGATGTTTCAAAAGTTTTCTTCGAGCTATTCTCTGTTTTGACTGGTCAAAGCATGAAGTTGTGAGTACATGTTTATAATTAACATATATAAAAAAATACAGAGGATCGTCGAGTCATACACGTAAACAATAATATACAGTATGTATACATTATTATTTGTGTTTTTTGTTGTTGTTGCCAATTTGTATATACTCCAAACTTCCAAAGAAAAAACATGGGCCAATATTTTACTTTGGGCCTATTAAGCTAAAATAATAGCCCAAAGACCAAACCTATATAAAGTAAAGTATTATCAGTTTATCACTGTCACTGCAAAGCATTTTCCGGTGACTCGCTCTTTCACTGTCTCACTGAATTGATTCCCTTAAACCCTTGAGCGGGCAATTAGGGCTTTCCGTATCTTCCCGATTCTGTGATCTCCCTAAAACCTCTCCGGCAACAATTCACCGGAACTCGGAGCTCTTTCCCGTTGGTATGAAATTATGATTTTGATCTCTCGAAAGTTGACAAGAGTTGTCTGTTCCTCTCTTTACCACTCGAGAGCAGCGAAACTCCCAACCCAGAAATGGGTAATCTCGCAGCAAATCTGCTTATATTCGGCTAAAGCATCGGTGAAACCGCCGGATGTTGCGGAGGAGATAGAACTGGCTCGGCCGAAGACGATTGATAACGACGGAGAAACAGCGAACTGGGTGAATCTGACTGGATTCGTTGATCAGCCCGTCCAATTCCAGTCTTCTTCCGAAGGAATCTGGGCAGGAACCATTATTTCTCAACGTTCCACTTCAAAATCATCTAATTTCTGGTACCCATTTCCTTTAGCTTATCGATTACGAAATCACTGAATGTTGATAACTCTTGTGTGCGTTTTGATGGTTAGTGTGATTATTTTAATGTTTCCATTTATCTGGATAGATCAAAGTTGAGATTTTTATTTTTTGCAGGATTCCAATTATATTCGAGGGTAATCTAGCTAAAATTGCAGCTCACCATGTAAAGAAAGATGACCGGATTCGTGTTTCCGGGAGGCTGTTTATTGATTCACCTCCTCAGAATGTGACGTATCCTCATTCCAGTGTCCAGGTGACTTTATAAACAAGAATTTGAGTGTTCACAAGTTTGATATATGTTATTATGTTATGAAATGAATTTTCAAGACATGAGAGAAGCTTTTAGCACAAATTAACTTGTGGTAACTAGTTTCGTAGTCTCTTTCATGTCCTTCCTTATTATATATATATATATATATATATATATATATATATATATATATGAATAGTTTCTTGGACTCATGATAACATATAACAGATTGTGGTTCAAGATCTCAACTTTGAACAAGCTACAATCTCATTACCTGAAGAAGAAGCAGAAATCAGCACCGAGAATCAGCCTTGTATGTCTTATGGTCATTTTTAATGGTGTTTATGCTATGAATTGTGTACCTGTTTTCTTGAACTTACGATACTATTTTGCTGCCTTGAACTGTTGGGTCCTGATCAAGTCTCTTAGGCAGTTGTTTAATCAATATGGTTCTTTTTTTATTGTATGTTCGAGTTAACAGTGATTATTTTTGTATTTTCAGCGAGATCCAAGAAAGTTGAAGTCATGGATGAAGCTACGATCTCATTACCTGATGAAGAAGAAATCACCATCGTGAATCTGCCTTGTATGTCTTATGTCCTCTTTTAATGATGATTTATGCGATGAATTGTGTACCTGCTTTCAACTGTTCGGTCCTGATCAAGTGTCTTAGGATCTAGTTTTCTATCTAATCAACATGATTCTTTTTTATTGTATATTCGAGTTAACAGTTTTGGTTGTTTTGTATTTTCAGCGAGATCCAAGAAAGGTAAAGCCACAGATGAAGAAACCTCTAATGCTTGGAAGAATCTACTTGAAAATCCTAAAGGCTGGCTGGATTACCGTGGGACTAAAGCCAGCGGATTGGTAAGCACATTTTTGATTTGGATTCATTTTTTCCTCAGTAGGTTACTCGACACGTTCGAGTACAAAAACTTGCGATAATCGATATTCCCCTGTGCAGGTGAAACCAAAGCATCCCGACTTTAAGGGCACAAATGGTGGTCTTTCTTTGTGGCTTTGCAGCGCTCCTGATTGGGTTTTACCAAAACTCAATGGGCTTGAGTTTCATGGTCTAGTCCCTAAAGGAAAACTAAAACAACTTAAAGGTAAGTTTCCTTTTTAGAAAGTATTAGCATTTTGTTCATGTCTTGATTCATAAAGCGAGCTGTCCTGAAATGTAGGAGAGGAGTCTTGGAAGGACTTGGTACAGAACACGGATAAATGGTTTGATAACAGATCAACAAAGGTAAAATCTTGTGCTCGGGATTATCATTGAAGCACTTTTCTCTGCCCATATCTCCCTTAATGTTCTTGAATCACGATTCACGTGTAGACAAACCCGAAAGCCCCTGACTTCAAGCATAAAGAGACTGGTGAAGCACTTTGGATGACCGACTCTCCTCCTTGGGTACTATCAAAGTTGCCACCTCCAACGAAAAACCAAGAACAACCTCTCATGGCCACTACTGTCTCGCAGTCAATATCGAAACCACATAAAGGTAAACTCTCTTTTTTTTTTTTTATCAAGTCATAGGCAGCTATGTGGTGTTTTGTTACTGTCTTGTTCTCTAAAACGAGCTGTCCTGAAATGTAGATGAGGAATTTTGGAAGGACTTGGTTCAGAACCCGGGTAAATGGTGGGATAACAGATTAAAGAAGGTAATATTACCGTGCTCGTAGCATCTTTGAGTCTTTGAAGACACGATTCTATTTACATTTCTCCTCGCATGTTCATTTTTTTGACGTCCCGGTAATGTAGATAAACGCGAAATCCCCTGACTTCAAGCATAAAGAAACTGGTCAAGCACTGTGGTTGAATGGCTCTCCTCCTTGGGTACTGTCAAAATTACCGCCTCTAAAGAATAACGAAGAAGGACCTATCATAGTCAATATGCCCAATTCTGTCTCACAGCCAATATCGAAACCACATAAAAGTAAGTTCCCCTTTTTATCAAGTCTTAGGAAGCTATGTGGTCTTTTGCTGCTGTTTGGTTTTCTAAAAAGAGCTGTCCTGATATGTAGACGAGGAATTTTGGATGGACTTGGTTCAGAACCCAAGTAAATGGTGGGATAACAGAGCAAACAAGGTAATATATCGTGCTTTTAGCATCTCCGAATCTTTGAAGAAACTATTCTGTTCTTATTTCTCCTCTCATGTTCATTTTCGACTTCCCGGTAATGTTTTTAAACCACATGTAGACAAACCCGAAAGCCCCTGACTTCAAGCATAAAGAGACTGGTGAAGTACTGTGGATGACCGGCTCTCCTAGCTGGGTACAGTCAGAGTTGTTACCACCTCTAAAGAACCACCAAGAACAACCCTTCATGGCCAAAACTGTCTCGCAGCCAATATTGAAACCACTTAAAAGTAAGTTTTAATTTATTAAAGCCATAGGCAGCTATAGGCAGCTATGTGGTGTTTTGTAATCGTCTGGTTTCCTAAAACTGGTTTTCCTGAGATGTAGAAGAGGAATCGTGGAAGGACTTGGTTGAGAATCCAGATAAATGGTGGGATAACAGATCAAAGAAGGTAACATATTCGTGCTCGTAGCATCTCTGAATCTTTGAAGACACAATTCTATTCACCTTTCTCCTCGCATGTTCATTTTCGACTTCCCGGTAATGTTTTTGAACCACTGTGTAGATGAACGCGAAATGCCCTGACTTCAAGCATAAGGACACTGGTGAAGCACTGTGGTTGAATGGCTCTCCTCCTTGGGTACTGTCAAAATTACCGCCTCCAAAGACGAGTCAAGAGAGACCTGCCATGGCCTATGTTCTGCAGCCTTTCTGAAACTTATTATGATAGTCCATGTTGATTTTGCTCAACCACAATGTAAAAAAAAGGAGTCTTGAGTGAGAGAGATCATCAACATTAGCAACATACAGTATCTAGTGTTTTTTTGTATCAAGATTCAAGTCCCTTGGTTTTGCAGAAAGTCTTTTATATGTGACACGAAGTTCCTATACGCATGTTCTTGAGGTGATTGTATTCTCTTTTCTTGTTTAACAGGAAACGCAAAGCCATGAGATTTGCCAATTCACTTATCTCGGATAAGCACCATAACAGCACGAGGTTAATGAAAGCACACAAACAACCAAAGAACACAACTGAAATATGAAAGCCAAGAACCTCCAAATAAAAAGGCAAGTAACGCTCATCATTCATCTTTTGTCTGCAAATAAAGTAATAACACAACGTTGATGGGAAAAGTACAAAGATAACTAAATCCTCTGTTCTGAGTTTTGTTAACCAGACTCACAAAACTGATTGATGAAATCACCAAAACACTCACCGTTTATTACATGGAATTGTTTATTTCGGCTGGATAAGCCTCATCATCAATTAAATAAAGTTGCAGCTTTAACAGAGGAACACACCATTTATCTTTTCATCTGCAGATAACATAAAGAATTTGTTAACAATGTTCTGCAAACATATGTATGAGAAAAAAAATCCAACATAGTATGAAGAAGTTATTAAATACCTCCGAACAAGTCTTCAAGTCTGTCGAAGAAAGCACAAACACTTCAATGCCTAGCTCCTCTTCTGGCTTTGAAGAACCTCTCTTTGATCAAGCTTAATTCTTTTACAGCCTCACTCATTGCCAACCGGTTCATTGGAGATTCTTCACAACACCTAAGTCCCACCTCCAAAACCATCTTCAAGCACTCAGCAATAGGGAAGCCAATTCTAAGGCCATTGTGAAGGATCAGTTCGTCCGCCACATCCAAGACTTGCTCTGGCAAGGCAGATTTGATGTAGCTGCACAGAGTAAAGTTTCCTCCAAACAAGTCATTGGTAGGTCGTTTTCCACTAAACATTTCCAAAAGGAGAATCCCAAAGCTATACACATCACCATGTATTGATATTTGCCCTCCCATTCCATATTCTGCACACAATTCACATTGACAAGATTGGAGCAATAACATGATATAACTATACCAATTTTATTCATTCAAACATACGAATGTGTATAGATAGTTTTACCTGGTGCGGCATAGCCGATGGTTCCTTTGACTCCAGCCGAGCTGAGTTGGTTGAGGAAGTAATCCTGGTCGAATTTGAGGAGGATCCGAGCCAGACCAAAGTCGCTAACATGGGCGGTTAGATCATCATCTAGAAGGACATTGCTTGGCTTAAGATCACAATGAGCAATAGCTTCGTAGCAATGAACATGAAGATAGTCCAAAACAGAAGCCACATCAATCGCTATGCTAAGCCTTTCAAGAAGTGTCAAAGTTCTTGAAGGCCTACGGATCTCTTCCACTTCATGTGGGTGCAACCACATATCCATATAGATTAGAGCTCTGAATTCATTTCCTTGGAAATCAATACTCGAACAAGCCGTCAAAAGTTTCACAAGATTACGATGCCTTATGTCCTTCAAGGATTCACATTCTGCCATAAAGCTCTTCATTGCTCCATGTCGCTGCATGTTTAGAACTTTCACTGCAACAGCCTTTTTCTCTCACCGGAAGCAATGCCTTAAACACGGTACCAAAGCTGCCTGATCCAATCATATTACTCGAAGAGAAGCCATCTGTCGCATTCCGAAGATCTCCATAACTTATCATTTCATGGAAAGCCCCCAAGGTGGAAGGAGTTGCTTCACTGGTCTTGTTCTTCTTTCTTTTTTTGGACCAACAAAGAGAAGCTAAAGCTATGAACAACAGCAAAACCAAACTCACGCCTATGCTTACTCCAATCACAACTTTCTTCAAACGAGATGAATGCCTTTTCCCCCTTTGTTGGTGCTTGGAAAAAGCATGGCTTTAGTTTCAAGTCCAAGACGCCTCCACATAGGTTTTGTTTCCAAACACTGAAACTATAGTGGCGTTCTTAAACTTTCCTTTTGTTGGCAAAAATCCCTCGAAGTTGTTCACAGATAGATTGAGATACTCCAACGAGTTAAAGTTTGCAAGATATCCAGGTACATTTCCAGAGAGATTATTGTTGGAGAAATCAATCTCTTTAACACCCATCAACCCACTTATGTCTGGAATGGTTCCATCAAAAGAATTCCCTTGCAGATAAAGTCGTTCCAGAGAGATACACTTTCCCAAAGTCTCTGGGAGTTTCCCTGATAGCTTATTATCCGCAAAAGATATGTTAACAAGATTTTCAAGTCTTCCAACATATTTTGGTAGGGTGCCGGTCAAAGAATTATTTGACATGCTTAGTCGAATAAGGGTTGAAATTTGCATAACCTCCCGAGGTATTGTGCCATTCAACTTATTATTCCCAAAACTAAATGCAGCAAATAACTACAATTACCGAGACTTGGAGGAATGGTTCCTTCAAACTATTGTTGTGCAAATAAAGTTTTTCTAACCGAGTGATGTTGCCTATAGAAAATGGTATCTCTCCTGACAATCTGTTTGAATGAACACTTAGTACCCCCAATCCTGAAAGCTTACCAACCGAGGTTGGGAGTGGTCCTGTCAATAGATTGTTAGCGAACTGAAATGTTTGTAGGCTTATGAGATCTCCAATGTTAAGAGGAATGCTTCCAGAGATGAAATTATTTCCAAAGGTCAACTCGATGAGGTTCATTGACAGGTTGGCAATGGAGGTAGGCAAATCACCTCTAAGCATATTGTCAGCCACAGATAAGGAGGTCAGTCGGGTGCAGTTAGTTAAAGCACCAAGGAAGTCAAGATCTCGAGTAGAGTGACTTCCCAACGAATTACTATGGAGTGATAATGTTTGTAAATTCCCTATGTTTCCAAACCTCAGAGGAATATCACCTGTGAGACTGTTAAGCGACATTCCCAAATCTTGAAGGGTTGTGATATTGGCAAGTGTTGATGGAATGGCTCCTGTGAAATGATTATTTCCGATAAAGAAGTGTTTAAGGTGTGGTAGAAAATTACCAAGATCAGGCCTCAGGCTCCCAGAGAAACGATTACTAAACATGTTTAAGTACTCAAGTGAAGATAAATTGTGGATTGCACGAGGGAAAACACCTGAGAATCTATTCTGTGGTAACACAAGAGTCACCATTTGAGTCAATCTAGCGATATCATCAGGAATGGCTCCTTCCATATTGTTATCTCCAAAGCTGAGTTGTTTGAGGAACGTCAAGTTTCCTATAGATGCAGGGATCTTTCCGTTGAGGTTGTTATGACCAAGATCTAGTACAACAAGCTTCCTAAGTGAACCTAGCTCTGAAGGAAGACCTTGTCCAAGATGATTTGAAACCAGTTGAAGCTCCAACAATCTGGAGCAGTTAAACAGATTTTCTGGAATACCACCTTTGAGAAAGTTATATCCCAAATACAAGTGTTGAAGTCTGAACAAGTTTCCCACCTCTTGAGGAATGGTTCCACCAAAAGAGTTATGAGTGAGGTTAAGTGTTATAAGAAACGAAAGATTACCAATAGATGGCGATATCACCCCTCCCAATTGCAATCCTCCGAGGTCCAAACGAGTTACTCTCTTGTGTTTGCGGCCACATGTAACCCAATCCCAGTTGCAGAGAGGGATTGTGTTGTTCCACGAGGGCAATAAATCTTTTTTCTCTTCAGAAACTTGAGATTTGAACTCAAGCAACGCTTGCTTATCAGCTTCACCGGTAAAACCGTGTGCTTCAAGTAACAGGAGAGCACCAAAAGCAAGTAAGATAAAGTAGGCCTGGGCAAATTATCCGCTATATCCGATTCGATCCGTTATCCGCTTCGATTCGATCCGAAAAATCCGGATAACCGTAACGATACAAATCAAAGCAAATACTAAAATTCAATATCCGTTAAAAACGGAGCAAATAGCAAATATTGTTTCTGAAAAACCGAATATCCGATCCGATCCGTATATTATAAAAATTACATATATATACATATATACTAAGAAATTTGTTCATTTTGTCTTTAGAAACATACAAATCAACAAAAGTATTGTTTTCACAAATATAATCCATTCATTTATATAGTAAAAAGGTTTAATAACGTAGCAATAGCTTACTTAAAACTTTAAAATTATTTTTGCAGTATGTTTATTGTTAACGATGATGTGTTTAGTGGTACCTTTATGATTAATTAATTTACGTTTTTAGAACTTATTTTTAAAGGCATATTATAAATTATGAAACAATAATATATTTAGGGATGTTTCTATCTAATTTTCAATTATTTATAATTAATATATTTTTTTTTTTTTTTTAAATATATTTTACGGATCGGATCGGATATCCGCGGATATTTTAATTTTTGATGGATATCCGGAATCCGGATATCCGGAAATTTTCGGATCGGAGCGGATCGCAAAATCAACTATCCGGATCACACGGAGCGGATCACGGATCACGGATATTTTCCGGATATCCGCTCCGTGCCCAGGCCTAAGATAAAGAGTCTCAGGAAACGAATACAAAGAGACGAACAAATTGCAAAATGGCTTTGCCTTTGTGATGATAATGAGTAGGCAGCTTGAAGACGAAATACAGCCACACAAAGAAAACTACAAGACTTTCCGAAAATAAATTAGTCAACTGTCTAAAATGAGTCTTTGCTACGTTCATCATGGTTTTTGTCTTTTAGTCAAAACGTTCACATTGGTTTATGATCAAGAATAAAAATAATATTTTCAGTCGATGGAAAAAATGACGAGAAGATTTTATAATACTAATTAACTTTTAGTAACTATATTTTCCAGGGTTTGATAAACATATTTATAAAAAAAAAACTGTAAACTACCCACTTTGCAAAGCTATCCTTATGATATTCCCATTTCCCATGTTGATTTTGCTCAACCACAAAGTGAAAAAGTGTGTATGTGACTATATCTACATATTTAAACTACAATTGGTAGATTAACCCTTGAGTGAGAGAGATCATCAAACTTAGCAACATATCTAGTATACTCTGTATCAAGTTTTTGGTTTTTACGCCCTTACTTTTGCAGAAAGTATTTATATGTGACACGAAGTACCTAAAAGCATGTACTTGAGGTGATTTCTCTAAACTCGGTTTGATCCTTAGATTTGCCAGTTCACTTGTCTCGAATAAAGCCCCATAACAACCAAATCCAAAATGTCATAAAATTGCATTAACATGAACAACAGAAACTGATTGATCAATAAAGTCACCAAAAATATTCTACCACTCATTACATGGAACAGTCTAGTTCAGCGAGATCAACAAAATAAGGTTGCAGCTTTAAAATACCAGACAAACACAATTTTAGTGTCAGACCTTGATGCAGCACAAACATCAATTTTTAAAAATCAAATGAAAACTTAATTATGAAAGCCAAGAAATCCCAAATAAAAGCTGGTAACACATAATATTTATCTTTTGTCTCGCAAATAACATAACAACACAACATTGATGGAAATCACACAAATAACCAAATCCTATGTCCTGAATGTTGTCTGAATCAGACTCAATAATTTATTATGAAGAAACATATAATAATAGCAAATAAGTCTTCACGTTTGTAGAGGAAAGAACAAACACTTCAATTAGTGTCTAGCTCTTCTTATGGCTTCGAAGAACCTCTCTCTGGTTGAGATTAATTCTTTTACAGCTTCACTCATTGCCAGCCGGTTGACTGGAGATTCTTCACAACACCTAAGTCCCACCTCCAAAACATTAGTCAAGCACTCACCAATAGGGAAGCCGATTCTAAGGCCATTGTGAAGAATCGATTCGTCTGCCACATCTAATACTTGCTCTCGCAATGCAGATTTGATGTAGCTACAGAGGGTAAAGTTTCCTCCAAACAACTCATTGGTTGGTCGTTTTCCACTGAACATCTCCAAAAGGAGAATCCCAAAGCTATACACATCACCATGTATTGATATCTTCCCTCCCATTCCATATTCTGCACCACAAATCAATTCACAGAAACAAGATTGGAGCAATAGCATAATATTACTAATTTTATACATTCAAACATCACGAGAAAGTTTTACCTGGTGCGGCATAGCCGATGGTTCCTCTGACTCCAGCCGAGCTGAGTTGGTTGAGGAAGTTATCCTGGTCGAATTTGGGGAGGATCCGAGCGAGACCAAAGTCGCTAACATGGGCAGTAAGATCATCGTCTAGAAGGACGTTGCTTGGCTTAAGATCACAATGAGCAATAGCTTCATGGCCATGAACATGAAGATAGTCCAAAACAGAAGCCACATCAATCGCTATGCTAAGCCTTTCAAGAAGTGTCAAAGTTCTTGAAGGCCTACGAATCTCTTCCACTTCATGTGGGTGCAACTACGTATCCAAACTTCCATTTGGCATGAACTCATAGACTAGAGCCCTGAATTCATTTCCTTGAAAATCAATACTCGAACAAGCCGTCAAAAGTTTCACTAGATTACGATGCCTTATGTCTTTCAAGGATTCACACTCTGCCATAAAACTCTTCATTGCAACAATATTGTTCTCTCCAGGAAGCAAGGCTTTATACACGGTACCAAAGCTGCCTGATCCAATCAGATTATTCAAAGAGAAGCCATCAGTCGCATTTCGAAGATCTCCATAACTTATCATTTCATGGAAAGCCCCCAAGGTGGAAGGAGTTGCTTCATTGGTCTTGTTCTTCTTTTTATTTTTGAACCAACAAAGAGAAACTAAAGCTATGAACAACAGCAAAACCACACACACGCCTATGCATACTCCAATCACAACTTTCTTTAAAAGAGATGAATGTTTTTTCCCTTTTGCTGGTGCTTGCGAAAAGCAGGGCTTTAGTTTCAATTCAATGACCCCTCCACATAGGTGTTTGTTTCCAAATACTGAAACTATAGTGGCGTTCTTCAACTTTCCTTCCGTTGGCACAGTTCCCTCAAAGTTGTTAACAGATAGATTGAGATGCTGCAACGAATTAAAGTTTGCGAGATATGCAGGTATACCTCCAGAGAGATTGTTGTTGGAGAAATCAATCCTTTTAACATTCGCCAACCCGCTTATGTCTGGAATGGTTCCATCAAAAGAATTTCCTTGCAGATAAAGGTGTTCCATTTGGAGACACTTTCCCAAATTCTCTGGGAGTTTCCCTGAAAGTTGATTATACTCAAAGGATAGTGTACCAAGATGTTCAAGACTTCCAACATCTTTTGGTAGAGAGCCAGTCAAAGAATTGTGTGACATCTTTAGAAGAACAAGGGGTGAAATATGCATGATCTCCCGAGGTATGGTCCCATTCAACTTATTATCCCCAATATCTAAATGTAACAAATACAAACAATTACCGAGACTTGAAGGGATGATTCCTTCAAACCTATTCTTGTACAAGTAGAGTTTTACTAGCTGAGTGATGTTGCCTAGAGAAAATGGTATCTCTCCATACATTCTATTTAAATGGACTCTTAATTCTCCTAATCCTGAAAGCTTCCCAAGTGAGGCTGGGAGTGGTCCTGTCAATAGATTTCTTCCAAACTGTAATCTCTGTAGGTTTATGAGATTCCCAATGTCAAGAGAAATGCTTCCAGAGATGAAATTCCTTTCAAAGTTTAACCCGATGAGGCTCCTAGAAAGATTGGCAATGGACGTAGGTAAATCACCACCAAGCGTATTGTTAGCCACAGATAAGGCCTTCAGTTGGGTGCAGTTTGTCAAAGAACCAAGGAAGTCAAGATCTCCAGAAGAATAACTTCCCAAAGAATTACCCATAAGTGATAGGAATTGCAAATTCTCTACTTTTCCAAAATTGAGAGGAATACTTCCGGTCAGACTATTATACCCCACTCCAAATTTTTGGAGAGTCGAGATGTTGGCTAGTGTTGTTGGAATGTTTCCCGTGAAAGAATTAGATCCCAGATTTAACTCTTGAAGGTTTGGTAGCAAATCACCAAAATCAGGCCTCAGGCTCCCAGAGAAACCATTTTCAACGAGAAACAAATACTTAAGTGAGGAGGACAAATTGTAAATTGCTGGAGGAAAAACACCAGAGAAATGGTTCATTGATAATATAAGAGTCACCATTTGAGTCAATCGAGCTACACCATCAGGAACTCCTCCGTCTAAATTGTTTTCCGCAAAGCTGAGTTGTTTGAGGGATGTCAGGTTTTCTAGAGATGCAGGGATGTTTCCTGTCAAGTTGTTTCGACCAACATCTAAAATAAAAAGCTTCGTCAATGATCCAAGTTCTGAAGGAACACCTTGTCCAAGGTTATTTGAATATAGATTAAGGCTCAACAATCTAGAGCAGTTAAACAGACCGGCTGCAATCCCTCCTTCGAGAAAATTTAGGTTCATATCCAAATATTCAAGTCTAAATAACTTTCCAACCTCTTGAGGGATGGTTCCACCAAAAGAGTTACCAGTGAGATTAAGTGATTTGAGAAACCAAAGATTACCAATAGATGGCGTTATCACCCCTCCCAGTTGCAACCTTCCGAGTTCCAAACCAATAACTCTCTTGTGTTTGCGCCCACATGTAACCCCCCTCCAACTGCAGAGAGGGATTGAGTTGTTCCACGTGGACAAAACAGCTTTTTTTTCCTCAGAAACTTTAGACTTGAACTCGAACAACGCTTGCTTATCTGTTTCATCAGTAAAACCGTATGACTCAAGTAACAAGAGAGAACTAAAAACAAGTAAAAGAAAGAGCCTCATGCTTCTCATATTATTATTTTTTGCAGGAAAGAAGTACAAATTGCAAAATGCCTTTGCCTTGTGATGATAATGCAGCTTAAAGACGAGATACTGCAAAAGACTTTTCCAAAATCAAGAACTGTATGAAAAAGACAATATATTATTTGTCTTTACAACATTTAATGCAGAAATAACCCAACTAACAAGAAATTGCCAAATAACATTGCAAAACTTTTAATCAAAGTTTCTTTTCCGTCAAGTCAACGTTGACGTTTACTCACCGTTGTGTTCCCCAGCGAGGACATGAGTAGAGAGCATCTTGTTTTAATTTCGATTTTATTACGAGACTACGTGTCCGGTTAACTATTAATTTGCTTTATAGCTAGGTCTACACATTTCGGATTGTCTATTATCAACTCATGAATTGTGGCTAAAAAAAATTCATGTTTCTTGTGATTGTGAGTCTATTAGATTTGGACTGAATAGGGAATTTAATTTGATTGATTTGGTGATTAAGGTGATGATTGGTTCTCCCGCTACCACCCGCAAACGCAGCGTTTGCGGTTCGTAGCGGTTCTTAGCGTTTTATAACAATCACGACAACCGCTTTCAACCGCTCTATACCACTCTGTACCGCTCTATATCGCTGAAAATCAAAAGCTCCTTTCCGCAAGCGTTTGCGGTTGCGGGCGGTTGCGGTTTGAAAAAAAAAAAAAAAAAATAATATCTCCAAATTTGGAATAAGGGTATATTTTTTTGAAAAATACCATAATTATGTTTAAAAATTTCGAAAATACCCTAAATTTTTTCTGTTTTGAAAAATACACTTTTAAAATGTAAAAAGTATGTTTTGACGTGATTTAAACAAAAAAATAATAAATAATTACAAATTATAAACGAAAATTTAAAAAAATAATAAACTAATAAGTTTTTTTTCAAATAAATATAGTATATGTTAAACTGAAACAAATTTTAATATTTTGGATCTTTATATAAACAACTTAACCTCATACACATTCAAACCAAATGAAACTTTAAATAAATTAAAACTTTACATATATTTAAAGTTTATAAATTATTAAAAATTTAAAAGTGGAGAAATATATCTTTCATTTTTAATGTTTATCTTTTGAAAAATTTAAATATTTTTGAAACTTTGCATAAACAACTTTAATCTCACCCCATTTAAACTTTATATAAACAATCTTATATTTTTATTAAATTGTTTAAAAAAAACTAAACAGGTAATTAGGATGTTAAAATGATACAAAATTATTATCAAATATTAATATTTTATATTTCTTATTTGAATTTCGTTTTTATTAAATTAGGAATAATCATTTTACATATAAAAAGTGTATTTTTCAAAACCAAAAAAAAAGGGTAGTTTTCAAATTAAAAATTCATCAAAAAATATATTTCAAAAAAAAAATTATTAATATGGTTATAAATGTTTTGAATAATTATATATTATTTTTATTTTAGTAACTTTTGGTTAAACCGCTCTTGCACCCGCTGGCTAACCAGTCAAAAATATCCCGCAAACGCAACCGCTATGAATTGCTATACCAGTCGTACAAACAGCTTTTAATCGCAAACTCCCGCTTCCGCAAACTCCCGCAGCCGCAAACTCCCGCAACCGCAACCGCAGCGGTTAAACCAGTCAGACCCAACTTTGGTTCAGAAAGGTTTTCTTCACTACAAAATATACGGTAGTTAAACGTCAATTTTATTTGGGCTTAGCGTCGGTCATTGACTGACTCAAAAAACTTTGCGTCACTTATCAAACCGTCGTAATATCCTCTGACGCAAAATTATTTTACATCGGTTGCACAACCGATATTTTACTTTGGCGTCAATATATTAACGTCACTTATATTAGTTTTTAACGTCACTTAATCAAACGACGCTACATGCAATAATTTTCATATTATTTTTAGTTCACTGTAACTCTGAAAACAAGACATATTGGCTCAATAACATCTTAATTAATCAAATATTATATGGTTTTACACAAACAACTATCGTAAAAACTTAATACCCACAATTTGGTAATCCTACTTACATGACTAGACTACTCTCAAATGACTAAAGATACTTTCTTGTCTTGAAGTTCTTGAAACGACTTTCTTGACTATAACTCCTCATCTCTGCTTCCCTCTCTTTCTCAAGCCTCTCTATCTCTTCACGTATCTTCTGCAAAACCTGCAAACAACGAAATTTATTCAAAAAAACATAATCAGACTTTTCAGATGGTATGGACCAAACCGAAATTGACCTTCTCCCTCAGATGTTGTTTTCTCTCAGCTCTTTATGCAGCATTCACTGCTTCTCTATAGGCTACATTATAAACAAACATACAATTTAATAGATCTTAGTTATAGTTATACTGACTGGAAAAGCTAGTCACTTAGCTGACACTTCATATGCAAGAAAATTGTTCGTCTGAGAAATATGAGTGTATGATCTCCATCTACTGGAATTTAAGAAAGAGCCCACAAATCAAAAACTTACCTCTCAGATCAGGAGTTCTTTCAACTTTTGTTTTGTTCAGTCTTTAACTATTTCATTGACTTGCTTCTCCACTCTGATAGTCTGAAACTCTGGACCTTGAAGAAAAAGATATCAGTTAGGTATCACTAGTGCTTTGTAATTGTACCTTGAAATGGAGTTAGCTAAGTGAATCAAGCATACCAGACAAATTTGGTCTTTCTCCGGCATAACAGGGTGAACGTGAGATTGGAATGAAAGTGTAGACGATTTGCCTGCAATTGCAGTTCAAAAAAAAACTTAGTTTTACATAGTAAATAATTCAGTAAACACTACAGAGGAACAACAAATGGAATACAAAAAGACACTGCTCTTCTAAGAAGAAAAAAGGTTACGCAAGCTTGAGGCTTTAAATGGCAAATTGACCTCAAAAGAATATACTCCACAAGAAAATTACAGTATACAACTGGACCTAATTATATTGGAGAAAATGTGAAAATCACATAGTTGAGGAAGTCAAAATTGAGTAGAGAGCTTACCTTGATTATAACATATACGAGGATAGGTAAGAACTCATCTGCTTGTGCACGTATATGGTCCTTACTTCATTCAGGATGCTAATGAATGTGCAACAACCTGTTATGCAAAGCAGCTTGTCATGAGGGGCATCGAAGGAGTTATTTTCAGTAGTTCATTATCTGCAAGCTTTACAAGAGAAGATATATTAGACGACCGCTTAAGAAATAATTATCAGAACTGCCCAAGCGTTCTGTTCAACACCAACAAAACCGCTATGAATGCTCGGTTGAGCAGAGAATGAAATGATGAACAAAAAAGAGGATATTCATGTGAGGGTAACAAAGGGGAATCAAACTAACCTCCACGGCGCAATCAATATTTTCATCTGACCCAAACGTAATAATCTCTGAAGACCATTTCCATGGCGACAAAAAAATTCTGAACCTTCTTGCCATCATGAAAACGACCTATGAAGCTGGAACTCATCAAATCAGTTGGTTTTATCAGCACAATTACCCAAAAAGCTTCTAAACTTTTCCGGAACGAAAAACAACACATAATCCGAATCACACAAAATCTCGGATTCGAAGAATTTAAGAATCTCAATGTCAAATATACACAGCGATATTGAAGCAACCTTTTTAATCAGAAACACAACAAAATTCTCAAAAACTAATGTCATACTGATCTTATCAAAAGGAGAACCATTCGTAATGGAGAAACAAACTATAAGATCGAATCAAAATATGATTTCATACCTCTGAATCTGAAAGAAGCCACAGAGAAAATCGATTCTATCGGAATCGCCGAATCAGAGCCATTCGCGACGGAGAAAAAAACTATAGTATCGAATCAAAATATGATTTCGTACCTCTGAATCTGAAAGAAGCCACAAACGAGATCGATTCGATCGGAATCGCCGAATCAGAGTGAAACTCACATTGGCTAGAAAATTAGGTTTGAGAATTTCAATTTTCGAGAATGAAATACGTGAGAATCTTAGATTTTCTTTTTTCTATTAATGAATGAAGCTGCTGAACAATTTTGTTTTGTATTTACTTAATTTGATTTTTGATTTTAAAAGTTACCGTCAGTTAACAAAAGTGACGTTAAACACCGTCCAAGTTTAATTAGTTAACGTCGGTTCTTGAAGCGACTTAAATAAACTGACGTTATCCGGCGTATTTGGCCGTAGTGCTTCCACTTCTTTGTTTTTACTTCACTATATAAATGCATCAGACTCCACTAAATCATGTTGACTCTGACCATCCAACACAGTTTCAGTGTAAGAGCTGTATTTGTTAGAGGTGGAAGAAGCACATCCTTAAAAAAAGTCCGCCATTAAAAATTATACCTCGAGAGATTATGCAAATGTAGAAATCGGGATGGTACAAGAACATTGCAAAGCAAGTAAAGGCTCCAAGTGGTAACCAAGGAATGAGGGGGAATAAATAAGTTTCCTCTCATTCCTTAAGAATTACACCATTCATAAGGAATGTGTATCTTATATTATTTTCTTTTATTCTATATTAATTAAAGATTTTTAGTGTTAAAATATTCCTTATAAAAAAACTGCAAGAATAAGTTCCCTAAATTTTATTCCTCTTCATTCCTTTCATTCTCATTTGTTTGTTCCTTTAAAGCTTACCAGTAGAGCCAAAAGAAAGAGTCTCATGCTTCTTGTATTTTTTAAAGGACAGGAATACTAAGGGACAATCAAATTTGCAAAATGATTCTCTCCGACTCCGAATGGTTTATTTCGCATCTAACTTTGTCTCCTCTCTTAAATTTCCTAATTGATCCACTAAGAAACAGAATTCGACTGTTTCCAACTAATGGAGGTCAATTGTCTTGAAGGACGAAAACATTTTCTCTAGTCTTTACGAATTTCATAAGTACATCTGTACATCATCATGAGTATATAAAGAAATAGACCCAATTGAGACCAAGTTTGGTGTAAGTGCCAAATAGTCTACCTGCACTAACATTGGCAAATATTATAGTGAAGAAAAAGAATAAAAGAGTAATCACTGTTTTTTCCCGTCACCGTTGACGTTTACTCACATTTTTTAATTTACGTGGGCGTTAAACTCATCAATTAATAAAAACTAGGTTTGAAGCCCCGCACAAACGCGGTTGTGTACGATAGTTTTTCTGTTTAATTTTATTTATACTCGTTGATTTGAATTATGATGGTTTTGTATTAACTTTCATGTTTTTGTTATGTTTTGAGTTAACTCAACCACTAACACTAAAAATATGAATAATTTGTTTTTTATTTTAATTTATTAGGATATTAACACCCCGCTTTATCTCGAGTTTTCTATTTCTAAAATTTATCATGTTATAAATATTATGTTTGTTTACTTTTTTTTTACTTCTATTAGACTATTAGACTGTAAACATGTATATGTATTTGATTGAAGGTTAAAATTTATAAATATGTATATGCATTTGACTGAAGGTTAAAATTTGTAAACATATTCTTGTTTTTCACTACAATTAAATTTACATATAAAACTCCATTTCTATTTGTTTAGAAAAACAAACTCTAACTCTAATGTTTCATTAACTTTCTATTATCTTAATTAATCTTATATTAATTTACTTTCATTATTAATTTATAATCAACTTGTAAACACATTATAACATTTTTAAATATGATAAATCCTTTGAATAAAAAGGTAAATATATACTATTTGAAGTTAAATATTTCTTTACTCCATCTCTATTTTATATTCCAACTTTTTGATAACTTTTAACATCAAATTATCACATACTTTCTATTAATTAATTAATTTATTTGTATATTTTTATTAAATATGAATAAATGTAAAGAAATATGAATAGTCATATATTTAATAAATAATTTAAATACAATTTAATTTTTTGCTGATGTGGACACTCTAGATGGAGAGAGCAACTCTCTATTATATATAAGATTATTTACAATAAACCTTACGTCTAAAAGCTTTCACTAAAAAGTTCGGATGAGAATAAACGGACAAGTTTTTTTTTTTTTTTTTTTTTTCTGTCAACAGCCTCTATCTCTAGACCAATTCGGGAATCCAAGTTGGTGAGACAGAGTTTACATAATACACATCAGTAGGTAGATCTGGAGCACTACGTGCTAACTTGTGTGCCTTCGTGTTTTTCGTCCTAGGTATTGCACGATGGAAAAGGAGATAAACCTCGTTTTACACCGGTTAACCTCTTCGAGTAGTAGAGAGAACGCCGGCCACTCCTCTGGTATAGATTACTAAACAACATAAATTTTTATTCCATCCGGCAACATGATTTTTTATCGTTGGCAAGCAATTCTAAATAAATTTTATTTTTATTCAGAATAATAAAACTTTGTTTCAGATATTTTGGCACGAAATTTATTTTCCAAAACATGTAGAGTGGCTCCATAAAAGACTTATGGTTAAGGCAAAACCTACATTTGATTGCAATTCCAGAAAAACCTGGCCTCAAACACATTCTCCGACCAAAAACAGAATAATGGATTAGTGTTACTAAACAGAGTTTAAAAAGAGAATTTTTTTTTTAATGGGTTCTAACAACTATACTATGAACAATCTGTTCAAAAGGTAATATAAATTACAAATCTCTAATCTGTTACGGAAAAAAATTAACAAACCAATAGGGAGATTTGTAAGAAACGCAAAAGCCTTAAATTTGTCTCGGGTAGCTTCACCATATCTTCAACACTCACAAAGATGTATACTTGTAAGCAAGGAGATCGTGAATATCTCAGAAACAAAATCCATTAGAAACAAAACAAAAACTTATATAACCCAACATCTACAGATATTACTGAATACGTTCTACTCTTAATAATAAAACATTCTCAAGTCTAAATGTATACTTGTAAGCAAGGAGATCATGAATATCTCAGAGCTGTTCATCATTTTTGTGGCTTCACATACGTAATATAGAGTGAGAGATACACAATTCATGCCTCTGTTTCAGACCTTAACGCAGTTAGCTCCCTGTTATATGATGAGTCACTATTTTATCAACATGATACCATAACAACATGATACACATGACACTGATAAAAGTACAAAAACAACTAAATTATGAAAACCAAGAAATTCAACATAATAACACAACGTTTATCTTTTGTCTGCAAATAACATAACAGGCAACATTTGACCAAGGCACATAGACAACCAAATCCTCTGTTCTGACTTCTGAGTATTGTTCGAATCAGACTCACAAACTGATTAATGAAGTCACCAAAACACTCACCGTTTATTACATGCAATTGTTTATTTCGGCTGTATCAACCTCAGCATCGATAAAATAAAGTTGCAGCTTTAACATAGTAACACAGCATTCATCTTTTCATCTGCAGATAACATAGAGAATTCGTTAACACGGTACCTGCAAACATATGTATGAGAAAAAAATTCAACATATTACGAAGAAGATATTCAATACCTCCGAACAAGTCTTCAAGTTTGTAGAAGAAAGCACAAACACTTCAATGTCTAGCTCCTCTTCTGGCTTTGAAGAACCTCTCTTTGATTGAGATTAATTCTTTTAGAGCCTCACTCATTGCCAGCCGGTTCACTGGAGATTCTTCACAAGACCTAAGTCCCACCTCAAAAACCATCTTCAAGCACTCAGCAGCAGGGAAGCCGATTCTAAGGCCATTATGAAGAATCAGTTCGTCAGCCACATCCAAGACTCGCTCTGGCAAGGCAGATTTGATGTAGCTGCACAGAGTAAAGTTTCCTCCGAACAAGTCATTGGTAGGTCGTTTTCCACTAAACATCTCCAAAAGGAGAATCCCAAAGCTATACACATCACCATATATTGATATCTGCCCTCCCATTCCATATTCTGCACCATAATTCATCACACAGCCAAGATTGGAGCAATAACATAATATTACTAATTTTATTCATTCAAACATCACGAATGTGTGCAGATAGTTTTACCTGGTGCGGCATAGCCGATGGTTCCTCTGACTCCAGCCGAGCTGAGTTGGTTGAGGAAGTAATCCTGGTCGAATTTGAGGAGGATCCGAGCCAGACCAAAGTCGCTAACATGGGCAGTTAGATCATCATCTAGAAGGACATTGCTTGGCTTAAGATCACAATGAGCAATAGCTTCATGGCAATGAACATGAAGATAGTCCAAAACAGAAGCCACATCAATCGCTATGCTAAGCCTTTCAAGAAGTGTCAAAGTTCTTGAAGGCCTACGGATCTCTTCCACTTCATGTGGGTGCAACCACATATCCAAACTTCCATTTGGCATGAACTCATAGACTAGAGCCCTGAATTCATTTCCTTGGAAATCAATACTCGAACAAGCCGTCAATAATTTCACAAGATTACGATGCCTTATGTCCTTCAAGAGATTCACATTCTGCCATAAAACTCTTCATTGCTCCATGTCGCTGCATGTTTAAAACTTTCACTGCAACAATATTGTTCTCTCCAGGAAGCAAGGCTTTATACACGGTACCAAAGCTGCCTGATCCAATCAGATTATTCAAAGAGAAGCCATCAGTCGCATTTCGAAGATCTCCATAACTTATCATTTCATGGAAAGCCCCCAAGGTGGAAGGAGTTGCTTCATTGGTCTTGTTCTTCTTTTTATTCTTGAACCAACAAAGAGAAACTAAAGCTATGAACAACAGCAAAACCACACACACGCCTATGCATACTCCAATCACAACTTTCTTTAAAAGAGATGAATGCCTTTTCCCCTTTGTTGGTGCTTGCGAAAAGCATGGCTTTAGTTTCAATTCCAAGACGCCTCCACATAGGTTCTTGTTTCCAAAAACAGAAACTATACTGAAACTATAGTGGCGTTCTTAAACTTTCCTTTTGTTGGCAAAAATCCCTCGAAGTTGTTCACAGATAGATTGAGATACTCCAACGAGTTAAAGTTTGCAAGATATCCAGGTACATTTCCAGAGAGATTATTGTTGGAGAAATCAATCTCTTTAACACCCATCAACCCACTTATGTCTGGAATGGTTCCATCAAAAGAATTCCCTTGCAGATAAAGTCGTTCCAGAGAGATACACTTTCCCAAAGTCTCTGGGAGTTTCCCTGATAGCTTATTATCCGCAAAAGATATGTTAACAAGATTTTCAAGTCTTCCAACATATTTTGGTAGGGTGCCGGTCAAAGAATTATTTGACATGCTTAGTCGAATAAGGGTTGAAATTTGCATAACCTCCCGAGGTATTGTGCCATTCAACTTATTATCCCCAATAAGTCTAAACTGTAGCATATACTACAATTACCGAGACTTGGAGGAATAATTCCTTGAAAACTATTATTGTTCAAATGGAGTTAACTAACTGAGTGATGTTGCCTATAGAAAATGGTATCTCTCCAGACAATCTATTTGAATAGACACTTAATGCCCCTAATCCTGAAAGCTTACCAAGAGAGGCTGGGAGTGGTCCTGTCAATAGATTTCCCCCAAAAGCGAGTATTTGTAGGTTTACCAGATTCCAATGTCATGAGGAATGCTTCCAGAGATGAAATTCTTCTCAAGGAGTAATCGATGAGGTTCATGACAGATTGGCAATGGAGGTAGGCAAATCACCCCAAGCATATTGTTAGCCACATACAAAGTATCAGTTGGGTGCAGTTAGTTAAAGCACCAAGGAAGTCAAGATCTCCAAAATGACTTCCCAAAGAATTACCATTAAGTAAGGTTTCAAATTCCAAGTTTTCCAAAGCTCGGAGGAACACTTCCTGTGAGACGTTAAACCCCATTCCAAACTTTCAAGAGTCGAGATATTGGAAGTGTTATTGGAATGGTTCCTGTGAAAGAATTATTTGCAATACCCAAGTGTCGAAGGTTTGGTAGCAAATTACCAAATCAGGCCTCAAGCTCCCAGAGAAACCATTACGAAAGATGCTCAAATACTCAAGTGAGGACAAATTGTAAATTGCATGGGGAAAAACACCAGAGAAATTGTTCAGTGTCAACTGAAGTCACCATTTGAGTCAATCTGCTAGATCATAAGGAATTCCTCCTTCCAGACTATTGTCTGCAAAGCTAAGATCTTGAGAGATGTCAAGTTTCCTATAGATGCAGGGATCTTTCCTCTAAAGTTGTTTCGACCAAGATCTAAAACAACAAGCTTCGTCAATAATCCTAGCTTTGAAGGAACACTTTGTCCCAGGTGGATTTGAATATAGCTCAAGGTGCAACAATCTAGTGCAGTTAAACAGACTGGCTGGAATCTCTTCTTTGAGAAATTTAATGCCATAAACAAGTGTTTAAGTCTAAACAAGTTTCCCACCTCTTGAGGGATGGTTCCACCAAAAGAGTTACCAGTGAGATTAAGTGATATGAGAAACGAAAGATTACCAATAGATGGCGATATCACCCCTCCCAATTGCAACCCTCCGAGATCCAAGCCAGTAACTCTCTTGTGTTTGCGCCCACATGTAACACCCCTCCAGCTGCAGAGAGGGAATGACTTGTTCCACGAGGACAGAACAGCTTTTTTGTCTTCAGAAACTTGAGACTTGAACTCGAACAAGCTTGCTTATCTGTTTCATCAGTAAAACCGTACGACTCAAGTAACAAGAGAGCACCGAAAGCAACAACAAGAAAGAGTCTCATGCTTCTCAGTTTTTTATTTGCAGGAAAGAGATGCAAATTGCAAAATGCCTTGGCCTTGTGAAGATAATGCAACTTAAAGACGAGATACAAACCACAAAAAGAAAACTGCAAAAGACTTTTCGAAAATCAAGTACAGTAGGTCAAGTAGTCAACTGTGCGAACCAAAAAACGTGTAAACATAGGGTTTTTGTTTCCAACCCAATTGACAAGATCCCGTGTAATTCCAAATATGTTCAAAGTTTCTTTTCCGTCAATGTTGACGTTTACTCCAATTAATGCCAATCTTGTTCCCTCTGTAAAGTATGAAAGACACGAAAGTTTTAACAGAATTTCTGCAAGTTTTTTTTCACAAATTCACATTATCTAATTTGAACTGTTTCGAATTTGCAAATTCCGATTTTTCCTGTTTCAAATAGAGCATTTACTTCACCTAGTCATCGCTTGGATCGCCGGCTCATGCATCGTAAATACGAGTGAGCTTTTACGAGTTTCCAGAATGTTCCCAAATATAGAAAAACATTAGTTTTACAATCTACAACAATAGATAATGAAGAACACAAGAACAACAAATGAAAAGAAGTAATATAAGTTGCAAATCTCTGATTCTACTTTTTTCATCATTTCTTAACCAAAAGTTTGACAAACAAACATGGAGATTTGCAAGAAACGTAGAAGCCTTTAGATTTGTCCCTTGCCTTGTCCCGGACATATCTTTAAATCCACAAACTACTTTATTTTATTTTTATTTTTTTGACGTCTATTCACAAACTACATATCCATCAGAAACAACAACTTATTTATTTACGGACATTAATTACTCATTAACATAGTGAATATATAAGAAACATTCTCAGATCTAAATATACACTTGCAAGCAAAGAGATCATGAACAGCTCAGAGTTGTGGCTTCACATTCTAAATACACAGAGACGGTTCATGAGTAATTATCTTTCTTGGAGACTGACGAAAGCATAACAATTTGACATTGACGAAAGCACACAAACAACTAAACTACGAAAAACCAAGAAATTCAAAATATTAACACAACACTAGGAGAGCACCCGCGCAATGCGCGGGTTTATATTTCAAAAAAAAAATATTATTTTTGATATTATTTTGTTTTGTTTATAAATCACTTTGTATAAATAGGAAAAGTTAATTTTTGAAATAAGAATTTGTTTTGTTTTGAAATAATATAAGAGTTTGTTTCTTTTTAAATATTATGATGAACTTAATAAGTTAGACCACCAGCAAAAATATCAAAAATATTTAAAGTTTCTTTCCAAATGAAGTTCTTTAGTAATTTTTAATAACAAAAATATTAATAGTTTAAGTTTAAAGTTTTCAATGAATTTTTAAAATTTTAGCTCCATATTGTAGAAGTGATTGTGGAGTTCTTTAAGAATTAATTACCTTTTTTCAAAGTTTTTAAATTTATATAAACACAAACAACAGAAACATAAAAAAAAAAACAAACCAAAATGATGATAACATCTGTATGTTTAATTGGATCTATTTGAGTTGCAACATATGTATGTTGAATTTGGTTTTCAACACTCCAAAAGTTTTGACGCAATTCATATGTTTACTCTTATTCATATGTGATAACTGATACGCCTCTTGCTTATCCAGTGGGACCGTTATTGGATCAAGTTGGTGATTGTAAGGAGAAGAAGCAACGGAGATTTTAGAATGGCTAGACGAGCAGCCGGCTATTTAGGTGGTGCTCACTGCAATTAGCATTAACGGTTATATCGTAAAGGTATCTAACCAAATCCTATTCATGAAATTTTACAAACAAATTAGAGTGTATAAACACACACAAAAAATTAAACATATACAAAAGCGATAGAATTTATTTATATTACAGGAGTTGGTGCTTGTGCGTTTCGAGGTTGTTCCACGTTTATACTACTTTTTTTTTTTTTTTTTTTTTTTTTTTTTTTTTTTTGATAACTCTGGTATCCGGGCAGCCACATTCCCGATTATTCCCACAAGTGGGGTCCAGCGCCCCAACGGAAGGGATGTTAAATCCGTTGTGGTCGGGACTCAAACCCAGGTGACGGATATCTCAGCTGAGGCTCCTTTACCACTGGGCCACAAGCGCCGGTTACGTTTATACTACTTGTTGACTGAAACGTGCTTGCTCCTCTCTAAAACACAAGTAGAGTAAAAGTTACGGTTAACGTTTAGCAAATAGATGAAACAACCGATGCCATTACACTAAAGAAAAACGTTATTACTTACCAACAACTCAGTGCCTTTATAATCTGGTTGCATAAAAGATTTTGCCTCCTATACAACATTATGCTCCGTAGCAAGTCCCATCAAAATCTTGACTTTTGTTGGACCATCGGGTGCTTTGGCCGACAACTTCTCCGACAACTATCAAGATAAGAAGAGTCATAATCAAGAAACAGTTCTGAATACAAAATCACCACCAAAAGTGTTCTTCTTTGGACGACTTACCAATTTTCCAAATTTTAAAAGCTTACGAATTAACATTCTATGATACAGTATTGAGAAGGATTACAAAGTTCTTATTCTTACCATGATTATGATGGCCAGGGACTTCTACTTCAGGCATGACGTTAATACGCAATCAATACCTCAAGATGAGAAGTATAACAGAAATCAAACAGAAACCATTTAAAATCATTCTGAGCTTAATTTAATAGGAGTTGCTTTCCATAACAATAAATTTTAGGCTCCAGACTCCAGAGTTAGTTAAGAAAGAACCTCTCATTTTGACAAACCTTCGCAGAGGAGATCACAAACAGACCATGGTACCAAAAGGGAGAGATTGTAAAATAACGAATAGTAGTAAGCAAAAAGAAGAGTTGATGTAGCCATTTACTCGGATGATCAAAATATGCATGGAGGACTTGGAATTAGCAACTCGAAGCCAACTATAATGATCGTCCGTTCCATCTTAGCACACTCTTGTTCAGACTTGCGCTTTTCAACTATAATCTTTTTGTCAAGATCTTTTTGTTTCTTCAGAACATTCAGTTGTCTATCTTTGAGAACCAACAGCTTTTCGATCCGTGACAAAGGCCTTGTAACATCAAACCCATGCTTCTCCAGCTCCGTAAAGGAGTCTTTGAGGCTATCTAGTTGGCTTATGGGAACGTCCGCTTCCAAATCTTTGAACTTCTCCAATAACCCGGAAAAAGTCGCCATTACACCTAACGCATATCCTTCACGGAAATCTTGTCTAATCTCAGACAATTTGCTGAAGTGAGGACTTTCAGGTACTCTTTTGAAGACTTCCATTGTTTCGTATGTCTTTGTTAAGAGAATGCTATATAGATTCCGATAACAAAGTTACAAAACTGATCGGGAAGGTATCTCTGTTGGATTTAATTGAGTTTGGTATTAAGTGTCTAAGTTTAGGTTGTGTTACACGAGCGGTTTTGTGTCACACACAAGTAGGAGAGAGTCGCAACTGTTCGTTGTGTTTTGTATTATTATATAACCCATTGTAACACGATGTAACAAATTAAGTTTCAGATCAATAAAGATTCAGTTTCGTTCTTCATGTCTTCTTCATAAGACACTCTGTTTTTGTCTCTCTTCTCTCCTACTCTGTTTTGTAATCAAAACTTCAACAATCTCTCCTCCACCAAGCAGCTTATCTCTCTTGATCCGAAGAACAGACTCTCCGATCAAACTCACTCTCTCTCTAAGTTGTTATTCAATTTCTAGATAATGTTGTAAAGTAAATTGTACAAGTATTTAAAAGACTATCTTCTTTCTTCTAACCCTCTGGCTGAATGAGAGACTCGTCATTTCCGGTAATTGCTAAACCAACCTTCTTCCTTCTCCTCACAAACCGGTTAAGCAGTCTAACATTACCCCCCTCGTCAAGACAAAGCTTGTCCTCAAGTTCAGGAAACTCCTTAAGCAACTCCGATGCACGAACCCACGTCGTTTCATGTGCAGGAAGACCCTTCCATTGCACCAAGGCTTCCAAATGTCCTCCATTATCATAACGTGTCTCCAAAACCGCTTCTGGTTCTACAATCAACTCAGACCTCTGGGCAAAAGAATCCGGAAGTGATGATATCTGATGACCAGAGCCTAAGGCGGGTTTCAACTGAGAGACATGGAACACGTTGTTGATATACACATATATTAACATATATTAGCATACATTTACATGCATATTTCCACCTATTGGCATCATTCTCACATTTGTATCCTCATATCTCTATTTATACATTTGCATCTTCATTAGGACTTGCATTGCATACACATTGCATTTTGAGTCTATCAGGTACTTAATGGAGCTTTGGAGCCATTTGGGAGAAGGAGTGTTGGAGACGTCAAGACCGAGAGCAACCAGGATGCGAACCAGGATCAGGAACCCGTTTGTCACCTTTCCTTGACCAAGAAGAGAGTTGACCACATCCAAGTGAAACGCGGCGTTTTGGAGCTTAAATCTTGGGGAAGGAAAGAAGAAGGGTTTTAGAGAGTCTCCACTATATAAACTTAAAAGTCCTAACTTTTTAGGCACCTTGTAATTTGTCTTTCATTTTGCCACCAAGAAATACTCTAAGTTGAGATCTAAACTTTGTAAGCTTTGGTCTCTTTCTCTTAATCAAATCACGTACTTGCTTATTTCATTGATTGCATCTCACTCACTTGTTTGACAACTCTTCCTCTTTGGAATCGGTTTGTTCATCAAGCATGAGTGAGTAGTCTTTAGATTGTTTTAGGTGATTCGGTTTGAGAGCTAAAGAGAGTTTTGAGCTTAAAGCTAGACCTTTAGAGTTTCTCCTTCTTAGTATCCTTAAGCCTTCATTTCTGATCATTCTGGCTCGGATCTCAAGCTCTCAACGCAACAAAAGTGTGTTTGAGAGTTGAAAATCTAAGACAAGGGATCTACTCTCTAGCCCGCGATAGCGGTTTGTTTAGAGGGTTCTTTGGGTTGGGATCTGCGTTTAAAGCTTGCTTGTGTACAAGCTCACTGACGATAGTCAGCTCTTGAGTTTGAACCTTGCATTCGAGCTCATTCACGATAGTGATAAGCTCTTGCTTTCGTTTTCCTTAGCCTAGAAACTCGGTTTTATCTTTATGTCTTAAAGTCTCTTCCTTTAGCTCGATTTCCATCGAAATCACCTAAAGCCATCGCCTTTCTTCTTTTCTTATCAAAGTTCAAGTCTTTTAGCTCAAAGTCGATTTCTTTCCTCTTTGAATCTTGATTTGGACCGTTATTTCACTGTTCTAAGTTTGTATTTTACTGTTTAACGTTCGGATTTCATAAAAACCAAATCTTGTTCTTGGCTTGAAGTTTTCTTGCAATCTTTAGACCCAATCTTCCCTGAGATTTGGATTGATACCTTAAACTATACTGCAATGATATGAGCAGAGATTTGAGGGTTTGATCTACTAAAAATCTTGTTTTCAAACTGGCGCCGTTGCCAATCTTGGGGATTTGATTGGGATTTTCGATTTTGGAAAAATTCAAGTTCAAGTTTTTAAATTTCTGCAACTTACTCACCTAATCTGCCTGGGCTTTGCTTTGTCTTACTCTCAGGTGTATGCAAACACGCTCTCGCGGCAAATCAAACTTGTTAAGCTCCGACGAACTTCAACGAGCTGAACGAGCTAAACGCGAGCGTCAACGGCAGAACAGAGTAGAAGCAGAGTCGAGTTCAGGATTTCAGACAGGCTCCGAGTTACACTCAGTGACGACGACTCTGGTACTGAGACGATGGCAGATAACCACGGAGGAGCTCCTCCACCGGGAGCTTTTCCACCACAAGCCGGGAATCCAGCTCAAGCTCAACGTCCGGCAAGACAAATCGGAGCTGGCGATATTCCGACGATTCCAGCGAATCGTCCCGGCATTACCCCACCACCAGTCCCAAATTTCAACTTCGACATCAAGACAAGCTTGATAAACTTGGTGGAGAATTCCATCTTTCACGGAATGAAAGATGAAGATCCTTTGAAGCACTTGGAAAAGTTTGATAGAATTTGTGCTTTGCAAAAGATCAACAACGTCACTGAGGATGCTCTTAAGCTCCGATTGTTCCCTTCTCTTTGAGTGGACACGCACTAGCTTGGGAGTCTTCAATCCAACCTGGAACCGTGACAACTTGGGAACAATGCAAGCATGCCTTTCTTGCGAAGTTCTTTCCCACGTCAAGAACTGCTCAGCTAAGGAACAACATTGCGAGTTTCACTCAACAAACCGGTGAAACATTCTCAGAGGCATATGAGCGATTCAAGGGATATCAAATGAAGTGTCCTCATCACGGCTTCTCCAAAGAGAACTTACTAAGCACGTTGTACAGAGGAATCTCCCCTAAGTACAGATGCATTTGGATTCAGCTAGTAAGGGTCATTTTATGGGAATGGATGTAGATGATGGGCTCGCTTTGGTGGAGAATGTTGCTCTTAGTGATGGAAACTATCCAGAGGAGTATGATCGAAGTGATAGAGGAGATAGCTCAGTCAATGATGAGAAGCACAAGAAGGAGATCAAAGACATTGAATGACAAGCTTGACAAGATCTTGACTGGCCAGCAAAAGCAAGTTCACTTTGTTTGTGAGGATGATGTGAACCAAGAGGGGGAGGACCAACAAACTGAGGAAGTGTGCTATATGAGTAATCAGGGAGGTTACTACAAAGGGTTACAACACAAACAACAACACGAACCTCTCTTACCGCAGCACCAATGTGGAGAATCCACAAGACCAGGTCTACCCACCTCAACAAAACCAAAATCAAGGGGGCCAACAAACTGTTTACTTCAAGCGTGGTTACCCACCAAAGGTTTTTGGAATCAGAACCAAGGCTCAACTCAAGCTCAAGCAGGGAGCAACTCAAGTCAAGACTGATATGAAGACCATGCTTCAACAATTAATCAAAGGGCCAAACAAGTGGTGCTACTGAGCTAACACCAAGCTAGCCGAGATCAACAACAAGGTGGATTGCTCTTACAATGACCTCAACAAGAAGTTGGAATCTTTAAACTCAAAAGGTTCAACACTTGGAAGCTAAGAGCCACAACATACCTTCCTCTTCAAAGGGAATGCTTCCTGGAAAAGCAATCGCAAACCCAAAGGAGTATGTCCAAGCAATTACTCTTAAGAGTGGGAGAGTTCTTCCGGAGAGAGTGGTACCATCAAGACGCAACGAGGACGTTGCGATTCAAGAGGAGGAGGAGTCAGTCGACATTGAAGCTGAGGAGAGTTGAGAAAGAGTCAGTAGAGCCTGAGAAGCAGAAGGACAGCGCACCGAGCCGTCAAAAGGAAACAAGAAGAGGAGGGAAACTCTTTTTGTTCCTCCACCATTCAAGCCAATGCTACCTTTTCCAACACGTTTCAAGAAACAAATGGCAGAGAAATGCAGAAAGTTTTTGATCAGCAACTATCTGAGATCAACTTAAAGATCCCTTTGTGGATGCTCTCATGATGATCAAGCCTTATCAGAAATTTTTGAAAGATGCCATTTGGAGAGAACCAAGGAAGTGCAAGGCATGGTGGTATTGTCTCAAGAGTGTAGTGCTATAATTCAAAGCAAGACAGTAACAAAGAAGCTTGGTGATCCTGGAAGCTTCACTCTCCCTGTTCTTGGGACCTTTAGCATTCAAGAAGAGTTTGTGTGATTTGGGAGCGAGTGTAAGCATAATGCCTTTGACTGTGGCAAGGCGTTTGGGTTTTGAGAAATACAAGGAGTGTCATTTCTCTCTGATCCTTGCTGATAGATCAGTTAAGCTTCCAGTAGGTATGCTTGAGATATGCCACTCAAGGTGGGAAGTGTGATAGTTCCAACTGACTTTGTGGTAGTGAGATGGATGAAGAACCCAAAGATCCTCTGATTTTGGGAAGACCTTTCCTTGCCACTGCTGGAGCTATAATTGATGTGAGAAGAGGCAAGATTGAGCTGAATTTGGGTAAAGACTGCAAGATGGTGTTCAATGTAAAAGATGTTATGAAGCAACCAACTATAAATGGTGAGTCGTTTTACATTGAAACACTTGAGCAGCTAGCCGAAGACTACTTGGAGGAATTGGGAGTTGAGGATAAGCTGCAGCTGGCTTTGACTAAGGATAATGAGGAGTTTGGATGTCTACAAGCAGAGAGTATGGGTTATGCTTGGCTTATGGACTCACACAGAGCAGCAAAAGAGGGACAGGCTTTGAGAGTTGGTTCAGTCAGAAACGAAGAGCATCCGGGATGGAAAACAGGTTGAGAACCTGTTTGCTCTAGAGTCCAAACCAAAGGAGGAAAGCTCTCAAGAGCAAGGCACGGACGATGACTGGTCTGAGCTTAAGGCTCCCAAAGTCGATCTCAAACCACTCCCAAAGGGGCTCAGGTATGCGTTCTTAGGCTCTAACTCCACATACCCTGTCATTGTCAATGATGCATTAGACCCCCATGAGCTTGAAACCCTCCTTGTCGAGCTGCGAAAGTACAGGAGAGCTCTTGGATACTCGCTGGACGATATCAAGGGTCTCTCCCCTACTCTATGCACTCACAGGATCCATCTCGAAAATGAATCAAAGGGATCTATTGAGCATCAGCGTAGGTTAAACCCCAATCTTAAAGAAGTAGTAAAGAAAGAAATCTTGAAGCTTCTTGATGCAGGAATCATTTACCCTATTTCGGACAGTACTTGGGTTTCTCCAGTACATTGCGTCCCAAAAAAGGGTGGGATTACTGTCATCAAGAACGAAAAGAATGAATTGATCCCAAGTAGGACAATAGTTGGACATAGAATGTGCATTGATTATCGTAAGTTAAATTCTGCATCAAGGAAAGATCATTTTCCTTTGCCATTCATTGACCAAATGCTTGAAAGGTTGGCATGTCATCCATTTTATTGTTTCTTGGATGGCTACAGTGGTTTTTTCCAGGTTCCAATCCATCCAAATGACCAGGAAAAGACCACATTTACATGTCCATACGGCACCTTCGCATATCGAAGAATGCCATTTGGATTATGTAATGCCCCAGCAACATTTCAAAGAGCCATGCTTTCAATCTTTTCGGATCTAATAGAGGAAATGGTTGAGGTCTTCATGGACGATTTCTCGGTCTATGGCTCTTCCTTTTCCTCTTGTTTGTCTAATCTATGTAGGGTGCTGAAAAGATGTGAGGAAACAGGCTTGGTTTGAATTGGGAGAAGTGCCATTTTATGGTGAAAGAGGGGATAGTCCTTGGCCACAAGATCTCAGAGAAAGGCATTGAAGTGGACAAGGCAAAGATAGAAGTAATGGTGCAACTTGGGGAGCCAAAATCAGTTAAGGATGTGAGAAGCTTCTTGGGACATGCGGGTTTCTACAGGCGCTTTATCAAAGATTTTTCTAAGATAGCAGGCCACTCACAAGACTCTTATGCAAAGAAACAGAGTTCATCTTTGATGAAGAGTGTAGCCAAGCTTTCTTGAAGATCAAGGAAGCCCTTGTTAGCGCACCAATTGTCCAAGCTCCAAATTGGGATCTCCCCTTTGAGATAATGTGTGATGCCTCAGACTTCGCGGTTGGAGCAGTGCTGGTCAGAAGGTGATAAGAAGATGAACGTCATCTACTATGCAAGTAGAACGCTAGATGATGCTCAAACCCGTTACGACAACCGAGAAAGAATTGCTTGCCGTGGTGTTTGCTTTTGACAAGTTCAGGAGCTACATTGTGGGATCAAAGGTCATAGTTCACACCGATCACGCAGCTCTCAAGTATCTCTACACCAAGAAAGATGCTAAACCGAGGCTGATAGATGGGTTCTCTTGCTTCAAGAGTTCGATATCGAGATCGTCGACAAGAAAGGCACCGAGAATAGCGTGCCGATCATCTATCAAGATTGAGGATTGAGGGAGATGTTCCCATCGATGACTCTTTGCCTGAGGAGCAACTCATGGCTGCTAAGATCGTGGATAGAGGCTATTTGACCAAGTGCCGTGGAGGAAGAAGGATAGCAAGAGGAGAAGAGGTTCCTGGTACGCAGACTTTGTGAACTACTTGGTGTGGGAAGTTCCAAGTGGATGGAGTGGTTATCAGAGAAAGAAGTTCTTCAAAGATGTGGTTCACTACTACTGGGATGAACCCTATTTGTTCAGAAAAGGGAATGATAACTTGTTCAGAAGATGTGTAGCTAAGGAAGAGGTTGAGGGAATCTTGTTCCATTGCCATGGGTCAAGCTATGGAGGCCATTTTGCGGTTTTTAAAACGGTCCAGAAGGTGTTGCAAGCAGGTTTTTGGTGGCCAAGTATGTTCAAGGATGCTCATGCCTTCATCTCTAAGTGTGAGGCTTGTCAAAAGGCAGGGAACATCACGGCTAGGAACGAGATGCCTCAGAATCCTATCTTGGAAGTTGAAGTGTTTGACGTATGGGGAATAGATTTTGTTGGTCCTTTCAACCCGACTCTCACGGCAACTTACATTCTAGTGGCCGTTGACTATGTCTCAAAATGGGTGGAAGCATAGCCGCACCAACCAACGATGCCAAAGTGGTCCTCAAACTGTTCAAGACTATAATCTTTCCGGGTTTGGGTTCCAAGATGTGTGATCAGTGATGGAGGATCTCACTTTGTCAACAAGGTGTTTGAAAACCTTTTGAAAAAGTATGGGGTGAAGCACAAGATAGCCACACCATACCACCCTCAAACTAGTGGTCAAGTGGAGGTTCTAACAAGCAAATCAAAGCCATACTCCACAAGACAGTGAACTCATCAAGGAAGGACTGGTCAGAGAAGTTGGATGATGCTTTGTGGGCTTATAGAACTGCTTACAAAACGCCAATTGGGAGATCTCCATACTCTTTGATCTATGGGAAGTCTTGTCATTTACCTCTTGAGCTGGAATATAGAGCTAGATGGGCAATTAAGTTCCTAAACATGGAGCTAAGTACAGCTCAGGAGAAGAGGGAAATGGACCTCCACGAGCTAGAGGAGATTCGCTTGGATGCTTATGAGAGTTCTCGAATATACAAGGAGAGAACTAAGGCCTTCCATGACAAGAGAATCACTCCCAAGGTTTTCAAGGAGGGAGATGATGTGCTCCTCTACAACTCAAGGCTCAAGCTATTCCCTGGGAAGCTTAAGTGTCGCTGGTCAGGACCATTCAAGGTCAAGGAAGTGTTGCCTTATGGAGCCATCACCCTAGTGAACAACAATGGAGCTGAGTTCACGGTTAACGGTCATCGGTTGAAGAAGTACATGGGGAGTCAAAGCATTGGAGAGGGAAGTTCAATCCGTCTCCATGATCCACCCCAAGCCTAAAAAGGCAATGAAAGTCAAGCTATGGGACTCAAAACAAGCTCACTTGGGAGGAAGTCCCATGGTTATCCTTTTGTAAATAGTTTTATGTTTTTATCTAGCTTTGTTTTTATCTAATGTGTTTTGTAGGGATGATTCAAGAAGAAGCTGAGAGAGAGTTAAGGAATTGGAAATGGGCAGTTCTATAAAGACATTTCTTGTCCAAGAGCTTAAGTGATTCAACTGCCCAATCCAACACTCCTTTGACTCTAATCTCAGCTTAACCGGGTGAATTCTAAAGCAGACGGGTTGTCAACCAGGTTCTGACAACCCGCGTCAGTAAGTGACCCGTTTCTTTTTGAATTTTTAAATCAGAAGAAACCCTTTTCTTTTCTCCTTTATTTTAAAACTTGGGGTTTCTTCTTCTTCAAAAAGCTTTTTCCCCGATTCTCTCTACACGAAAATCTCGGATTTCTTCGTTTCTCAACCAAAATTCGAATTTCAAAGCTCAAATTTCTTTAAATCCGCCGCTCGATCAAACTTAACTCGATTCATCTTAATCCGACAGTCCAATCAAGGTATCCGATCCTAGTTTTTACTCTTTCACTTCCGGTTTTCTTCTTTTTCAAAAGAGAAACCGTTTGTTGCTATTCTTGAGTAGATCCGGTGATTGCGACTAGGTTAGATCGAATTCGAGTTTGCATGTAGGAAATTTCGTGCTTGAAGTGAATCTCGAAGCTAGGTTTTTCAAAGTGTTCTTGAGTTTTCTAGCTAAAATCTCGAGGTTCACAGCATGTTTTTAAAATTTCCTGTTAAATGATCTTGAGTGGTTGGATTTGAAAGTTTTGAGCTCGTTCTTAATCGAAAAATCGGATTTGGTTTAAACCGAGTTTGGTTTAGTTTCCTCGTTTGTGGTTGTTCTGGAAACAGAGGCTAATTGTCTTGTGAGGATTGTTTATCTCTCAGGTGCAATGGCAAGAACCAAGTTCACTGGTGGACAGACTCGCGAAGATGGGAGAGGGCGAGAGAAGAAAAGCGTGAGGGAAAGAAGAAGGTGGACTATAGCACCAAGAGGAAGCCAGGGGCGAGCAGAGAGTCGGCTCCGAAGTGGCCAGAGACCGGTGGGCAAGACATGGATGATCAGTGATCCCAAGGCCCTATGGGATTCAAGAACGCATCCGTATCTTGAGAAGGATGCAGTTCATGTCAATGCGCTACCCACATCCGGAGACCATCAAGGAACTGGGGATAGAGGAGGATGTGAATGACATCCTTACTACACTGAGCTTGGGGAGTTCACAAAACTAGCCCTTCCGGCGTACAGAGAGCCCACGATTGAGTTCCTTGCCTCGCTGAAGCTTAAACTGCATCCTCAAGAATCCGCTGCTGAGCTCAAGAGGGATGGGGCCGGATACATCACTTTCAAGCTACTGGGGCAAGATTACCTGCTCAGTATGTTGGAACTGGAAACAATTTACCAGTTTGAGGAAGACAGGGGTCTCGACACGGAGGTATGCGTGCCGGCGACAGAGCTTCATGCCCTGTGGAAGATCATCAGCTCAAGAACTTATCAGATCTCCAAGAACAAGAGCGGTAACATCAAAAACCTGGGCATACGCTACGCTCACAAGGTGATAGCTAACACCATCTTTGCCAGACATGACTGTTCGAACGTCACAACGCAAGAACTTGAGCTGCTCGACGCCGGCATCATCCAGAACTGGAAACCTTGGACGACGGAAAAGAAATGCAAGGGAATTTGAGGCAAACAAGCATGGCAATTGTGATGGTGAACTCTTTCCTGCACATCATGAGGAATGCAGAACTCTCCTACGACCAAGGCAAAATCAAGGAGGCACACTTGGTGATTGGCAGCATGATCACTCCGATCCTCCTAGCCAGCAAAGTCAAGCTCCCTGCCCCTTCACACCCGCCCCTGTTTATGGATGTGCCTTATCTGAACAAGACTTGGTTCTTGCGAGGAACGCATGAGGGCAAGCACATCTATCGCTTCGAGCATCCTACATATGGAATCTCTAAGGTTTTGCTACCAAACGCTGATCTTACAGACACCAAGACCCGGGAAGGAATCCTGTTTCTTCCAAATGCCGACCAATTGTTTATGGATGGAGGCGACACAGCGGTTGAGAGAGAAGAAGGGAGAGACAGAGGCGAAACCTCGGAGAGACGACCAGATGAGCTTGGTGAGCTCGACTTCACGCCTTACAACGCAGACGGGAGCGTTCCAGCAATCGTCAAGGCGCACGAGCACATCAACCTGCTCCAGAAGTGGTGCAAGAAACAGGATGATGTGATCAAGAAGCTCACGGACACGGTCAACGTTCTTAAGGAAAAACTCTCCTGCAAGTCACCAAACGCAACCAAGGCTGCGTCACCAACCAAAATCTTGTCTAATCTCAGACAATTTGCTGAAGTGAGGACTTTCAGGTACTCTTTTGAAGACTTCCATTGTTTCGTATGTCTTTGTTAAGAGAATGCTATATAGATTCCGATAACAAAGTTACAAAACTGATCGGGAAGGTATCTCTGTTGGATTTAATTGAGTTTGGTATTAAGTGTCTAAGTTTAGGTTGTGTTACACAAGCGGTTTTGTGTCACACACAAGTAGGAGAGAGTCGCAACTGTTCGTTGTGTTTTGTATTATTATATAACCCATTGTAACACGATGTAACAAATTAAGTTTCAGATCAATAAAGATTCAGTTTCGTTCTTCATGTCTTCTTCATAAGACACTCTGTTTTTGTCTCTCTTCTCTCCTACTCTGTTTTGTAATCAAAACTTCAACAATCTCTCCTCCACCAAGCAGCTTATCTCTCTTGATCCGAAGAACAGACTCTCCGATCAAACTCACTCTCTCTCTAAGTTGTTATTCAATTTCTAGATAATGTTGTAAAGTAAATTGTACAAGTATTTAAAAGACTATCTTCTTTCTTCTAACCCTCTGGCTGAATGAGAGACTCGTCATTTCCGGTAATTGCTAAACCAACCTTCTTCCTTCTCCTCACAAACCGGTTAAGCAGTCTAACATTACCCCCCTCGTCAAGACAAAGCTTGTCCTCAAGTTCAGGAAACTCCTTAAGCAACTCCGATGCACGAACCCACGTCGTTTCATGTGCAGGAAGACCCTTCCATTGCACCAAGGCTTCCAAATGTCCTCCATTATCATAACGTGTCTCCAAAACCGCTTCTGGTTCTACAATCAACTCAGACCTCTGGGCAAAAGAATCCGGAAGTGATGATATCTGATGACCAGAGCCTAAGGCGGGTTTCAACTGAGAGACATGGAACACGTTGTTGATATACACATATATTAACATATATTAGCATACATTTACATGCATATTTCCACCCTATTGGCATCATTCTCACATTTGTATCCTCATATCTCTATTTATACATTTGCATCTTCATTAGGACTTGCATTGCATATACATTGCATTTTGAGTCTATCAGGTACTTAATGGAGCTTTGGAGCCATTTGGGAGAAGGAGTGTTGGAGACGTCAAGACCGAGAGCAACCAGGATGCGAACCAGGATTCAGGAACCCGTTTGTCACCTTTCCTTGACCAAGAAGAGAGTTGACCACATCCAAGTGAAACGCGGCGTTTTGGAGCTTAAATCTTGGGGAAGGAAAGAAGAAGGGTTTTAGAGAGTCTCCACTATATAAACTTAAAAGTCCTAACTTTTTAGGCACCTTGTAATTTGTCTTTCATTTTGCCACCAAGAAATACTCTAAGTTGAGATCTAAACTTTGTAAGCTTTGGTCTCTTCTCTTAATCAAATCACGTACTTGCTTATTTCATTGATTGCATCTCACTCACTTGTTTGACAACTCTTCTTCTTTGGAATCGGTTTGTTCATCAAGCATGAGTGAGTAGTCTTTAGATTGTTTTAGGTGATGTGGGTTTGAGAGCTAGAAGAGAGTTTTGAGTCTAAAGCTGGGACCTTTTGAGTCTTCTCCTTCTCTAGTATCCTTAAAGCCTTGCCATTTCTGATCATTCTGGCTCGGATCTCAAGCTCTCAACGCAACAAAAGTGCGCCTGAGAGTTGGAAAATCTAAGAAGAAGGGATCTACTTCTCTAGCCCGCGATAGCGGTTTGTTTAGAGGGTTCTTTGGCGTTGGGATCTGCTTAAAGCTTGCTTGTGTACAAGCTCACTGACGATAGTCAGCTCTTGAGTTTGAACCTTGCATTTGAGCTCTCACGATAGTGATAAGCTCTCGCTTTCGTTTTCCTTAGCCTAGAAACTCGGTTTTATGCTTTATGTCTTAAAGTCTCTTCCTTTAGCTCGATTTCCACTCGCATTCACCTAAAGCCATCGCCTTTCATCTTTTCCTTATCAAAGTTCAAGTCTTTTAGCTCAAAGTCGATTTCTTTCCTCTTTGAATCTTGATTTGGACCGTTATTTACTGTTCTAAGTTTGTATTTTCATTTTTAACGTTCGGATTTCATAAAAACCAAATCTTGTTCTTGGCTTGAAGTCTTTCTTGCAAATCTTTAGAGCCCAATCTTCCCTGAGATTTGGATTGATACCTTAAACTATACTGCAATGATATGAGCAGAGATTTGAGGGTTTGGATCTACTAAAAATCTTGTTTTCAGTTATGTATCTTGGAACTCTCGGGCAACTTCAAACGATACGCGACTTGTCCAATGCGTTCCAAAACCTCAAACGGACCATAGAAACGGGCAGCTAATTTCTGATACAGCCTCTTCGAAACCGATTGTTGACGATAAGGCCTCAACTTCAGAAAAAAATTATCGCCAATGGAAAAAGAAAGCTCCCTGCGATGTTTATTTGCATTATTTTTCATCCGAGCCTGAGCCATCTGCAAATGCTCCTTTATCGCTCTCAAAATGCCATCTCGTTCTCGCAACATCTGCTCCAATTCAAAGTTTGCTGTTGAGCCTTCCTCAAACCGCAACAAACTAGGCGCCTCTCGTCCATAGACTACGTGAAAAGGGGTTGATCCAATGGCAGTGTGAAAGTTGGTGTTATACCATAGCTCTGCCCACGGCAAATACGTAGCCCACGACTTGGGATGTGACGAGGCGAAACAACGAAGATAAGTCTCCACGCAACGGTTTAGGACCTCCGTTTGACCATCAGATTGAGGGTGAAAGGCTGTACTGAACTTCAACTTCGTCCCAGCCAGCTTGAAAAACTCCTTCCAAAAGCTACTCAGAAAAATCCGATCACGGTCAGACACAATCGAAGCAGGAAAACCGTGCAAGCGAACCACCTCTTGTATAAACTTGGTTGCCACGTCGCACGCTGTGAACGGATGTTTAAGCTTCACAAAATGTGCAAACTTACTGAGGCGATCGACCACCACGAAGATCACATTTACACCTTTAGAAGTAGGTAGGCCCTCGATAAAGTCCATTGAGAGATCTTCCCAAATCTGATTCGGAATCGGTAATGGTTGAAGAAGATCCGCCGGTGAAAGCGTTGAATATTTGTGCCTTTGGCAAGTGTCACATTCGGAGACATACTTCTTAATATCAGACAGCATCTTCTTCCAATAAAAAACCGTCTGTACCCTCTTAGTAGTCTTCAAAACTCCTGAGTGACCCCCTTCTACACTTGAGTGAAACTCATGCAAAATCAAAGGAATTATAGACGAGCTTCGCGGAATCACCAGCTTCCCATTACGAAATAACCTCCCATTTACCACTGTAAACTCTTCCCTGTCTTCTAACCCCTCCACAACCTTCTCAATGTGGTCCTGGATCGACGAGTCATCCTCAATCTCCTTATAGATGTCTTGGACTGTAGACTGGCAGGAATAGTGACTGACATCAGCTCCATTGCATTCATAGAGATTGGCTCTGCTACAATTCTCGATAAGCCATCCGCAGCCTTGTTCTCCACACCCGGTTTAATCTCAAAATCATACCCCAAGAGTTTAGTCAGCCATTTCTGATAATCCATTGAGACTTCACGTTGCTCCAATAAGAACTTCAGACTCTTCTGATCCGTGTGAACTACAAACTTCCTTCCCAACAAATAGTGTTTCCACTTCTGAATAGCTAACACGATCGCCATTAATTCCCGCTCGTATATTGGTTTAATTTGGTCTCTTGCCGATAACCCGGAGCTGAAATAGGCAATCGGGCGTTGGTTTTGCATCAACACTGCTCCCAAACCGTAGCCAGATGCATCAGATTCTACCACAAACACCTCAGAAAAGTCAGGTAAGGCAAGAATTGGAGCTGTCATCATAGCTTCCTTCAACTTTTCAAACGCCATTTGTGCGCCGTTACCCCAGTCAAACGAATCCTTCTTCAATAGCTCGGTTAAAGGTCGTGCAATCGTACCATAGCCTTTAACAAACTTTCTATAATAACCGGTGTGACCGAGAAAGCCTCTCAACTCTTTCACTGTCTTTGGCACAGGCCAATTCTTCATTGCCTTTGTCTTTGAAGGGTCAGTTGCTACACCAGCTGAGGAGATAATATGTCCCAAATACTCAACTTGCGACTGACCAAACATACACTTCTTCTGATTCGCAAACAGCTGATGAGACACAAATACTTCCAGAACTGTAGCGAGATGATCCACATGCTCCTCTATGCTGGCACTGAAAACCAAAATGTCATCGAACAACACCAAAACGAAATTTCCCAAAAAAAGGCCGGAAAAGTTCGTTCATGAGAGCTTGAAAAGTCGCCGGTGCGTTGGTTAACCCGAACGGCATCACAAGAAACTCATAGTGCCTATTCGTCGTTCTGAAAGCAGTCTTTTCAATATGTCTTTCCAACATCCTTATCTGATGATAACCCGCTCTGAGATCTAGCTTGGAGAATACTCTCGCTCCATGTAATTCATCCAGTAACTGATTGATCACAGGTGGTAACTGAGTTGGTTCGGCAAAAACTTCGGAGAACTTATCCAACAATGATTGCACCTTCTCTGGAATATCTTCTTTTACTTCAGTTTGATTCAGTTCTCCTGCCTCAATATCCCATCCAACTAACTCCAAGCAACTCAGCGAGTGATTATCTTTAAACGAGCGACCACTGGATTGAAGAGCTGGATCGCCAAACAACGTAATACGCTCTCCGTTATACGTGAATGACATTTCGTGTTTGTCCCAGTCATGCTCGCATTTCCCCAATGTTCTCAGCCAATCCACGCCTAAGGATAATCTCTGCATTTCCCAACTCCAGAACTACTAAATTCATGACAAAAGCATGTCCTTGTAACTCCAAGAAACGTCTCTGCAAACGCCGTGCCATTGACTGTAATTCCCGTGCCCAATAAAATCTCGAGCTTTCTGTTCCTAGCAGGGTTTAACTGGGTTTTGCTTAGAACAGAAGGATCTATGAAATTATGGATGGCTCCACTATCAATCATCACTACTAACTTCACTCCACCAATATCACCCCACAACTTCGTAACCACTGGTGAGTCAAGTCCCAAATATGAGCAAGAGATAGCTCCATTAAAACTGGACTCGTCTCTGACTTCTCTTCAAAACCTTCCATCCAATCCTCATCTGTAATCTCCACCAAGTCATCATCAATCAAGTAAACACCTGTAATAGCATGTTCTGGCATTGATGTCCTCTCATCCATTTCTCTGGGCACTTGTAACAAAGGCCCAGTCTCCGCTTCTCTGCTATCTCTGCAGGACTCAGTTTCACCATTCCACTATGGTTCTTGCCTCCACTGCTCTGCCACGGAGGTTTGTTCTTCTCCTGAGTCACCAAGCTTTTGTTTTGTTCCGTTGAATCCACATTCCCTTGAGAGTTGTATTGGGAATGAAGAACGCAACGGAAACAACGTTGAACTACGTCTTGATGGATTCACTGACGCTGCCATAGCTTGCAGAACTGACTACCCTCCATTGATATCACGGTCGTGAAAAGAGCAGATAATCCTTTCGGCTTTTGCATCTTCACAACTTCTTGCATCTCAGGCTTCAATCCCAAATAGAAAACCAACTCCAGATTCTCTTCTTCTACTCCCGTCACAATTGTTGTTAACTCTTCAAACTCATTCACATAATCCGCTACTGAACCTCTTTGCTTCAGAGCAAACAATCTCATCCGTGGATTCTCTTCTAACTTCTGGTTGAATCTAGCGATCATTCTTCGTTTAAACTGACACCAATCACTGGAACGGTTCCCGCTGCATCTCTCTGTTGAACCAATGCAGTGCCGGTCCTTGAAGAGTGATGGATAACAGATCCAAACGATCTTCATCGTTATATTTCCCCAGACGGAAAAACCTCTCTGCTTGCGAAATCCACAAATACGGATCTGTTCCGGCGAACGCCGGTAGCTCAATTCGCTTCAACATGTTATTACGGTTCTCTAAAACTGAGCTACATTTCCGATAACCTAGTGATTCTCCAGGATCCGGTGGAACAGAATCACGTACCTCACGATCATCCGCCGTCGGTGATGTCGTGCGATTCCGGTGAGACGGTTCTCCGGATTCCGATTTCCTTCGATCCGCGACAACGATTCCATGATACGAGATAGGTTTCGATCCATCGCATCCATACGACGGTGACGACGTGATGAGCCTCCGTGAGCTGATCCCAACCGCCTTGCATCTTATCGACTCGATCTGTCAACGCCGCTACTGTGCCGTGAAGAACATCCGCCAAATCATCGATTTTCCCCATTCTGATTCGCGAATCCGATGAATCACCGCACCAATTTGTTAAGAGAATGCTATATAGTTCCGATAACAAAGTTACAAAACTGATCGGGAAGGTATCTCTCCTCCACCAAGCAGCTTATCTCTCTTGATCCGAAGAACAGACTCTCCGATCAAACTCACTCTCTCTCTAAGTTGTTATTCAATTTCTGGATAATGTTGTAAAGTAAATTGTACAAGTATTTAAAAGACTATCTTCCTTCTTCTAATCCTCTCGCTCAATAAGAGACTCGTCATTTCCGGTAATTGCTAAACCGGTCTTCTTCCTTCTTCTCACAAACCGGTTAAGCAGTCTAACAGTCTTCCAAATCGGTGACTTTTTCGCGAAAGGAACCATTGTTGTATCCTCAACGTTAGCAGGAGAATTCTTCACCACAATGGGGGTTCGATCCGATGATAGCACTGCACATATCAAGCAGACCCAAAACAATTAAAAAAAGAAAATTATATAGTTCTTAAGCAAATTTAAGCTTTATGGTTTAATGAGCGTTTAAGCCATTACCAGTATCATTGAGGTCTGAGTTGTGTTCTACTTCACCTCTTTTTCTCTTGCGAGTGTAATATCTTCCACCACCTGAAGGACTTTCTTTTCCGGATTTTGGCTAAAAATGGAAAGAACATTACACACTTCAATGCAATCCCAGAGATATCACATAACATTAACACAAAATGTTGGCATAAAAAACCAAACCTTTGATATTTTTTGCCATATCCCATCCTTCCACACCATTGGAGGCCTAAGAGCTGAGTAACTGAGTTGCGACGCTGACTTTGTTGCCCCGAAACTTACCATGTATCGTCCCTCAGGGGTAAGAATCCCTCTTACCACATCTCGACGCCATACAGAACCATTAAACGCCTCTACATGATCCAACAATTCATATTCTCCAACAGAAGAATGAGGTTGCCTAGGCCTGACTTTACTTGAATCAACGGTTTTGATTCTTGATTCCTCATTATGTTCACAGTATTTGACAATGAAGCTCTTCTCATTCTCCAGCTCCTTTATGATCATTGCCGGACACCAGTCAGAGACCAGTTCTCTCAATTCCACCATGGTCCCAGGACTAAACACCGAATTGATGAATTCCTTTAAAGACATCAAACAACATAACAGAAGATAAGCTAATACATACACACAAAACCAAAAGCTTAAAACTTTCGCATGCAACAAATCTGAGAAAATTTTCTCAAACAGAATCCGGATTAATCAAAGCCTCGTTACCGTTTTCTATGGTCGTGGTTTGACCCATTTCACCATTTGGAGTCGGTCCAGTCAAGATGAGCTCTCACTTGCTTTCTCTCAAACTGAATGATGTCTCGTAGTGAAAAATCCAAGTAAACCAGATATGTATCATTCTCCTCCTTCCTTTTCACAACCACACCAGTCCACCAACCATCTTTGTAATAAGCGTCGACCACCGAGCCTTCCTTAAACACGGAGCCGTTTCCGTTGAGATCCTTCGGTGGGAGAGGTCGCACGAAGCTCTGGTCAACGATTTCCGTGAGAGGAGTCGAACCGTTTTCTTTGGCAACGTCGTGTAACGGACTCGGAGTAATTTCTTACCTTATTCCATCGCCGTGGCCCCATAGACATAGGATGCGAGCCGTTATAATCTCCGCAATCAGCCCTAATAATATATCGTCGAAATTGGCGGAGGATGGTGGTGGAGCGACAGGGTAACCGTCGACGGGTGAGGAGAGGCAAAGAACAAAGAACAAAGAACAAATGGGGAGATGAGATAAACGGGATGTGGACGAAAGCGACCTCGTGAGCCGGACGGGAAGAAGAGAGGGAGCCGAGAAGACGGAACCTTGTGCTCTATAAAACCTAAACTCAAAACGACGTCGTTTTGGAGGGGAGGGAGAAGGTAAGCAAAACGACGTCGTTTTGGTGTTAGACGAAAATTAAAAAAAAAAAGTGAGAACGCAAAACGACGTCGTTTTGGCGTTTGAAGGAAAAAAAAAGAAAAAGATGCCACGTGTCCCGAACTGGAGAGTGTCCAAGCCTTATTAGCTATGTAGATTTATAAATAACATATCAACAGGCGACATTTAATGAAGGCACCCAGAATCCCCTGTTCAGAGTTTTGTTCGAATCAGACTCATAAAACTGATAAGTTAAGTCACAAAAACATTCACCGTTTATTACATGGAATTGTTTATTTCGGCTGGATAAGCCTCATCGATAAAATAAAGTTGCAGCTTTAACAGTAACACACATTTGTCTTTTCATCTGCAGATAACATAGAGAATTCGTTAACATGGTCTGCAAACATATGTATGAGAAAAAAAAAACACATATTGTGAAGAAGATATTAAATACCTCCGAACAAGTCTTCAAGTTTGTAGAAGAAAGCACAAACACTTCAATGCCTAGCTCCTCTTCTGGCTTTGAAGAACCTCTCTTTGATCGAGATTAATTCTTTTAGAGCCTCACTCATTGCCAACCGGTTCATTGGAGATTCTTCACAACACCTAAGTCCCACCTCCAAAACCATCTTCAAGCACTCAGCAATAGGGAAGCCAATTCTAAGGCCATTGAAGAATCAGTTCGTCAGCCACATCCAAGACTCGCTCTGGCAAGGCAGATTTGATGTAGCTGCACAGAGTAAAGTTTCCTCCGAACAAGTCATTGGTAGGTCGTTTTCCACTAAACATTTCCAAAAGGAGAATCCCAAAGCTATACACATCACCATGTATTGATATTTGCCCTCCCATTCCATATTCTGCACCATATTCACACAGCCAAGATTGGAGCAATAACATGATATTGCTAATTTTATTCATTCAAACATTACAATGTATGACAGTTTTACCTGGTGCGGCATAGCCGATGGTTCCTTTGACTCCAGCCGAGCTGAGTTGGTTGAGGAAGTAATCCTGGTCGAATTTGAGGAGGATCCGAGGCCAGACCAAAGTCGCTAACATGGGCGGTTAGATCATCATCTAGAAGGACATTGCTTGGCTTAAGATCACAATGAGCAATAGCTTCGTAGCAATGAACATGAAGATAGTCCAAAACAGAAGCCACATCAATCGCTATGCTAAGCCTTTCAAGAAGTGTCAAAGTTCTTGAAGGCCTACGGATCTCTTCCACTTCATGTGGGTGCAACCACATATCCAAGCTTCCATTTGGCATGAACTCAAAGATTAGAGCCCTGAATTCATTTCCTTGGAAATCAATACTCGAACAAGCCGTCAAGTTTCACAAGATTACGATGCCTTATGTCCTTCAAGATTCACATTCTGCCATAAAGCTCTTCATTGCTCCATGTCGCTGCATGTTTAGAACTTTCACTGCAACAACCTTGTTCTCCCAGGAAGCAATGCCTTAAACACGGTACCAAAGCTGCCTGATCCAATCAATTACTCGAAGAGAAGCCATGTCGCATTCCGAAGATCTCCATAACTTATCATTTCATGGAAAGCCCCCAAGGTGGAAGGAGTTGCTTCACTGGTCTTGTTCTTCTTTCTTTTTCTGGACCAACAAAGAGAAACTAAAGCTATGAACAACAGCAAAACCAAACACGCCTATGCTTACTCCAATCACAACTTTCTTTAAAAGAGATGAATGCCTTTTCCCTTTGTTGGTGCTTGCGGAAAAGCATGGCTTTAGTTTCAATTCCAAGACGCCTCCACATAGGTTTTGTTTCCAAATACTGAAACTATAGTGGCGTTCTTAAACTTTCCTTTTGTTGGCAAAAATCCCTCGAAGTTGTTCACAGATAGATTGAGATACTCCAACGAGTTAAAGTTTGCAAGATATCCAGGTACATTTCCAGAGAGATTATTGTTGGAGAAATCAATCTCTTTAACACCCATCAACCCACTTATGTCTGGAATGGTTCCATCAAAAGAATTCCCTTGCAGATAAAGTCGTTCCAGAGAGATACACTTTCCCAAAGTCTCTGGGAGTTTCCCTGATAGCTTATTATCCGCAAAAGATATGTTAACAAGATTTTCAAGTCTTCCAACATATTTTGGTAGGGTGCCGGTCAAAGAATTATTTGACATGCTTAGTCGAATAAGGGTTGAAATTTGCATAACCTCCCGAGGTATTGTGCCATTCAACTTATTATCCAATATCTAAACGCAGCAAATAACTACAATTACCGAGACTTGGAGGAATGTTTCCTTCAAAACCATTTTCTGCAAAAGAAGAGTTTCTAACCGAGTGATGTTGCCTATAGAAAATGGTATCTCTCCTGACAATCTGTTTGAATGAGCACTTAGTACCCCAATCCTGAAAGCTTACCAATCGAGGTTGGGAGTGGTCCTGTCAATAGATTGTTGGCGAACAGAAATTTTTGTAGCCTATGAGATTCCAATGTCATGAGGAATGCTTCCAGAGATGAAATTCTTTTCAAAGGTCAGATCGATGAGGTTCCTTGACAGATTGGCAATGGAGGTAGGCAAATCACCTCCAAGCATATTGTTAGCCACAGATAAAGCATTCAGTTGGGTGCAGTTAGTTAAAGCACCAAGGAAGTCAAGATCTCGAAAAGAATGACTTCCCAAAGAATTACTATGGAGTGATAACAGTTGTAAATTCCGTACTTTTCCAAAGCTCGGAGGAATACCACCTGTAAGACTGTTATGCTCCATTCCAAACCTTTGAAGAGACGAGATATTGGGAAGTGTAGATGGAATGGGTCCACTGAAATAATTGTTTTCCATATAAAACTCCTGAAGGTTTGGTAGCAAATTACCCAAATCATGCCTCAAGCTTCCAGAGAAACTATTATTAGAGATGTACAGAGACTCCAGTGAGGATAAATTGTAAACTACAGGAGGAAAAACACCTGAGAAATTGTTTGATGTCAATTGGAAAGACACCAATTGAGTCAATCTGGCTAGCTCATAAGGAATTCTGCCTTCTAAACTGTTTTCTGCAAAGCTAAGATATGTGAGAGATGTCAAATTTCCTAGAGATGCAGGGATCTTTCCTTTGAGGTTGGTTCGACCAAGATCTAAAACAACAAGCTCCGTCAATGAACCTAATATTCCTGGTGGAACTCCCTGTTGAAATTGATTTACATATAGCTCAAGGGCCAGCAATCTTGAACAGTTAAACAAACTGGCTGGAATTCTGCCTTTGAGAAAATTCAATCCCACAAACAAGTATCGAAGTCTAAACAAGTTTCCCACTTCTTGAGGGATGGTTCCACCAAAAGAGTTATCAGTAAGATCAAGTGATGTGAGAAACGAAAGATTACCAATAGATGGCGATATCACCCCTCCCAATTGCAATTCTCTCAGATCCAAGCCAATAACTCTCTTGTGTTTGCGGCCACATGTCACCCCGGTCCAACTGCAGAGAGGGAATGAGCTGTTCCAAGAGGACAAGACAGCTTTTTTGTCTTCAGAAACTTGAGACTTGAACTTGAACAAGGCTTGCTTATCTGTTTCATAAGTAAAACCGTATGACTCAAGTAACATGAGAGCACTAAAAACAAGTGAAAGAAAGAGTCTCATGCTTCTCATATTTTGCAGGAAAGGAATGCAAAGTGCAAAATGCCTTTGCCTTGCGTTGATAATGCAACTTAAAGACGAGATACAAACCACAAAAAGAAAACTGCAAAAGACTTTTGGAAAATCAAGTAGGTCAAGTAGTCAACTGTACAAAAAGCCAAAGAAACATTACACCAGTCTTTACGTTTTCTCTACGTATATCATGGGTTCACGAAGAGATCAATCAGAGGCTGAGGCCTGTGTTCGCAAAGGCGAACTGTGTGGTGTTTAATTGTTTCAAAACGGTAAGTAATCCTCAACAACTACAGAAAAACGGCAGCTAGTTGGGTTGTTAACATGAGTTTTTTTTTTTTTTTAACTCCGCCACGCAAGAGCTCAATCCGCCAACATCAGCACTGGTGGTTATAACCGCGGGCAGACCCGTGGTCGTGCCTAGGACCAGCCTGCAGATATCAACGTAATCCATTGTCCAAATATATATACCTGATCACCACTCTAGTCAGAAGGGTTCATGATCTTCTGCAATTTCTTTTTTTCTTAATTCCTCTGCTCAGATCTTATTCAATGTGGAACCTGAACCAAAGGAACCATCTAATCAACATATATACAGACAATAAATGAGAGCTGGAGAATTCTGTTTTTTTTTTTCTTAAGGAGTTTAAGATAAGAAAACTGTGTAAACGCTTATGTTCGAGAACTTACTTTGCTGGTTTTATTTGGGTCACCTGCTGTGTTTCTCTGATCCTCTTGTTGATATGTTTGATTCTGTCCTTGTCCATGAAACCCTGCTGATCCATGTGTACCGTAGTTTCCACCATTTTGCAGATTGTAATTCCCTTGCCCTGTTTGGCTATAATTCACCGGAATCCCTTGGTTGAAGTTTGTAGATGTCCCTTGATCGTGACTGCTCGGTATTCCATGATTGTAGTTTCCTTGGTGTGGAGGCCCCGACGCTCCTCCTTGGCTATGGCTATAACTCGCCTGATACGAAGGCATTACCCATCCTTGATCTTGCCACTGACCAGGATTAGGTGTTGCTTGGACTTGATTGAAACTCCACTGATGAGGCATTCCACATCTTTGACAATGCCATTGTCCAGGGAACGGAGCTCCTTGGCCTTGATTGTAACTTAACTGATACTGAGGCATTTGATTTCCAAACTGTGGAGGACTGAAATTCCATTGAACTCCTTGGTTGTAATTTTGTGGTGGCACTTGACCGTGGTTTGCGAATGCCCATTGACCATACTTGTTTGGTGTTCCTTGGTTGTAGTTTCCTTGGTATGGAGCTCCCAGGCCTTGGCTGTAACCCATCTGATATGAAGGTACTTGACCTCCTTGACCTTGCCCTGGCATTTGAGTTCCATGCCCTTGGTTAACACTCCCCTGATATGGAGACGGTAATTGACCTCCTTGACCTTGCCCATGTCCAAATCCTGGACTTTCTGCTCCTTGTGCAGAACCATAGTTTCCATCACTCTGCGGAATGTAACTCCCTTGCCTCCTTTGGTTGTAAGTTTCTTGCGTCGTTTGAATAAAGTTACCTTGTGGTGGTGATCCTTGGTTGTAGTTCGTCACTGCCCCTTGACCGTAATTGCTTGGTAATCCTTGGCCTGGAGGGGTCTGAGCTCCCTGGCTTTGACTGTAACCCATCTGATAAGAAGGTACTTGACCTCCTTGGCCTTGCCCTTGTCCATGGATTGGTGTTCCCTGGCCTTGGGTGTAGTAACCCTGTTGAAATGAAGGCCTTTGACTTTCTTGAGCATGCCCTTGTCCTACAGGCGGAGGAGTTCCTTGGCCTTGCTTAAATCTCTCTTCAAACGAAGGCAAATTACTTGCTTGACTAGCATGGCCTTGTCCTGGGGACAGAGTTCCTTGGCTTTGTTTGAAACTTCCTTGAGATGAAGGCACTCGACCTTGCCCTTGTCTTGGGGTTTGCATTTGACTCCCTAGATCTCGACCTTGTGCCGCGTTAAGTATTCGATCAAGCATTCGACTTCCTTGACCCTTCCCTTGTACTGGAGCCAAAGTTCCTTGCTCTTGTTCAAGACTCTTCTGATCAGGAGGCGTTTGAGTTCCTTGATCTTGTAGTTGTGCTGAAGCTGGAGTCTCATCGGAAAGTGTTTGACTTCTTTGAGCTTCCTCTTGTCTCTGTGTATTCTCCTTCTCTACAGAATCGAAGCCTTCTTTAGTTGGGACAGGAATTGGCCCAGGCGTGATCACTCCATTCTCGTATTTGTCCCCTGAAAATTGAAACAGAAGTTTACTTATTAAACAACTCTCCACAATGAGATGACTTCACAAACCAACAACATACCTCCATACACTTTATTCTCTAGATCAACATAAGAATCAGGAATTATGTATTGAACCCCAGGCAAATCTGTACATACACATACAGGACAAAAATCAAAGATCAGACATTTATCTTCGAAAAGGATAAATGAATCAAAATACTTCTAATCAACAAACCTCTAAACTTTTCTACTTCTCCTATTGTCATGGTTGCTTGAAAACCTTGGTAACTAGTTGTGCAAATAGCATAGATTTTCTTCTTAGCTTCTTCCAAGCTGAACAAAAACAACAGTGAATACAAGAAAACACGTTTAACACTGAAGCAGTTGCTTTGCAGGTTTATCGAAGAAAAGAAAAACGGATTTGTTGTGTTCGATTTTCGAAATTTACAGAAGAAGAAACATTGCAAGATGAAAATTAACAAAATTTGCAGAGAATTCGAACCTTATATTAAGCCCTTTTGCGCAGGTTTGCTCGAAAGTCGAAATCATTTCTTCTCTGGATGGAGGATTTTCTTTGGGGAAATCCATTGTGATTAACCAGTGGTTAAAATCGCACCCTTCGTTATCTGGCGTGAAGGAGTCTTCTCCAGTGTAAGGATCGTATTGATACTGAATCGTCGATAATAACCTCGCCGGAGATCGACCGAATTCCGTCGATTGCCTCACCACGGATCGCGGTAACAGAGACGATACGGAAGGGAAATCGGAGGCGCGAGGTATATAGTAGGATCGTTGGAAACAGGAAGGTAAAGCGACAAGAACTCGCCGGAGACGATGCGAGAGCATGGCCATTGCTGCCGGAAATGGAGAAACGCCGACCGGAGGATTTTCTCGAAATTTTCAGGTAATGGGTTTAGGGATCTTGTGAGGTTTTAGTATTCACTATTTACTCTGAACCCCTTGTACTTCTCAGATATTATGGACTATGCGAAACATCTTCAGTAATTATCAATTTCAGCCAAAGTTGTACTTATTCGGGCGATTTTCGCATATTATATAATTTGGGACTTGGCTAAAACGATGCCGTTTGCAGTCTTTCAATCCTGACAAAGATTTGAGGATTTTACATCTTCAACAACAATGACATACATACAATACACCACTAATTGAGCTTCTAATTCTGTAAAAATCTTACAAACCAGCTTATATAACTTGTAGATTAAGTTTCTTAGGGGGATATGTGCATTTGCTTTTGTATATTAAAGTCTTTATTAGCATGTAAAAAGAAATTTAGTCCATTTGAATAAAATTTGCTATAGCCAACTTTATAAAATGAAGAGCACCAAAACAGTGTAAAACGAAAAAAAAAAAATTGAAAATCACAACATACTATCAGCTCTTGAAGGCAACCTCCTAAAGAAGTTTTGAGGAACCGAAGGAATATCAAAAACCCTAAGCCTAGGGTGTCTCATGACGTAAAACGCAAGCAAAGTCATGAGCAGCTTCATGGAGACCAAGAAGATTACTCCACAAGCAACCAAACAAAACATGGAAAACAGAAACGTTGCCCTAGGATCTCTCCAACTCAGCAGATTCTTCACTCTCTCTCCCTGCGTAGCCAAATCTCCCAAAACCATCATCATCCTCCCAGCGATTCCTCTCAACCTATCATACCTTTTCTTCACCAAATCCGCAGATTTCGCACTCGGAAACACGTCGAACTCTTCGTCTAGCTCATCAGGCAAAGCCGAGTCCGCTTTTGACAGCTTTATATCCATGTGAGGAGGATGTCTCGGCCTCAGATGATACCGATAAAACCCGATCAAGAAGCAGTACAACAGCAGAGAAGTGACGCAATACTTGGGGAGAAAAACAACGAACAAGAAGATGAAATGCGTGAGAATCGTAATTACCGGTTTCTTCCATTTGCAAACCGAATCAAACCAAACCCAAGAATCAACCAACGATGTGAAGAAACTAACAAGCCGTTCGAAATTCGCTCTTCCTCTTCTTAAACTCCAAATGTTAGATCCGAAATCAAGCATATACTCAATCACATCTCTTCCTAGAGGCGGCTCGGCTCGACCTAGCTTCATACAGAGGATATGAGTTGCTTGGTGCCTAAGACTCTCCAGCTGGTAGATTGACAATGGCGTCAAGTAATGCATCTCCGGCAGCAACGGCTCTGAGTATTTCTGAAGCATATCGATCGTTGAAGTGCATGAGAACCGAACCGCGAGCTGAATCTCTCCCATCTTCTTCACACCGTCCGGTTTCAAAACAATAAGCGGATACGAATGCGTGTAGATCCTCTCTGTCTCTAACGTGGACAAACGTATCCTGATCTTACCGATTCTTGAATCTTGCGGACCGTTCGCGTTCCCCGGTACTAACAGATGCATATTGTCGAAAACCGCAACGGTTATCACGGTATAAGGATCATAAACCTCCCAAGTGTACTGCTCGTTCCATTTAGGGCTAAAAGTATCGACGATCGTCCTCGTCCTCACCCATTTCTGCCCGTATTTCGCCACGCAATACGCATCGGTCGTGCCACGACCGTCTCTTGACTTCATCGGCATCAAACCGGACGCACTGATGACTCCAACTTCCAACACACCGATAGCTGGTGTCCATAGAAGCTTAGCAGAAGCTCTGTAGTCGCTGCTATACTGAATCGACTCGTCGAGCACATGGTAACCTCCGTCCAAAGAAACCCGAAGATGAATCCTCCCGGCAAATCCGGAGTCCCCGACGCGCTCGAGGTTGTACCATAGAGCCGGTACAGGTCCTGGCAACACCCTTCTCTCAACCTGAGATAGCTTTATCTCACATTTACCTAAACACTCTTCTTTTGGACCTAACTTCTCTTCCAAGGTAAGTATCAAACTGTCTTCAAACGGCTCCACTGCGACAAACATCATATCCTCGTTCCAAACCGGACTCAATGTCCGCGTCTGCGAAGTCCTACTCCTCACGACAACGTTCCCTACAAACCCTTTTACTAAAACCTCCGGATTCGTCCTGTTCGCTTGCAGTGGAACCAAATCTTGAGCCTCAATGACATTCACTCGCAAATACCATAGCCTCGGAGATAGATAGACCTTAGACCGAGCGATCGCGCCGTTTTCTCCGTTCACGGTGACGGAATCCGAATGCCAAGCTTCAGGGAAGACTTCATCAGCTTGTGTCCCCGTCCATACAGATAACATAACCTCTCCTCCAAACTTGTTCCCGTTTCTATCCTCTAACCTGTACCATTGAGGAGCCAATGGACTGTCCGGAGGAACACGTGTCGGAATCTCGACCACTTCGAATCTACACTTACCAACAATCTCTTCGTTTTTCATCTTCACGGCGACTTCCAAGACATCTCCTTGAAGACGGTCGCTGTTAAAGGCGAAGACTTCGTGAAATTCAGGGTTAGGGTTAGGGATTGCGGTATTCTTCGTTCTTCCTCTGTAGTTTCCGATTATGACTTCGATGAATGAGTCGTTGCAAGGTAAAGCTCGAGCCTTTACGACTCTGATGTAGAGAAATGACATTCGTTCCACGAGATCGAACGATGGCGTCAGCATTTCGCCGCCGGGGATTGATCTTCCGCCGCCGATCTTGGGACATGTCTCTTTTAGTGAGAAGTCGGTCTCTGCCATTGTTTTGTTGTTGTTGTTGTGATTCAAAGCTGCCATTGAAGCGTTTGTTGCTGCACATATAAGAAATTGTGTTTAAGTTTTTTTCTTTTTTGAAATCTTTTATTTCGTAAGAGAAAATCGTGGGGGTAAGATAACGATGTACATTTAAAGTTGAGATTTTGTTGTGATTGACATTCAAAAGACTTTTGATAGATTTCTTCCGTTTTTATTTCATAAATATTTGAAAAATATTCTTGTTTCCTTATAAGATGATAATTAAATGGCTTTTTCACGAATCGTTTTTAAGAGTTTGAATGAAAAATTGAAAATCATTAATGCGGACCATGAGGTACAGTAATTATGTTTTATTTTGCATCGAATAGAAAAAAAGACGTTACCAATGATTGATTTCATATACATACACTATGCATATAGTCTGTCTATGAGGATCTCACACATCTACTAACTGGAAGGATAATCTATAGTAATCTATAGATTGCTGTGAAGTTTCTAGTCTAATTAAAGAAAACAAAAATGGCGTATCTACTATGCAGACTATTTGATGTAATCATCTCAGAGTAAGAGATCTCATAAATAAATCATTTTGAGTTTCTGAATTAAGAACAACTTTGCATAGAAACTGTAGTCCACTTATGGAGTGTGGTCAATTTAACACAAGAATATATACTTACAATGGAGTGTTTGTTTGTTTCTTCTATATACACACTTCTTCTATGAACATTACAAATAAACAAAGTAGTGCAGCTATAAGCAGTTGCTCCTAAAGGATGGTTCTGCTCTTTTCCATATCTCATTGTGGAAAAGCCACAATGGAAGACCTTTCGAGACTCCACTTTCACAGGCGCATTTGCAGCATTCTTCTATCCTTCAAATGCCATAACAATTCTCCCAACTATGATTAGCTTACGCTGCTTCGTGTGTATATGCCCTTCAGGATCCACATTCTCTTGCAAGGTCAAATCCCAAGTTTTGCTTTATTCATAGCTGCCATATATGTTTGGTAAGGATGAAGTTTACCAATCAGCAGGGACTAAGGCGGCCTGCAAGTATGAATTCTTCTATAGCTTCCAGCTAAAGAGTTGATTCCAAGCTCTCAGTAAAAATACCTTTCAAGATATACTCAAGCTTCCTCCATAGTGTTCACTGATCAAGGCCTATGTAAAGAAAATAATATGATTACTTTGCTTATTTCGGATATTGACATATGATTCAATTCATGTAGCTTATCCATTGTGAAACATCAGGATTTTTTTTTCTTCTTTCATGTAGATGTAAAACTTGCACTGACCTGAATAAAGGGAGACAAAATCTCATAGACTTGGAGGAAAACTTGGCTCCTTCCTGCTAATCTGGAGGCAAAAGTTTCTCATCATCAAAAGTTGTAATAATCTAACATAGAGAAACCGAATGGTATAATCAAATGTGCAAAGATGTAATGACATATTTCTGATAGGAAACATTTGTAAGAAAGATCTCTGTAATATGCATTATTTATAGAATCCATACCTTTTCAGAAGGCGGAAGCAGAGATATATCTCCTCAATATCACCTTCCACTTTGAGCTTTATGTACTGTTTAAGAAGTTCACACACATCGTAAACAGCTTTCTCCAAATCATTCACACTTGCATCACGAAAACTCGAAACTTCAGATATAGCATACTGCAGGACCGAGGATAACGTAGGCCTTGACTGAGCCACCTTGAAGTATATCTCCGAAAACTTTTCCAAAGTACAATTGCCGCTAGCTTTGAAATTCTCTGTCCAAAGAGGAGGGTTCTCAAACCAGAGAGAGCTACTTGAGAATCCAATCTCATTCTCAGCGGCCTTTATATCTATTGGCTTTTCATCCTGTTTCTTACAACTTTCCATGGGAGCATCCGATGATGACTGTTGTTGTCGTCTCCTGTGGTCTGGAAATGCTCCCAACACATCAGTTCTCAACTCTTCAGGTAATTCCTGTAACACAGAGACGTCGACTTGACTAAGGGATGAAGGCATCCAATCAGTCATTTCAATGGTACGCTCATTAGATGTTCTTGCAATGGAAGGATGCGGCACATATGGTGCTTCATATGGAGAATCGCTGTTGATTTTTCTTTTGCCTCGTTTTTTTTCAATCAACTCAAACAGCTTCCCACCGTAGGTTCCATCTAATTCTGAAAGAAGCTCTCTAGGAAGGTTCTCTAGAACTTCCATGTCAAGGTGACACATTGGGGGTAATGATGAATTTGTATCACCTGACTGAACTGAGGGTTCTGCTGAATTAGATTCTAGGAGTCTAGAAACTCCTCCATCAGTATCATGCCTTTTACGATCTGCCACAAGATAACAATTAAGGAAGCAGATTTTCACAGCTAAAACTTAACTAAGAGGTATGCAATTCAACAGAACGCCGGAAATGCTTTTCAAGACAAATATAACACATAAGCCTGTCTCTCTGGACACCACTCGTAAAGCTTTAACATAGTGTGGAGTAACAGAGCATTAATTACCTGAGCTTTCCCTAACTTCTGCAGGGAAAACATCATCTTTTTCTGTTTGAACAGAGGCAGGCGCAGAGCTGAGCCATGATGTCAGAGTCCTTGAACCTTGAAAGTCAAGGAAACAACTATCAATCAACAGGAGAGACCACAATGTTTGGGAGTTAAATCAACTTTGTTTCGGAATGTTTTCGAGAAATGCAGAAGAAATTTCAGATTGACCTGCAATTTTATATGTAACAAATCATAGTGAACTATAGAGTTAAATTCTGAAAAACCACCTTTATTAGAAGGATCTGCGCTTTCAAGCTTCGAAACCTGAAGCCCAACCCCACGAATTTCCTTAACATCTATCTCAAGAGAAACAAAAGTTGAGGGTTAATCATAAAAGTATCCAAATCCAAGGCCAACTGATGAATATCAAAACGAAAAAAAAGAAAGAATAGATACAGCTTATAAAGAGTCAAAAGCTGCAGGCGTTTCAACAGTCTCAAGGACCAGATTTCTCATTTTTGTGCATCGTAAAATAATATCTCAGTTAAGCTTATATAGGTCAATAATATGGTCCAGAAAATCGGTGAAACAATTAACTGCATCTACTTGAGAAAAATGACAGTTTGGCAATAGAAAGGCACTTTTTTTACCAAGAAAGGCAATAATATGATCTTTCAAACTAGTATTATCCATCTTTTAGAAGACTTGAAAATCAAAATAATCTTGTTCTTGTCTGAGGAAAGACTCGAGCAGATATACAATTGACAGTAAAAGCACACCATAACAATCTTAACAAAGCAGCTGAGGCCCACTTACCCAAGCAAAATGACCCAAACAAATTCTTTGAAATCCTCTGCAGAACTTCAATGTCATCTGTAGCAGCAGGCACCTATAGCAACAATGTTAACATTGACCAGCCAGGCTTTAAGAACCACACAAGCATATATGAAAATTACTGCACTTGATATCCATGAGCAAAAAAATAAAACAATCATCCTAGTATACCATAAACTCCCATGGTAACAACTCACAGTAATTGAACGACTCAGGTTGTCACAGTCTCCACAGCCCATATACTTTGTAGGTTCTTCGGCATCTTTTTTTCTCTTTTTTATCTGAAAGTAGCACACCACACCACAAACTCTCAATATTATTTTCAAGGTGAATGATGTCACTCAAACATGGCATATAACACCCAATGCTATGAACAACAGTATGAAATTATGCCAAAAACTTAATTATTTTACAAATATGGAAGTAAGAGAAGGCATAAAACCTTAAGAGTAAAAGTGCGTCCTATCATATCACATCCTTGTAGACGTAAGAAAACTTCCTTGCACAGGCATTTGAGAAAGTGTTGAATCTGCAACCATCAACAACACACATTACTAACTAACATCAAATGGATTACGTTCCATAAAACACAACAAAAGACACTATTAGCGAGAATACATACATCTCGCTGATCTCTAAACCGCACACCCCAATTCACTTCAGCCCCTATGGACTTACTCTCCTGTACAAAGAAAATTACCAAGTTACTGGTTGAGGCAAATTATATGCTCATAGAAGCGACATGTCAAGAGAAAAATATCATCCACGGAGAGGAAAACTATGAAATGTGAAACGCGTGAGTGAGTCAACTGTTAAGCAGACCTGCACCGCCGTAACTGACCGAATGTCTAATCCTCTGCTATAACTCCAAAGCATCTCACCAGTTTTCACCCCAAAATCCTTCTGAAGAGAATCCTGCAAATGTCCATAGGATTTCTTTGTCTATGTTAACGAAGTTGCCTGTCATAATTTCAACTTCTTTCTTACTAACAGTTCTCATTAAGTATTACCAAGAAGATGGAAACTAATACAATTGGCTTTGGTGTTCTACTTAACTACAAAAGCAATTTCAACGTCAAGCTAAATCTTCGAAAAACTTGGTGCCAAATCGTTTTCCGAAATGTTTATTCTTAAACAACTACTGATAAAGTCAACATAACAAGTACTACATGCTCTTTTAAGAATAGAGCGATAAAACGACTTTACAATGAACACGTGGCCTACCAATTACATGTCCATAACCAGAAAAATATTTTACCTTGGAAATCAAACGTAAATGCCCACATGTTTGAATATTTTGCTTCTCCAGCTTCTCCTTTAACACAGAACCTACACCAGGAAGTGTGCCAACTGGAAGCTTATCCAAGAACTCCTCTACCTGAAAAAAACGGTAGAAAACTATCATGAACCGGAATTTTATACAAACATATACAGTATATGCAAACCAAAACAAAAAGAAAGCCGTTTACGGAAAGCACCTTCTCAGCAGAGATGTGAAATTGACCGGCTGGTTTAGCAACTCTGGTAGCAAGGCGAGCAATTAGCATAGTGCCGCCTATCCCAGCACTTGCACTGCATCCAGTAGTCTCAATAATCTCTTTTCTTATGGTTGATGCTAAAGACTCAGGTTCTACATCACGCAAATCTGAGACATCTAAAAATGCTTCATCGCAGCTTACCGCCTAAACTCCAAAAAACAAACATTAAATGTAAAAGATAAATAAACGCCAGCAACTGGAAAAGGATTTTTTTTAAGGCTGACCTGAACTTTTCTGCAATGCCTATGCAAGATGTCATAAAACTGATCAGCTACCTGCAGTTGAGTTACAATGTCAAACATGCTGGACCGACGCGACAACATACAAGACACACTCAACTCTTAAAAATACCTCTTCGTAGGCTTCAAAGTTGTAAGGAACTATAACAAGCTGTGGACAAAGTTCTTTCGCATGTCTTACAAACATACCTGCCTTCACTCCTGGATAAAGGAAATGGCATCAATTTAGTACAAAAACAGAAAAGTCAGAACCCATAGCACAAGTAAGCTTAAGAGAGATTACTTTACTAAACAGACCATAAGCCCGAGCTGGATAGTTTGCAGAGGATATTTCCGCCGTTCCTTTCGGATTATCTGAGTGACAAACAGCTACAGGCTTGTCTTGTAAGTCAATACGGTTCCTGATTACCACTGACACAAAGAAGGAATCCTGGAAGAATATCACAGTTTAGAGAACTAGAATCTAACAGATGAAAGTCAGAATAAACAACGCAATTCTAGAATCCAAAGTTTCAAGCGTACTTTTCACTCTCTATCGTGGCCAGTTTCATGCTTAAACAACTATCTAGTGTATTGCAGGAAAATGAACAAAAGAAGAATTCGCCAGGGTTTTCTTCTGTTACCCATACAAAAGAAAACAGCCAAGAGTTAAGAAATTACCAAATCAATGTGGATAATGGTTAATCTCTTCGCATTTTCAGCTGTATGCTGGCCAGAATCTGCCCATTTCAGTCCATCGCCCTGGAATCTTTTACGGTATCGGTTTCTCCACGTTCCAATAAAATGCAATCTTGAATTCTGCAGAAACGAAATTAAATATAGAAAAAGCATCTTCAGAGTCTGCTTTGGTATGATACTATATATCCATTTATTTTTAGTTATAGAAGTTGACACTGAGGCTTTCTTAACTCTAACTGAGAGGACTATACCTCAACCAGAGATCATTATTAACTTTCTAGAAGAAACCATTACATAACTGAGTTTCTTGTAATAGATACCAGAAAAGGTGAGAATAAGAGAGACGAACAATATTTCTATAAAGATTTACCTTAAAGTAGTTTTCTACAAAATTGGGATCCTCAAGAGTTGAATGACGCCTTATAGAGGATCCAGCAGCAGTTGCAATCGATTTTCCATCATTCTTCCTATTCTCATGGAAGGATTTGTTGTCTGAAGCAGAATGCAGATTGGTAGTGGATTGAAGATCACCACTAACTTCTTTTTCTTCTTTGCCATGGTTACCAAGACTTTCTGCATTCACGTCAGAAGATTTCAGATCATCATTTTTTATTGGATCCGTCATTTCTAGAGTAGTGTTGTCCATACAAACGCCATCAATTTCATCATCAACACGGTCTATTTCTTCCTCAGAATCTTCTGCTCGAACTGAACTTCCTTCTTCAGCTTCACTGAATCCAGTTTCAGGCTGGCAAGATGTAACCGGCGAAGCCACCTGATGAGTCAATTGGCTTCTGGGTGCAAAAAAGGCAGACAACTTTGGTTGGGTATCATTCAGTTGATCTAGTTGGTAAGGAACCCCTGGGATATGATAATCACAACACAAAGCATTATAACAGTTGAACAAATAATTATCTGCAATGATAATAGAAAACGAATGTTCAAATCCATATATTTTCTACTTATGTTTGCATCGTTTAAGCGAGACTAAACCAGATTGTGTTGACTTACAGCCCAAAAGTCTGTTGGCAGAGATAGAGTCCACTATCCATGTGGGTTTCACAACAGGTAACCCTCTGCTGAATGCCCTGATTAGAAACAGGAAACCATTTAAAGACACGAACTTGCAAGAAACTAGCCAAAGGTGTCAAGAAAGTAAGAACAACTAACCTTAGATTCTTGACTTTACTATCTGGAAGATTGCTGCAAATTATATGTGTTACTGAACGCCTAGAAAAGTAGTTCTCGAATCTTCCACCATACTTGATCATGAAACCTCGCAATTCCTAGACAGGTATAGAGACTGTCAAAACCACAGATGACCCACCAGTGATAAATGGCCAGATAAAGATTGGTAAAAAACGTCTGTAGTGGAGATTAACCTGATGGGAAGGAATGGTGAAACCATCCACAAAGATTGAAACTCCTTGGAAGATAAGTTTCTCAGAACCCGACACACCACTAGAGGTAGCGGAAGCCTCGGTTGCAAACTGGTTCTGAAGTTTCCGATTTTTCACTTCCATGTAACTACACCAGTAATCATAGAACATCAACACTACATATAATTATAATAATGCTTATAGATAGTCTTATTAATAGTTTACAATAACCTATAATGATCACAGGAAACAAGAAATGAAATCCATTTCATCCTCGTATGCAAATGAAAATTGCCATCTATGATAAACGACAACAAACAAACAAAAATTGTCGGGAAAGAAACAATTCAAAGAATCTAAAAACCATTTTAAACCCATCAAAAAGCATTCTACTTCTTTCTCACTTCTGAAATTTCCAATTTTAAACGTCACTAGTGCATATCCATTTTTCAATCGTTGTAAAGATCAAAACTTTCAAACTTTAACATCATAATTAGTAAATCTACCACTACCCAACACCAAAAATAACCCCAAAATTTCCACAGAATGAGAGAATACCTTCCGAAATCCGAAAATGGGGCAGACCGAAAAGAAGAACGAGAAGAAGCAGCGCCCCATGCGGCCCCTAGGGTTTTCTGATTGCTCGGATTATTCTTCTTAGTCTTCTTATTACTCCCACTGTTGCCTGAAGAATTGGAACCGAAGCTACGCTTCATTTTGTTGGGAATGAATCTGCAGAGCGAGACGGGAGAAGCTTTCAACGGAATTTTCCCCTTCCGTGAAATCATCAATCACACACAGTGGGGTTTATATACAAAACACGCACTTTTTCAGGTTAGTACTCCAACTTGTAAAAGTATTTCAGAAACCTCATAACTTTTAAATATTAAAACATAACATTTTGATTGGTATAACCCTGAAACTATACTAAATTATGTTTTGGTACTGCAATTGTTTCTTATACACACGGTATTAACATTGAGAGTTACGTAAAGCAGAAACTCTATAAATTAATATTCAAAAAATTATAAATCAATAAAATTGTATGGTCTCAAATTAAGTTTTTGATTCAATAATCTCTCGATAATAATATTTCGTTAAACTAATAAAATATCTTATGCTCGAGATTATTAATTTATAGAGTTTCTACTGTATATTGCAAACTTTTAATTAGATGGAATGGATTTTGCAGGTTGATGAATAATACAGGGTTATCTGTAAAAACTATTAGTTTGAGGGTTGTTTTCCTAATTATTATTTTCGCGCGCTGTGTCCAGAAAAAAAAAAGCCCTCTTTCGGTGGGAAGAAAAGTTTTCCCCTTTTGTTGTTCCCTCTCTGTTACTCTGATTTCTGCGAACGATTTTTGAAAGTGGCAGATTGAATTGTCTGAAGAAAATGCCAGTAGCGAGACCGGAGACATCGGATGCTAGAGTTATCGCTCATGTCGACATGGATTGCTTCTACGTTCAAGGTCTCTCTCTCTAACCCGAAATCTAAATACAGTCGATACACGCTTTAGTGAGAGAAAGCCAAGGATGGATTTTAGCTCTTTCCCAATCGAATTTTGAACTGTTGGCATTCTGGGTTTTCAATTTCTATTGAAGGGTTTTATTTAGGGATTTGAGAAATTACCAATTGATTTCGAACATGAATTGGAAAAAAATAAAAGTGAATTTTCTTTCTGGGTTTGTGAAATTAACTCCTTTTGTTACCTGATTAGTGGAGCAACGGAAGCAACCAGAGTTGCGAGGACTTCCTAGTGCAGTCGTACAGTACAATGAATGGCAAGGTGGTGGTTTGATTGCTGTTAGTTATGAAGCTCGCAAATGTGGCGTAAAGCGGTTAGTCTAACTGGAGAGATTGCTTCTTTCCCCCAAAATTGTATATCAAAATCGTTTTTTTTTTCTGGTGGCGAAAAACGGTGTTTTATGGATGGATTTTTGCAGGTCGATGAGAGGTGATGAGGCTAAAGCTGCTTGCCCTGAAATTCAACTGGTTCAAGTTCCTGTGGCTCGTGGTAAAGCTGACCTCAATACATATCGCAGTGCGGGTTCAGAGGTCGGTGGAAAGTTATAACATATTAACATGTCTGTCTTAACAAGAACATTTGCTAAAAAAAGTTCTCTCATCTTATGTGTTTACAGGTGGTTTCGATTCTAGCACAAAGCGGTAAATGTGAGAGGGCGTCGATTGATGAAGTCTATCTTGACCTCACCGATGCAGCAGAAACCATGCTCGCTGCTGCGCCTCCAGAGAGTTTAGATTCGATAGACGAAGAAGCTCTTAAATCCCATATTCTTGGAATGAGCAGAGAGGTGTGGATTTAGATTCTTCATCTGAACTTGTTTTTCTACTTTGATACTAATTTGTTGGCTTTGGTTCAGGATGGAGATGACTTCAAAGAGAGTGTCCGTGATTGGATATGTCGAAAAGATGCTGATCGGCGTGATAAGTTATTGGGTTGTGGAATGATGATTGTTGCAGAACTCCGGAAACAGGTGCTTAAGGAGACTGAGTTTACTTGTTCTGCTGGCATTGCTCATAATAAGGCAAGAAGCCTTATTTAGCTTTTTCTAGTTTCTTTTCTTGTCTTTTGTTACTTGTATTATAGCGAGTAACAACACATAGCTTGACAAGCAGATGTTAGCCAAACTTGCTAGTGGAATGAACAAACCTGCCCAGCAAACCGTTGTACCATATTCAGCTGTACAAGAGTTACTCAGTTCCTTGCCAATAAAGAAAATGTGAGTAAGCTTGACCAATTTTACTGATCCTGGAGCATATTTTCTTAACAAGACTTGATGATTTTCTGTTATACACATGTTACTGTCTCTAGAAATCGGCAAAGGTTTGATATTTGTTTCATGTATCAATATTACTGTGTTCTAACATGTTTAAGACGGTCTTAAAATTGTGTGCATTGCATTTTTCATCTGTCCCAGGATCATACAATCCTTAGGTACTGTTGGCTAATTACGCGTCTTGCAGGAAACAGCTGGGAGGAAAGCTGGGCACTAGCTTGCAAACTGACTTGGGAGTTGACACTGTGGGGGACTTGTTGCAGTTTTCTGAAACAAAGCTGCAAGAACATTACGGAGTAAACACTGGGTAATAGTTCTTAGAAGAGATAAAAAACTTGTTCTCGTGGACGTTTAGGCTATTGCAGATTGTTCAATATAGTACCCTCTAGCCTGCCAATGGGTTTGCTTATACAACTGCTTATGTGCTTAAGTAGTAGAAATTATAAAGATATCTGACTCGTGCTTATATGTCTGTTTCCTTTTACTAGTAACAAAGTTTATTAATGCTTTTTTTTGTTTCTGGTTTATCTTCTGAATTGTGTAGTACTTGGTTATGGAATATCGCAAGAGGGATAAGTGGAGAAGAAGTGCAAGGTCGCCTTCTCCCCAAAAGTCATGGCTCTGGAAAGACATTTCCTGGACCTCGTGCGTTGAAGTCACTCTCAAATGTAAGAACAGAATAAGCACTTCTTTTCCCTGTTTTTCATTGATCTTTTTAGTTATAGGTCACAAGAAAAAGTATATACAAAACTGGAAAATAAAAAAGTTCAGAAAAATGCTAGCAAAAGTACAGTAGCTCGTTGATTAAGATAGTGTATCACTGTGACTTGGCCAGGAGCTGCCTGAGTTTTTCAGTTATACCCCCAAGGCCAATGGAGGTGAAGAAGTTGATTGAGAACCTTATGTTCTTAGGGTTGTCCTTTGGAAAGATTGACTCCAAACTCTTCTCCATGATTGGATCCTGAAGCTTTTCATTCAGAGCCCTTATTCCCAGTTGCTCAGAGAGTTCTTGGAAAAGAATCTTGACAAAGATACGAGAGGACGAAGTTGTGTCTTCCTCTGTCAACCGCACATAGGCAAGGACATGCCACGGAAGAGCATCAGTGGCAAGCAGATGCGCAAAGAACATCGCCACACTCCTCAGCTTATTCGTGTCAAGCCGGTGGACTGTTGCGTAATGCTCCACCAACAGATTCTCGAAACATTCTCTGTAACTTTTGCTTCTTAGGCAGAACCTCTGTGCTAAGTGACCATAGAAGGACCGATAAGTTCTCTCCTCCGTGCAACATCCGAGGATCATGACGCATAGCTCCATCTCCTGACCTGCTTCGAGTCTGATTTGGGAAAGTTTATGCGCTGCTTCCTCGAAGTTAAGACTTGACATTACTGTTAGATAAATCGTCCTCCTGAGGTTGACAAGATCAGTTTCTGTATGATCTTGTATCACTTCTTCTTCTTCTTCTTGTTCGCTTGTATCTTCCTCTCCAAGTATCTCCCTTTTGAGTTGCTCGTACTTCTTCTCGTTCTGTTGGAACTCAGGGTCGTGCTTGAAGACGTCAAGGGAAGTCTCAGAATCGAATTCATCAAGCAGAGACATCTCATGCGTCACTTTCTCAGAATCCACAATGATATCTAACTGAGGACGAATCGCTGGATGACCCTCGAAGTTAGATCTCCTAAGAGCCATCAAAGACTCAATCAAGCATTGAGATCTGTACTCCACACCACCTTGGTGAAGAATCCCTCGAAAGCTGTCGAAAACTATGTCAAAGGCTCTCGGAGACACGTCATGAAGCGTGGCTCCACACTCTGTAACAAACGCAACAGCGACCTCGAGAGCGTCTTCCGTGGGCTCGCCAAGAAGCATGTGGAGAAGCTCGAGGGCTATAGTCTCGCCAGCAACTCGCTGATTCACGAGATGCGCGAGGAATCTAACGACGGCTAAGAACAGAGGCTTGTCGTTGCGTTCGTAAGCCCTACGGATCTGTAAAACCAGTCTTCTCAACAGCAGATCACCAACCGAAGGGAATCTTGAGTTTACGACGGCGATCAAAGCGGCGATCACGTCGGAGAAAACAGGAGAAGCCATCTGAGATTTCATGCATGATCTACACAAGAGACCTCTTCCTCTAATCAGATTCTCTTCCAAGAGTTCCAAAACTACATGATTCAGATTACTGGCGTTTACCTTGTTCACCAGTCCGTTGATCCTTCTCCGGAGCTCATCCCATGATTCACGCTCCACATCGATCGTCTTCTCCTCTTGCTTCCTCTTGAAAGCAGGAACATAGAGTCCTTCCATATCTTCTGTCTTTGAAATCCAACAAAGAGTCTTAGCTCTGAACCTAATATATATACAACTCTGTTTCGCTTTCATCTATTTCCTTTTCCTCTATTTTCTCTATTTCCTTTTCCTTTGTTAACTCTGTTTCCTTTTCTTTTTTGGCATTTATCTTTCTTTTTTCTCTAATAGTTCTCTGTTTTACTTTTAGGTTAAGCATTGGCTGGATCAGCTTTCAGAAGAGCTAAGTGAGCGTCTCGGTTCTGACTTGGAGCAGAATAAGCGGATTGCAAGCACTCTTACCCTTCATGCTACTGCTTTCAGAGTACTTAAGCTTTCTCCTGTATTTGTAGTTTGCATGTATGTGGTTTCACTAAAATGTATTTAGTGATGATGAAAAATAATGCAGTCAAAGGATTCAGATTCGCATAAGAAATTTCCTTCAAAGTCATGTCCTCTGAGATACGGAGTAACCAAGATCCAAGAAGATGCTTTTCAATTGTTTCAAGCTGCGTTGCGTGAGTACATGGGAACATTTGGGATCAAACCTCAAGGCAATAAGCAAGATACATGGAGAATCACAGGTCTTTCTGTTTCAGCGAGTAAAATTGTGGACATACCATCTGTGAGTTTTATGGACACTAAATCTCTTCTTGTTAGTTATTTGGTCACTATCGAGTATTAGCTGGTTTCTTCTTCACTGATTTGGTAGGAGTGATATCTTATGACCGTAGGGAACAAGCTCGATAATGAGATATTTTCAAAGTCAACCTACTGTTCCTTCTTGTTCAGAAGACCAATGTGTGCAAGAACATGTAGCTACGACTCCCTCGGGTATTCTTGTGTTTTCCTGCATCTTTTCAGAATTTTTCTACTGCTCTTGATTCTTCTGGTAACTTAATTTCATGCAACTGGTGCAGCTAGTGAAGGTTGTTCAGAACAGAAATCAGTAGAAACCCAAGCTGCAATGCCTGAAGAAGACACAAAAGACACTGCCCTAGTCTCTGAAAAGGTATTTGCTCTCATTTCTCTATACTCTTAACGCATATTTGTAAGCCCTTGTAGAAGTAGTAGAGCACAATTACGCTCTCATATTCAACTTTCAAGTGAATAGAAATGTGATGAGGTTCTTAAGTAATTTAAACCGTTAAAGAAACTGATTGGTTAAGGCCTGTGGCATTCGAATGACTCAAGAGCTTATATACGTTCTCAAGCTACCTTATGCAGTTTCCTTGTCAGGATGTAGTCTCTTGTCCATCAAACGATGCAACGGATGTAGCTAGCCAATCAGAATCAAACAAATGCACACAACAAGCAAGGAGAATTGGACGGAAGATAAACAACTCGAAAGAAAACAATTCTGTAAGCGGTTTATCGATTTGTTTGGTGCACGAAAAGCTTCTACCTTTGCTGAGATTTGTTACTTGTTTGTTCTTAGGGAATGCCCTCAATTGTCGATATCTTCAAGAATTACAATGCAAGGCCTCCATCAACTCAGGAAGATTCCACAGTGTCATCAACCCGTAAAAGAGCCAACTTCGGTAGCAGCAGTCATTGTAGTGAAGTGAATCAAGAGACTGAAGAGAGAAGAGAAACAGAATGGGGCTATAAGATTGATGAAATCGATCAGTCTGTTTTCGATGAATTACCGGTTGAGATTCAACGAGAACTCAGGGGTTTGTTACGGCCAAATAAGCGGTTGGACACCGGTAAAAGCAAAGGTGATGGTTCTGCTTCAAGCATTGCTCGTTTTTTTCCACCATTGAACAAATAGGTTCAAGCTCTTTTGCCTCTGTAGTTGACTGTGTATAGTTTTTAGTCCTTGTCTTGTTTGAGATTTGGTCTTGTATTGTCAAATAAGTAGATTTACTATATTATAAACTCTAAAACAAAAGTTGATTTAGATTTTTCAAAAATTAATCTTCATAAACTAAGAATGAAAACTAAGAATGGTTCTTGCACACACACAAAAAGATACACATGGTTCTTGCACAAAGAAGAAAAACATGGTTCTGTTATTCCAATTTTAATGATCATAAAATTCATTAAAAAAGGTAAAATCATTATAAAAATGTTAAAATAAAATCAAGAAAAATATCGAAAACCTGAAACCGTTTTCGGGTTTAGACAATACAGCAGGCCACTATCATGCCATCCACCGAATTTTAATATTCCCTTTTTCTTTCCTTTTCCTTTTCTGTATAAACTACCAAAATAGCCTCAAACTTGCTCCCCAAAAATGCATTTAATCAAACATTTAAGTCTGTCCGATTTCTCAAGAAATCAATCTACATCTTACCACCAAAAATAAATACGTGTGGTTAAAAAGAATTCTGTTAGCTCTGCCTAATCTCTCTGTGTGCTACGCAATCACACTTAACACGCATCTTTAGTCAATTTCTCGTGTTTATATATCTAACAAAGAGAAAAGAGTCTTCGTCATCTCTCATCTCAGTGTAAAAAGCTTTATAAGAAGATAACCCAAGAGTAGAAGAAACCAGGAACAAAAGAAAAAAAAAAACAATGGCGATTTCTTCCATTTGAATCCCAGAAAATTTATCGATTCTCAGCTTCTGGGTACTTCAGATTCCTCTCTCTCCTTCACGGGTTTTTCGAAATTTTCATGCTTTTAGTTTTGTTTCTTGCGTAAATCTATCGTCTTTGTGTGGTCCTACATTTGATAAGATTCTACTGTTTGACATTGATACTTGCCCTCGTTTCCATCATTTAATGCTTCTCTTCATCGTCTATCCTATTTAATCAACACTTTTGGGCAAACACCCTGAAATCGAACCAGATTCTCCGTAAATTTCATTCCTTTTCTCAATTAGTTCAGTGTCGAACGAAACTTTTATGTTATTAGAACCTCAAGGATCTGGTAGGTGAAGAAATTAGCCAAACAAGATCTTGATTTCGTGTTATCTCTATCTATCTGTCAATAAAGGGATCATCTTTTGGTGTTTTTGGCGCTGTTTTAGGTGAAAGAATGTCGCTTTTATCGAAATTAAGGTGTATCACAGTAGATGTTACTGGTACACTCATAGCATACAAAGGAGAACTCGGTGACTACTATTGCATGGCAGCTAAAGCCATTGGCTTGCCTTGTCCTGACTACAAAAGAGTCCATGAAGGTTTTCAAATAGCTTACACAGACATGGCACAGAAGTACCCTTGTTTCGGTTTCTCCGCCAAAATGCCAAACATTGTCTGGTGGAAAACATGCGTGAGAGACTCATTTGTCAAGGTGAATTAAAATTTGGATTAGGGAAGTGATGTTCTTTCTCATTACTTAACTTTGATGTTAATGTCTAATTTTAGGCAGGATATGAGTATGATGAGGAGACATTTGAGAAGGTATTTAGGCGAATCTATTCGACGTTTGGCTCTGCTGCACCTTACTCTGTGTTTCAAGATTCTCGGCCGTTCTTGAGATGGGCACGTAGTAAAGGGCTTATAGTCGGACTCGTTAGCAACGCTGAGTATCGATATCGAGAAGTTATTTTACCTTCCTTAGGTTTGAACAAGGTTAGTGTGAAGAGTCAGTCTCTAATGACTCATTTGTGTGATCTTTTAGTTCTTGAAAGTTTTTGACTCTTGATGGTTTTTTTTTGTTTGGTTGGTTTTAGGAAGAGTGGGATTTTGGTGTGTTCTCTGGTATTGAAGGGATAGAGAAACCAGATCCGAGGATATATAGGCTTGCGCTGGAGAGAGCGGGGAATGGTATTGCGGCTGAGGAGGTGTTGCATATCGGAGACAGTATGCGGAAAGATTATGTGCCGGCGAAGAGTATTGGGATGCATGCTTTGCTTCTTGATAGGTTTAAGACTGAAGCTGCTAAAGACTGGAGAGAAGCTGGAGCTATTGTGCTTCCTGATTTAGTTGCTGTTCAAGAACTTTTGGAGTCTGATAAATTGAAATGTTAAAGCACAGAGACATAAATCTTTTGAGTATGAAATCTCATGTGTATTGTGTAGTTTGAACATTTTGGCTCTTTCAAGTTCAATGGCTTCTTCATTACTTCTCTGAGGAAATATCTAATATAAGTCATCATGTTTTTCAAAGCTTGTAATTTACATGAGCAAGAAAGAGTCTCTCTTAATTTATTTAGAGGTAATAACACAACGCAACAGAAGCAAAATAAGAAGAAGAAGAAGGATAATGTTTATACATTTGACTTAAACAGCTGCTTCAGCTCTGGAAGGCATCTTCCTCAGGACAGAGATGGAGTCACCAACTTTTATTGTCTTCTTGCCTTTGCCTTGGTTGTTGCTTATATTCCAATTCCAAACCATATCCTTACCAAAGAAAACCTGTCATAAACCGACATTCGATACTGCGTCTATTTAGCATCATACCGGATTCAACAAGGCAAAACCATTGTTTTTTCTTATATGATGTGCCTTAAGTATCTTACCTTTCCATGCGGTTTCTTATCTGGCATCAACACTTTGTCTGATCTGAATTTCATCAGAGTTTCAATTGGTTCTGTTGCATCCGGAACTCCGGTTTCTTGATTCACAGTTGTTAACTGAAAAAACAAAACAGTTAAAATCCTTTGAGCTAAGAAAATCATCTGAGTGTATTCTTTACTTTCACATCATCATGTCACCTTGCAGCGGCTACATAGCCTAACTCCTTGGAAGACTAAATCATTAATCTTGATCTCATCCCAAAGATCTTCACCAAAAGGATCACAATTATCAACAAGAATACTACAAGAGAAGCAAGAAAATCAAGATTATGAATGAAAACAACCATCATTAAAGTTATAAAGAATAACTCAGGATGAATGATATGATGGTTGTTTACTTGGGTCGAAAACGGTCAATAGGCACCGGTTCTGGTAGAAGTGTATTCAATTGGTCTAAAGAAGCCTAAGAACAAAAAGCAAAACATAATAACCAAATGCGTATTCTCATTAATCTATATTGGATACATCTTGACATTGTCTCACCTGAGATGCAACCATAAACGGAAATGTATTTGCAAATGTTGTAGAGTAACCTGCTGCAAACTCAGGAGGTGATGGTCTTGTTTCAGTCTCTGCACAAAATTTTGAAGAAAACTTTTATCAAACTCTATTCATCAAAATAAGTTGCTTACTGATGATGACTTGATGTCCTCATCACTTATGAAAAAGATTCACAAAGAAAAAGAAAAGAAATCAGAAACCTTTATTAAACCGAACCAAACGGCTTTGTTTTCCAAGATAATCTGAGAACCATTTTGCAGCATCTTCTCCTTCCTCAAACGCAGAGCCAGACCATTCCCACATCGACACACCTTCTGCCACCGAGCTTGGGTTAGTCATTGGAATCTTTAACGGTTCCATACCAGGAGCTCTTACCACTGCAAGATGAAAACAAAAAAAATCAAGACGATAATTTTGAATTCTCTATTATAACAAAAGTTTTTATCAGTGATTTACCCAAAAATGAAGTCATTGTTGGCTCCCAATCTTCAAAGAAAGCTTCCTTTGGCAACTCTTGTTCGACAAGAGCAAGCTTTGGCTCAAGTTTTTGAGTGTATGCTCTTCCTTTGGAGTTCACAACTAACCAATACCGGTCCCATTGAAATCCTGCATGAGTTTCCACATATTAAGCCCTTCGATCACTAACACTCATGGAATCCTTTACTATACAACAAAAACTCTTTTATGAGGAACTTTAGTTCTCATGCAACAAAAAAGGAGGTAAAGTTTAGTATTTAACTTCATATTAATAGCATTTTCCTGGAAAACTGTTCAGTTTCTCTGATTTATCTTTACACTTTCCCTCCAATCAAAAAGGAATAACAAGAAGATTCGTATGTTCTTTAGTTTACCAGTGGGTGTAACGGTTGCTTGAGAGACAGAAATTCCACGACAAGATTTGATGGGATAAATGAACAAAGATTGAATCGTCAGTGGTTGCTCCATTTCTCTCTTTCTCTCTCAAAGTGCTAGTAACACTAGAAGTAGACGAATCTTGTAGTTTAGTAGAGTGTTTTCAAGTGTTGTACACCAACCATATAAACAATTCGTTTCTTTTTTAACTTTTCTGGACTAACCCATTCAATGAATGTTATCATTTTCACCAATAAACAAAACAGACAAAAATTGCTACACGTTACCTGTTTTTTTTATAGTATTTTCCGATATGCATACACATCAGCTTGTGCGTGTGCATGCTATAAAGGTTAGAGAAAAACAGAGTAAAAACAGAGAAACAAATTCCATCGACATTTAGTGGGAAGCAAATAGCTTTCACCTTTGTCTCTTCACAAGTTGTGAGATCTTGAAAATTAATATTAGAGAAGCTAGTAGAGGGTAGTGTAGTGACATTCATTTCAGATTAGGGCTTGACGTGTGTGTGTGTGTACACACCTTTGTGTTCCAATATATTAAACTCAAAAGAAAAGTCTTTCCTTCTCTGTTTACTAGTAATGTTTTCGATTAATACAAAGAAAGGAGAGACTTGGATTAAATGATCATTTCTCATAACTAAACAAGGAATCTCAACATAAAGAAAAATGTGCTTGAAAGTTATAAATAACAGACATCCAGAGCATCAAACATAAAGACAATATCGATCCAAGAATAACCTCCAAATGTAGATAAGATCTTCGTCTTTCTCTAAAGATACTTTCTTGCGAGTGCACGTACCTTGGTGTCAAAATGCGTCGATGTGATGCGAGAACCAGGCAGATACAAAGGATTCAGAAGAATCTGCGTGAGCAAAACAATTTCCATGATGGAGATGCAAATGCAATATACAGTAGTTGTGTTACTACGGTGCAACCAAATTAAGAAAAAAGTTACCTTTATATAAAGCTCATGCACTTCCTGAAAGAAGCTCTTGATGCCATCCTCATTGCGTGAATCATGAAGGAGCATGAGACGAGTATGTGTTGATAAAGTTAAGGAAGAAACAAACATTATTTAGATGGATAAATCAGAAGAAGAAGAAGAAGAAACAACTATTTGCTAAATTGGTTCCAAGAAAGAACAAAGGATATGGCCTGCGGTAACATAAACTGACACAACCAGATCGTTAAACCTGTCGACGGACTTCAAGAACCTGAAGAGTTTTTATATATGATAATGAGATGAATCCTTCAAATATTTCCACAAGAATAATATGCTTTTACTCACATGGCACTTGTAGTCCATGCTAGGTCTTGGACGACATCTAACGCTGCGTGTAGTATAAATTGGTGCAGCTGAGCAGCATCTTCTCTCTGCCAAATAGAAAGAGATGGTGGAGATGAAAATATCAAACCAAAAACAGAGAAACTTCCAATATTAAGCAAATGTAATCATCAACCATACGGAAGACCAGATGCCGATTGCTCATGCAATTTCTGTTCATCAAGCTTTAGATGATCTTAAGAGAAGTAGATTTTTTACAATAATATATAAGAACAATGCATGCTTGCTTTGTCATTTAAGTGTTAAGACAGTGTGAAACGTTCCTTAACCAAACAAGAGTAATATCCACACTTTTCAAAATCACCAGCTAAAAGAACAAGAATGATAATCAAATTTCTCTCCCTGTATATTTCCATTCAATGCAAGATCAAATGATCTTGACACTGGAGGGTTAAATTGTGAAGCTGTGAAGTATGTTGCGGAATATATTCACTACCATGTTAGACATTCAGAACGTGGATGCAATAAAGCCAGGAATATGTACATGTACTACAAAACTTGAATGATTCAGATTCATTTTTCTCGGATAATAAGAGAAAGAGGAGTAGGAAATGTACTTTAGCAACAGATCCAACTTCAGCTTCATAGATGGGAATATCATTCCGACCCACAATTATAAAGCAGGCAGTGTTGTTAGCCATTCACTCTCCAAAATACAAAGAAACTAAGATCTTGTTGTGTTGTGTGTCTCCTCCTGTAATATACAAACAAAAAAAAAACACAGATTTATCAAGATTCAGTATTCTTCTTGACTCTTATATAACCAAACAGCTCAATAGCAGTAGTACTATCAACAACACTCGCGATGATCCAGGACTAAGAACTAAGCTAAGCAATAGAAATTGAAGCGCTGTTAAGTAGAGAAATGTGTTCACCAAGAAGAACTATAGATCCATTTATCTTGATGCTTGAAAAAACGCAAACTCAATACTACTTGGAAACAAAGAGTGAACCACAAAAGTGTGAAATTTCGAAATTCCAAACTCGCAACTGCGAATCAATCGATAACCCCCAAAATCTATGCCGGTGACGATATTAAACATGAAATCAATCTAAGCATCCATACTCATCGAGGGGATGAAAGGGAAAATCGAATCACAAGTTACCTGCGATTGCGAGAAAGAGAGATTCAGATTTTCTGAGTGATCTGATTTCGAAATGTTTGACCCGATTCGCTTTTATCGGGCTTGGATCGGTCAATATATAGATGGGCTGCTAAATAGACTGGAGAGAAGCTTAAAGCTATTGGCTTTGGTCGCTGTTCTTCTTGGGAGTCTGATAACAGACCTCTGTGTCTCTCTCTCTCTCTCTCTCTCTCTCTCTCTCTCTCTCTCAATATGTTTGTCTGATAACATTTTGGCTATTTCTTTCTTCAATGTTTTGAATTTTTTTTTTTATCTTTTTAAAATGGTTTCAATGGCTTATTGATTACTTCTCTAAGGAAAGATCTAAACTCAGGATCTTATTAGGCTTTCAAAGCTCAATGCATCAATTTCACACTATTCAAAACAACAAAATCACACTTTCAACAAGATGAAACTCAGAACAAGTGTAAGCTTGCAATTTACATGAGCAAGAAAGTCTCTCTCTTTACTTTATTTAGAGATAAACAACACACCACACAACACAACAGAATAAGAAGAAGCTTAATGTTCATATATTTGACTTAAGCAGCTGCTTCAGCTCTGGAAGGTATCTTCCTTAGGACAGAGATGGTATCACCAACTTTGATTGTCTTCTTGCCTTTGTCTTCACTGTTGCTTCCATTCCAATTCCAAACCATTTCCTTACCAAAGAAAACCTGTCCATAAACCGACATTTGATATCAGCTTTATTGCATCGGTTTAACATCCTATAGAATCCAACAAGTCTCTTCTCAAAACTTGACAAGAGCTTATATATCTTACCTTGCCGCGCGGTTTCTTGTCCGGCATTAAGACTTTGTCTGACCTGAACTTCATCAGAGTTTCAGTTGGTTCTGCTGCACCAGGAACACCGGTTTCTTGATTCACAGTTGCTGCACCGGGAACACCGGTTTCCTGATTCACAGTTGGTACCTGCAAGAACAACAACAGTTAAAAAGAACCTTTAAGTTGAGAGAATCTGAGTGTACTCTCTTTACTTTCACATGATTATATTCACCTTGCAGCGGCTACAGAGCCTAACTCCTTGGAAGACTAAATCATTAATCTTGATCTCATCCCAAAGATCTTCACCAAAAGGATCACAATTATCCACAAGAAAACTACAAGAGAAACAAGAAAGATTATGAACAAAACAAACATCATCAAAGTTGAAGATATTAAGAAACTCAGGATGAATGATATGAGAGTTTACTTGGGTCGAAACCGGTTGATAGGCACAGGTTCTGGTAGAAGTGTATTCAGTTGGTCTAAAGAAGCCTAAGAACAAAAAACAAAAAGAGAAGATCAAATGTGTATTCTCATTAACCGAATACTGAAGTTATCAGATACTGTCTCACCTGAGATGCAAACAGAAACGGAAACATATCTGCAAATGTTGTAGAGTAACCATCTGCAAACTCAGGAGGTGATGGTCTTGTTTCAGTCTCTGCACAAATGTTTTTTTAAGATATGAATTCAATTAACTATGCTACAATGCATTTAAATCTGTTGCTTATGAAAAAGATACACAAGAAATCAAAAGATCAGAAACCTTTGTTAAACCGAACCAAACGGCTTTGCTTTCCAAGATAATCTGAGAACCATTTTGCAGCATCTTCTCCTTCATCAAAGGCAGAGCCAGACCATTCCCACATCGACACACCTTCAGCCACCGAGCTTGGTTTAGTCAATGGAATCTTTAACGGTTCCATACCAGGAGCTCTTACCACTGCGAAATGAAATATTTCAAGAGTTAAATTCAAGTCTCATTTTCAGACAAAGTTTTAACAGAAATTTTACCCAAAAATGAGTCTTTTGTTGGCTCCCAATCTTCCAAGAAAGCTTCTTCAGGCAGCTCCGACTCCACAAGAGCGAGCTTTGGCTCAACTCTTTGAGTGTATGCTCTTCCTTTGTAGTTCACAACCAACCAATACCGGTCCCATTGAAATCCTACATGAGTTTCCACAATCATCAATATTAAGCCCATTGAATTATCCAAAAGATTCACATCAAGACAACTTCCAAGTCAAACATTTGATCACTAACACAAATCGGAGTCCTTTCTTTATCTCCCCGGAAAATTTGCTCACATCTAATCAAAACCAAAACCCTTGTCTCGTTTCATTGAACCCGTAAACAAAGAGAGTGGATCTTTGTGTCCATCCCAACAAAAAAAGGGGAAACTTTCAATGTGCAGACTTATTTTACCCTCTTAATAGCATTATCCCAATAAATTTGTTCATTTTCTCTGAAAATTTGCTCACTTTTCCCTCAAGTCAAACAAGACCCTTTTCCAGTATCATCGAACTCATAACTTATAACGGAAAAGAAACAATAATAATCTAGAGAGTCTCTTGTTCATACAACAAAAAAAAACGAACATTTTTCTCAGGAATCAAATGTAGAGAAGAAGTCTGTTCTTAATTTACCAGTCTGAGTTACGGTTGCTTGAGGTACAGAGATTCCGCGGCAAGATTTGATCGGATAAATGAACAAAGACTGAATCGTCAGAGCTTCCTCCATTTCTTTCTCCGTCGAATTTCTCTTTCGCAGAGACAGCAATATATGGAATTGGTCTTTTAGATAAGGTGGGTGACTCAAGAAGGATTCAAGAGCTCGACATCCTTTTTACAAGTGTGGTTTTGTCTGAGTTTAAAGCACGTGTGACTAATACACCTACCCATTCAGTGTTTATCACTTTTAGTAAAAATGGCAATAACAACAGAGAGATAAAATTGCTTAAAGACGACGTTTTTTGTTTTTTTTTGGTCAACGAAAGACGACATTTTCTTTGTCATCCACAGCCCATATATACATCAGCTTGTGCTTGTGCATACTAAAGATAAAATAAAAACAGAGAAACAAAAGCCGTAGACATTTGGTCAAAAGGGAAGCAAATAGCTTTCCACATTGTCTCAGCATAGCAATGTCATTGAAAACCAATGCAACTTTTAGGTAGGAGAACTTTTATGTAGAGATCTTTACTGATAAGTTCTATCTGATTTAACCAGAAGAGTCTGATTCTAAAACAGAAAAACAGTGCAGAATTTTCCTTTTTGTAGCTACGATTATAACTTTTCTACTTGTTACGCTTGGCAGCACGTCTTCCATGACCCTTCTTTGGTGGTCCTTTGTTACGACGCTTCAACATCTCAAGCTTCGATAAGCGCCTACAAACACACAGAGACCCGAGTTATCAACAAAGGACTCTTTATGACGGACGAATAATAACATAAGCAGTGGATTAAGCCAAACGTAAGTGAAGCTAATAGACAGAGTACGATCCTTGTCAACATAACAGCATATCAGCAAACACCACAGAAACTCAAGAACACGACTCTGCATAAGCCTCACATAACACAACCATTCACGTACAAGGCTCATAGTTCCTATATCGTGTGTCTTTCTCATGCCTTAACTTTCATACAGTACCGATAAGAACCAGAATGAATCTCCCTTTATTGACTCTCTGAATCAATTACCGACTGAAGCAAAGAACCAAAAATTGAACACTAGGATGAACTCTAAACTCTCCTAAGCCTAAACCAAGATCCTAGACCAATCCAGAATGCTCAACCCTTCAATTTCCTTTTACGCTGTTAGCTCCCAAACAAACTGACTCAACTATCGTAGCTCAGCTGTCGCCAAAGCTACAAACCACCTTGGATAATCACAATGCTCCTCCACTAACACAAAGCTAATCTACAGAAATTACCTACACACTCTTTGCAACTGTAACTGTGGAGATCTGTAATCTAGGCATTGGTTTAGTCCACTAAAATTGACTCTAAGGCTTGCTTGATTACACCGGTTTGTACTATATCAGGAAAGTAAATAGATAAAAACAAAAAAGAAGAAGTTTTGGAGAGTACGTTTGTTCTTCTCTAGCCAAGACATTGTGGTCCTCATTCTTGATGTCGTATGGATACCATTCAGAAACCTTATCACCAATAAGCTTCTTCCTTAATATCTTATGAGGAGATCTCTGTCCCATTGGGTTAAGCATGTGCCCAAATATCCTCGCTCTCGCTTCCGTCACACCAAGAGTGACTGCTGAAGCTACAAGGCTTCTTAGGCTACCACTAGCCATCTTCCTTGAAAACTACATGTTTAAGTAAGAAAACACAAATGAAACTTGATCAATCAATTTTCAAAATCACACCTTGTATAAGTTTGACAAAAATACAGGAAAAAAAATGTCAATCACAAGACTTGAGAGATATTCTCTAAAACCAAGATGGTAACTGCTTCATACAAAATTACAAACTTGATGCTGAAAATACAGTAGTCACTGCAATTAAGCAACGATTCATCATAACATTAGACTCTAACAGAGGAAATTTCGAAGTCAAAACTAAAGCAGCAGAATTAGATCTAGACGAATCTGGGAAAAGTTTCTACAATTTGAACGGGAACAACTGGTAAATTACACGAAAAGGAGCCCTAGATTATACTAATGTTAGAAACGAAATAAATAATCAGCCCGAAAAAAAGCAGAGAGCATTTCGTTATGAATCGAAGAAATAATCTTTGAGACATTTCATCGAACACGTTCCATGCCCGAGTCAAAATACTTGAGAAACAAAAAGAACCATTTTCACCATCGGCAATGGAGATTACACGTTGAACCTAGACGGAGAAGAAGAAAACGAGAGAGAAACTTACCGAGAAGAGACACAATAGCGACGGCGGCGAGAGAATCGGAGACGGCGAGACTGCAAAATGAGGACTAGAAGTAAATTGAAAAAGAAAAAAAGCTTCGGATTTTAGTTGGGTAGTATTTGAAAGTTCATAAAAAGGGTAAAAGTTAAAAAAAAAAAAAATCGATGCTTTCATTGAGAGTTGAACTCAAGACCTCCCGCTTACTAAACGGGTGCTCTAACCAACTGAGCTATGAAAGCTACGTTGTTACAAGTTATGCTATAACTTATTTTACGAAAAACGTAGGCTCAGTTTTTTTTTCCTATACAGAAACTCTGACGGTAGGATTTATCTTTTGGGGCTGATAAAGTTAAAATATTGCGTAGCCTTGTTAGTTTTAGGCTATAACTGGTAACAGATGAATTGTGGAATGGTGAAGAATGTAGCAGAATTATTTTGGTGTGTTACCAGTTGAGTTGGAGGAATGTTGAGGAATGGAATGTGAGGAATGTTGAGGAATTGGTTTTAAGAATTGGGTCTGAGGAATTCTATGGAAATTTTGTGGCTAGAAATACAACTGATTTTTTCTTTTCTTTTAATTTAGTCCACTAGCAGCAAAATAATTGAAGGATCAACACAAAAATACAAAAAAGTTTTATATTAAAAAAAAAAGAATTAGTTCACCAGCAGCAAATTTTTTCGAATAATCACCAGCAGCAAAAAGTTCAAAGAATTTTTCATTATAAATCTAAAACTTTCAATATTTTTTATTTAATTTTAATTAACATAGAAACTAAATTAGTTTACCTTACAATTAGTTTGTTATCTTAAATATGTTTTTATTGATTTTAATAATTTAAATCGGATAATTTTTAGTCATAAAGTGGATGAATAATGTCTATATGTATACAATAAAGAGGGAATAAAACAAGATATATGAAATAATTCTTATGAATGAATTAATAATATCAAATATATTATAAATTTAGTTGTATAGTTTTATTTTGATGATTAGTAAATTCTTATGAATCCAAATTTTAAATTCTGTATATTTTAAATAATTTATTATATTTAAATATTATTTAGTTATTTCACAAGTAGATGTTTTTGTTTATTTTTTTGATTTAATCGGTTAATATTTTAAATTTTGAAAACATGAGTTATTTTCAAATTAGAAAAAAAAATAGAATATAAAACCAAATCACTCATCCATTTATTTATGAGTAAATGTTTTAGTTGTAATACAATATTATTGTTTTGTAAAGATAAATCATATTTAGCTTTTATAAGGTTAAACATATGTATTTATAATTTAATAGCAAAATTTAATTTAAATTTTCAAGTTTAAATATATCATAGGACATAAATTCAAATGATTTTATTTTAAAAGTTATTCCGCATTCAGTAACACTAGACCAATGCCCGCGCATACGCGCGGGTTTTTCCATAATTGCAATTTCTTAAAAAATATTGGAAAATAACTATAGATTTGTGTTTAATATTATAAACTTTTACCCAAATACCTTGTATGATTAGTGACTGTTAACCAAGGTCTCGTGGCCCAGTGGTAAAGGGGTCACAGCTGTGATTTCCGCCACTTGGGTTCGAGTCCCCTTGGCCACCCGGGCTGCCTTAAATGGTAAGAATATTGGACTGCCGTGGGCCTAGAAAGCCTTTAGGATCCCCACGGTTATCAAAAAAAAAAAATGATTAGTGACTGTTTTTAAATGTATTCTTTTACATTATACCACACGTTTATATGCCATCAATTCTCTTTGTTTATACACTATCACATAGAACATAATTTACTTTCCCGCCATTGCTATTTGTTAGATCTGTATCTCCATATATTCGAAAAATTTAGATGTTTGATACTTATTCAAGATGAAAACTGAAATATAACAGTTTTTGTTTTAACAAATATAATAGTTTTAAAGTAATAAAGTGGTTTAATTATAATAATTGAAATGTTTGGCAAATAAATCAGAGTTAAAATTATTAAATGAAAGAAAAATGAAAAGTTATCCACATATCAATTATAGGAGTGTCCACATGTCACATAGAGGGAGAGAGTTACCTCTTTTCATATATACTAGAGTTTGACCTGCGCCCTGCACGGGTGATGGTTTCTGAATTTATATTTTATTAAAAGATGTTTTTTTGGTAATTTATTAAAAGATGTCTATTTAAATATCCCAAAATTTTATGTGACGGGTTTTTAATCTTTGTTAGATTATTGCCCTCGTTTATTCGTTTATAATATGAAAATTAAGCATTTTAAACTATTTTTTAAAAAGGTAAATATATTAAAGTCTTGAACGTAGCCATATATTAAATATGATAGATTTAAGCAAGATACATGAAACTCAAATGACTGCAGTATAATAAGTTAGTTTAAAGAACAAAAAAGTGAAAATAAAACATTATTCTTTACAAAAATGTATACTGTATTTCATAAGATAAGAAGTCTTAGCTGTGTGCACACAGATTATAATTATTATTATTTTCTTTCTTTTAAAACTAAAACACGGATTAAAATCAATTTTTTTTTCTTTTTTTCAAAACTAAAACATGGATTAGAACTATTTTTTTCTTTCTTTCAAAACTAAAACATGCTTTATTATAATTTCAAAACAAATCAACCAATAAGAAGACAATCTGCATGATCTAAATTGTTAAAATAACAAAAATATAATTAACTTTATATTGAAAGTTGAAATAGATGGAATAATTGTTACACTAAATGAGGTTATATACTAAACAATTTACATTATTTTGTTTTAAAAAATTCAAATCATAGCATATACAGAAAAAAAATTAGATTTTCTTTATTAGTTTTTTTATATTGTGATTCATATTATTTCATAAAATAAAGTTGAACAAAGATGATAGGGGATATATAATGATTTTTAAAAAAATATTATGATAGAATTCAATTGAATTTCATAACTTCCTTATTTACTTATTTTCGTAATTGTCAATTAAGGAAATAAAATAATAATAAATGGATGGTAAGCATAATATGCAATGGCACAATTTGTAATTTCTCTAGTAAAGCTTGTCTTAATTAGAAATTGGGCTGAGAGTGAACCTGGTGATGACACATCAGCAGTGGCACTCTTGTTAATAACACAATGGACAAAGGTTATTTAGTTAGTGTTTTCTCTTTTAATATATTAGGGATGATTCAGCAATTACCATTCACAATACTAATTATTCAGCCAGATTTTGCAAAAAGTCACAATTTAATTCCGCCAGATTCCACATTCAGCAACATTCACAATACTAGACCCTTAGGAAGTAATTTAACATGTATATGCATGTTACTTGACGTCAGAAGTGAAAAAAGAAAAGAGAAAGGATATGTTAGTTGTTTTCTTTCAAACTGGTAGTGATTCTATTTTTATTGGCTTGAAGATGCTTTAGACTTTAGTATCTGAGTTTGAATCTCAAAACTAATGTGTATGTTCATTATGTATTCTCAATTGAAAATCGTTTTATCTCAAATATGGAAAATTGTGGTATCACTAGTATGTAACGAAAGGTTTACTTTCATGATAAGTTATCTTACATTTATGAGATGGACTGAATACCTGTATTGTCTAACTTGTATGTAGGTTTGATCAGTAGGTAGCTAAAAGACAATTAGCCATGCAAAATTGTGACTAGTCATAGACTCTTATACCGGAATTGGAACGTGTGATTTTGAGGAATTCTCTCTTTAGAGCTTTCTCCTAACATTATAACGTTAGAAATATGTTATTTTTTTATCGTTTGCGGGCAACTAGACATTTTTTCTTTCTTTTTCGAACCGGAGTTGAAAATTTCTATCTATCTATATTATCAAGATTTGTAATCCATGTCCAGAGTTCAGACTCTTTCTTGGCGATATAAACCAAAAGTTAATTACTATAGACTTTAGAGTGTATCTGTGTATGAACACGGTGTGATTCAAATTCAGCAGTAGATACTTACGCATTTATTTCAAAGATGACATCTACAAAATCTTTTATTAAATCGGGAAAATATCATAGAGAATCAAACTTGAACAAACCAATATGTTGCCGAGTTTGGTGATGATGACAAAAGCGGATGAGAGAACCCCTTTGACTTAGCATTTGTTTACCGAAATAAATAATCGAGAGAGAAACCAACGCAAAAAAAAAACTCAAAAGAAATAGCCAATCTTGTTTAGGTTTTAGGGTTAATAAACTTTAACATTTAGGTTTAAGAGGATTAAGGCTCTTGGTTCACAATGGTCCTATTTTTTCTATAAATTTTCGGTTACTTCTCATGATTCTCCCATTTATAATTATCAAGACAAACAATTACTTAGCATGAACACAAATACAACTGCTCTCCTTTTTATAAAAGGGATGAAGTAATGAGAAGCTAACACACATCACAACAAATCAGAAAATTGAAGAAATACCTACAACCAAGGGCCTGATTGGTTCTCCCGCTACCACCCGCAAACGCAGCGTTTGCGGTTCGTAGCGGTTTTCGGCGGTTTATAACAATCACGACAACCGCTTTGAATCGCTCTATACCACTCTGTACCGCTCTATATCGCTGAAAATCAAAAGCTCCTTTCCGCAAGCGTTTGCGGCGGTTGCGGGTGGATAATTAAAAAAAAAAAAAAAACACAAACTTATATAAAATCCGAAAATAAATAATAATATTTATTAAAAAATAAGATTTGGATAATAAAATCACAATATAAATAAAAAATTAGTACTTTTAGTCAATATTCATTAAAATCATATAATACTTATATATTTATAAGTTCTACAAATCAAAATTCTCTTCATAAATATTCTTTTCATACTAATACATATATATCTAATAAATAAAATTGTAAAATAAATTTAATTTTCACATTAAATATATATTTTGAAAATAAAATCACATTTTTATTTAAATTATAGAAATTAAAAGATAGACGTAAGTATTATACACATATTATTCTTTATAAAAAAATATTTTTAATTATGTTGAACCATAAATTTAAAATTTTCATTATAATATATTTTGATATTTTTATAATTATATAATGTGTTTATATTATTAATTTATTGTTTAACCGCTATTGCATCCGCAAGTGAACCAGTCATAAGTAACCCGCAAACGCATCCATTTTCAATTGTTATGCCAGTCGTACAAACCGCTTAATAACGCTACTAATCACAACCGCCCGCTTCCGCAAACTCCCGCACCGCAACCGCAGCGGTTAAACCAGTCAGGTCCCAAGTCATCGGTTCTCATCTCAACTACCCTGTTTACCTTAGACAATGGTCAAAGCTAGCTATATCATTTACACATATATATAATAATCATCATATAGGGCCTGATTGGATGTAACTGTAGCTTTAATTTTTTTGCTGTAGATTTTACGCTGTAGAATTTTTGGCTGTAAATATAGATTTTAGTGCTGTAGGATTTCTTATTGTAGATTGTGTCATTAAATATAGCATTAAAACAGAAAAGATAAGATATAGAAATAATAGATTAAAAAATAAATATTGAAAAAATAATAAGGAAAGAGAAGAGAGAAAATTCTAAGAGCACTTAATTTGGTGCTCTAGAAAAATTGCTTTCCAAAGCCACGGAACTTCCATAAATATAAAAAATTGCTCTGTGTTTCAAAAATGGAAAGAGACAGAATGAGAGCATGATTGGTAATTTTAAATTGATGTAGAAAGATTTTGGGTTGTGTAGAGCAACCACAGCTCCTACCAATCATCCCCATAGTAACTTATTTATTTCATTTCCATAAATCTAGTTTCCCAGTATCATTACTTACAGAAATAATATTACTACGTTGTCAATTAGTTAATCATATTTAGTTTCACTCATATAGAAATGAGATACATTTTTTGTTTCTAATATTAATGTATCTTAATCAAAAGTTAAAAGGAGAATGAGTGTATCGAAAGGAAAAAAAGTTCAGCAGATTTTTTTTTGTATTTTTGTGCAATTGTTTTTCCCTTTTTCAGCTAATCCAAATGGTGTATAATTGGTCAAATTCAGCTGTATTCAGTTGTATTCAGACAAATCCTTCCAACATTAAAACCAAAAAAATATTAAAAAAATCCTTCCAACACATGTACTGATGGATTTGCACAGCCGCAACATAAATGTATGACAGTTTGCTATTACATTTTCCAATGTCTCTCCTCTGACCCTCTTTGACCTTCGTCTTCTCTTTCCCATTGCCTCCATGCATCTCCCTGTACAGTGAAAGATCAGAAGAGAGCGAAAGTAAATTACTCGCGTGTTGTTATATTAAAAAGGCTATATATATAAAGCTTTATATATAGTTTTAGCAAAATAGCTGATCCCAAAGCTTTATCATTTCATCTGCATTTACTTCTCCTCCAACTTACTAAATCACACATATATACACGCGTACATGTACATACATATAGAGAGAGAGAGAGTCCCCATGCACCACCGTTCTTACCACCAATCGTCAATCTTCAACGAAAACCAAACAATTGTCTTAAATTTTCTCTGTTTCACTACTCCCATTATTCACCACAAGGATTCGAAGAAGATTCATTCACTACTTTCACAGATCTCTTGATTTCCGAAGAAGAAGAAGAAGAAAAATGCAGCGACAATATCTTCCTCATGTTCTGTTTTTCCTCTGTTTCTTAATCGGGTCGGGTTGGAGTCAACCGGGTCAAAGCGATGATCTTCAGACGCTTCTCGAAGTAAAGAAGTCTCTTGTCAAAACTCCCAAAGAAGAAAACGTTCTCCGAGATTGGAATTCCGATGATCCAAATTTCTGCAACTGGACCGGCGTCACTTGCGGTGGCGGTGTAGTCGTCGGTTTAAATCTCTCCCAAATGGGCTTAACCGGTTCGATTTCTCCTTCGATTGGCCGGTTAAGCAACCTAATCCACCTCGATCTGTCATCAAACAGTCTCGTGGGTCCCATCCCATCTGCTCTCTCCAACCTCTCTTCCTCCTTGGAATCGTTGTTTCTCTTCACTAACCAACTCACTGGCGATATACCGAGTCAACTCGGCTCACTCGTGAACCTCAAGTCGTTAAAACTCGGAGACAACGAGCTCGTTGGATCGATCCCGGAGACGTTGGGGAACCTCGTCAATCTCCAGACGCTCGCATTGGCATCGTGTAGACTCACCGGTCCGATACCGAGTCAACTCGGTCGACTCGTTAATATCCAGTACATGGTTCTACAAGACAACTACCTCGAAGGACCGATTCCGCCGGAATTAGGCAACTGTACCAGCCTCGCTTTGCTCTCCGCGTCGTGGAATAGCCTCAACGGGTCTTTACCGGCAGAGCTGAGTCGACTCGGTAACCTCCAGACACTCAATCTGGCAAACAACAGCTTCTCCGGAGAGATACCGAGTCAACTCGGTGATCTGCGCAGTCTCCAATACCTTAGCTTGACTGGTAACAAACTCCAAGGCTCGATTCCGAAGACATTAACAGGTTTGGGCAATCTTCAAATCCTTGATCTGTCCATGAATATGCTCACCGGAGAAATACACGAAGAATTCTGGAACATGAATCAGCTTGTACACTTGGTTCTGTCGAACAACCGTCTCTCTGGTTCCTTACCAAAGACAATATGTTCTAACAACACAAATCTGGAGCAACTTGATTTGTCGGAAACTCAAATTTCCGGCGATATCCCGGAGGAAATCAGCAAATGTCAGTCGTTAAAAGCGCTTGGTTTGGCAAACAATACGCTCACCGGTCGAATCCCGGATTCACTCTTTCAGCTCGTCGAACTCACGGCTCTTCTTCTTCACAACAATACCTTGGAAGGTACGTTATCTCCATCAGTATCAAACCTAAAGAATCTACAAGAACTTGCTCTGTCTCTCAACGCCTTGGAAGGCAAGTTACCGAAAGAAATCGGATTTCTCAGCAAATTGGAAAATCTATACCTATACGAGAACCGGTTCTCGGGTGAAATACCGGTGGAGATCGGAAACTGCACGAGTCTGAAGAAGATTGACATGTATGGGAATCGTTTCAGCGGAGAGATCCCTTCTTCAATCGGAAGATTGAAAGAGCTCACTTGGCTTCACGTGAGAGAGAACGAGCTTGCTGGTAACATTCCCGCCGCTTTAGGTAACTGTAACCAACTGACGCTTCTTGATTTAGCTGATAACCACCTCACCGGTTCGATTCCTTCCTCGTTCGGTTCCTTGAAGTCGTTACAACAGTTACACCTCTACAACAACTCTCTCCAAGGGAATCTTCCGAACTCACTCATCAACCTCAAGAACCTCACAAGAATCAATTTCTCCGGCAACAAGCTCAACGGCTCGATCAGTCCTTTGTGCGGCTCGAGCTCTTATCTCTCGTTCGATCTCACGGACAACCGATTCCAAGGAGATATACCACTTGAGCTAGGGAAGTCTCCGAATCTTGATCGTCTTAGGTTGGGGATGAATCAGTTCACAGGAAGAATCCCTTGGACATTTGGGAAGATCCGTGAGCTTTCTTTGTTGGACATCTCAAGCAATGCTCTCACAGGAACCATACCGGTAGAGCTCGGTTTGTGCAAGAAGCTGACACACATTGATCTCAACAACAACTCTCTTTCAGGGGTTATACCTCCATGGCTTGGAAAGCTTCCATTGTTAGGTGAGCTCAAGCTTTCTTCTAATCAGTTTATAGGGTCTCTCCCTGTAGAGATTTTCAACTTGAGCAAGCTTCTTGTGCTCTCTCTTGATGGCAATTCGCTTAACGGATCCATTCCACAAGAGATTGGAAACTTGGAAGCTCTCAATGTACTTAACCTCGAGAAGAATCAGTTCTCAGGCTCTATTCCTTCAGAGATAGGGAAGCTGAGCAATCTTTACGAGCTTCGGTTATCTAGAAATGTCTTAACCGGTGAAATCCCTGTTGAGATAGGACAGCTAAAAGATCTTCAAAGTGCTTTAGACCTCAGCTACAACAACTTCACAGGAAACATTCCATCAACGATCTCGACACTACATAAGCTTGTGTCTCTTGACCTTTCTCATAACCAGCTTGTAGGAGAAGTTCCTGGACCAATCGGAGACATGAAGAGTTTAGGATATCTCAACCTCTCTTACAACAACCTTGAAGGGAAGTTGAAGAAACAGTTCTCTAAATGGCAAGCTGATGCATTTCTAGGCAATGATGGTCTCTGTGGAAGCCCTCTTACTCGCTGCAACAGATCAAGCAAGAAGCAACAAGGTCTTAGCGCGAAGACCGTTGTGATCATCTCTGCGATCTCATCAGTAGCAGCGGTTGCTTTGATGTTGCTTGTGATCATCCTCTTCTTCAAGCAAAGCCATGATCTTTTCAAGAAATTGCCAGGAGGAAGCAGCGGAGCGTTCTCGTCAAACTCTTCTTCTTCACAAGCTCCTCTGTTTAGTAACGGAGGTGCAAAGTCTGATATAAAGTGGGACGACATTATGGAAGCTACGCATTACCTCAACGACGAGTTCATGGTCGGATCAGGAGGTTCTGGTAAAGTGTACAGAGCGGATTTGGAGAACGGAGAGACGATCGCTGTGAAGAAGATTCTCTGGAAAGATGATCTGATGTCGAACAAAAGCTTCAACAGAGAAGTCCAGACCCTTGGAACGATCAGGCACAGGCATTTGGTTAAGCTGATGGGTTACTGCAGCAGCAAAGCTGATGGTTTGAATCTTTTGATCTATGAGTTTATGGAGAACGGAAGCGTTTGGGATTGGCTTCACATGAACAACAAGAACAAGAAGAAGGAGGTTCTTGATTGGGAAACAAGATTGAAGATTGCACTTGGTTTGGCTCAAGGAGTAGAGTATCTTCACTTTGACTGTGTTCCTCCGATAGTTCACCGAGATATCAAAACCAGCAATGTGCTTCTTGATGCCAACATGGAAGCACATTTAGGAGATTTCGGACTCGCCAAGATCCTAACTGAGAATAGTGACACCAACACAGAGTCAAATACTCTGTTTGCAGGCTCTTATGGCTACATTGCACCAGGTAACATGTCTTTCTCTAGCTTCTATAACTTGCTTTTTGCCATTGTTTAAAGCTAATGTTTTTTGTTTACTTGCAGAGTACGCTTACTCGTTGAAGGCGACTGAGAAGAGCGATGTTTACAGTATGGGGATAGTGTTGATGGAGATTGTGACTGGTAAAAAGCCAACAGAGGAAGTGTTTGGTGGTGAAGAGACTGATATGGTTAGGTGGGTGAAGAAGCTTCTCGAGATGCCTCAGGGCTCTGCAGAAAGAGAGAAGCTGATTGATTCAGAGGTTAACTTGCTTTTACCTTGCGATGAAGAAGCAGCTTATCAGGTTCTTGAGATAGCTGTTCAGTGCACAAGGACTTATCCTCAGGAGAGACCAAATTCAAGACAAGCTTGTGATTGTCTTCTTAGTGTCTTCAACAATAGAGCTGCTGGTTATAAGGAGATGCAAACTGGTTCCGAGAAATGATTTTGGAGAGGTGCAACTTTGTTGATCTGCTGTTAAAATTTAGGTTTGCTTTGCTTAAGGTTTAAAATGTGGGCTTATGGATAAACTTATATACTAATTATTCTCAAATACTATATAAGCATAAACCATATTAACCTTAACTTCAAAAAAATGGAGAAATACAAAAATTGTAGGATGGTTACACAAGTAATAAAACCAAAAAGCAATTGAACTCGTACTAAATAACTATCATATAAGTAAAAGCAGTTTTCAGAGTTTGACAAGATTTCCTTGAGATCAAGAAGCCTCTTCGAGTTTGAGACGAGGAACAACATTCATCGACTGGAGTTCCTGCAACCATCATGTATTGCGCAGAAACAAAAGTTACAGAAGTAACTAAAACAAGCATAAGAGGTAAACTATACAACTGAGACCAAAAAGGGGACTAAGTAGAGAGTTACCAGAAAAAGAAAAAGAAGACGAAAAAAAGAGTGGATCAAACGTTTATACCTGGAAGAGGAGCTTGCATGCGTATGGGAGTTTCATAGTAGAAAAGTTACTGCCATCTTTACAAGTTGAACAAACTGCCTTCTTCAATAAACCGCAATCTCTGCAAACCTGCATTAACATGTTACATTAGTGTATTCCATATTTGATGAAACCGTTTCAGACATACAAAAAGTGCATTAGGATTTGGTTTATTACCTGAACTTCAAAAGGATCACTAGGAACCATGAGTCGCTCATAGATCAAGTTGCTGGCTCCATAAGCAATCAGACTATCGCGTTCCATTTCTCCCACTGGTAAACCTGTAAACAGTACTCCCTCCGTTTCTTATTACTTGTCGTTCTAGGAAATTTCACGCAGATTAATAAAATAGATTAAAAACTCTATTATACCCTTAAAAAATAAATTGACTATTAGTATTCTTCATTAGATCAAGGTTAAATTATGTATTTAATATTAAATTTTGCATTGGAAAGTGAAAACAATAACTATTTTGAATAAAAAAAATAAGGCTAGAATGACAAGTATTTTGAAACGGAGGGAGTATTAGAAACACAACTGAGAAAACAATTTATAGTCGCAAATAACAAGGAATAGCATATCAAGTTCGCAACTTGACTGACTCTAGAATCCACCAGAAAAGAGAAAAGCTCTCCTCTCAGTTTTGATTAGTAGTTATTAGATGTCTATTAGAGGTAACCGAGGACCCTTTATACCTATAGCTAAAAAATAAACCCTAAGAAATAATTAGGAATGGCTTGGAAGGCAAGCTACCTTCAAGGAAATTTAGATAAAAAAAAAAGTCAAACACATATAAAACTAGGAAAACACCTAAGAAGCAAAAAAAGAAAGTTAACATAAACTGCCAAAAATATTGAGGTCAGAAAAAATGTCTATTACAGAGAACCTAGGACGCTAAAAGTAAACCGCTTTGATTTAGAGGTCAAACCGCTAAAAGTAAAACCCTAAACTGATTGATTTAGAGGTTAAACCACTTTTACCTTGTGAAGAAGAACCAGCTTATCAGGTTCTTGAAATAGCTATTTAGTGCACAAAGACTTATCCTTAAGAGAGACCATCTTCAAGACAAGCTTGTGTCTGTCTTCTCAATGTTTTAATTTTCTTGCAAAATAAGATACTGTCAGAAGCAATCCAAAAAGAAATAGTCTTCTTTAGAATTTTATTAAATCAAATGTATCCTTGTTCTAGCGGATTTATTGTTTAATATGACATATCGACTATGTGTTTAGCAACTTGGTCAAGTTTCTTACAACTATTTTTGTAAAAATTATCTTATTTGTGTTCCTAACTTATGATGTTGGTAAGACATAACAAGAAATGTTGTGCTTTGATAAAACAAAAAGTTATTTTCATAGCTTCTTATTAAATAGTGTAGTTCTATCTTATGTTGACTTCAAGTATTCATTTTTTTAAAAATGTGTATTTGCATCCATCATTCTAACAAGTTATCAACTACAAAGGCAACACGAAGATATAACCAATTATCCGTTCCAGTTTACCGGAAATTATTAACCTACTCAAATCTATCGTCATCTTTTTAAAACCCATAATTTACCAATTGGGAAGTCACTTCAATCCATAGATTTGAAGCAATATAAATTTACATATACGAAAATTAATATTACAATCTGATGAGGAGATTAAACCAAATTGAATCCCTTGGAAAATAATTGTCAACATTTTGAATTTATCAAATTATATAGGAATGATTCAAGGCTGACTCATTTGTTTGAGCCTTTGAGGTAACCCATTAACAAATTAAGAATGAACCAGTTGTTTGTAATTCCCATCTTAAACAGATAAAAATTACTTTTGCATTGGAGATAAGTACTAATCGTACAAAACTATATACCCAGGTTTTTTTTTTGTATTTACAGTGTATCTTATTATATAAAGCTGGATGCACGCGACGTGGTTGCGACACGTAGAATTTTTTATAAAATTTAGGATTGCGACATGTGTCACTTTTAATGTTATGTCTGTTAAGATCGTGACATGTGTCTTAGAAAAAAAAAATATAATTAAAAAATATTAGATAAAGGAAAAAAAATGAAATTTTAATCTTAAATAGTTAAAAAAAAATTATATTTGTAACATCCATAAACCAAAAATAAAAATTGGGAATTTTGTCGGTTCAATTTAAGTGAATTGGTTTGGGTCGGTTTAGTGGAGAAAGCCCTAAAATCAAGTTTAAAGAGTGCAGCCGTCTTCTCTTTGGAGAATTTTCGAGTTCAGATGCTGTAGAGGAGAAAAGTTGAGTTTTTGGAGAGATTTTCGAATTTTACTGTTCATCGGCACTGTTCATCGGTACTGTTCACGGTACTGTTCATCGGTACTGTTCACGGGTTACTGTTCATCCGCGATTCGGCACTGTTCATCGTCCTTCCTTTTTCCTTCAGTTTCAGTCAATTGTCAAGGTGAGTGCATGACTGTGGGTCCGCGATTTGCTAGATTAGATTTGGTTTGTGATTGTTCTTGATGAGTTTTGTGTTTAATTGTTATTTCATGATATTTTGGTTGTTTATGTGATGAATTGTGTGTTTGTGTGGTTTGTTCATTGTGGTTTAATTGAATTTAATTGATTTGATTCTGGTTTGTCTTGTTCAATTGAATTTAATTGGTTTATATTGGTTTAATTGAATTTAATTGATTTGATTCTGGTTTATCTTGGTTCAATTGAATTTAATTGGTTTATATTGGTTTAATTGAATTTAATTGGTTTAATGGAATTAAATAGATTTAATTCGGATTTAATTAATTAAATAATATTTATTTAATTAATTGGTATTATTTTAATTATTTTAAAATATGGAAAATTATTATTTAATTATGAGAATTATTTAATAATTGAGAAATTGAGTTTTAATTATTAAAAATTATTTAATAATTGGAAAATGGTATTTAATAATTATTGAAGTTTATAAATATTATTAAATATCTAGTAAATTGCGTAAATGGCTCGTAGGCAGAGTGATTGCCTCACTAAGTATTTATTAAATACTTACGCAACTCCATTCCAATGTGTTGCAGGTAAAAGATTTGTGTGATCGCGGAATCAAGGCTGAAGAGGGGGATGATAGGATGTTTACTGTTTTATTGTTTTGCATTATTTTGCTAGACTTGTTTAATTATTATTTGCTTCCGCTGAGCTGATTTATTTGTTATTGATATTTTATTTATTTAATTTATTTTTAAGACCTTCGCTAGAATTGATTAATATTTATTAAAAAAAAAAAAATGTTGGTTGTTTCATTTTGGTATCAGAGCCTAGACGGTTTTAGGACTGTTAGAATTGCTAGGCTTTAGTATCATCCCCTTCAGCTACAAGAGATTCCGCGGTGAGTTTATGTTTGTTTTGAGTTTTGGTTGCGTGTTCTAGTGTGCTCTTTTCGGTTCCATGAGTGAGATGGACTGAGTAGCTAGAGGTTGTGGCGCGAGAGGGCGCGGTGCTGAGGCCGTGGTGGCAGAGCTAGAGGCCGTGGAGGCGGGGCCGAGATTGTGGACTTCGGCGGATTCGGGAGAGAGTGTGGTGCCGAGTGTGGCGACTGCGTCGGTGACCCAGTCGGTATCCGTGGCGAGTGAGGCCAGTGTGGATGCGAGTGTTGGTTTGGGAGCGGGGGCTGCTCCGGGTTGGGGTGGTGCTCCGGCTCAGGGTCTTGATGACTTAGTGGTGGGTTTGCTGACGCAGTTATTGGCTCGTTTTCCGCCAGTGGTTCCACAGGGGCTCCGGGAGTACCTCCAGTGGCAGAGGTGCAGCAGAGGGCTGCGGGATTTGTTCAGCCGCAGGCTGTGGGTTTGATGGTGCCGTCCTATTTGGATATGATGGGGCACATGCAGAGGATTGGTACGCCGTACTTTGAGGGCGGAGTTAGCCAGAGGCGGCAGATGAGTGGCGTCAGAGATTGGAGCGGAATTTCCAGTCTATCAGATGTCTGGTTTAGTACAGGTGAGTTGGCAGTCCACTATCTGAGTGGAGATGCACATTTGTGGTGGTTGTAGTTTGTTCTTTGTCTGTGATAGAATTGTGAGGTTCTCAACGCATGTGTGTAATGACCTTGTTAGTGGGCGGTTTTGAGTCCCACGTTTTATTCGACTCTGGAGCATCGAATTGCTTCATTACACCGGAGCGTGCCGAGAAGAGTGGCATCCGGAGTAGCGCGGGCGAGAGCGCGGGCATGGTCAAGGTGGCGGGAGGTGGATTCTTGTCTACTTTGGGCCGTGCTAGAGGAGTCGAGATCGAGATTGCGGGGCAGTCAATGCCAGCAGACTTAGTCATCAGTCCGGTGGAGCTGTATGACGTTATTCTCGGGATGGACTGGTTGTCACACTACAGAGTTCATCTGGATTGCTACAGAGGTAGAGTGGTCTTCGAGCGAGATGCAGGGAGGTTGGTTTATCAGGGAGTGAGACCGACTTCCGGGAGTATTGTGATATCTGCTATTCAGGTTGTGCGGGGCTGTGAGGCGTATCTGGCGACGATTTCTATGTCTGAGTCAGGAGCTGGAGTTGTTATGGGAGATATTGAGGTTGTCCAGGATTTTGAGGATGTCTTTCAGTCACTGAAGGGATTACCACCATCTCGGTCTGATCCTTTCACGATTGAGTTAGAGCCGGGGACAGCACCGATATCGAAGACGCCTTACAGGATGGCGCCAGCTGAGTTGGCAGAGCTGAAGAAGCAGATAGAGGACCTTTTGTCTAAGGGGTTCATTCGACCAGTGTTTCACCGTGGGGAGCACCGGTGTTGTTTGTGAAGAAGAAGGATGGCAGTTTCAGACTTTGTATCGATTACAGAGGTCTTAACCGAGTCACTGTGAAGAACAGGTACCCACTCCCGAGGATTGATGAGTTGTGGATCAGTTGAGGGGTGCTACTTGGTTCTCCAAGATTGACTTGGCATCGGGGTATCATCAGATCCCGATAGATGAGGCAGATGTCAGGAAGACTGCTTTCAGGACGCGTTATGGGCATTTTGAGTTTGTGGTTATGCCTTTCGGTTTGACTAACGCGCCGGCAGCCTTCATGAGATTGATGAACGACGTGTTCAGGGAGTATTTGGACGTGTTCGTCATCATTTTCATTGATGATATTCTGGTATACTCGAGGAGTCAGGAGGAGCATGCGACTCACTTGAGGTTGGTTCTGGAGAAAGCTTCGGGAGCAGAAGCTTTTTGCTAAGTTGAGCAAGTGCAGTTTCTGGCAGCGAGAGATGGGATTTCTTGGCCACATTGTTTCTGCAGAGGGAGTTTCTGTGGATCCGGCTAAGATTGAGGCTATCAGAGATTGGCCTAGACCTAGTAGTGCCACCGAGATCAGGAGTTTTCTGGGTTTGGCAGGATACTACAGGAGGTTCGTCAAGGGGTTTGCTACCATGGCGCAGCCGATGACGAAGTTGACCGGGAAGGATGTCCCTTTTATTTGGTCAGCTGAGTGTGAGGAGAGCTTTAGTCAGCTCAAGGAGATGTTGACTACTACACCAGTGTTGGCGTTACCCGAGCCAGGGAAGCCTTACATGGTGTATACAGATGCTTCAGGCATTGGTCTTGGTTGTGTGCTGATGCAGGAGGGCAGAGTGATAGCATATGCTTCGAGACAGTGGCAGGGCAGTGAGCGTAACCGTCCTACACATGACTTAGAGTTGGGAGCAGTGATCTTCGCGTTGAAGATTTGGAGGTCTTACTTGCTAGGTGAGACAGTACAGGTCTTCACGGATCACAAGAGTTTGCAGCATATCTTCACTCAGCCGATGATGAACGCGAGACAGACGCGCTGGGTTGAGTTCTTGGCGGATTATCAGGTGAGCATTAACTACCATCCGGGCAAGGCTAACCTAGTGGCGGACGCGTTGAGTAGACGGAGGTATGATTCCGCAGTTGAGCGAGATGTGGAGTCTCTAGTTGGCGAGATCAGTACCTTGCGTTTGTGTGCCATTTCGCAGGAGCCTTTGGGTTTAGAGGCAGTGGATCAGGCGGATCTACTTAGCAGGATCAGAGTTGCTCAGCAGAGTGATCAGAGTTTGCTGGATGCGACGAGAGTGACTGGTTCTGAGTATGAGGTCTCTGCGAATGGGACTATCTTGGTTCGTGGGCGAGTTTGTGTGCCTAAGGATGTGGAGTTGAGACATCAGATTTTGGGAGAGGCTCACGCGAGCAAGTTTTCCATTCATCCGGGAGCGACCAAGATGTACCATGACCTCAAGAGGTACTATCATTGGGTCGGGATGAAGAGGGATGTAGCAGACTGGGTTGCGAAGTGCAACACTTGTGCCTTGGTGAAGGCAGAGCATCAGGTTCCGGGTGGTCTTTTGCAGAGTTTACCCATTCCCGAGTGGAAGTGGGATAGGATTACGATGGATTTCGTGGTTGGACTACCTGTTTCGAGGACTTTCGATGCTATCTGGGTGATTGTGGATCGGTTGACTAAGTCTGCACATTTCTTGGCCATCAAGAAGACAGATGGAGCTGCTGTCTTGGCTAGGAAGTTTGTGCGAGAGATTGTGAGGCTGCATGGAGTGCCAGCTAGTATTGTGTCAGACCGTGATCCCAGATTCACTTCAGAGTTTTGGAGGGCGTTTCAGGCAGAGATGGGCACTAAGGTGCATCTGAGTACAGCTTATCATCCGCAGACAGATGGTCAGTCAGAGAGGACTATTCAGACTTTGGAGGATTTGCTGAGGATGTGTGTGTTGGATTGGGGTGGCCATTGGGCAGATCACCTGAGCTTAGTTGAGTTTGCATACAACAACAGCTTTCAGGCGAGTATTGGCATGGCTCCATTTGAGGCTTTGTATGGGAGGCCATGTAGGACACCCCTATGCTGGACCCAAGTGGGGGAGCGCAGCATGTATGGAGCTACTTATGTTCAGGAGACGACAGAGAAGGTTCGTGTTGTGAGGCTGAACATGAAGGAGGCTCAGGATAGGCAGAAGAGTTATGCAGATAGACGCAGACGAGAGCTTGAGTTTCAGGTTGGAGATAGAGTTTATCTCAAGATGGCTATGTTGAGGGGTCCTAACAGATCCATAGCAGAGAACAAGCTGAGTCCGCGATTTATGGGTCCGTTTCCAGTAGTGGAGCGAGTTGGGCCATTGGCTTACAGGCTGGAGTTGCCTGAGATTATGAAAGCCTTTCACAAGGTTTTTCATGTGTCGATGCTGAGGAAGTGTCTTCACCTACAGAGGAGTTAGTGGCTAGGATTCCAGAGGATCTTCAGCCAGATTTGACAGTGCCGGCAGTGCCTATGAGGATTTTAGAGAGGAGGGAAAAGGTTCTGAGGAACAAGAGGATTCCCTTACTGAGGATTTTGTGGGATTGCAGTGGTTCTACAGAGGAGACTTGGGAGCCAGAGGCAAAGATGAAGTTGAAGTTCAGGAAGTGGTTCGACAAGCAGGTCGAGGAGTGAGCTTATTTCATCTTTGTAGCCTCAGTTGTTATTTTTGGCTTTGGTGTTATTGTATTTTCGTTTTCGTTGTAACGATATACATTTTGGAGTTTTAATGAGATGCAGTTTTTCCTCATTTTGCCTTGTGTTGTGAAAAGGTATTCGGATGTTACACATGTTTGACCAGTTTTTGGTTGTGAGACGGTCTAATCTTATGGTTATAGACATTTTCCGGAATTTTTACTCTAAGGATTGCGATCCTGAATAACTCATCATGTTTTTGGAGACTTCGTTCTCTGGCAGACTCTCTGGGTGCAAGTAGGCCTCAGTTGAGTGTAGCTTATATGGCCTCAGTGCAGTCAGGGTGCAAGTGGGCCTCAGTATGGACGTTTTCGGGTTCGTCTGGGTGCAAGTGGGCCTCAGTGCGGACCGGTGTGGACTTGTCTGGGTGCAAGTGGGCCTCAGTACAAGTTGTTTGGTGTGTTTGGATGATGAGTTAGGAGTGAAATTTTCTTGGAACGTGTTTATGACATAAGATATGACGTTTGTCTCGGGGATCAAGTGAGGATCTCCGGTGTTGCGGCCTTGCGAGGTTGGGTTTTGTGGTCTTTGTGACGTTTGCGTTGGGATTCGAGGACGAATCCAGTTTAGTGGGGAAGAGTTGTAACATCCATAAACCAAAAATAAAAATTGGGAATTTTGTCGGTTCAATTTAAGTGAATTGGTTTGGGTCGGTTTAGTGGAGAAAGCCCTAAAATCAAGTTTAAAGAGTGCAGCCGTCTTCTCTTTGGAGAATTTTCGAGTTCAGATGCTGTAGAGGAGAAAAGTTGAGTTTTTGGAGAGATTTTCGAATTTTACTGTTCATCGGCACTGTTCATCGGTACTGTTCACGGGTTACTGTTCATCGGTACTGTTCACGGGTACTGTTCATCGTCCTTTCATTTTTTCCTTCAGTTTCAATCAATTGTCAAGGTGAGTGCATGACTGTGGGTCCGCGATTTGCTAGATTAGATTTGGTTTGTGGTTGTTCTTGATGAGTTTTGTGTTTAATTGTTATTTCATGATATTTTGGTTGTTTATGTGATGAATTGTGTGTTTGTGTGGTTTGGTTTATTGTGTTTAATTGAATTTAATTGATTTGATTCTGGTTTATCTTGGTTCAATTGAATTTAATTGGTTTATATTGGTTTAAAATTTAATTGATTTGATTCTGGTTTATCTTGGTTCAATTGAATTTAATTGGTTTAATTGTTTAATTAATTTAATTGGTTTAATGGAATTAAATAGATTTAATTCGGATTTAATTAATTAAATAATATTTATTTAATTAATTGGTATTATTTTAATTATTTTAAAATATGGAAAATTATTATTTAATTATGAGAATTATTTAATAATTGAGAAATTGAGTTTTAATTATTAAAAATTATTTAATAATTGGAAAATGGTATTTAATAATTATTGAAGTTTATAAATATTATTAAATATCTAGTAAATTGCGTAAATGGCTCGTAGGCAGAGTGATTGCCTCACTAAGTATTTATTAAATACTTACGCAACTCCATTCCAATGTGTTGCAGGTAAAAGATTTGTGTGATCGCGGAATCAAGGCTGAAGAGGGGGATGATAGGATGTTTACTGTTTTATTGTTTTGCATTATTTTGCTAGACTTGTTTAATTATTATTTGCTTCCGCTGAGCTGATTTATTTGTTATTGATATTTTATTTATTTAATTTATTTTTAAGACCTTCGCTAGAATGATTAATATTTATTAAAAAAAAAAAATGTTGGTTGTTTCAATATTTGTCATATCCTAATAGAAAAAGGTTTCTCATTCATTAAATTTATATTATCCAAACATATATAAAATTTAAATTAATGAAATAAATAAAATCATATTAGTACATGAAATAGGTTAGGTTTAGTTAATTTTTATAGTTAAAAAAAAAATATATTTGTCATATCCTAATAGAAAAAGATTTGTCATTCATCAAATATTTATTATCCATACACATATAAAATTCAAATTAATGAAATAAGTAAAATACTATTAGTACATCAAATAGTTTAGGTAAACTAAATTTTCAGTAGCTGCATGGAATAAGTTACATGAACTCCTATAAAAAAGAGAGTTAAAATAGTATTTTTTTCTCATTCACAAACTCATCAAAGCAAATAACATGATAGCAATACGTATGATTTTTATAACTCACAAAATTGTGATATATGTAATAAAATAATAATAATAATAAAAAACTAACTAATAATGAAAATGAAAATTTATAATGGTCTGAGTCAAAAACAAAATTGATAAAAAAACAATATAAAAAAAAAACTAACAAATTAATTATCAAGTAACTAACTAATATTAAGAAAATATAATGAACCAATATTCTAATTTTAAATAGTTGAATATATTTTCAATATTGTTAGGTAAAAAATCTTCATAACTAATAAGGCTTGGACACTCTCAAGTCTTTGATACGTGGCACTCTTTTTTTTTTTTCCGTCTTACACCAAAACGACGTCGTTTTCGTATAAAAAAAAAAAAAAAAAAATCTAAATCAAAATTATGTGTAATGTTGTTCGTTTTGATAGGCTCGATTATTTATCCGACCTCTTTGTTTCCATGGTAGCTTTAAATGGGTTTACTGGCTAATTAGCTTATTTCATTTCCTTTTAAAAAGGGTTGCAATTATTATTGTCTATGAGTCTGTAGGATAATAATCAATCTATAATGATTGTTAATATAAGGAAAATTAGAAGAACTCAACTCTAGTAGATAAATTATTGTATAAAAGAACAAAAAACATATGAAACTATTCACTATGAGTCTATATAAGATTTTACGTAAATAACAACTAAATTTTAAAACTATATGAAAAAAAACAAAATGCAAAACTTACAGAATCTAATATATTCGAGTAAAAAACAAATGATATATTCGAATCTAATGTTCTGAATAATTAAATTAAAAATATTTGGTTTAATAAACCCGCGCATTGCGCGGGTTCTCTCCTAGTTATTAAATAAAGATTTCATCAATTGAAATCTCTTGAATGGAATAATAAAGTTTTGTTGAATTAATTAATCAGTTGATCATATTTAGACATATATAAGTCTTTCTATATTGGATAAAAATAAAAATAAAACAAATTAATTCATTTTTATATCATGAATTCAAAAAATATCAATTACAATAAAAACGTAAAAAGGTTACCGATCTTATTTTATTTAAATATTTTATCAGGTTTTTAATATTATTCTGTTTACTTTAAAATGATCAAATTTGGTTTAATATTTTTCCATGATTTTATTACAAAATCTTAAAATAAACCCGCATATACGCGGGTCTTAATCTAGTTATATTATAATTATATATTACAAAGAAAAATTCTCATTGTAAAATAAACTAACCTGTTATAAAATCCAACATAATAAAATGTATCCTTATTGGCTTATTAAACAACAATAAGAAGTTCAAGTCCAAAAATCACAGTTAGAAGATTTTTTTTTTTGAACATCGTGGAAGATAAAATAACCATTTCAACTCACAACTAAATACTGTAATATTAGTATTACAATTACCTATAGAATATGGAAAATATCGTTCTCTTAATAGTATATACAATGTAGAGAGCAAGTCATGAGACTCAACTTCTTCTCTAAATTTTATCATTTTGATTCTCTCTCTGCCTCTTAGGGAATCCTCTGTTTTGTTTTTCTTTCTGTTAACAGTTTTCAGAAAGTCAATTTCTACTATCTAAATCTCCAAAAGTTTTTATAACTATTGGATAAACAGAGGACTAGAGAACGGCAAAAAATAAAACTTTTTTCTTAAAATATTTTTTAGCTTTTTTACAATTACTCTATTATATTCGATTTTCCTCTGTTCTTATCATTTTTGTCTGTTCCGAGCGTCCGTGGAAACACGAAATCATTTCTCGTAATTTTGTTTTTCTTTCTATTATAGCATTTAATTTTCACTGGTCTCGAGTGTAACAAAAACAGAGCAATTTTCTATTACGAAGAGGATTTTTTATTTTTTTGTAATCTTCCGTTTGATAAAAATTGCGTCTTTAGAAATGACTTCCACACAGATGTTCGAACGTGCCCAGAAGGATCGTAACAGGGAAGAAAAGAATCTCAAAGTTTTAGTCAGAGATCGTTTCAACAGCTGTAAGGCCTTTCCTGTGGATACTTGTGGTGGAAGTAACGAAGATGGGAAGAGCAAAGAGGTTCTTGAATGTTCTTCAAGATCCCCTGTTTCCGAAACAGAGGATTCTCTACAGACTCCTTCTTCGAACCAAACTTCTTCTCCGATAGAGACCAATTCAAACCCGTTTTACATTCCGGGTCAATCCGAGAACCCTTCAAGAAATGAGATCACCACCATGGGAGCTTCTTCCTTGGTTCAGATTTGGGAAGCTAGGTCGCAGCAGTCAAGCTCGTGGCAAAGTCAATCCTCCGAGAACTCGAACTCCAGTTCATTTATGGACGAGGCCAAAAACAACAACGACGAAGAGGTAGATTCACAATCAGACATGAGTTATGTTTCAGAGTCTTGTGAGAAAGAGAGAGAAGCAAGATGCTTTCTTCCGTTGGTAAGGATAAGAGGAAAGAAAGCGTTTGATGATTTCTTGATGATGAGTATGCATGAACGTGAAGAGGATCTCAAATGGCTCGCTGGTCAATGCACGGTTTCCAAGTTCTCACCTCGCGGATTAGGGCGAATTCAGGTACTTTTCTTTGATCCCAAAACTGGTAACACTTTAGAAGAGGTTTAGTTAGTATAACTGTCCATTTTTTCATCTTCTTGTTGTTGTTCTTGTTTAGTGTATTCTTCGATTCAGAAGTTTTGAAAGGTGCATTGCGATTCAAGAAAGACATTTGTCGAAACCAACTAACCGGTCTTCACGAGGTTCTAGTGTGGTAGACAAAACAAAGAAAGGTAAAGAACCAATGGAGGAAAGTAACCTAAGGGAAGCTCAAGAGGCGAATCAAGTCGCCAAGAAAGCTGTATTGAGTGGAGATGCAAGCAAGAATTGTAAAAGGAGACTTAAAGAAGATGAGAGGAAAGTTACAGAAGAAGGAGAATGGTCAGGAGATACTATGGAGAAAGCTATTGTGATGGGAAGTGTAGAAATGAACAAAGCTTCGTTGAGTATCGCGGAGAAGGTGAATCTTTGGGACTCTAAGGAGAGAAGTATGTGGAAAGATAAAAACGAGGAAGAGGCTGCAAGAAGAGGCGTTGATGTGGAGGCCATAGAGATAAACAAAGACAGTGGAAAGAAAGAAGAAGTTGGTAGTATTGAAGAAGGAAAATCCATGGAGACTGAGGAATGTAGAATCCATCCTCAAGAAGTTACAGCAGTGATTAGTTTGGATGAAAGAAAGCAAGAAGAAACAGAAACATTGTCCATCCTTGAATCACCAAGATTTTTAAATGGTTGGGATGAAAATGTATTTGATGGTGAAGAAGAATATGAAGATTACAACGGAGAGAGTGAGTTTCATGATTGGGCTAGATATATATCGAAGCCACGGAGTTATTGGGACGATCTCCGGAAGCAACGGGAGCTTGAGGTTATGAACGAGGAGGAGTCAAAGAAAGATGATATTATTCACAACCTAATCAAAGAGTATGTTATATCATCAAGTTTCTTTTTCTTTTGATTAGTTTTTGACTTTTTCATGTTTTAAGGATTTGATTGATTGTGTAGAAAGACGGTTTCTACCTTCCTCGCAAGCGATCTTCGGGAAGAGATCGATAAAGTCTTGATCTCACACCCACAAAAAAGATTAGAAGAAGAAAGCATTCATGTGGAAGAAGAAGCAATCTTAGAAGAAAATGAAACAGAGAAAGTAGATCCTGAAGCTGTGACTATATGTGATGGCTTCAGTCAAACCTCAAGAAAGAGTACGCAGAGTTTCAAAGATCATGAAGTCGCTGCTTCAATATCTTTAGACTCTAAGGAACATGAAAATACTTCCTCCGTAAGTTTGTCTCTATTTTGCTCTGTTTTTTCTTAGGTTAATATGGTTACGTGTTGGTGAAGTAACAGATTTAGGTTTCACACAGGAAACACAGATGATATGTGATCTAAGGGAAGAAATGAAAGAGCTTCAAAGAGAAATGCTCGAACTAAGAAGCTTAGTCAAAACTTGCGTCGATTTCAAGAAATCTCTGAAGTTCAAATCAGTTTCAGGTGAGTAAGCAATTAAACTATTATGATCTCCATCAAGATCCTACCATTGATGATGTTATTGTAACTATATCAGGTTCAGTTTCAGATTCTCTGCAAAGAAACTGTCATGTTTGCTTCGAGATGCCTGTAGACTCGCTTCTGTATAGGTACATATGCTTTTGAAACCTATACAGCGATCGAGATTAAAACGCAAACGTTGTACTAAAATCGCGGTTTCATTCTGCAGGTGTGGACATATGTGCACATGTCTGAAATGTGGTAATGAGCTTCAGTGGAGTACAAAGAAATGTCCGATATGTATGGCTCCGATTGTAGATGTTGTGAGGGCATTTCTTGATTCTTAGGGCTCAAGAAACAAATAAAATCGAATATATATATATATATATATATATATATATAAACTTAAATATTGTAAATTAGTGATAAGGTGAAACAATCTGATTGTGCATACTATGTAAAGTCTTTTTTTGTTTGCTATGTTGCAAATTTTTCCATGTGTATATAATAAGAATGTTTGTAATTTGTAAAATACGGTTTCACTAATTGATGATCTTATGTAAGTAAATTTATTGGTGTTGGCCAAAATCGCTGCAACCAAAAACATGAAAATGAGATAGTATCAAATAATTAAGGGACCCCTTTGTAACGACTAGAGATATAATAAATTGGCTAGAGACAGTTTTTAGATTGCCCAACATTGGTTGGACATATCTTTTGAAGAGTTTCTTTCATCCTACTAAATATGTAAATATATATAACAAATATAATCTATATAGGAAAGCAATTTATATGTCAGCAAAAAGTGAAATTATCAGTAGCCTAGGAAATTAGCAATAACACCTATATTTATTCATTTACACATGTATGTGTTTTTATATGGCAAAAATTTGATCCAAATTCCACTATATATTGATCAACAATTCAACATGCGTATGCAAAAGAATGATTAATTCAACTGATAAAAATTAAAATGACCAATAATCTTAGAATAAACGGAAAATATGCCTAATTAATAGTTGAAAATTATCTTCAAAGAAACGTGATTCTTAGACTCATTCATAAACCAGACCACCCACATGAAACGAAAGTGTTCTTCACACCTTTCTACAATATAGGTTATAATGTATACAATCATGCATGTCTATATGTATCATTATCAACGTATTGAGGAAACTACCATGATATAAGTGGATGTGCAACAAATGTTGTTTGGGCGAAGAAAGGAAAGGAGAAACTATTTAACACAAATAAATAGTTGTTTGAGTATTTTTCTCAAATTTTAAATCAAGTCACAAATTTCTTTTATTATGGTTTATTCATTAACACATGGGATGTCTCCTCCTCGTGATTCCATTTAAAGAATCACATCCTCCCATCTTTTCTTTTTCTTCTTTTTCCTCAATCTTTTTATATTATTATTATATTCAAATAAACATTATTATAATTTGTTAAAGGAGATTGCGGTCTATTTAAGAAGGATAAAAAGAAGAGGAAGAAAGAGTTGACGTCTGAAGAGACTTTGGTTGTTTGGTTGTCATCCTACAAAGCTTCAGCTTACCTTTAAATGATTACCTTTTTCTAGACCACTTAATTTCTTAATTATTCGATTATCTTGTTTATTCATGCATGTGATGTGTCTCACTAATTTGTTAATCCAACAAAACCATTATATATATAAACGATATAAGAAGATTTCGGACTTAAGCATAGACTAATTTATATAATTTGCACACACACAATAAAGGGCATTATATTTCTGTATTCGATCCATACTGAAATACTATTATTAAGATAAATGTTTGGCGTTTATCCTTAAAAGCTTTTATTATATAATGCTGAAGGACCATATGTGTAGATAAAGGCTTAAATGTAAGCTTTAGCAAGCTAAAAGATGAGATTCCACAAACCAAAAAGCTGGAAGCTGGTCCACTGTTACACAGCTTGAATCTTGGGACCAATTTCATATTTATATTCGTTGCCACTCTCTCTTGTTTAATTGTATTTATATCCTTAATTTTGGTGTTATTCGTACTAGATTCTTCTTATTCTAGAAATTATTTGTAATAACTAATCTCAGCAGCTAAATGATAATCGCCAAAAACATTTTTAAAATGTTTCTTTATGATATTTTATAATTGAATCAGTTAATGAGAATGATTCTTTTACTCGAGTCATTGATTTGGATCTTAGCTTTATAGATCATATATACATATCATATTTAGTGGATTACATGCTTAAAATCATTGTTAATGAGCTGTGATCGGGGCAAGGACTGATAGGCATTGGAGTTGGAGGAGTTATAAACAAGAAAAAGAAAAGATTTATTTGTGAAGCAAAATTGTCAAGCTGGATCTTAGATGAAAGGTCTCTCTCAAAATTAAAATAACTAAGGCACTTGCAATACTAACAGCAAAGACAAAAGTGAGAGAAGGACCTTTCTTTCTTCTCGCTGACAATTTGGTAATTGCCAAAAGGCAATAGCTTAAATAAACCAAGTCTTTAAACACAAATATGCCTTCAAAAACTAAATCAGAACGAAAAAAAATAAAAATAATACTGGTGGTCTAATGGTAGTATAAATGATTTGGTTCTTTGTATCAAGGGTACAAACAAAATTTAGGACAGAGGCCAGAAAGTTATTTTTTGAATCAAAGTGCCTAAATATCACTAAAAATAATGGAATAAAAGACCAAAAACTACCACATTTTTTTTTTAAACTGAACTGTTGAGGTATGAAAAAAGGGACTTTCTTCACAGTACCATCTAATTCACAATTTCTCTTATAAGCAGTAGTATAACATTTTTGACAAAAATAAGAAAGAAGCAATAGTACCCCCACAAATTATAAAACAAAATTCTATATGTAAAATATTTAGATACATAACAAAAACCATAAGTTCTTGAAGAATACCCTAATAGCAAAAAACTAAAATCATTCTTTCAACAGATTTACAAATGTGTTAAGGACCTTAAGGTCAGTTTAAGAAGACTTCCTAAATTTTTAAAGTTTTTTAAAACCTTTTTAAGAACTTTCGAAAAACATTTTGTGGTATTTTTCTGAAAAAAAAAGAAAACAAAAAAAGTTATATATGTATTTCTGGAATGCCCCTGAATTCGTTCAGAAATGTAAGATAATATCAAGCGATTAGAATATTTGATACAAAAAATACATTATATGAGATACGCGCAAAAGAAAAAGAAAAAGAGAATGTGGTGTCCTTGTCCTACAATGTGACCCAAGAGTAGCACTTCCCTAAGCCATAGGCTATTCTGGATTTGCATTACACATAATATCTCACCCCACCATGTTCCTAAAAAGAACCCACTTCTCTTTCACTCCAAAACTTAATTAACCCTAATTAACACCCACAAACCTCACTAAACACAATCCAAGACTCTTGTCTCAAAACCTTAATTAGTGTGCATATATTTAATACAAGCATCCCACTAGCAATTACTATTAAATTTGATGCCTACCCCACAATTCATCATCCTTTTAGCCACGTATAAAATCCCTTTTAGAGATCTCACATTTGTTTCATCCCATCCTTCAAGAACACAAAGCAAAAATGTGTTCCTCCAAATCAAAGAACATGAACCAAGATGCCATTTCTCAAATCAACGGCCGACCGGTTCTTCAACCGAAATCAAACCAAGTTCCCACACTAGACCGACGTAACTCACTCAAGAAAACTCCTCCTAATCCTTTGATCCATCCCATTCCATTAAGGATACTCTCACCAAAATCAGTCTCTCTAGCCTCTCCTCCTTTGTCTCCTAAACCAAGATCCTTAAGAAAACCCGCCGGTTCTGAGAAGCCTAAGCCGGTGACTAAACCCGTGAAATTATCAGAAAGCAGTGATGGTGGCTACAGAGAGTTAACGTCCATGTTGATTGTTCAGAAGCAGCCTGGAAGTATAGCGGCTGCAAGAAGAAAAGAGGTTGCAACTAAACAAGAAGAGAGAAAGAAGAAAATATCTCATTATGGTAGAGTCAATTCCGTGAAATCGAACGATAAGAACTTAAATGTTGAGCATGAGAAGAAGAAGAGATGCAGTTTCATCACTACAAGTTCAGGTGTGCAAAAGTTACTTGTTCAGCAAGAAAACCTATTACAAGTCAACATTAATTTAAATGGATCCAAAATCTTAATTTGTTTCCACAGATCCAATATATGTCGCTTACCATGACAAAGAATGGGGAGTTCCTGTTCATGACGACAAGTAAATATTTTTTCTTTCCTTAAAAATAAAGATTTTTTTTTTTTTTTGGATAATGTAATAAGACAATTTCATTAAGAACTAAAACTAATTAGGACTAGTGTACATATATTTTCTCTCAGGCTACTATTTGAGCTTCTGGTGTTAACCGGAGCTCAAGTCGGATCCGATTGGACCTCGGTTTTGAAGAGAAGAAACATTTTTAGGTAAGTAATTTCAAGAAACCCACAAAAATAAAATTTGATTTTTCGTATAAATTTTGCTTTTCTGTTTTTTTGCTTTTCTCGTGTAATTTTGGTCTAAATCAATTTGTAACATTTCATTTCGCAGAGAGGCTTTCTCTGATTTCGAAGCAGAGTTGGTGGCAGACTTCAATGAGAAGAAGATACAGTCAATAGTAAACGATTATGGTATTGACCGTAGCCAAGTTCTTGCAATTGTTGACAACTCTAAACAAATTCTCAAGGTATTATAATGAGTCGACAATCCGGGTTGATTCGGTATTCAGATATTAAACCATTTTTAATTATTCATATGTTTAATGAAATTATCTTACTTTTTTTTAAAAGGTGAAAAGGGATATCGGGTCACTCAACAAATACATTTGGGGGTTCATGAAACACAAACCGGTTACCTCAAAATACACATCTTGCCAAAAGATTCCGGTTAAGACATCAAAATCAGAAACCATAAGCAAAGACATGGTTCGTCGTGGGTTTAGATTCGTTGGTCCAACCGTTATACATTCGTTAATGCAAGCCGCCGGTTTAACCAATGACCACTTGATCACTTGTCCAAGACATCTCGAATGTATGGCCATGGAGGCTCTATAGGCAAAAAGATCATTGTTGCTTTAGTTTATGTAACTAAATAATATATATGCGTTGTTATTGTAGTACTATTTCTGCCATGTGATATATAGATTTGAGGTCCTAACTTTAGATAATGATTTTTGTACAAAAGCTTCTTTTTGTGTGTGTGTGTGTGTGTGATTCTACTTTGAATTTAATACAATATAGATATATGTGTGTGTTTATTTTATTTTGTTTAATTTGCTTTTGAGGTTAGAGTTTGTGGGATATGAGGAATAATGTAAAGAAGAGAGACAGAGCATGTGCTAAAGTTGGGAAGCAATATGTCTTGTATTAGATTATCAGTGGACTTTTTATACTTTATTTTCCTTTTTTGTTGATTACAAATTGTTTTTAGCTTTTGAGCTGGAAGAAACATATGAAAAGAACCTTTGTTAGACCCCATCTGGTACAAAAATTGATGCAATTCTTAAATTCATCATATTTCTACCGAAAAATAAGTTTCTCCTCATGAAAGCCTTTTTAAAACAAGACAATTCCACCATTTATAAATTCATAAATGTTGCAACAAGTGATACAAAACAAGTGGAACCAATAAAACGAGCAAAGGAAACATAGAGTACTCTATAACTAGAGTTAACTAGGTTTGAAGCCCCGAACAAGCGCGGGACTATTTGCGATAATTTTTCTATTTAACTTTTTTTATACTCGTTGTTTCGAATTATTATGGTTTTTTTGTTAATTTTCATATTTTTTTTATGTTTTGAGTTAAACCAACCACTAACACTAAAAATATGAATAATTTGTCTTTTATCTTATTTTATTTGAATGTTAACATCTCACTTTATGTCGAGTTTTCTATTTTTAAAATTTTAGCATGTTACAAATATTATGTTTATTTACTATTAGACTATAAACATGCATATGCATTTGACTCAACGTTACAATTTGTGAGCATAATGTAAAATCGTATTTGCACTAAAAAAATAATATGTATACTTTTTATATATCTACTTTGTTGTGTTAGCTGGTAGCATATGAGCCTCATGATCATTGATTATTTTCTATTATGTTAGTTTTGTAAATATATTATATTTTTGAAACAAACATATCACAATCTTTAAAAATTTCATGTTTTTCACTGCAATTAAATTTACATATAAAAACAAACTCTAACTCTAATTTCTCATTAGCTTTCTAATATCTTAATTAATTTATATTCAACCTTTTAACTTGTAAACATATAGTATAACATTTTGAAATAGGATAAATCTTTTGAATAATAATATATATATATATACTTTCATTTCAAGTTAAATATTTATTTACTCAATATCCATTTTCTATTCCAACTTTTTGATAACTTTTAACATCAAGTTATCACATACTTTATATTAATTAAGTAATTTATTTGTGTATTTTTCTTAGTTTTATTTATATTTAAAATATGAATATATGTAAAGAAATATGAATAGTCATTATTAAATATCTTAAATACAATTTAATGAATTTTTTTGCTGATGTGGATAGCTAGATGGAAAGAGGAACTCCCTAATTATATATAAAATAAACTATTTTCTTCACAACAACATATTTTATTACAGAAATTTGGTTTCCAACATTTTGTTATCCGCTCTAAGGCAGTGAATGGAGAGCGGAGAAACGGTGATGGTACACGTGAGTAGGGAGAACCGCAATGTTATTCCCATTCACAATATTTGCAAATGTAAATGATTATTTTATTAAAAAGAATATCAACCGTAAGTGGATCAAATTTAACAAAGAAAATATTTGAACCGCATGTAACAATATTCACACCTCACATTTGAAGTGGAGCAAATCAGATCTGAGTTTCTATTTTTTTTTTCTACACATGTATCCATATTTTTATTAAAATAATACAAAATCCTAATAATTATTCTATTAACTATATATTTGACATGATTCATATCTCATTTGAAGTTAATTTATATGCATGTTATTTCAAATTATGATTTTGGAAATGAAATTATATAATATTATCATAGTTTCAAAATTTTAGTTATAATTTTGTGCAAGAGACAAATAATGCATTTTTTTTTGTAAATTAATTCTATATCTTATATTTTTATTATAAATATGTACAGTATTTTGGACCACTTTATATCCGCTTTTCCCATTCAAACATATTTTGAACTGTTAGATTCGCTTGATCCGCACTTGATCCGCTCAATCCGCTTGCTCCGCTAGTTCCACTTTTGATCCTCTCAATCCGCTTGATCCGCAACGCTTAATCCGCTTTCTCCATTCGGAGCCAATGTTTGCAAATGTAAATGATTATTTTGTTAAAAAGAGTGACCGTAAGTGAATCAAATTTAACAAAGAATATATTTGAACCGCATGTAACAGTATTCACACCTCACATTTGAAGTGGAACAAATCAGATCTGCGTTTCTATTTTTTTTTCTACACATGTATCCATTTTTTTATTACAAAATCCTAATAATTATTCTATTAACTATATATTTGACATGATTCATATCTCATTTGAAATTAATTTATATGCATGTTTATTTCAAATAATGATTTTGGAAATGTTAGATTCGCTTGATCTGCACTTGATCCGCTCAATCCGCTTGTTCCGCTAGTTCCACTTTTGATCCGCTCAGTCCGCATACTTAATCTGCTTTCTCCATTCGGAGCCAATGCTTTTGTGCTCAAAATTTGATCTGCTCTTGTTTGTTTCATATAGAAATTTAGATATAGAATTAGCTCTTGTTTGTTTCACATAGAACTTTAGATGAAGTTCTGAACCGAAACATTGGCTTTAGAGGAATTTCTGAGTTAGCTCAAGATGTAGATGAATAGAATTATTACATTGGCTTTAGAGGAAGTTCTGAGCAGAAACATTGGCTTAATTCTGAACATAAATATTGCCTTTATCCCCTTTGTGTCAACAGTTTGTTTTGGTTTTGTTATGTATATAGCGTTAGAAGAGGTGCTGAACAAATCAAAGCTCTAATGGCTCTATTCTGAAGATGTTGCACATCTTTGCAATTTCCCATCTGATTTTACTCTCAGCAAGCAAACAATCCAATTCTATCTGCAAGGCTTGTATCTATTCCACAAGTGGATGACTCCATATGAGTACGATTGGGATGCTATCTCTGAACTTCGTTGTACTCAAGATCTTAATCGCTTGTATTATACAGTTGCCAAGAAGAGTATTGGTCCGTTTGCCATGAGTATGTGAACGACACTCTATAGAAGAATTTATCAGCTCATGGGTTCTTTGTAAGTAAATGTTTTCTCTTGTTTCAGTCTCAATGAATAGTCTTAGAAATGCTAACCAAATTGTTGTTGTTTCTCATTTTTTTTATAGGAAATCAGAATACTGTATGTCCTTGTACATTACAAAGTTTTCACCTTGGACAATAGTGTTACATCTTGTGATGATTCGGGCATAAGTACGATAGTTTTAGATTCTGAAAACTCAAATGGAAGCCATACAAGTGATGAAGATTTCATTGGTGAGGGTTTTTGAAGAAGGCGTGACAAGTTTCTGAATTTGCAATTTGTTTTTCCGAACTTGTTTTCAAACATTTACCTCATGATCTCTCGGCTTTTCAAGCGGTAAGGCAACAAACACTAATGCGTAGTGTGTGTGTGTTTTTTTGTGGATATTTTCTCCAACCTTGTTTTGTCTTGTGGGGTTTGAAGATATTTTGCCCCTTTTGCTATCCGGTGTTTCTTTGAAAATGATTTGATGTAGTGAATATTTCTAAGCCCAGGAAGCGGCTCTTTTGCTTGAATATTTCGTTGCTTCAAAACACAAACCAAAACGTAGTCAAGGTCTAATAAGAGAGATAGTCCTTTTGTTTCAATATGTCGTGTCGTTTACATGAAAAGACATACACTGTGAAAAATCTAACTTAAGTAAGTGACCTTTTTGTTCCATTACATGAAGAAAAAAACATCCAAACAAACTAACGAGACAAAGCCTTGAGGTGAAAGTGGTTGAGGGTATAATCTTCATGGCGGTTGGAGACACTCAAAGTCCAAGCTACATATTAATTGATTCAACTCAACTAAGCCACCAACCATTCAACTCATTAATTGATTCATCGAGTTTGTTGGTCCGAGACTTAAGAACTTTGAAATGATTCTCAATATTTTTGATTTGGTAACCCATTATGTTAGTAGTTTTTCCTTTCTCATTCTTTCTATGGCAAATTGCTTTGGTTTTCTTCCCACTAAAAAGCTTTAGTTTTCTTCCCAATAAAATCTCCAAAGTCAACTTGATATGTCCAATCTCCATAATTATGGAAAAACATTAAACTTAAAAAAACATAAGATATCTCTGAAAATAAATTATTATTGGTTGATCATTTAAACTAAAATGTAACATGTAATGCATTTTTGATCGTAGTTTCAAAATTTTAGTTATAATTTTGTGCAAGAGACAAATAATGCATTTTTTTTTTGTAATATTGGCTCCGCAAGAGATATACATGTTAAATTTACAGCTTACATGTTACAGCAAACATTGGCTCCGAATGGAGAAAGCGGATTAAGCGTTGCGGATTGAGCGGATCAAAAGTGGAACTAGCGGAGCAAGCGGATTGAGCGGATCAAGTGCGGATCAAGCGAATCTAACAATTCAAAATATGTTTGAATGGAAAAAGCGGATATAAAGTGGTCCAAAACACTGTACATATTTATAATAAAAATATAAGATATAGAATTAATTTACAAAAAAAAATGCATTATTTGTCTCTTGCACAAAATTATAACTAAAATTTTGAAACTATGATAATATTATATAATTTCATTTCCAAAATCATAATTTGAAATAAACATGTATATAAATTAACTTCAAATGAGATATGAATCATGTCAAATATATAGTTAATAGAATAATTATTAGGATTTTGTATTATTTTAATAAAAAAATGGATACATGTGTAAAAAAAAAATAGAAACGCAGATCTGATTTGTTTCACTTCAAATGTGAGGTGTGAATATTGTTACATGTGGTTCAAATATTTTCTTTATTAAATTTGATCTATTTACGGTCACTCTTTTTAATAAAATAATCATTTACATTTGTAAATATTGTGAATAGGAGTAATATTGCAGTTCTCCCTATTCACGTGTACCCACCATCATTTCTCCACTCTCCATTCACTGCCTAACAATAAAACTATCCAGATCACATCTGCTATAAGTCTATGACCACTCGAACCGTAATGCTATTAGCCTAATAGTAATAACTACCAGACAACATTGAGAAAGTCAAATCTAAACAAAATCGACTTAAATGAAAAATATACAAATTGAATTATGGCATTCTTAGAAGAAAAAAAACGAGAAATAGAGGATCATGATGGCACATAATTACGTATTTATCCATAAAGTTAAGTTAAAATCATCATTTATCTTTAGAGATTAAATCAATTACGGATTACACGTTCTTTTTTTTTCAACTCCTCATTTTCAAGGGCCGCAGTTCATCTTTGTTGTTTCCCTCGTGGAACTAATTATATTGCATCCCATTAAAAATCGCATTACTTTAAGTTTAACTTTATAATACTGTTTACAAAGCACTTTTACACTTTTCAAAATCATCTCGCACACAATTTTGTTTTTTAAATGGTTCGAATCGAGTTATGTTGTGGATCAGGATCACACGGCTCAAACATGAAAGTTAAATACAGTGATACTCTGATAGACTAAGACCCATAATGGATTCGAATCAAAATTGTTCAGGCCCATTATTAACACCAGTCCACCTGAGTGTGTTCATGTTTATGATTTATTGATTTTTAATTTTGTTATCAACTTTCAACCGGAAAAATTATGATCAGTTCGTTATATCAGCAACAATGATCAGTTTGCACATCTAATTTTCACCTAAATTGTGTGATGGATAATGCGGTTCCTGAGTAATGCACACATTTGTGAGCAGTACACTACCAATTAGAATCCAGTTAACAAACGACAGGATAAGGTAAAATAAATTAAAATTACACTTTTGCACTATATATTTATTTATTTTATACGTAAAGGATAATGATGAGTCTTCGAGATTCTCAAACCGTAGCGTAGCCTGCTCTTTTCGACCGTTTGCTAAGCTTCCAAGCGAGAATAAAAAAGTTAAAGAAGCAATAATTCAAAACATTGGAAGAGAAGAATGATACTGGCAGGACAGAGAATTGCCATCTGTCATACACATGGTAGTAGGAGATGACGTGTTATTTTCTGTTAATAGCAGTACTACTATTTTGGCATAGAGAGCAAAGTCCCATGGCGTCAGTAGAGGAAACAAAAAAGCAATAGTCCTTTAAAATCACATATGTAAAAATTAATCTACAAAAACTGATTCATTGTTACGAATTGAGACAACCGTCAGATAAACACAGTTTCTCAATAAATAGTAATTTGTTATAAATTTTCGCATTCCAATTTTACATTTCAGCCTTTCAGGTTAACTATTCATAAGATGGTGTGTTAAAATATGAGAAATTAAAAGATCGATCCCAAAATCTTTTTAAATAGCGTAATTTAAAGGAAACGGTGGGCAAGAGAAAATAAAAAGGGACGACAAAAGTCTGTATAAGAAAAAGCTAAACCCTTTCTATTCTCCATCCAACTCATTTTTGGCTGCTAATTTTCACTTTATATTTTTTTCCGTAAAATACATAATTTGCTGTTTAGCACATGTACAATTTCTCAAAAACCTATTAAAAAATTGGAATAAAAGTTTTGATATGTTCCAAAATGAATAAATATTGAGGTTTCCTTTACCAAAAGAAAAATATTTGGTTTCTATATTATAAAGAAATAAAGAATTATAAAAAGAGACTTTCATTTGTTCTCCATTTTTATTTCTTCCTCTTCTTCTTCTTCTTCTCTCTCTCTCTGCTCTGTCGCTTTACTTTCTCTCTACTTCGTACAATCTGACTAGGTTTTCTTCGTCAGTTGAGAGACGACGAAGACGAAACACAGAAAAATGGCGAAAGAGAGAGATCCAACCACCAAGGACAAAAACCTCCTCATCTGTTTCTTCTGGAATTTCTCTGCCGAGCTCAAGCTCACTCTAATGGCGTTACTCGTTCTCTGCACTTTAGCCACTCTTCTCCCTTTTATACCATCCTCTTTCTCCATTTCAGCTTCCGAGCTCAGATTCTGCATCTCACGAATCGCCGCTCCAGATTCCGTCAATTCCACCTCCTCCCTCGCCGTCTCCGTCGTCCAGAAGCCGGAATTAGATAGCAGCGTTACGAAACAGCCGTTTATTGACAAGCCGTCGTCGGATAACGGCGATATCAAACGGCCGTTAACTGAACAGCCGGTGTTAAATAACGGCGTTATCAAACGGTCGTTCACTGGTTACGGCTGGGCAGCTTATAACTTCGTGTTAATGAACGCTTACAGAGGCGGCGTTAACACATTCGCCGTTATCGGCTTATCGTCGAAACCACTCCACGTCTACGCCCGTCCGTCTTACCGTTGCGAGTGGGTCCCGGTTAACCAGTCCGAGAACCGGGTTTTAACCGACGGTAACAAAATCTTAACCGATTGGGGATACGGTCGGGTTTACACAACCGTCGTCGTCAACTGCACTTTCCCGGCGACAGTAAACCCTAAAAACTCCGGCGGGACTCTCCTCCTACACGCGACCACCGGAGACGCGGATCGGAACATCACCGATTCAATCCCAGTCCTCACAGAAACCCCAAGCACCGTCGATTTCGACCTCTACGACTCCAATCGCCGCCGGGAAAAATACGATTACCTCTACTGCGGCTCGTCGCTGTACGGAAACCTAAGCCCACAGCGAGTGAGGGAATGGATAGCTTACCACGCGAGATTCTTCGGCGACAAGTCTCATTTCGTTCTTCACGACGCCGGAGGGATTCAGGAGGAAGTGCTCGAGGTTCTAAAGCCATGGATCGAGCTCGGGAGAGTCACGGTTCACGATATTAGGGATCAGGAACGGTTCGATGGGTATTATCATAATCAATTCATGGTGGTGAATGATTGTTTGCATAGATACAGATTTGAGGCCAAGTGGATCTTCTTCTTCGACGTCGATGAGTTTATCTATGTTCCGCCGAAGAACACTATCTCGTCAGTGATGGAATCTTTGGAGGAATATTCTCAATTCACTATTGAACAGATGCCTATGAGTAGCCAGCTTTGTTTCTCCGGCGATGGTCTGGCCAGAACTTACAGGTAAATTACTAAAATTAGACTCCTTTTTACGCAGAATTGAAATTCTTGGTCTTGATTGATTCATTTGATAGAAATTAAACCAACCCATGTGTGTTTCAAGCATTTTAGAATCATAGATTTGGTTGAATTAGCATCTGATTCTGTGATCATTTACCTGTAAAAAGAGCTTTTTTTTGTTGCACGCTTTTATTCACTAGTCTTTAATGGTGGTCCATGTGGGTGAGTTGTTTTCAAAGATTCTAACCAAATCAGCTTGACAATAACTTGCATTTGATTGTAGTGTGTTCTTTTAGATTGTTCATGCCATTTGTTTTAAAGATTTTAGCTTCTTGTTTGTGACTCTTTTTATTTTTCATTTTCTGATTTTACCTTTTTTTGTTTCCGATATTATGTGTATTCAGGAAATGGGGATTTGAGAAATTAGCGTATAGAGACGTGAAGAAAGTAGCACGACGGGACAGGAAATACGCGGTCCAACCGCGGAACGTATACGCGACGGGTGTTCACATGTCGCAGAATCTACAAGGGAAGACATACCACAAAGCGGAAGGCAAAATCCGATATTTTCACTACCACGGTTCGATCTCGCAGCGCCGTGAGCCTTGCCGCCATCTTTTCAACGGTACTCGGATCGTCTTTGATAACAATCCTTACGTTCTTGACACCACGATGCGGGATATTGGTCTTGCGGTTAAGACGTTTGAGATTAGGACGATTGGTGATCGGTTGCTTAGGACACGGCAATAAAAAGAAAATGGTTCACTTTGCGTTGTAACGTAAATCTTGAGTATTGTTAGGTGATTGTAACAATTTTTTATGGATCGTTTTAGTATTATTCTTTTATTGTATTGTAAAATGGGTTCATGGAATCATAGAGATCAATAGATCATCATACAGCTCAGACTCTTGGTACATAATTAAGAATATCTCTTTTTTTTTTTTGGTCGTGATTAAGAATATCTCTTTTATGGGCTTTACAATATTTTTTTGGCTATTCGTATTTGGAAAAGCGACATCTTTTAATTATATACGTTAGTGAAAGTAGATTGTGGTCTTCAATGGATCTTTGTCGTGTTAATTAACCTAAACTTTTCACATTTTTTTTTTAATTCGTTGAAGACGTTTATGTGTTGGAAAGAGAATTATTAGAAAGTTTTTTTCTTTGTGGAACACACAACGTGTAGAGCCCACGAAGAGGGTCCTTCCAAGTTTCGTGGTTGTTAATTGTCGCAAAGGCTGGAAAGTTTGTCACTACCAAATGCTCTAACAATCATAAAAATTATTCTCAATCAACAAATCTCATGATAACGACAATAATGTTTCATTTTAGTCATTTTCATTTTGATAATCCCAATAAACAAACAAAGTTAGAAAAATAGAAACAATAGATCGCAAAAACTAGAAAAACATTAACATGGGAATGTGCACCGACGGTTCGGCATTTAATGTTATATGCAAACAAGATATGTAAAAACAAATACTAGCACATTCACGAACCCTACCATTCCCACATCAATATAGCGTAACACAAAAATTAAATTACTACTAGTAGTTTTAGCCTTTTTTTTTTGCAAGTGTTTGGGAAAATACTTTAATGATTGTAACGAATGGATTGAATTCATTTAATAGATGTTTGAGTTGTCGGAAACAACATTTAATTGAAGTAGCCGGAACTACATGATCTCTGCAGCTGTAATATTCTCTGCAAATCTACAGTTTCTATTTAAATCAAGTAATTTAATTAAACTCTATTAAATGGTTTCCTATAACTATAAGATATATCGTCCCAAAAAATAATACAATAACGCAACCACGCGATCTCAACGAGTTTCTTCTATAAACTGTAATAAAAAGATTTGCAGAAGATCTATCTCATGTAATAAAGTAAAGAAAATACACTGTTTTGAAAGATTTTTTTCTTTGTATTTATATCGTTAAATTATATTTAAAAATTTAAGTGAGATTGGTCCAGCCTAAATGGAGATTAGACTAGTCCATCACAACATCCTTTTTGAAAAGCAAGTATCAATAATGTAGCCAAAATGTTATTGGTAAAAAAAATAATGTAGCCAAAATATTAGATTTTATTTTTGGAGTTCAAACTGAAAAACAATATTGATTTTCAAGGGATTAAATTACTGAGGCAAAATATTTTACAAGACTTCTTGTATGTTAGTTACGTCGTATAGTGCAAGTTAAAAGTTGATCATTAATTATTCAAATGGCTTGAGCGTCCAAGAAAGCATTGAAATTCTTGGTGGCTTCTAGCAACCGTGGTGAGATCGCCGGAGACGTCGGGTACGAAACCGGCGATGACGTGGAAAATCTAACGTGACGTAGCGAAGACTCCATTGATTTTCTGTTTTTCGAACCAGACATCTTCAAAACCCCTTTGATCTCTTTTTCAATAGGTTCCTTGTCGAACACGAAAGCCGCTGAAACCGGATCGTCATGGTCGTTTTCACCGGAACCGGTCTTGATTAGCTCCGACGGTAAGTCGAAGAAGTGGTTTCCTCCTTCTTCTCCTCCCGACTCCGAGGTGTTAGACCCGCAATCGAACTTCTCCATCGAAGCTCGAGCTGAGGAGATCACTGTGGTGGTTGTGGTTGTTTCTCTGACGGAGACGGTTCTCGAAACGGTAACCGACGATGATGAGGATGTCGTCATCGTGGTGGTTCTGGTGAAGGAAGAAGAGTCGTCCTTCCGCGATGATCGGACCGGTTTCCCTTTACCGAAACCGGGAAGGTATAAACAGAGAGCGTTGCATTTGAAGCCGTCTTCTAACGCACTGCTGTTGTTGATGCTCTTGTTCGATTCGGTTTTGACGAAGAAAGAGTTTCGGATTCCGTTGGTCTTGAGAGACAGTCTCTTGCTCGTTGATCCAAAAGATTTGCTTCTCCTTAACGGCGACGAGGAGGAGGAGGAGGAGGAGGAGGAAGAAGAGTTTTGTTCCTTGCCTTTCAGCGCCCGCATAAGACCCGAACGTTGTTTAGGAGAATTAGCGGTTGAGTTTGGGCGTGACCGCATAAGACCCGAACGTTGTTTAGGAGAAGAAGCGGTTGAGTTTGGGAGGCTACGGCTCACAGACTTACTATTAGTCCTCACTGGCTGCAACGGAAGAGGCATAGGCGCATCTAAGTCTCTAGGTGGTGACATCGCCGGTAACAGAACCATCTCGAAGCTATCGTTCCTTCTCAAAGACGGTGACAGAGACAACGACCTGATCGATTTCGGGTCCATCGATATGTCTATCTCGGATAGCATCATACTCGTTTGCATCTTCTTCTTTGACTCGTCTCTGCTTAGAACTTTCCAATCGTCATGACTACTCTCGTCTCTGAAGCTAACCGTTGGCATGAGAACTGCAGCCGCCATTGTCTTTTTATGTTCGGCCTGAAAATGTCTGATTAGTAAAAAAGAGAAAGTGACAATGGCTAAGTCTTAGAGGTGGAGATACTTATACAGAGAGTAAGCATGGACTGCACGTTATGGTGTTCTACACTTAGTCATGATTTGCACGTCCAGCTTTTTTTTGTCTCCTGCGTATTACTCTCAGCGAAAAGGTTATTGATTTTATTACTATAAAACATAAACAAATTAAATAACTTAACATCGTTGACATGAGACCGTGCCCAAGATTGAGACAAGATTAAGACAGGATCTGATCAAGATTGATATTGCCCGCACGAATCATACTTATTATAATATTGCCGAAGGGTTTGGAGAAGTTTACCTGAGTTTGTGCAGACCACAAGCCGTTGATTAAGGAAGAAGATGATTAAAATAATTGAAATTTTATTTCATGTTCTTAAGTTACAAAACGTCCATGATGGGTGATTGTGTAGCACTAAATGATTTGACTCTATTGAAGGGAATTGTAAAACAAGATCAACACAACCGAGATACCGATGATAACTGGAAAAGACGAGACTAAGTACAAGGCTCCATAACCCTGCAACAGAATAAGAACAAATGCAAAAGATATATCAATCGGATACCAAAAGCTAAAATCTTGGAAAGAAAGAGTTGAGAGAGATTTGGGAACAAACCATGGCTTTGGTGGCAACTCCAGTGTCATCATCGACATCGGCTTCTTCAATTGCAGCAGCTGAATCCCACTCTACGTTAAGTCTCTTGGCTGCTTCTTTTGGATCTATTCCAGTGTCTGTGGATTTAGCGTACATTGATTTCCCTCGCTGCTTCTTTGAAACCTCAACCTTCTCAGATAAACAAGATAACGGTTAGGAATAAGGCTTTGAAAACAGAGTTTTGCTCAGATAACTAACCCAATGTATTATTCCTATGAATATTTAGTCCATATCACTTGTGGCAGCTTCGTAAGCTTATATATGGATTTGAAAGAAGCGCTGAAACTTATGAATGAAAGAAGAGGTACCTCTAAATTTGGCCAACGGATCATTTCCTCATGCAGCATCTGGAGAGTGAGACGATCTTTAGGGATTTTCCCTTCATTTACCTGTGAGAAGATCAGAAATACACTTTTAAGGATCAGAAATTACACTCCACATAGTCACCGACCAAACCTACTGACTCACAATAGTATTCTATGCATACTCCTACTCCTAGAACAGGCTCACAGAATTCACTTAGGTTTACGACTCATAGTATTATGTTGAGGAACATGTTTCAGGGACGGATTCTATTTTCACTTGTGGTTAAGGTAGACTCAAGATTTAAGAGACAAAATCAAAGACAGAGAAAAAAAGTTGACCTGTTCCAAGGCTTCAGCTAAGTCTTCCCTACTAGGGGCGTCGTCTTCCTCTATACCAAGTAGCCTCCTTTTCTCCAGTTCTCTTGGGTCTTCAATCATTATGGTCAACTTAACCTGGAACAAGTAGAAAGCTCTCACTTAATATTTCCCATCGATACAAAAACCCAACACAGAATCAGGACTTGCAGCTTTGTAGTAGCCACTAGCCAGAAGAGCGGTTAACCAAATTCTCATGTAACAGAGGAACCATAAAGACTCATTGGAATGGGGCTTACCTCACTGAACATCATGTCTCTGTTCCTCCTGAGTAGCTCCAACACCTAATCACATGCAGCAATCTAAACATATTACATCTCTTTTATGCAGCTCAAGAGGCCTGAATTAAAAAAAAAACTTAAGCAAGAAACGAGTTTTGAAACAAGGCCAAATATGAGCTATAGCGTAGAGCTCAAACATATTTCCCAGAACGTACATAGAAGAATTCTCATGGACAATCTAATTCCACTAGGGCATAAGCTAAATCTGCAAACGGAATCACAAAGAGTCGAAAGAATGGGGCAAAATCAAAAACAAATGCGGCCACAAACCCGTTTGATCTCATTGGCGTATTTAAGATCTTCAGGATTTGCATCTTCCTCTCCCTCTTCTTCGTCATCTCTGTTTTGTTTCTCTTTCTCTTGCTGCTCCAATGTTAACGGAACCGGAACTTTAATCTCCGTTGCGTCTCCTTTCTCCTGCTGAGCTATCACACTTCCGAACCTCCGATTCTTCCTCTGCCCATATATTCCTTCCACGGAGATTCCACTACTCCTACATATAACAACCGGAGACGGCGAACACACACCGTAATTACGTTGGCCGGAAGAGAAACTCGAATGTGATGAAGATAACGGCAACTGAAAAATCTGCGTCGCAGTCGCTACCATATTTCCTCTGTATAGTTAAAAATTGCAAAATTTCCTCTAGCGATTCACAGATTCCGCATATTCTCAGGAGATTTACTCTCGATTGAAAAATTATCAAAAGGAGGAAGACGATTCAAATTTCAAATCATCCAAAGTTAAAACTTAAAACTCAAATCGCTATTTTGTTTTAAGTTTTCAAAAAAGAAAAATTAGATTTTGAGGATAATACGAGTGGCTGAGATAAGTGTAGATATTTCCTCGAAACATCTGCCACTTGGATAAATAGTTCATCACTTAAATAAAAATAAAGAATTTAATTAAAAGACCGTATTATTTATAAGGCCATTATGTAGGCCCAAACTTTAAGGCCCAATTTACGTCTATAGATTTGGCGGCAAAATGTTAGAGGGGCCCATGTTATTTCCCGCCACAACGACACTCTTTAACATTTTCTTCACGCACTAGTGAGTAACTGTGGACTCGTTTGCCTCCTTTTACTCAGTGTTCAAACGAATTTAGGGTTTATTTTTTCCCGGAAAATTTTCAGTGAGGCTTAGATTTGAAAATGGAGGCTTTTGGTGGGTTTGTAATGGATGAGCAAGCGATTCAAGTGGAGAACGTCTTCTTACAGTTCCTAAAGAGGTTTGTGATTTTTGCTTCTTTTTTTTTCCCCCGAATTTTGGAGTTCTGTTTTGGCTCTAATTCAATGGTTTCGAATTGCTTCAGTTTTCGATTAGATGCGAACAAGCCGGAGCTGTATTACGAAGCGGAGATTGAAGCGATCCGAGGCGGCGAATCGACGATGATGTACATCGATTTCTCACATGTTATGGGTTTCAATGATGATCTCCAGAAAGCAATTGCCGACGAGTATCTCAGGTCTGGGCTTTCTTCTTAACCCTAGTTTTAATTTGTGCGGAGAATCGTCTGGGTTTAATTTTTTGGTTGATTTTGGCTTTGAATTGGTTTAGGTTTGAGCCGTATTTGAGGAATGCGTGTAAGCGGTTTGTGATCGAAATGAATCCTTCTTTCATTTCTGATGAGACTCCGAACAAAGACATCAATGTTTCCTTCTACAACCTCCCTTTCACAAAGAGGTAATGCAAATTAGACTCAGATTTATTAATTTAGAAAGTCTAATTCATGATATTGACTCTAAATTAGCTGTTAGTTTCTCTACTAATGATGAACAGTTGATATGTGAGGTTGAAATTTTTATTGTCTGGTTGATTGTGTTGATGACGCCATTATCAACTATTCCAGGTTGAGGGAGCTAACAACTGCAGAAATAGGGAAGCTGGTGTCGGTGACTGGTGTGGTTACTCGAACAAGCGAAGTGAGACCTGAGCTTCTTTACGGGACGTTCAAGTGCTTAGATTGTGGCAGTGTTATAAAGAACGTTGAGCAGCAGTTTAAGTACACACAGGTACTTGCTTGATTGCTTGATTTTGGTCTTCTTTCACTTTTTGCTTGTTTGTTTTATAATTGATGGTCGTCTTTTTGCAGCCTACGATCTGTGTGAGCCCAACTTGTTTGAACAGAGCAAAATGGGCACTGCTTAGACAAGAGAGCAAGTTTGCGGATTGGCAAAGAGTAAGAATGCAGGAGACTTCAAAAGAGATACCTGCAGGTTCCTTGCCACGGTCGTTGGATGTCATTCTGCGTCATGAGATTGTGGAACAGGCCAGAGCTGGTGATACGTAAGATTCCTCTTGCATCTCAGTTCTCTAATTTATTTCTAAGAATCAAGAGTTGCATTCATTGTTGTCCTTTATTGGGTTTGTCTTCACAGGGTTATTTTTACGGGGACGGTAGTTGTTATACCTGACATATCGGCACTGGCAGCACCTGGAGAGAGAGCAGAATGCCGTCGAGACTCATCACAGAAAAGCTCCACTGCTGGACATGAAGGTGTCAAAGGTCTCAAGGCTCTAGGAGTTAGAGATCTTTCGTATCGGCTTGCCTTTATCGCAAACTCAGTGCAGGTTTGTCAGCTATAGTAACTGTCAAATCAAAATTTATCTGAGATGTGTTGATCAATCTCAATGTTTGTATTTTCCAGATTGCTGATGGTAGTAGGAGCACTGACATGAGGAACCGCCAAAATGATTCTAACGAAGATGATCAGCAGCAGTTCACGGTGAGCGCTTAGAATAAATAACCTACAGGAGTCGAGTCAGTTATTATTTGCAGGATCTTGAGAATGTTGGTTCTTGTTTAAATTTGACAGACAGAGGAGCTAGATGAAATTCAGCAGATGAGAAACACTCCTGATTACTTCAACAAGTTAGTTGGAAGCATGGCACCAACCGTCTTTGGTCATCAAGACATCAAGCGTGCAGTTCTACTTATGCTTTTAGGCGGCGTGCATAAGACAACTCATGAAGGCATCAACCTTAGAGGAGACATCAACGTTTGTATAGTTGGGGATCCCAGTTGTGCTAAATCCCAATTCCTCAAGTACTGAAATCTCTCCTTGAATCTCAAAACTGTCTTGTTTTTTTACCTTTTCTGTAAGTTGATCCCTCGGTGTCGGTCTGATATTTGCAGATATACAGCAGGCATAGTACCAAGATCTGTGTATACATCTGGGAAGTCCTCTTCTGCAGCTGGGCTAACTGCAACTGTGGCTAAAGAACCGGAAACTGGTGAATTTTGCATTGAGGTAATCATATGTGCATTGTTATATATTGCTGGCTACAAAACTATAAATTAACCTAAACTTTGTGGATTGCTTTGAACAATGCTAGCTTCCCTAGACTTCTATGTTTTAATTTTAGTTAGTGTTATCTGAATCTTTGACAGGCTGGTGCTCTTATGCTTGCTGACAATGGAATATGTTGCATTGACGAGTTTGACAAGATGGATATCAAAGATCAGGTATGTGATCATCATTGCTTATTATAGTACTGAAGATTGAGTTTTTATGGCTGTAGCTAATGGAAATTTACTGTTACATTTGGACACAAAAGGTGGCTATTCACGAAGCGATGGAGCAGCAAACGATAAGCATAACAAAAGCCGGGATTCAAGCAACCTTGAATGCAAGGACATCAATTCTTGCAGCAGCTAATCCTGTTGGTGGCCGATATGATAAATCTAAACCCCTTAAGGTGAGGTTCATTTGTATTTTTTATCTTTGTTTAAGAATTGATGTTTTTCTTTTAATATCTAATCGTTGTCTTCTTGGTCATTCTATTTCTAGTATAACGTCAATCTTCCACCTGCCATTCTCTCGAGGTTTGATCTTGTGTATGTTATGATTGACGACCCTGATGAGGTAACGGATTACCACATTGCTCACCATATCGTGCGAGTACACCAGAAGCACGAAGCACTTACATGGTTTGTATCCAAAGACATGAAAATAAAATGTTAATAAAGTTTAATAAAATAGAAAAGAATCGTCTTTTCAAACTAGTAAATACAAGTATGATTACAAGAAACCATATGGCAATTATTATATTCTTTTAAATCTATTTCAAAGTCTTTTCTTTTGTTTCAATGTAATTGTGTTTTCTTTATTAAATTAGGATGAGATCTATTATGACCTATGAATGAAAAGAAACCGAAAGATCATTTCGTTACACTAATTGTATATAATACAAAAACTTATGAGGTCTTACATGGTGAACAGATGGTGGGTTTTTTTTACAATGTATGTAGCTTCTTGACCATGTGTATCATGTGTGAAGATTGAAGATGAGAAACCGTTTGGTGAGTGATCACTTTTGATATGATTTAATTGATATGTTTACTAGATTATGATTTAATTAATATTTGCCTAGTTTTCTATCGAAAACGGGTCTAAAGTTATTCGGATTGTTTTGGCACTTATCACCATCTATGTGATAAATTTCACTGAATTGTGATAAGTTGATAAATTTATTTCTCAATGATTTACAGAAAGAGATTTTTACAGTGGATTTATAAAACGATCTAGAACAATGCTAAAATCTTATATTAATCACGGCTGTAAAAAGATTTTGTCAAGGTATCTGATGGGCTTCAATGTTGCTGAGCCAATTTCATTTGGGCCTGATTTAGTTGGATCACTTACAAATTGGATTTGTGAGGCAATCGCTCTTGGTAAAACGCTATTTGGGATTTATTGAACTCAGCTCGATACTTTTTAAGTTTTAATTGGATAGGTGGAATTAAGTGATCAAAATAGATTAGAGTCTAATACGATAAGGTTGGGGGAGGTATTGTGAAGACGTAAGTAATATGGATTAGACGACGCAAAATGCGAAGAGCAAACAATGTATTGTTGACTGAAATTGTCGAGAAATAAAACAATACAAGGCGAGTGACGCAGCGGCAGAAGAAAGCGACCAAAATATATAAAGGGCACGTCCGCAACATTTTTTTTTATAATGTAAATTAGATAGTTTGGAGGTGGTGCCAGCGACTCGAAACAACGTCAAACTTTCTGTTTTCTGTTTGTTATTTTCTGATCGCTCTCCTCTGGCGCTGCGTTAGTTAAAGGAACAAGTAATATAAGAAACAGGAGAATGTCATGCTTCTTTTTATTTTTGAATATGTTCTTGATTGTTGAGCTTTCCCTAGCTGTGCATTTCCGTCAACTCAAGTCCATCTTTACCTTCATTGTGGAACTTTTAAGATGCATACACTTGCAATCTATAATTTGCAATATCACAGAAGTTGTGCAAACTCGTAATAAAAAGAACAAAACATGTTAGTGAGACATGAAACATAATAACACTGCAGTCAGATCTAAAACCAAACGCATTGAACGTTGATTACATAACGATAGTCGATAGGAAATGTATAATAACATTTTGTGCCTCCACATGTTTCTTTTGGGCCACTCACTATACCTCAGCGCATCAGCTAAACCCACTCGATCACTCAAGTCTGTTTTCTTATTAATAAAAAAAACAAAATAATATTTAGCAAAAAGCCATAATAGTTAGAACAAAATTTAGGGTTAGGGTTCTTCTTTTGTTGTAAACGCAAAGGAGCGATGTCGATGTTGTTTCGAGGTATGTATCCAACTCTGAAATTAAGGATCCACACATAAAAAAAAAATAGTACCGATCAACGGATCAAATCCCTAATTAGGATGGCAGATTGGACTATTGATAACGCACATGTGTTTATGGAACACGAGGCTGGTTCCGAACCTAAGAATGCGTTAATTCCGTGCATAAGACGCAACGAGGATGAAGACCCTTATCTCACGCCGGAAGAGGAGTTACGCCGCATGACGGAACAAGTCGAAGAAAGCCAGGTTTTCCTTTTCATGTTCATTTTGTCGATTTATATTATATTACGGTTCGATATTGAGAATCTTGTGTTTATGTGAATATAGGGTTTCGACATCAATTTCAAGGAGTTCAGATGCATTTTTAATTACCTACCAGTTGATTTTGATGATAACGGCTACGTCAAGCCACCAGAGACGACTAGAACGTTAATGGACAGGCTCTCTCGTGAATCCCTTGAGAGATACAATCAAGAGAACGTCGAATATTTATTCTATATGCTTTCTCGTTTGAATTTTCATCTATATACAATTGTTTTGCAATTTATGAGTGATTTTTTTGTTTGTGTATGTGTGTGTGTGTTAAACAGGATACAGGTTTTGAATTTGTCAAGTTTATCAAAGGCAATCTTCACGAAACTGGTTGTCCTGCCACAATGTATTACATTACCTTTCAAGGTAAAGCTCCTTCTGATGATGAGCCAAAAGAGTTCCGAGCAAAGGTCTGCTATTTCGCTCATGAACCGAACATGTACCACTCCTGCGAGCTCAAACCTGAGAAAAAAGGTACTCTTTTGATAGTCTTTTCTTTCCCAAAAATGATTCTTGAGGCAAATGTTTATCCAGAATGATTTGCCTCTTTGTCTACGGGAGATGGGTCTTGAGATTAGTTTTTGAAACTTATGTTATAATATTTGCTACTTATTTGGATTGCCATGTTTTGGCAGTTCACTTCATTGAAACTGAGGAGAAAGAAGATGCCAAGAAACGCAGGTATATGTATATAATGAGTCTTTTGTTTCTTAATCTTGCTAGCTGAAATGCAGAATGCTTTTTTTGTGTGTTTTTTATTAATTAATATCCTCACTTCCTCAGGTTGGCACAGGAGCTGTCTAATGCTGAAAAGTGAATGGTGATGAGACGCAACAATGGTAGTATTGGATATTCTCTTTAACCAGATATTATGATCTGTGATCAGTTCAGAAATCTTTTGCGTAGCATTTGCAAAATATGTTTTTTCTCTTGAAAAATTCTTGAAATTTTATTTTGATTTGGTATTCTTGAAATTTCATCTAGGTGTTATTTTAACTTTTAACTATTCGTTTCTGTGCGCTATCGGAGTAAAGTAAATTATCATTAACCATTCTCAAATAATTTTAATGTTAAGAAACAGAGATCATAGCCATTTTTAACACAAGAAAAAAAATCAGTCCAAGATTCTAACATCAACAAAAAGACTTCTAATAGATGCACATTTTATACCTTTCATCATCATGAACTGCCAAAACAAACATTTCAAATGTCAAGAAACAGAGATCATAACCATTTTCAACAAAAGAAACACAAATCAAGCCAAGAATCTAACATCAACGTAAAGTAAAGGATCCATCAAAGTAGCGACACTTATAAATGCACATTTCTTATAACTTTTTCACATCTTTCTCCAAGCTTCCATCACAATGAACTGCCAAAACAAACAATTCAAATAAATATAATGTCAAGTAACAGAGATCATAACCACTATATAGTAAATGTATAATAACATTTTGTGCCTCGACATATTTCTTTTGGCCCACTCACTATATACCTCAAGCACCAGCCAAACCCACTCACATTTCCTCAAGTCTGGTTTCTTACTAATAATAATAAATAAATAAAACATTTAGCATAGTGAAAAAGCCATAATACTATAATAGTTAGAACAAAATTTAGGGTTTGTGTTCTTCTTTTGTTGATAAACGCAAAGGAGTGATTCCAATGGGGGAGCCAGGTGCCCCAGGTACGTATCCAACTCTGAACTTCATCAAGTATCTACGCATAAAATAGTATCAAAACCCTAATTTCGATTTCCGGTGTCAGATTGGACTGCCGCCGATACCTTACATGTGTTCATGCGATTGCGATGCGAGCCTGAGGATATACCTGAAGATGTGTTAAATCCTTTCGGCAAAGGGCCTTATCTCTCGCTTGAAGAGGAGTTACGCCTCATAAATAAACAAGTCGAGGATAGCGAGGTTTTGATTTTCCTAAACTTTTTGATCTTCATTTTTGTAGACTTTTTGTTTTTAGAAATCAATTCTGTATGCATTTTAGGGTTCCGATATATTGAGAATCTTGTGTTTATGTATATAGGGTTTCGACATCAATTTCAAGGAGTTCCGAGACATTTATAATTACCAACCAGTTGATTTCGATGATACCGAATACGTCATGCCACCAGAGACCCATGGAGACTTAATGTACAGGCTCTCTCGTGATTCCCTTGAGATATACAATGAAAGGAAGGTCGAATATTTCTTCTTTATGCTTGCTCGTTTGGATTTTCATCTATATACAAGATTTTTGCATTTTATATTGTTTTGATTAAAACAACAGGGTACACGTTTCGAGCTTGTCAAGGTTATCAAAGCCAATTATCACGAAACTGGTATTCCTGCCACAATGTATTTCATTACCTTTCAAGGTAAAGATCCTTCCGATGACGATGAGCCAAAAGACTTCCGAGCAAAAGTCTGCCATTTCTCTTATTCCCCAAACAAGTACCACTCCTGCGAGCTCAAACCTGAGAAAAATGGTACTCTTTTCTTTCCCACGAGTTATTGTAGGCAATGGCGTAGAATGATTTACACATTTGCCTCTTTTGTCTACGGGAGATGGGTCTTGAGATCAGTTTGAAACCAAGTTATAATATTTTGCTACTAATTGTTTTGGCAGTTCACTTCATTGAAACTGAGGAGCAAGAATATGCCAAGAAACGCAGGTATATCGAAATGTGTCTTTTGTTTCTAATCTTGCTAGCTGATATTTTTTTGTTGTTTTTTCATTTATTAATATCTTCATTTCCTCAGGTTGGCAGAGGAGCTGTCTAATGCTGGAAAGTGAATGGTGGTGATGAGACGCAACAAGTGTGTTACTTGATAATATTCTTTGTGTCAACCGATCATTTTGTGTTACTTACAATACTGGATATCCTTAGGCAACGTTCTCATTTTGGATTTATGTTTTCTTCAGACCATTAACCAGATTTTATGGAATTGATTAGTTCAGAAATCTTTTGCTAAGCATTTACAAATTATGTTTTTTTTTTTTCATTTTTGAAAAATTCGTTAAATTTTATTTTGGTTTGTTATTCTCTTTTTAATCTACTGTTTCGAGTCAGGTTTTCATTTAGGTGTTGTTTTAACTATTCGTTTCCGTGTGCTATCGGAGTAAAGTAAATGATCATCACCATTTTCAAATCATTTTGATGTTAAGAAACAGAGATCATAATCATTTTCAACACAAGAAAAAAATTAGTCCAAGACTCTAACACTAATAAGACTTCTTATAGATGCTCATTTTAGATACCTTTCGTCACATCTTTCTCCATTGAACTGCCAATCCAAATAATTCAAATGTCAAGAAACAGAGATCATAACCATTTTCAGCAGAAGAAACACAAATCAAGCCAAGAATCTAACATCAACGTAAAGTAAATGATCCATCAAAGTAACGACACTTATAGATGCACATTTCTTATACCTTCTTTTTCACATCTTTCTCCAATCTTCCATCACAATGAACTGCCAAAACAAACAATCCAAATAAATAAAATGTCAAGAAACAGAGATCATAACCACTATATAGTATATACACAACCACCATCTCTTAACAAGAGAGAGGCAAATATACTCTACAATGAAACAAAGATCATAACCACTATATGATTTTGCTATGACCCAATTACCCAAAAATCTGTAAAAGAGGACCTTCTGGATCAGGTTTCGGTCTAATAAAGACGTATTCAGTCGGGTAACATGAAGAGTAATAGATCCTAGCTTGGAAGGTTGGTCTGATGATCGCTTCTAGTCCAAGAAACCTAAGTCATGATTGTGCTTACTTATTGATGTTTTTCTTTTTCTTTTTCTTTTATTGAACATCGGCTTACTAATTATTGTTGTTTATCTATAGTTTATCATTAATTGACTTTTTTTTCTGTTGAAATCTTTACAGCAAGGGTAGAATACAAAGGGGGAATACTAAGCCTATCTATAAAGTTGGTAAAACTTATGACTTAGACCACCAAATTAAATAAATACTAGGTCTTTGACTTATGCTTGGGAAACACGGGCTGTTGTAATTTTTTATAGGCAAATTTGATATTTCGCTTCTGTAAATCATATTCCTTCTGTCCCATATTATAAGCAATTAAGCAAAATGTATCAGAAAAAAAGTGGATGTATCTGGATGGAAAGGTTCAGAACCTTCTTACAAATACTTGAAAGTGTGGGGGTGCTTAGCAAAAGTTCAAGTACCACCTCCTAAGAAGGTTTCGATTGGGCCTAAAACAGTGGACTGTATTTTCATTGGATATGCGCACAACAGTAGTGCTTATCGGTTTCTGGTGCACAAGTCAGATATACCAGATATCCATGCAAATACAATTATTGAATCAAGGAATGTGTCATTCTTTGAGAATATCTTTCCATGTAAAGATAGACAGAAGCTGAAGCGAACTCATGACGCAATTGTGCCTGCAAATGATGAGGCTAGTACATCTGGTACTTCAGTAAATGAAGCAGAAGAAAATGAGGTTGAACCTAGGCGTAGCAAGAGAGCTCGTAAGGAAAAATCATTTGGTGATGAATACTTAGTGGTATTTCTCTGTGAGAATGAGCCAAGGACATATTCTGAAGCCATGTCTACACCAGAAGCAGACTTATGGAAAGAAGCTGTAAACAGTGAAATGGATTCTATTCTGCAGAACCATACTTACATAATCACTGATTTACCTCCAGGGTTTAAAGCACTAGGGTGTAGATGGATCTTCAAAACGAAGATCAAAACTGATGGAGCTATTGATAAGTACAAGGCAAGACTTGTGGTGCAAGGATTCAGACAAGTTGAAGGTCTAGACTTCTTTGACACTTATTCTCCAGTGACGAGAATAACTTCAATCAGAATATTGATAGCTATTGCATCTTTGAGAGACCTGGAAATCCATCAGATGGATGTAAAACAGCTTTCCTTAATGGTGATTTAGAAGAGGAAATCTACATGAAACAACCTGAAGGTTTTGTGACACCAGGTCAAGAACACAAAGTTTGTAAACTTGTGAAATCGCTGTATGGACTGAAACAAGCTCCAAAGCAATGGCATGAAAAATTTGACCACGTGATGATGTCAAATGGATTCAGCATCAATGAATGTGACAAATGCATTTACGTCAAGAACACTCCCAGTGGGTACGTTTTGCTGTGCTTATATGTTGACGACATGCTCATCATGGGCAGTAACAAGGATATAATCCAACAAACCAAGAACATGCTTAAGAGTCAGTTTGACATGAAAGACATGGGTCTTGCGGACGTTATTCTTGGTATTAAGATCACAAGGACTTCTGAGGGAATCACCTTATCTCAGGAGCATTATGCTGAAAAGATACTTGAGCGGTTCAAGAAGTATTCGAATGGAACTGCGAAAACTCCAGTGGATACACAATTGCACTTGACTAAAAACTCTGGATTTTCACGGTCCTACAGTCTTAAAGCCCGTGGAAGCCTGACTAGCAACCTTGTTGAGCGCACCCTTGTTAGGGTTAAACCTGTCTTTCGGTTTGTTGCGAAATTCAGCCACATTCGCATCATGAGTTTGAACTATTTCAGCTTTTTCACGCTTCAGTGACTCATTCTGCAGCCTAGAAATCAAGTTCGCCAAAGTCAAAGCCTTCTGCTTAAATGCAAAATAGTTCTTGAAGTCCGCCCAACCAGGGGGAAGCTTCTCAATGAAGCAATTCACTGTGAAGTCTCACAGATCTTCATTTCTTCATCTGATATCTCTTGGAGTATCATCTGCAGGTCATGCACTTGGTCCATGATGGGTTTTGAGTCCACCATTACGAAGTTGAGAAATTTTGCAGTAGCAAATTTTCCTGAGCCCACATTGAACGTCTTGTACTTCTTATCCAAGGCTTCCCACAGCTCCTTGGATGATTTTGACCTCACTGTACACATTGAACAGTTGATCCACTAGGCGACTTTGAATGTAACCTCTGCACAAGGAAATCTCCTTGCACCCAGTTCTCCAGAGTCATATGAACTCGTGGATCTGGGTTTGCCTCTTGTTCAGCAGGCACCTCAGGTTTTCTCAACGAGACACTTTGCCAGATTCAGCGTGGTCAGGAAGAAGTGCATCTTCTGCTGCCACTGCTTGAAATTCGTGCCATCGAATTTGTCAGGCGTAAGCGCTGCGGATATGTTGCTTGGCAGAGTTGGTGAAGGAGTGTCACAAGTTGAAGTCTAATGTACTTAACCAATTGTACCAGGCCTGACTTAGCGCATGCAGTGAATGTATTAAGCCGCTACACAAACAATCCTCGTCATACACACTGGAAAGCCATAACAAGAGTGTTAAATTATGTGAGACACATTAAAAGTTATGGATTGCACTATGGTAAAGAACCTGCAGTTTGATAAACACGAAAATTAATAATGGAATTCTTCTTTATCCCTTAATGGAATAATGAAATTCTTCCTTATCCCTTAATGGAATTATTCATTATACCTTAATGAAATTATTCCTTATCTTTTTTGATAAACATCAAAAAAGGATATTCCCTCCTTGGAGAACAAGTCTCCTATCACCTATAAATAAAGGGCCTCACCCCTCTCATTATTCATTCATTCAAAAATCAAACACTCCAGCAAATCTCTCACATCTCTTCCCTTCTTCTCTAAAAGTAAGTCTCGAGAGTATAGCGTAGATATTTAGTTCGCAGATTCTATAGTTGGGTGTTCCAACTATAGTCTCACGCAGTTGTATCCTGGGATTCAAAAGTCTCAACAAAACCGCCACACTGCGGGAGATTTATTGAGTTAAGGAAAGAGATCAAATCTCGCTTCTGCGTAATTCGTTTATTTCTAATCGTTTTTCCTACTATATAATATCTATATTATAAGATTTCTATTCGTATTTTTCAATCTGGATTTTGGTGGTCCTACAGTTACTTCCGTGCATACGCAACGAGGATGAAGAGCCTTATCTCACGCCGGAAGAGGAGTTACGCCGCATGACGGAACAAGTCGAAGAAAGCCAGGTTTTCATTTTCATGTTCATTTTGTCGATTAATATTATATTAGGGTTCGATATTGAGAATCTTGTGTTTATGTATATAGGGGTTCGACATCAATTTCAAGGAGTTCGGATGCATTTTTAATTACCTACCAGTTGATTTTTATGATAAGGGCTACGTCATGCCACCAGATACGACTAGAACGTTAATGAACAGGCTCTCTCGTGAATCCCTTGAGAGATACAATCAAGAGAACGTCGAATATTTCTTCTTTATGCTTTCTCGTTTGGATTTTCATCTATATACAAGATTTTTGCATTTTTATGAATGGGTTTTTTTGTTTGTGTAAAACAGGATACAGATTTTGAATTTGTCAAGTTTATCAAAGGCAATCTTCATGAAACTGGTTGTCCTGCTGTAATGTATTTCATTACCTTTCAAGGTAAAGCTTCTTCTGATGATGAGCCAAAAGAGTTCCGAGCAAAGGTCTGCTATTTCTGTTATGAACCGAACATGTACCACTCCTGCGAGCTCAAACCTGAGAAAAAGGTACTCTTTTGATAGTATTTTCTTTCCAAAAAAATGATTCTTGAGGCAAATGTTTATCCAGAATTTTCTAAAACACATGTTGCAATTTTGTCAGTTATAAAAATCTTATGTATCGTAAAACTTTCAAAAATATGATTTTTAAATTAGAGAAAGAGAATCAGAGAAATTTGATGACTTTGCTTGGATGAGTTTGTGAATGAGAAAAAAAAAAAAGACTACTGTAACTTTGTATTTATAGGTGTTCATATAACATATTCCATGCTGCTATAGGATTTTTAGTTTAAATACCTATTCTATGTACTAAATAGGATTTAGAAAATTATATGTGTTTGGATAATATAAATTTGTTGAATAGAAAACCTTTTTCTGTTAAGATATGACAAATATTATTTTTTCCATGTTAATATAATAGATTAAATTTTGTTTTTTTAATATAATAGATTAAATTTTGTTTTTTTAAATATACTTTTTCTAGAAATTATTAAAATTTTATTTTTTCCCCTAATACACGTGTCACGATCTTGACGGATATAACATTAAAAGTGACACATGTCACGATCCTGAATTTTATAAAAATCTTACGTGTCGCAACCACGTTGCGCGCATCCAGCTTTATATAATAAGATATGAATCAAACTTTATAAATAGATACACATAAATATCATTTTAGAACAAAGAAAAACTCATTCATTCTCACAAAAAAAGATGATGAAATGTGTTAAAGTTAACTCATATTCTATATTTATGAGATGTTAAATTTCAAATAAGATCTTCTAAGTATTTTTTTGTTTTTTGTTGGAGATTTTATGGGAAATCTCCCACAAGTTTTTTTTCTTCTCTTTTTTTTTGTTATATAAAATAAAAATAATTGTTTGGAATTATTTTTAGAATAACATATTTGTTTTTTACAATTTAAATAATTTTTAAATTTGATAAACGAATTTTAAAATAATTTTAATATCTAAAAAACTGAGGGTATTTTAGTAATTTTGAATATTAGAAGATTAATTTTCCAACAAATTTTAAAAGGATTAGTTTTCAAAATATGATTAATTTAGGTAATATTGATCCAAATTTCCTCTTTAAACATCATCACACACCAAATAAACAAGTCCAAATTCAGATTAAGAAATGGAGTACAAATCGCAGGGGTATTATTGTCAAAACAAACTATGAGACCAAATTTGAAGTATACAAAAACTACAGGGATCGCAGTACTATTAAATCGGGGAATATCTTTTTTTTTTTTCATCTAAAGATTTATTAACCTTACAACGAAGGAAGAAACCAAACAAGAGTTACAAGGCCGGCGGAACAAAGAGAAATCCCCGGAGCAAATCCCACAAAGGGAAACATTAGCCTAAATAAATTAGGAGACACAAGCCCAAACAAGGGAGGCAAGACGATAATTAAACGAGAAGGGAACTTAGATAGAGAGAGAGGTGCTAAATCTGGACCTGAAGATTAATGATCCCCAAAACTGACCAAGGAAGCTTGAGTACACCCAAACCAATACTCCAAGCCCAAAGCAGTAAACAAACTGCCGAAACAAGCGCACCACAAGCGCAAACAAAGAACAGAGGATCTCACCAACCGCAAGACTAGAAACTACTGCCAACTGAAGAAAAGCAGAAAAAGACCAGCACAACAACAAAAGCTCCAAAACCCGCAGGAAAAGAAAGCCACCTGGGAAAAACGCCAAGAAGATCAACAACTCTTACACACGGACACTGTGAATACCAGCCTCTGCGACCTACAGAACAGAGACTCCCACCTCCTCGCAAGAGAAGACTTGAAGATCGAAACCGCTGCATCGTCAAAGAACCCAATCCCAAAAGGAGAGAAAGCCTAGCAGATACCTCCACAGCAATAACTTTTCACAATAGCGTCCCGAAATCAAGGCCAAAGAACTGCAGATGGATCGGAGAGCAGTAGAAGCACCAAAACCCTCGAAAGCTAAAACCCAAACTCGTGAACTAGAACACCGGAGGGAGCGACCAGCCAAACAGAGCTCTGTGGTGAATCGGCAGAACCGCTCCGTCGCTCTATTGAGCCGGACCACGAGAGATCGGCCGACCGGTCCGCCGCGACTGCACAAAACAAACGATAGAGCCCAGAGGCGAAGCCAAAGCAAAAGCCAAATAAACAACCTCCACGAGCAGAGCGACGGAGGAGAAGAGAGGGAGAAAGAAGGAAGAAAGAAAGGAGAGACCGGCGACTGTGCTTTGGAAGCCACCGGCCACCGATCTCCAGATCTGAAAAAAGGGAAGCGGCGCTAGACTTGAGAGAGAAAAACGAAATTAGGGCGAACGCCAAACTTTTTGATTTCGGGGAATATCTAGATCTCATCATCTTCGTTTCCAGAGAGGGTCTGTTAGTTGATTAAAACGAGGGCCGAACCAAAATTAAGGGTTAGGGTTCTTCTTTTGTTGATAAACGCAACGGAGCGATGTTTCGAGGTACGTATCTAACTCTGAGATTAAGAATCTACGTGAAAAAATAGTGCCGATCGACGGATCAAATCCCTAATTTCGATTTCCGGTGCAGATTGGACTATTGATAACGGACATGTGTTTATAGAACACGAGGCTGGTTCCGAACCTAAGGATGCGTTACTCCCGTGCATAAGGCGCAACGAGGATGAAGAGCCTTATCTCACGCCGGAAGAGGAGTTACGCCGCATGACGGAACAAGTCGAAGAAAGCCAGGTTTTCGTTTTGATTAACTTTTCATGTTCATTTGTCGATTTGTTTTACTGCGAATCTTGTGAATTATCTACCAGTTGATAGTCTGGGTATTGATAGATATGGGTTATAGTACTGCGAATCTTGTGTTGACATCTGATATTGAGAATCTTGTGTTTATGTGTATATAGGGGTTCGACATCAATTTCAAGGAGTTCCGATGCATTTTTAATTACCTACCAGTTGATTTTGATGATAACGGCTACGTCAAGCCACCAGAGACGACTAGAACGTTAATGGACAGGCTCTCTCGTAAATCCCTTGAGAAATACAATAAAGAGAAGGTCGAATATTACTTCTATATGCTTTCTCGTTTGGATTTTCCTCTATATACAATATTTTTGCATTTTTATGAATGGTTTTGGTTTTGCTTTGTGTGTGTGTGTGTAAAACAGGGTACAGATTTTGAATTTGTCAAGTTTATCAAAGGCAATCTTCACGAAACTGGTTGTCCTGCCACAATGTATTACATTACCTTTCAAGGTAAAGCTCCTTCTGATGATGAGCCAAAAGAGTTCCGAGCAAAGGTCTGCTATTTCGCTCATGAACCGAACTTGTACCACTCCTGCGAGCTCAAATCTGAGAAAAAAGGTACTCTTTTGATAGTCTTTTCTTTCCCAAATGTTTATCCAGAATGATTTACATGATTTGCCTCTTTGTCTACGGGAGATGGGTCTTGAGATTAGTTTTTGAAACTTATGTTATAATATATGCTACTTATTTGGATTGCCATGTTTTGGCAGTTCACTTCATTGAAACTGAGGAGAAAGAAGATGCCAAGAAACGCAGGTATATGTTTATAATGAGTCTTTTGTTTCTTAATCTTTGCTTTGTTTTTTTTTTTTGGTGTTTTTATTAATTAATATCCTCACTTCCTCAGGTTGGCACAGGAGCTGTCTAATGCTGAAAAGTGAATGGTGATGAGACGCAACAATGGTAGTATTGGATATTCTCTTTAACCAGATATTTTGATCTGTGATCAGTTCAGAAATCTTTTGCGTAGCATTTGCAAAATATGTTTTTTTCTCTTGAAATGTTATTTTGATTTGGTATTCTCTTTTTTAATCTACGCTGTTTAGAGTCCGGTTTTAATTTCATCTAGAGTTTATTTTAACTTTTAACTATTCGTTTCTGTGCGCTATCTGAGTAAAGTAAATGATCATTAACCATTCTCAAATAATTTAATTGTTAAGAAACAGAGATCATAACCATTTTCAACACAAGAAAAAAAATCAGTCCAAGATTGTAACATCAACAAAAACACTTCTTATAGATGCACATTTTATACCTTTCATCACCATGAACTGCCAAAATAAACATTTCTAATGTCAAGAAACAGAGATCATAACCATTTTCAACAAAAGAAACACAAATCAAGCCAATAATCTAACATCAACGTAAAGTAAAGGATCCATCAAAGTAGCGACACTTATAGATGCACATTTCTTATAACTTTTTTCACATCTTTCTCCAAGCTTCCATCACAATGAACTGCCAAAACAAACAATTCAAATAAATATAATGTCAAGTAACAGAGATCATAACCACTATATAGTAAATGTATAATAACATTTTGTGCCTCGACATATTTCTTTTGGCCCACTCACTATATACCTCAAGCACCAGCCAAACCCACTCACACTTCCTCAAGTCTGGTTTCTTACTAATAATAATAAATAAATAAAACATAAAACACATTCTACTTCAAAAGCATACACTACTACATGCACTTAAGTGATGCAGCAGCATTTAACTTCTCCTAATCGTTTGGTTTAGGATATTACTGGCTTTATGATTTTATTTTTCTCCAATTGGTGTTTGATCGTTTTTCTTAATGTGTTTTGGAACTTTTTCTTCTTTTCTATTTTCTTTTTCTTATGTTGTTTGTAACCTAAGCTGAGACTTACTTGTAGCTATCCATTGTCAAGGTGTTTTGAAGTTTTTTTTAACGAGAGTTTCTCTTCTTCCTTGTCTAAAAAGTTTCTTGTTACTTGAGAATTGAGATTGAAGTAAACTAGTTGAGGTGAAATCAGGACTTACGTTGTAAGACCTACCATGTGAAGTTTCCTACATTCTCTTCTTTGAAATTCTCACGCTATCTTTCTCTGTCTTGTTTCCCTACACGCAGAGAGAAACCAAACCAAGAAGAGAAACTATGGCGGAATCACCAAAGCAGCACATTGATCGAGTTCGGAGGACTAAGTTTTCAATCGGTGGAGCTGATAATCCGTTGACGGAGGATCTTCATCAGGCCGTAAAGAATCTCTCCGCTGAGCTCTATGCAAAAGATGTTCACTTCCTCATGGAGCTTATCCAAGTAAGTTTTAACTCTCTCGCTATAATGCACTAACATCTCTGCTTTTCTACTCATTTTTACGAGTCTATTCTCCGTATCAAAAGCTAAGTACGTAATGATTGTGCATGTTCCTGTTTCACGAATATGTTTAGCTTATGCATTAAATATTCCTTTGATTTCAGAACGCTGAGGATAACGAGTACGTCGAAGGTGTGAATCCATCACTTGAATTTGTCATCACATCTGAAGACATCACAGCCACCGGAGCTCCAGCCACTCTCCTTATCTTCAACAACGAGAAAGGTTTCTCTGAGAAGAACATTGAGTCCATTTGTAGTGTTGGAAGGTTCACCAAGAAAGGCAATCGCAAACGTGGTTACATTGGAGAGAAAGGTATGCCTTAATTTGCCTTCTTAAGTCAAACTCGAATTGATCCAAAGACCCTTGTTCTTACATGTGTGTTCTGTTTTCAAAATTTACAGGAATCGGATTCAAGAGTGTGTTCTTGATTACTTCTCAGCCCTATATTTTCAGCAATGGTTATCAGATTAGATTCAACGAGGCACCTTGCAGTCACTGCAGCCTTGGCTACATTGTTCCTGAGTGGGTTGAGAAACATCCTTCTCTTGTCGACATACAAAGAATCTACGGTTCTGCTTCTGTTCTCCCGACCACAACCATAATCTTGCCATTAAAGAGTGACAAAGTTAAACCGGTGAAAGAACAGCTCTCTAATGTCCATCCCGAAGTTCTCTTGTTTCTCTCCAAGATCAAACGCCTCTCCATCAGAGAACACTGCCAAAGATCCTAAGCTCAGCACAGTGAACTCCATCGGGATCGTAAGCGAGACTGATTTCATGACGAGGAAGAGCATTGACGCTGAGTCTTACACAATCCATCTCTCTGCCAGTGAAACTGATTCCGAGAAACAATGCAGTTACTACATGTGGAGGCAAAAGTTTACTGTAAAACTTGAGAACCGTGTGGAAAGAAGAAGCGAAGTCGACGACTGGATGATAACTTTAGCGTTCCCATACGGAGAGCGTCTTGTCTGTGGAAATACCTCTCCTGGTATCTATGCGTTTCTTCCCACAGAGATGGTAACAAACTTTCCTTTCATCATTCAAGCTGATTTCATTCTTTCATCGTCGAGAGAAACTATACTTCTTGATGATATATGGAACCAAGGGATTCTCAGTTGAGTTCCGTTGGCTTTTGTGAATGCATTCACCACCATGGTGAAGAAGAATGATGCTCCGGTGTCTAGCTTGCTGCATTCTTTTAGTTTCTTGCCTGTGAAGCAATCTTCTTACGAAAAGCTGAACGTTGTTAGAGAAACCATCAGGGCAAGAATCTGTACAGAGGAAATTGTGCCAAGCGTGTCACATTTAGGACAAAAGTTCTTTCACAGGCCGTGCGAAGTTGGTCGTTTGATTTCTTCTTTCTGGGATATCTTGGAGAAAGCGAGAAGAGAAGGTGCGAGTTTGCATAATATATCATCACATGGGATGTATATTCTTGATTCTTCCTTTGATAGACCTGAAAACGATAATGTTCTCAGTTTCTTGGGGTTGAAGCAAGTAAGCAACGAATGGTATGCGAAATGCATACAAGGCTGCGATCTCGTGACAAGTGTATCGGAAGAGACTTATGTGGAGATTCTGTTTTTCATAGCTGAGAATTGGGAATCAAGATTTCAGAACACAAACATGGATAAAGTCCCTCTTATCAAGTACCTTGTTCAGAAAGGAACGAGTTATGTAAGCAGCTTGTCAGATTTGAGTTCTCTGACGCTATGTCTCTCTTCAGATAAGAACCATGCATGGCTTCTTGATTGGAACAGTGAGTTTCTTAGATGCATGCCTAAGTTTGTTTTCTTGCCGCAAATAACGCGAACAGCGTTGAAAGCTTCCTCCAACAGACAAACGATATATGATTGGCTTAAACTGAAGGTTAAAGTCATCGATCTTAGCGTATCTGATTACGCAAAACGTCTCCGAGAGAGTCTTAACGGAGACAAGAGGCTTGTGGTTGCGTATGCACACTTCTTGCATCACTCAATCTCGCAGGGCTTTTTATCCATAGGAGAGGCTGAGAAATGCTGCAGCAATGGCATGCCTCTTGTGGACAACTATGGGGATGTTAACACAAACAGGCACGGTGTTCTTGTTCCCGCTAGTGTTGGTAAATGGGTTAGCTTAACCGGTTCGAATCCTTGGACGCAGGACGGTTATATAGAGCTCTGGGAAGAGTACATGTCGTCTGGAAAGTTCGCTGGTGTAAGGTCTGGTCATAGAGAGCTTCTAGGGTTCTTGGAAACTTATGTTAAAGCTGGAGATATACCTGAGATACAACCACCAGATGCTGCTATACCTGCGTTATCTGGTTCTCTAATAAAAGAGAATGCTTTGTTGCTTTTGGAGTGGATAAAGAATAAAAGAAACTCTCTTCCTCCCAAGTTTCTTGATTCTGTTAAAAGGGGAAGCTGGTTGAGAACGAAGATGAATAATTCCTCTGATTATAGGCCACCGTCTCAGTCTTTTTACCATACTTCATCATGGGGAAAAATTCTGAAAAGCGGATCGATTCTTGTTGATATGCCACTTGTTGATCGAAGATTCTACGGGAAGAAGATTGAGAGTTACCAAGAAGAGCTGAAACTTGCTGGTGTCATGTTTGAGTTTAGTCAAGCTTCTAGGTTTGTTGGCGAACATCTTATGAGTTTAGCTGGGAGCTCGTCTCTGTCAAGAGCCAGCGTTATTTCGATTCTGAAATTTATCAGACACTTGAGAGAGAAGCTTCTCCCACCTGACGACTTCATCAGAGCCATCAAGAATATACCTTGGCTTAGGACAAGTTCCGGTGACAGACCACCACATGGAGCTGTTCTGTTCAGCCAAGACTGGAAAGCTGCGTCGCTGATCTGTGACATTCCGTTCATTGATATAGATGTCTACGGTGAGTCTGATCTCAGCGGCTTCAAGGAAGAGCTTAAGTTGCTTGGCGTTGTGGTTGAGTTTCCCGGTAACCACAGCCTCGTTTTCTCTCATTTGAATCTGACCAAGCTTAATCATATGACGTCCGATGCAATGCTCTTAGTTCTTGATTGCATGCGTCAATTGATACCTCCTCCAACGCTGATGCATGTCATGAGAACTTCTCAATGCTTTAAGACGAGAAGTGGATACAAAGCTCCTGCGGATTGTTTCTTACCTGATGAGGAATGGAGTTGTCTCCTCTCTGTTTCCGATTGCTTCCCTCTGATCGACGAGGGTTTCTACGGAGACAAAATCTTAACGTACAAAGACGTGCTGAAGAAGATTGGTGTTGTGGTTGAGCTTGAAGATGCTGTGAAAGTCTTTGTACAAACCTTTAAGAAGAAAGCTACTTCCGTTGGTCTAACTCGAAACTGCGCCTTGTCTCTCCTGTCTTGCTACAAGAAACTGATGGCAAGTACACACAAGTTTCCTGAAGATCTTATGAAACTCTACAAAGAGTTACAGTGGCTGCCTACAAAGCTCGGCGACTTTCGTGCACCAAAGGACTGCATCCTCTATGAACCAGAATGGGAACCTCTCCGGCTCATAGCGAATCTACCCTTTATCAATGACGTCTCAGACAGCATAAGCGACTACAAGAAAGAGCTAAAGAGCTTAGGAGCCACAGTTGAGATGAGAGAAGGCATGCGCCATTTGGTTAGTTGCTTAAGTCTCCCTTATGATCCATCTCGGATCACTGCTACAAGTGCGTTGTCTCTTTTGAAGTGTGTCACGTTCTTGATTGAGAGTAGATTACTCTCTAACGAGTTTCTTGATAAGGTTTCTGTCAAATGGTTGAAGACACATAATGGTTATCATAGTCCAAAAGAGTGTCTTTTGTTCGATAAAAGCTGGAAACTAGAGCCGTGTGATGGTCCTTTCATAGATGAAAAGTATTACGGCATATCAGCGCTTAAAGGTTACAAGAGAGAGCTTATTGAGATTGGAGCTTGTCATGATTCAGCTAAAGCCTGTCAGTTGCTTGCTAACCACGTTTACACTCATTCTGATTCTGCTGCGATTACAAGGATATATAGGCTTCTCAGTAGATTTCAGTGGAAAGCCGAGAAAGGTGGTGAGTTTCCATGCAAGATTTGGATCCCAAGCGATGGTAAATGGGCAGATGTTTCTAGCTGCGTGATCTGTGACAAAGATAAACTCTTTGGATCGCAGCTAAACGTTCTTGAAAACCATTACAAGGACAAGAAACTTCTTGGCTTCTTCTCATCGGCGTTTGACGTGAGAAGTAAGCCTTCCATTGAAGATTACTATGCTTTGTGGAAATATTGGGAGACGACGAGGAACTTCTTGTCCAACGAAGAGTGTTGTGCGTTCTGGAGTTTCGTCGTGGGACACAGTAACACGGTTGAAGCCGAGAAGCTTCTCTCTGAAACGTTTTCGCGTTTGCCCGTAAACGCAACAGATGGGAGCAATAGTGGTGGAGGAGTGTTGTTGTGTAGCAAGAGCGACGTGTTCATAGGTGATGACTTGCGCTTGAAGGATCTCTTCATATATTCTCCTGTTTTCGTCTGGTACCCAACTCCAAGCATCCCTACATTGTCACAAACGAAGCTTATGGAGATTTACAGAGTCATCGGCGTGAAAGAGATCTCCAAATGCGTCGAGATCGCTGAAGCTAAGTTAACAGATAGAGTCAAAACCGTGAAGCAAGAGAATAACAATAATCTGATCGGACCTGGCTTAGTGAGGCTAATTCTAGGGTTCCTCTCTGATCCATCTCTCAAGATAGAAGCTGAGGAACGTTCTAGGATCATACATGGCCTTCTTAGCCGCAACGTTGTGCAAACTCCGGAGACGATCTCGACGGAGTATACTCTGAATCTACCGTCTAAGGGAGAGAAGATAATCGCTAAGGCTGAGAGGATGATAAGGTGGGAGAGAGAGAAAGGAGTGCTTTATGCAGAGAAGATGAAGAAACGTTGTGGTCAAAGAAAGGTTATAGAGAACGCCACGTGTTTCGCTGAGGTGATTGCTAAAGGAGTGATGTGGGAGAGAGAGGATCTGATTGGACAGTTATCAGAGCTTGTGAAGATGGCTTACTTGTTGAAGTTCGATGAAAAGGCTTTAGAGTTTCTTATGAAATCCAAAAACCTTCAGGTCTATGAAGAAGACGAGAAACTCATCTCAGATGCCTTCTCTCTCAAGTAACCTAATCCCAAGTAACAACGAAGACATATATTTTGATATTCTGCATCTTTGTAACCCTCACGACTCTTCTGAAGTTACAATTTGAAGTATTTTTTCTTACCAGCAATTAAGAAGCTTTTGATCCATTAAACACATACTTTACACAAACTCGTTACAATGTAGTGAATAAACAAACAAACCTGAATGAATCACAATCTTTTTATCATTTTCCATTTTTTTCTCCATATATTGTAATTGGCTTAAACCGGAGACTACAACCGTCCTATACCAGTTCCGGTCCTGCTTCTACATGTTGCTGCAGCATCAGATATCTCAACGTGTAAATCTCTGGAAGCATCATTCTCTGAAGACACTGAGCTATCCTCGCCGACTCTTTTCGACAAAGACTCCTCTCTGCTTCGCAAATCTTCATTCACACGGCTTGAGAACTCCCAGCTCCCTCCTCTTCTTCCCCTGCTCGACTCTCTCGAATGCATAATCCCTCGTCCTTCGGTTTCTTCCGGTGGCAGCATTCTGCTCAGATCACGCGACGTCACCGATGATTCCAAGTCCTTGTCCATGTCGCCGAGCTCTTCATCTACTGTCTCGTGCCACACCGGTTTCCTCCCCATCTCTATGTCGTTGGAAACTTTCTGTAGGCTCGGGCTCGACATCCCTCCGTTTACTGTCCTTGGCGGGATCGCTGGCTCCTTTGAAACCTTTGCTCTGAAACTGTTCTGAGATACGGCCACGCTTGTGCAGAACACTTCCATGAAGTTCCCCACTATCCCTTTGTTGAAGGGGTTCTCGTGTCTATCATATCGATACCTAAAGTTCTCATATGTTGACTGCCAAAAACATCACAACATATAACACAAAACCGATGTTAGAATCAGCTAAATTACACACTGTTGGTTTCATGGAATGTGATATGATTTTACCTGATTGGTACTCATTAGGTACAAATGGAAACCGGTGAGCCCACCAACGAACCAGACACAGATGAAAGTGTAGAGTATTAACGCAATGGAAGCAGGAGTCTTGATTAACGACTTCCAGATGTTTATCTTCTCACCGTCCATTATGCGCTTGACGTAGATCCAGCAAAACACATGGACATAAATGCAGAGAAGAGCCGAGCACAGCACAAACATGAAGTAGAACCTGTAGTTTCTCTGTATCCACAAAAAACGCAAGTTACACTCAAATATTCACAACAGTCAATAAGAAAAGATGAAAAAAAAGAGTGAACAATCAAGACTTTTGTGAGCCATTACCAATCCAATGCACTGACCAAGCCAAGGACAGTGATGATCAAACTTCTCGACGCAGTTGTTGCATATGGAGCAATGAGAAGCACGAGGTGGTCTGTAAAGCATGCAAGTGTCACAGTATTTGATCTTCACAGTGATTCCATTCACAACCATATCCTTTGTCCGAGGCAGTCGACTCTGAGGAGTATGAGCAAGACGTGGTTCTCCATTGCTTTCATTACCCTCTGGTTCAGGAGGATACAGATTGCGTGGTATGATCCCCGGGTCTCTCCCCGAGGTTAGAAGAAGAAATATCAGATCCTGTGTAGAACACACAAAGATTGAAAATTTATCATCAAGAAGCCAAAGCAAGAAGATGCAGAAGCAGAATCAGAAGAAAGAGGAACTCACTAATACATTCAGACCAACAGCGACGGCTAATATTGACACTCCTCTATGGTGAGGGAAGTCATCGAAGAATTTGTGTCCAACGAAAACACAGAAGACAACGACAGGAGCTGTGATCAAGAAGATGGTGATCAGAATAGAGCGAGCATCGGGTCCAAACACGAGCCTTCCTCCACAGAAGAACACCTGGAGAAGATCAAGAACAAACTCAACATCAGTCAAATATCGGCAGAGATAAGCTAGGTACATACATAGCCAAGGCAGTTGAATTAACATCTCTTGTAACTAAGTAATCACATTTCTAGACAAATCTTTTACTGATGAACATCCAAAAGCTCAAACTTTTGTAAAAGACCAACATTCACAAACTATGTAGACCAAATCTCATTATCCACAGAACTGTAGAACCTCAAGACAATTACATGAGGAACTGATTAGGAGACCAAAACCAAGACAGGTAAAGCTGAATCATAGACGTTTCTCAAATGGTTTCTTGCAAGTGTTTTTCTCTAATTCTCTCAGGGAAAGCACAAATCTTGCAACATGTAAACTAGTTTTAACGATGGAGCAAGAAGGATTTGATAATTTACAAAATCAAATTCCAAGTTGAGAAAGAGAATAAGCAAAACCCCCAAAAACTAAAGCTGCAAAAAACAACTTCCTAAAATCAAAATTAGGGCATAGAAGAAGTCAACTTATTAGTCCTAAGCTTCTGAAGAATAAACCCAGAAGAAAACACCGAGAAATGTATAATTCCACCAAAGGTCTGAGGATTTCGATTCAGATCTTACTTCAAAGACCTTAAATCTAACCCAGAAAACAAAAATCATAAGAGAGAGAGAGAGAGAGAGAGAGAGAGAGCTCACGTTATTCCCTTTCCACCCTTTATAGGTTCTGATCAGCTCATCTCCGCCACCGCCGCCGTTAGGACCCGGAGGTCCGGGACGACGATCTGACGGCTGCAAATCTAACATCAGAAGACCAGACCCAAAAGAATCGCGTTTTGCTTACAAATCTTTGAGCAATAAATTTGATAAAAATGGAGAGAGAGATTAGGAAGAAAATAAAAATTATTTTTCAGGAAATGGTATTATTGACTTGGGGGACAGAGAATTATGTTTTTTTCTCCGGCTACTTGGCGTTGGCCCCCTTAAGCCACCTTTCCCAATTTACTAGTCAACTAATGTCAATTAAAACATTCCAATTAATGGTGTTTATGGTATATTAACCGTGTGTTAATGGTCTAATAAACCGACGACGCCTTCATAAATATAAAATTCTGATAGTAACGTATATCCACTATAAACAAACCTTCAAAACAAAAGTGAAAATAATTTTTCTTTTTTATTAATAATTTCTTGGAGAGAAAATACTACAAATTATTTACAGAAAAAAAAAAAGAACAACAGTCTTATTTGTACCATTTTATAGTATGCTTGGAAAATAAATTGTACTTGATCCACTTAACTATGATCACTTTCTCCTCCTAAATTTAGTTGGGGAAACAAAATTATTCCAATTAACCAAGATATATCTCTAAACTCTAAAGAGTCGATTTACAAACGTGTCCATTTTGTAATTGATGATTGATTGATATCACGACTATTTCAACATTTAGATGGTCATCAGATTAATGTTCTGTCTTCTTTTCATTTAATTTATATTTTCTGTTATTTTGATTAATTTGAATTCAGACCAACCGTAAAATGTAATGTATAATCCTAATAATCCAATACGTGTTGAACATTTCTCGTCAAGTTTAGTCTCATCTGATGATTTGTTTGAACCTCTTCTCGTTAAAGAGAAAAATTATCCTTTTTATATTTAATTATTTATATATATCCAGTGGACTCTATATAAGTAGTACTAATAAAATCCTAGTTAAGCTATCAGATTTCATTTAGGTCTTGTAATTTTTGTTGTTAAGTTATTAAGGTTCACAATACGTGATAATATCATGCACAGTACATCGATGATGATTTTTTTTTGTTTTTCACGAGCAGTTGTGAAAAAAAAAGTTGTTGGAAATTTCTCTTTTGAACAAATAGGGAGCCACAAAAATACAATACTTCAACTACAGACAACCCACTTCCTCTGTATTTTTCTGGTCTCACGTTGGTCATAGGCTTTTCATTAGTCGGCCTACCCGAAAACAAAAATCTTTAATATTTTAAGTTTCTGAAGTTTTTCTTTTAGGTGATACTAAGCTTTTTAGACTAAATTAAACGTATATGAATTTATTAATGTGATTATAATCTGCAAGTAACAGAAACTTACAGTTTAAACATTATAGCATAAAGGAATTTAGAAAAGTGTTGATTCAAATTAATGATACAGATAAAGCGACACAATATGATATTTTGCAAAATAAAAACCATATAGGGGAATATTGTTCCTGGTAAAAAAGATACAAGAAAATGATCTCAAAAGCTTAGGGAAGAAACAAAAAAAAGCACACTCGAAATCTTCATTTTGTTCGTTCTTCAAGAATAAGTAGGGAAAAAAAACTCGAAAGAAAGAATAAACAAAAGCCATTAATGTTGCTCTTCATTTCCTTGGGATCACGATTGAAAGATAATTATATATAGAATGAAGGAGATTACTGGTTTTCTAGCCTTTACTAAGGCATGACGCCAAGATCCTTGAAGTAATCATGCTCCAAGGCTGCTCTTGCGTTGATTCTTTTGGTTGGATCCATCAACAGCATTTTCTGCAACAAATTAAACAGAGACATATTAATCATCTTTACCCTCAAAACCTTGAGATAAACATCCGCAAGTTCAGTTTGCTTTTTCCTTTTTCGTTTAGGAATTTTCAAGAATCCTGGTTATTGAAGATTGTTCATGTTTCAGACTAGTTTGATTTGGGTTTACATGAACACTGTTGAAGATACAAAATTAAGCATCCAGGTCTCTAATGTAGCAGAAGTAGAATATAAAGATGCGACTGTGTGTGTGTGTATTTAGTCAGCGAACTTACTGAAAGGAGATCTACACCATCGGGATCCAGATTCGGGACAAAAGATTCTAAGTCCTGTGGTATAAGAAAAAAAACATAAGCAAGAACAATATTGTGATATGTGCTCTTGTTTACTGAAATAGAGATGTGGAGGTGAAAAAAGAAATTATGAAGTACCGTTGGTTTCCATTTAGGGAAAGCAGATTTGTAATCTGGCAGCGAAGTTACACCGGGCCATGTATCCTCGTATGGAGTTCCCATGATTCTGGAAGGAGACAAAAAAACACATGGCAGCCATATATTATAATCACATAGCACTTCAATATCTATGTACATTACTAGTTCTCCAGAAAATTAGATTTCACGTTAAGAATAGTTTGGTGATATCATTTCGCAAACAAG